AAATCGAGATTATCGAAAATCTTCTACTCGGCGAACGCGCTATTAATCGATCTAATCTAATTACTAGAGTATTTAAACTAAAGCTAAAGACCCTTATAAATAATATTCTAAAGGAAAAGATACTAGATATACTTCTATTCTTCTTACCTCCTATTATAGTATAGTAGCCTTTTCTTATCTTATTTAATAGAATAGTCTCTTAAGCGGTATATTAGTTAGACGATTAGTATAGATTATAATTTCTAGAGATACTTCTAATACGATTTAGTCTATCACACACTATAATTCCTATCAATTAGCTCTACGATATCGTTTTTTTTTTTTTTCACCCCTATAAGAGCGAAGCACGATCGGTTAAAATATCGATTAGTTTTAACTCTAACTAACTTTACGAATAATAGATCGAGTTCCCGTCTATACCTACACTATTAAATTTTAAAAACGAGGCCTACCGCATGCCCACATCCTTATCATTTTACACTCTAAAGATTAATTCTTTAGCGCCGCTAAAGTCGACGCCGCTATTAATACTAAGATCTCTAATTAGAGGCTATTTCTTAATCTCTATACGACTATTATTAGATATATACTCTATAAAAACTATAGTTAATATACTATTAATAGAATAGATACTATTTCATCTTATTAAAACTTAGATAAAAACGTATATAGTAAGTAGTTTCCGAAGGACTTTAGCGATTATACCGTCTTTAAACTAGACTTTAAATATCTTATATATTATCGACGTAGGCCTACTAAGATATTAGATAATGAATTTAAGTAGAATTATTAGGTGATATTTTATAGTTCTTATTTATTAATTAAGTATAACGCTTATATTAATATAGAGATCTATATTAACGTTAAAGTCTATAAATATATCTTTAAATATATTTATAAGAATAGCGATTAAGCTAGTCTTCGAATAGAGTATAAGAGCGATATAGATTAAAACGATATAAGACTAGATTAGATAAATAAGATTTAAGAGTATCGAGACGTACGGTAGATAAGCTCTGCGGAAGCCTATTAAAGGATTTTTAATTTTAAATTATATAATTATAATTCTTCTATCGAACGATTATTTATCTATCTCTCGAATTAATATAACGTAATATTTAATAATAAAGATAATCTATTTTAAATAATCGATATAAAATATAAACGCTAGATTAAGCTAATAGCTTTCTTTTAGCTAAATTAAAGGCGTTAATAGCGAAGACGAGTAGAAGATCTCTTCTATACCGATCTATTAATATAATATATCTAAAAAAGAATAAGCGAGATATATTTAAATAAAGTTTACGTTAGAGGCGTAGAGATATTATTAAAAGAATATACTATATTAATTCAAACGCTAAGAAGCTCTTCTATCTACGATACCTTCTTCTAAATGTATTAAATTCTATATTCTTCGAAGACTTACGTATAATAAATAATAATATTCTTTCTTTCTATTATAATATCTATATAATAAAAAACTTACTTTATAATAACGCTGAATAAAATTAAGTATTAAATAAAGTAGCGGCCTAGTAAGGAGAATACGTCTTACGGGGTCTCTTCGTAATAATTCTACTATAATATAAGCTTAATAACTCTCTAAATCTATGAAATAATTATAAATTAAGATATGTGGGCAATTTCTTCTTTATCGAGTAGAAATACTTTAAGCGTAGTATAATTAGCTTACCGCGCTAACGGTGATATTGAAACATTACGACTTTTTTTAATATAATATTTCTTTTTTTATATACTAAAACTTTTCGCGCTAGATATATTTTTTCTTAATAATTTCTTTAATAAGTTAAAGTGCTTTAAGCTAAAGAATAAGAAGAATATCGCGCTAACGGTGGTTTTGAAATATCGCGATATTTTTTGGTGTGGTATTCTTTTTTTAGCTATCAAAACTTTTCGCGCTAGATGTATTTTTTCTTTTTTTACCCGTAAATAATTTAATTCTCCTCTCGCACTTTATATATATTTCTTAACTAATACTTATTATTCTTTATTTAAATTATCTAATAATCTTATTTATATTCTTTAGACTTAATACTATATTCTTTCTCTATCGAATAATACGTAATATAAATAAGCCGTTATCGAAGACTTCTATCTTTATTTGATTTAAATTCGATTAGAGGAAAATAACACCAGCTCTATAAAGGATATCAGCCTTATTATCGACTTTAGTCTACTCGCGATTTAGCGAGACTATAAATAGTATTATATTAACGATTAAAATTAACTTCTACGCGAAGCACGTAGCTATTAAACTAATATCTGAAATTAGATATAGGCGAATTTTAATAATAATTAAATCACTATAGCTAACGCTATTTAAAACGCGGTCTTTTATTTTAATAATTAACTCTTCTTTCTTAATAACTATAAAGATATCGATAAGATTATACTTTAGAATATCGTATTACGAAGAATACGAAATAACTTTAAGATAGCTGTTACTATAACTTTATCTAATATCGCCTTTATCCTTCTTTAAGGTGGTATTACCACTTATTCTCGCTTTAAGATCTCCCTTAATACTATTACTTAGTTTAATTACGATATATCGATAGGGTTTGATTTAGCTTAGTTATTAAAGGCGACCGAGCTTATTTTCTAAGACGAGGTCTCTATATAAAACCGCTACGATATTAAGACCGTCGATCGTATACTTTAAGATATTTGAAAGAATCTTACTCCTTTTAATGGTATAATCATATACTTCTACGGTGACTTTCATTAAATTCTTTTAGTTATTAAGAATACTAAGTTAGATCGTATCGCTCGAACTACGTTAAGAGCGTCCTACCTTTAAAATTATATTTAAATTCTTAGGCTAATAGAAAATATAAGGCTTTAAAACCTTAATCTTATTAATTAAGGCCGGATTAATATAAAGGAATTCGCTTAAAGACTATTAGATATAGATAATAATATCTTAATAAGCTTCGAAGAATAAGAAGCTATCGATTAATTTATCGAATAACTATTAAACGACTTTATTACTTAGCTAATTAATACTATTTATAATAACCTTGACTTATATCGAATAGCTAATTTCTATATATTTAGGGTAATTCTTTATACTCTTAATAAGAATATCGTCTAATTTAATAGTTAAGTTCTTAATAAGTTTTCTAAGATTAAGATCGTTTATAATAGTAGAAATTAAGTCATTAATAAGGAAGATAGCTTCCTCCTACCTACTAAAATAATAAATACCTTTGAACCAGCCTCGCTTTTACCCTATTACTTGAAGTTAAAATAGAATTATATAATAATGCTACTAAGAAATTTAGAGTAACGTATAAATCTATATAATAAAATATATCTATAAGTTAAGTATATTAGATTTAAGACACTCGATTGTCGTATTCTTAAAGACGAACATGACGGTGAACGATACTACATATTATGTATCTCTCTAACTTCGCCTAATTCGAACGATCTATATACTTCCTTTCGACGTATTTAATTTCTAATTCAATTAGCCTTCAGTATAACAATTAATAAGGCTTAGGGCTAGTTATTATAGTAGGTCGGTCTATGCTTATACCCCGAGATCTTTATCTATAGTCAACTATATATAGCTCTAAGCCGAGTTATTAGTAAGGCCCCCCCTTTTTTTTTAATTTTAAAAAAACTATAAAAAAAAAAAAATACTTACCAGACGAAAAATATTAAAAAAAAAATTATTATTTAGTATTTTTTTCTTCAATAAAGAAATTAATTATTAATAAATTTTTATTAATAAAAAAAAAAAAAATAACAAAAAACCATAATAAAAAAAAAAAAAATATTTTTTTTTTAATTATTTTTTTTTTTACCTTCTTCATTAATTTTATAGTAATGAAAGTAGGTTAAAAACGCATAGTAAGCGATCAGAGTCCGATTTGTACTTAGGGCTAGGGCTAAAATTTAATTTTATTTAAAAAAAAAACCCCCCAAAATTTTATTTTTAAAAAAATTTTTTTTAAAAAAAAAAAAAAAAAAAAAAAAAAAAAAAAAAAAAAAAAAAAAAAAAAAAAAAAAAAAAAAAAAAAAAAAAATAATTAATATTTATATAATATTTATAAAAAAATTAATATTTAATTTTTAAAAATTAAAAATTTTTTTTTTTTTAAAAAAATTAAAAAAAAAAATAAAAAAAAAAAAAAATAAAAAAAAAAAAAAAAAATAAATAAAAAAAATATATAATATTTATATTTTATTTATATATTTTTAAAAAATAATAAATTAATTTTTTTTTAAAATAAAAATTAAAAATAAAAAAAAAAAAAATTAAAAATAATTAAATTTTTTAAAATTTTATTTTTTATTAATAATAATAAAAAATAATAAAAATAAAAATTTAATTTTTAATTTTTATTATTTTATTTATATATTTATTTATTTTAATAATATATATTTAATATTAATATAAATAAATTTTAAAAAAATAAAATAAAAAAAAAAAAAAAAAAAAAAAAAAAAAAAAAAAAAAAAAAAAAAAAAAAAAAATTTAAAAAATTTTTTATATATAATAAAAATATATATAAATATATTTATATTTAAAAAATTATTAAAAATAATAAAAAAAATAAAAAAAATAAATAAAATTAATAAAAATAAATAAATAAATAAATTAAAAATAAAATTAAAATAAATTAAAAAAAAATAAATAAATAAAAAAAAAAAATATAAAAAATAAAATTATTATATAATTAAATGTAAAAACAAACAAGCCTCCCCCCCCCCCCCCCCCCCACCCCCAAACACACCCCCAAAAACACAACAACCCCCAAACAAACCAATAGTTATCTAAGGTAGGCTTGGGTTAAACTTCGGTTAAAACTCACATCATTCATTAGTGCCGGATAACTATTGCCGTTGGTACCTTTTTTTCAAAATCGACGGTGAGTCAACCTCACAAAACACTTGCAGCTTTTGCTTTCTCCTCAACCACTGTTAAAACTCTCAGAGAGGCCAGGGCAATATCTTACCAACTGGCCAACATGTCCGACGCCGACTTTGCAGCAGTCAAGAAGCTGCAAGCAGAGCGCAACGCTGCAGCAGCAGGAAAGAAAGGTTCAAAGACTTTCGACCCTTCAAACCAGCGAACTGACGCATCGACCAAGGCTTCCCTAACTGAGAGCTTCGATACAGAGCTCTACGATCGAAATGGAGGAGACAAGTTTGCAGGTTATGATACTTCGATTGCAGTAGGTGGCGATGACGAGATGGGAGACGCGAATGGGGACGGTGGCAGTAGGAGGTTGGTGGGGCAGTATACAGCGACGAACGCGCAGATGAACGAGTTTGCGCATGGAGGAGGGGTGGAAGAAGAGGACTTATTGCAGGGCCGAGAAAGGCAAGCTACGATCGCCTCCCGACAGACTGATTATGAGCGCAAAGGTCGACTGGCGAGGGGCCCACTCACCCCAACTCGCGCCGATCCATTCGCGGCAAATCGTCAAGCAGGAGTCGAAGACCAAGGCCAAACCTATCGCGAGCTTATGGCCGCAAGAGATCTGGAGAGGGAAGAAGAACGAGTCAAGAAGCTCATTACAGACAAGCAAGCGACCGGAGAAGGTGGCGTCGTTGAGCATCAGGCCACTCTCAAACACGTGGACAGCAGCGACAAGGAAAACAGAGAGGCAGGTTCGACAGTCACAGTGGCCTCTGGGAGGAAGCGGAAACAGCGTTGGGATGTAGCAGGAGAAGGCACACCTGCTCCGGAGACGGCCGACTCGATAACCAAACGATCTCGATGGGATCAAACGCCAGCCCCTGGAGAGATGGCTATCGATGCTACTCCTCGACGCTCGCGGTGGGATCAAGCGCCATCTCTTAGTGATGCCACGCCAGTCGGCCAACAAGGCCTAGCAACTCCCATACATCCATCTCAATCAGGCGCCGTCATGATGCCCACCACTTTTGGGACTGACATATCCTCCCGAAATGCCCCTTTGTCTGATGAAGAGCTTGATATGATGCTGCCCGGCGAAGGCTACAAGGTCCTGGATCCGCCACCTGGGTATGCACCTATAAGGACTCCCGCCCGAAAACTCATGAGCACACCAGCACCTGTGGCAAGCTCGACTGGATTAGGAGGTTTTATGATGCAGGAACCGGAGAATGCCCGAGCGATGGGTAAGCAACTACCGACCGAGATCCCTGGCGTTGGCGATTTACAGTTCTTCAAGGCCGAGGATATGGCTTACTTTGGGAAGCTTGTTGATGGGGGGGATGAAAATGCCATGTCCGTGGAAGAGCTCAAGGAGCGGAAGATCATGCGTCTTTTACTTAAAGTCAAGAATGGAACACCACCCATGCGCAAGACCGCGCTTCGGCAACTGACAGACAATGCACGCCAATTCGGTGCCGGCCCTCTTTTCAACCAGATACTTCCTCTACTCATGGAAAAGACGCTCGAAGACCAGGAGCGCCATTTGCTTGTCAAGGTCATTGACCGCGTCCTGTACAAGCTCGACGATCTTGTCCGACCCTATGTCCACAAGATTCTCGTCGTCATCGAACCGCTACTCATCGATCAAGACTATTACGCTCGTGTCGAGGGTCGCGAAATTATCTCCAATCTCAGCAAAGCGGCTGGTTTGGCCCATATGATCAGCACTATGAGGCCCGACATCGACCATGTCGATGAATATGTCAGAAATACCACGGCCAGAGCTTTCGCCGTAGTTGCTTCGGCTCTTGGCATACCGGCTCTGCTTCCTTTCCTCCGAGCCGTGTGTAGAAGCAAGAAGTCATGGCAAGCCAGACACACAGGAGTCAAGATCGTTCAGCAGATCCCTATCCTGATGGGATGCGCTATCCTCCCCCACCTTAAAGGTCTGGTGGACTGCATCGGCGACAACCTCAACGACGAGCAAGCCAAGGTCAGAACTGTTACAAGTCTAGCAATCGCTGCACTTGCCGAAGCTGCCAATCCTTACGGTATCGAAAGCTTTGACGACATTCTTAATCCCCTCTGGACAGGCGCAAGAAAGCAACGAGGCAAAGGCTTGGCTGGATTTCTCAAAGCCGTTGGCTACATTATCCCTTTGATGGACGAGGAGTACGCCAACTACTACACAAGCCAGATTATGGAGATTCTGCTTCGAGAGTTCTCGTCGCCAGATGAGGAGATGAAGAAGGTCGTACTGAAAGTCGTGTCTCAGTGTGCAGGCACGGATGGCGTGACTGCCGGCTATCTCAAGGAGCACGTTCTTACCGAGTTCTTCAAAAGTTTTTGGGTCCGCCGAATGGCCTTGGACAAGCGAAACTATCGACAGGTTGTCGAGACAACTGTGGACCTCGGGCAAAAAGTTGGTGTCAGTGAAATTGTCGAGAGGGTGGTCAATAACCTAAAAGATGAGTCCGAGGCTTACCGAAAAATGACACTTGAGACGATTGAGAAAGTCATTGCGAGCCTGGGTGCCGCAGACATCGGCGAGAGGCTCGAAGAGCGTTTGATCGACGGTGTACTCCACTCATTCCAAGAACAAAGCGTTGAAGATATTGTCATGCTCAATGGCTTTGGTACTGTCGTCAACGCCCTTGGCACTCGATGTAAACCTTATCTCCCCCAGATTGTTAGCACCATACTATGGCGGCTTAACAACAAATCCGCCACCGTCCGCCAGCAGGCTGCGGATCTCATCTCTCGAATCGCCATGGTCATGAAGCAATGTGGTGAAGATGCCCTGATGGGCAAGCTTGGAATTGTTCTCTACGAGTACCTTGGAGAGGAGTATCCAGAAGTTTTAGGTTCTATACTTGGTGCGCTTCGTTCGATTGTCACCGTCGTTGGGATCAATTCTATGCAGCCACCCATCAAAGACCTGCTTCCGCGTCTTACACCCATCCTACGGAATCGCCATGAGAAAGTACAAGAAAATACCATAGATTTGGTAGGCCGTATCGCTGACCGAGGTCCTGAGAGCGTCAACGCCAGAGAGTGGATGCGAATCTGCTTCGAACTACTCGATATGCTCAAAGCACATAAGAAGGGAATCCGACGTGCAGCAAACAACACCTTCGGGTTCATTGCAAAAGCCATTGGTCCTCAAGATGTGTTGGCTACGCTACTCAACAACCTTCGAGTTCAAGAACGACAGTCGCGCGTCTGTACCGCCGTCGCCATTGGCATCGTTGCTGAAACCTGCGCGCCATTCACTGTTCTTCCAGCTCTTATGAACGAGTACAGAGTACCTGAACTAAACGTACAGAATGGTGTGCTCAAATCGCTCTCATTCCTCTTCGGTGCGTATTTCCGGAGCCCATGATTCCTCCTTTTGCTCAAAATCCTGAATCTTGAAACATGTTTTGGGAACAGCAACCCTGCAAGTAACTCTCAAGGTTCGAAAATGTTTCTTGGGAAGGCTATGCTGACTCAAGAATATTCTGCAGAGTACATTGGAGAAATGGGTAAAGGCAAGTACTTCTATTTCTTGTCTTAAAGAAGCAATGCTGACTCCTAGTGCGTAGATTATGTCTATGCAGTGACTCCTTTACTTGAGGACGCACTTACCGATCGTGCGTGTATACTCCAGAGCGATTCCTTCCTACTGCATACTGAGACATGCTGACTATGAGAACGTGAAGGCGATCAAGTCCACCGCCAGACTGCGGCCTCAGTGATTAAGGTACGTATTTTCGAAGTTCGGACATGTTTCCCTTTCGCAAACTCTCTTCGATCAGGCAATACTGACAATTGCAGCACATTGCTCTGGGCGTAGTCGGACTGGGCGCTGAGGACGCCTGTTGCCACCTACTTAACCTCCTTGGTAAGCAATTTCCCTAGCCCTTTACTTCCTCATCCGTGCCCATCTTAAAAAGGAAATTTACTGAATGAGAAATTGCAGTGCCGAATTTGTTCGAGACCTCTCCCCATGTCATTGACCGCATCACGGAAGCCATGGAAGCCATACGGAATGCTGTCGGTCCAGGGATCTTGTTGAACTACGTCTGGGCTGGGTTGTTCCATCCAGCGAGGCGCGTTCGTCAACCATACTGGAGGTTGTACAACGACGCATACGTCCAGAGCGCTGATTCCATGGGTAAGCACTTCTCCTGAGTTATTTCCCCCTTGCACACCCATTTTCGCAAGAAGCGCTCTTCAAAGAGAAATGCTTAGTGCCAAATGGTGTAGTGCCATATTTCCCCAGCCTTCCGAACGAGGATCACATGAACCGCCATGAGCTCGCAATCGTGCTATGAAGAGGCTTGGACGGTGATACTGAATGCAAGCCAAAGGAGGATATAGGAGTTTGGGGGTGAAGGCCAGAAGCAATGGTAGGATGAAATAGCCAAAAACTCCTCGGCTGGGGAGCAGTGGCCTACTTCTCACTCGTCTTGAGTATATGTAACGACAGGATAATAGTGCTTCGAGATGATCCTGAAAGTAATATACAGAATTCCAATTTGAATGTTCAAAATTACGCGAGACTCTCTGAATTACTTTCACGCTATGCTGTAGATACATGTATACTACCTTAGCGTACTTTGTGAGAATTTTACTAGTAATGTCTTCACTTCCGCAAGTCGCTGATTCGTAGATGAGCGGGATGTTCGAGACTTTGAAAGTGGGGTCTCTGACTGCGGGCCCGGGTAAAGTATGTTTCTGCCCCGCATCCACATGGGTGAAATGCCCCTGCTCATCTTCCTTTTCATCATCTACCTACCCTACCGTCTTGCATCACGCTGAAGTCTGTACAGTACAATCGGACCGCTGCGAATCTGTCCGGCCGAAAGTTTGAAAGAAGCAGCGTCTGATGATGGACGGCGAAGAATTGTCACAACGCTTCCTTCCGGACCATCACCATGCTCAATCGGCCCTTCAAGCTTCCTCAGCAATTGAAGGTGCCCCCCCTTGTACGACACACGGCATCTGCACACGCAGAGATGCAGAGATGCGGACATGTGGAGATGATGCGGGGAAGCAAAAAAGATCTAATGCAATGTAATGCAAGATCATAAGTAGGGTACCACTGTGATGACGTTCCGCCTTGGTCCTCCTTCTCTAATACCTTGGCCTGTCCTTAACAGCCTTGTCAAGCAATACAATTTCACCGTCTCTTACACAAGATGTATCTTTCTTCTCTCATACCGCTCATTGTCTTTGCGCACTATGTGCGAGCTCAGAGCTCAACGTCTTCTTACGTCGAGCCTACCGTGCCGACAGGTACACCCATACCGGGAGACTACAATGGCGCGTTGCGGCCACAGATTCATTACAGTCCGCCAATTGATTTCATGGTAAGTCGATGCAGGCCTAAGCCAAGTCCAATGTCAAGCTCCGCAAAGGCTTTCTTTTTGTAGGTCGTGCAGGAGGAGTAGAGTATTGAAATACAGGAGCGCAAAAAATCAACATGGCACGTCCTCTGACAGAACGATAGAATGATCCCAATGGCATTTTTCTCGACCCCAATGGCACCTATCACCTTTACTATCAATGTAAGGGTCGTCCACGTCTCTCTGAATGAGGCCAGCGTTGAATTGATCTTCAGATAACCCAACGGACATTGTGGCGGGTAACCAACACTGGGGCCATGCTACTTCTCGAGATTTGTACACCTGGGAGAACCAGAAGATCGCCATATACCCTGGTGCCGAAGGCGAAGGCATCTTCTCCGGCTCTGCAGTCATCGACGTGAATAATACGAGTGGTTTCTTCCCAAATCAGACCAATGGCGTCGTCGCTATGTACACTTTGAACACCGCGCAGGAGGAGGTGCAGGATATCGCCTACTCCACAGATGGCGGGTATACTTTCACCAAATACGCCAGCAACCCCGTCATCTCAATCAATAGCACCCAGTTCCGTGATCCAAAGGTGCTTTGGTATGCACCCACAAAGTCATGGGTTGCAGTCATTTCGTACGCTCAAGACTTTGTCATCGGCATTTTTACATCACCCAACCTCACCAACTGGACCCACGCCTCCAATTTCAGCCATGCCGGGCTCTTAGGACTTCAGTATGAGTGCCCAAACCTCGTCTCCCTGCCAATGCTCAAAAATGCTTCTCTTGCTGAGCCACTGGATCCTGCCAACTTTGCTTCGACAGATGAAATGTACATCTTGCAAATCAGCATCAACCCGGGAGCTCCTCAGGGTGGATCCATATCCCAGTACTTCCCCGGCACATTCAACGGCACCCATTTCACCACTGCAGACGCAGCCACCCGGCTCACAGACTTTGGCAAAGACAATTACGCTGGCCAATTCTTCTACAACATCCCCGCAACGTCACCCCAGATCAGCATCGCTTGGGCCAGCAACTGGGAGTACGCCCAACTGGTCCCCACTGGGGTACGTACATTTCGGAGCCGATCCTTCCCATTTGGTTCTGAAATTGAGTTGCAAGATATTTTTGGGAGCAAGAGGACCTTTCTAGTCCCGAGAATAGTCTCGCAACTCCATCACCTACCTCGTATAAGCAATGCTGACGCCGAAATCTGCGCAGCCTCTCGAAGATTTCCGCTCTTTCATGACAATCCCGCGTCTCAACGTGCTCGCAAACACAACACAATCAGAATACACCCTCCTCTCCTACCCTTATCCCTACTCTTCTCTCTACACAACACCAACTCCCCTAGCCAACTCGTCCACCCTCGCCAACACCTCGATCCTTTATGACTACTCAACTACCATCCCCAGCGGTGCCCTCTCCTTCTCCATGAACATCACCTCCATCCCCGTCGCCAACACAACCGGTACCGCGAATTTTACCTTTCTGTCCTCCATAACAGGCGAGTATGTCCGCGGCGGGGTGTTTCTCAACGGTGGTAACGGAGGCGACACGCCGGTTTGGTTGGACAGAAGCCATACCTATGGCTTCTCGAATCCCTTTTTCACCGATAAGTTCAGCACGAGTCTGTGGCGAGATCCTGATACGCAGGACTTTAGGTTGCTAGGGGTCTTGGATAGGAGTATTCTGGAGGTGTTTGTTAGTAATGGGGAAAGGGCGGGGACGATGACGTTCTTTCCACAAGGTGTGCTGGATACGGTTATCTTGGGGACTAATGATTTGAATCCTGGGGTCCAGGTTAGTGTGGAACTGTATGGATTGCGGAGTACGTGGGCTGGAGAGGAGAGTGGAAATGCTACGATGACGAAAAGGACATCGGGGCAGGTTATGAGGAGGGACAATCTAGGGCACTTGGGCCAAGCGTGATAGGTACCGCATGTGTGATCATCATGGGCTTTGCTCTTGCTCTTGTTAAATGACTTGAGTCTCTGGTGCCCGCAATGCCCAAAGCCGTACATAGCGTAGACAGCACAAAAGCAATGAATCGGAAAGTGCAAAAACCGCGTTCGCTGTCAAAGCTTCAAAAGCAACTACCCCGATCATGCCACAAGTCTGCCCAGCCTCTCCTCAGCATCAGCAATCTATCCCACTAACACTGGAGGGGAAATTTCCTTAACGCAGCTCAAGTTCTAAAGTCAGTAGTCCCTATCTACAGCGTCGTCAGCTTTTCCGCAATTCTTGCTGCAAATGCGGGGACGAGATTGCTTGAAGCGAGAGCAGGATATCAGAAGTCCGTTTAGATCATCGAGCCGGTAAAGGCTCTGACATAAGAGGTACCAGAAATATTGTGTAATAGGAATTATCATCATGTGATTGCTCGAAGGGAGGTATGCTAAGTGCTTGGAAAGAACGGCACAACGTACCTGTACCCTATATTTTGGGAAAAGCTCGTCGCTGTTGGAGATTCGCTCGGCTTCGGTGACTCTAGAAGCTCGGAAGGCTGTTGGATAGCAGACATAGAGCGTAACCAGAAGTGGTAATTAAGTAGTGAGTGAGCTGCCAACACAGTCGAATTCCAAGACGAAAGGTTGAGTTGCCAGCTTTACGCAACGAAAATCTAGGGACCCTTGGGCTTGAGGGTTTGCAAACACAGCGTTGTTTCGAAGAAGACGACTTTATATTGTTGCAATCTGTACGGCTCTTTGACTTCCAGATCCTGGAGCAGAACTTTGGCGTTGAGCTGGACTTTTGAGCATCACAGGGACTCCGCTGCAGCTGATGCTTTTCATCAGATAGATGAGCTAGCAAGGAAGAAGTATCCAGTCGCTGACGACATTGCGAATGGTATACCAAAAGACACCCGGATGCTCAGATCTTTGAAGCTCGAAGGCAGCTGGTGGCAGGCGGTTGCAAAGATTTCCAATAACCTCGGCCAAAACCCGCACTCGCTAAAACCAATTAGCGCAACTCTTGGCACCCACTATCAGACCTCAAATCAACTTCTCGCTCTAAACCTCAGTCAACGACACACGACATTCCGCAATCATGGGTCGCCTCCACAGCAACGGCAAAGGAATATCAGCCAGCGCGATCCCTTACTCCCGCACACCGCCCGCATGGCTAAAAGTGACCCCTGAGCAGGTGGTGGATCAGATCTGCAAGCTCGCAAAGAAGGGAGCGACGCCGAGTCAGATTGGTGTTGTTCTCAGGGATTCGCATGGGGTGGCACAGACCAAATTTGTTACTGGTGAGTTGGATACATACCTACGGAGAACAGGAGTCGATAGCGTTGAAGGTGTAGGGCGATTGCTAACATGGCGACATAGGAAACAAGATTCTGCGCATTTTAAAGTCGAATGGTACGCCAGACTCATTTTGAAAGAGCTAGGGACTCGTTCCTGCAGCGATTTCACACGACATTGCCTCTGCTTGGTCTTTGACTGACGGAGTGATTTCTTCATGACAGGCCTTGCACCAGAGATCCCAGAGGACCTGTACATGTTGATCAAGAAGGTAGCGTTGACCTCCATCGTCCCATTCTCTTTTAATTCCTCTGTTTAAGAGAGGGGACCTGGCGCTGACGAATATTAGGCCGTCGCCGTCCGCAAGCATCTCGAGCGCAACCGCAAAGACAAGGATTCTAAATTCCGTCTCATCCTCATCGAATCCCGCATCCACCGCCTTTCGAGATACTACAAATCTGTAGGTGTTCTGCCGCCTACTTGGAGATACGAGAGTGCGACTGCGAGCACGATGGTGGCTTAGATTGGGGTAAAAGTGATGCTGGAGCGTGGTGGAGTGTTGAGAGGGAGACGCGCTGTTGGTGGGAGGCACGAAGAGGTTGAGCAAGGACTGCCTGCAGAAGTTCAAGTCTAGTGCTACTAGGTACAACAAAATCCAAGATCTTGCAACCCAAGCCTACATTAATCAAACTTTTGGTACCCGTTTCACATGCTTCGCCGCATGTATGAAGACACAGCGGAGGGTATCTAATCGCCCAGAAACCCAACAACTCCATCGCTATGCATTTGGACCATCCTCTCGTCTTCAAGTAGTACTCTCCTGCTTGACCCCTTCCAGATCCTTACTCCTCTGCAGCAAAAACTCGCCTAGAACTTGTAGCGGATTCTCCGGCCTGTAGATCCAACACGTTGATTAGCCCCCCCCCCTTCCCACAAACATCCACAGTCTTCGACGTCCCGACAAATCATCGTACGTACTGATCAGCAGCCAACCTCTTCATCCCCTCCAACAGCACCCCCGTAACCTTCTCGTTCAAATACCGCCTCGCCGGCGCCCCATGACTTGCCGCTTTCGAAGGCATTGGCGGCGCCACCTCTGCTGCAGCGGTGCCGTTGACGTGCCGAGTGGGCGTTGCGGTGCGTTGCGTCGCTGGGATGGGGGTGGGTGGTATGGGAGCGTAGTTCATTTGGGGCAGTGGGGGCTTGAAAGTGAGGGTTGATTAATGAATGGATCAAGGGGAAAAGTGGTAGGCGAGGGCATGTGAAAACGTACAGCTGCTTCTGGCATTTCGGTATCGAGGTTGGGTTCGGATAGGGTGGCGTTGGGGGGGAGCACTGGTTCTGGGGGTGGAAGGTCGGTGATTGAGTGGATGTTGTCGATTGGCGGAACTGGGGTGGATGCGTCGGGGGCATCTGCCGGGGATTTGGGGGTTTCTTCTGCCATTCTTTTCGTTGGAATTGGCACAATTCTGGAGTGCTCTCTGGTGATAATTGTGTTCCGTTGGAAAGGCTCAGGATACTCACATGGGAGAATTGCTAGCGCGTCCGGGGTGACTTGCCTCACGCGACGTGCCTGTCGATCACTCGAGATGCATGATGCTCTGACTTTAATTCTCCTTGTTGGTCTTTCTATGTCGCCCGGAGAGTCAGAGAATCTGCTGTCAAGCATTGGAAAGATCGTATTCACATAATGTTTTAGACCAAAATGGCGTTGCAGGCACGAAGTCATGCATCTCATAACCAGATGCTTGGCCATCGAGTCCGACATCCCCCATCTACCAATTATGACGATGACTTCGAAACCCCGACCGGAAAGCGGCTCAAGAGACTCGATAGCACAGATAGCTCTCTATCTCGCGGAGGAGATTCAGACCTTGAGGATGAAGGCAGAACAACTCCGATTCAAAGGACCCCTGTTCGACCATCTCGAGAGGTCCCAGACTCAGAAGCAGACTCGGATGACGACGACAATATTGTCCAGGACGGAAACCCGAAAACAGAGCTCGAAAGTGCCCTACCTCCAGTCAAAACCGACAAGGAAGCAATTGCTGAATATGAAGCAACGAGAGCTGCTGAAGCGGAAAGCCTCGACCTGAATGGACGTCTGGGCCAACGGAAATGGCTTCCGGGCAAGAGCTCCATCTACGTGGATGCTTTCAACCTGGCTCTAGAAACTGTGCTGGAGGATGAGTCACACCTGTTTAATGAAGCTGAGATGGCCGTCTTTGAGCAGTGGACGGACATGAGTTACGAGGGGCAGTATTTGTAGGTAAGACTCCATCTTGATAGACTCTTGACAAGATTTGATGTTTTCGGCAGGTACGTAAGACTGTTCCTCCGTAAAACTGCAGCATGGCATAGAACCAATCGGTTGAAGTACTACGGAGACATCGCAGATCTACCAGCTGCTGTCAAAGATCTTTTGGAGCCACGGACACTTCCAGCAGTGAAGCACTCTGCCCAGACCAATCCTGGCGAGGCTGAACCTCCTAAAGAAACCGTATTGCACGACACGTTCACTTTTGCAGACGGATCTGGCCGTCACATTGACACACTGGAAGAGGCATCATCTCTCTTAAAGCTAGATGAGCTCAAAGCTGTTGCAAAGGAAGCGAAGGTCCAAGGCAAAAATAAAAGCGAGCTGTTGAAGGCACTACGGAAAACGAGTCAGGGTCAAGGTGGCCTCGGATGGGCCGTTTTGAAGAGATCGGATACAGAAGAGCCTGAGCAATCAGAAAAGGGGACTCTAGCAGATGAAGAAAGTTCCGAGGAGAAAGAAAACCTCGATGGTACCAACGTCAACCGGGACACTCATTTTGTCCGGAAGATATTGGCAAGCACCGGGCCTTGTATACGTCTCTCAGCGCCAACGCTGAAGCTATTTGAGCGGGTCCACCTCGTATTCTATCGCTCGACGGAGTGGACGGAGAAATCCCTCACTACGATCATACTTGCTCGGATAGCAAGGCGCAATTTTCCGGAATACATCGTCTCAAGATCAACGAACATCTTCTCTTCTAGATCGGACTTGCTGGAGTTCGAAGCTTCCATCCGTACACAGTTCAACATCGACTTCATCCTTGAATTCAACGGTACTGTAAGGAAGGACGGCCTGCAGAAGGTCAAAGATGTTTTCGAAGAGGTTTACCCGCGCTGGCAAGTTATCCTCAAGGAAGAGCAGCGGAAGGAAGATCGCATTTATGAGAGCGGAGAAGGAGCATACCTCCGCCGCTTTTCGCCCGCATGGGTGTACACCAGGATTGTCCACAAGGGAACGTATGTACTAGGACGTTTCAAGGAGCACGAACGAGAACACCAAATGTTGACCGAGCTGCTGATTCAGCGGTTATTCCATGCGGCAAGACGAGGAGCCTGGTATCAGCGGAAAGCCTTGTTGGAGGAGCACTACATGTGGGCCCTCAAGCCGGATGAAGGGCGTTCCGAAGATGCTCAAAAGAAGCACTGGAAGAAGACTGCTCTTCAGACGTGCGAGGATGGTCTGCAAGACAGAGAATGCCATCTAATCTACCACTACGACCTGCAGAAACGGGTCATGAAATTAGAAAAAGCCCTGAAAATGGTGAAACGAGAGCAGCATGACTTTGGGCACGTTCGTTTGGGAAAGCCAGTGGAGAGATTCGTCGAGGGAATCAGGATTGAGAAGGAACGTACACCGAGTCGGAATGGCACGCGAAGAGACAGCGATGCGGGCCCTCGAAGAGGCGGCAAGACCATCTGGGTTGATGAACGGGAGGGTGGCGGCGAATGCAGCGTGGAAGCAATGTGCCTGAGTTGGTATCGAGACCAAGGCTGGAAGGGCTACCACTCAGAAGGAGGCATTGTTCGAACGCTCTTCGGCTACCTGTTTTACGACGTGCTCTTCACCTACATCCCCAACGTCTTCCAAACGCCTTATCAAGCCTGCCCACTCGATCTCCACACGGACGCTTTCTATCCCTCTCGAGCTTCAGAGATCAACCATCGCCTCGTCGAAATCGGCAACGGCGACGCCTCAAGATTGCTTCAAGAAGTCTACGACCGCGAACACGAGAAACAGACCTGCGTTGTCGGTATCGACTGGTCCTACGACTTCGATGACTTACTAGACATCGTCAAATGCTTTCAAGGAGAGGCTTTGGCGACTATCTGCAAAGTCATGGCGCAGGAGTATCAGCAACGAGGAGGCGGTATTCCGGATCTGTTCCTTTGGCATCCAGATAATGGCGAGGTGATGTTTTCGGAGGTGAAAAGTGAGAATGATCGCCTGAGTGATACACAGAGATTGTGGATCCATGTGCTGACAGGAGCGGGTATCAAGGTCGAGCTTTGTAATGCTGTTGCTAAGGAGGTTAGGACTCAACGTTGATGCTAGGAATCAAGATCAATTGTTTACACTGCTTTCGCCACCCTTCGACTGCGATTGCATTTAGGATCACAGACCTAGGGGCACCGCTAACCTGCCCTCAGTCAGTTACAAAGCCAGAGATTTCGAGAGTTTGCCACCATGAGCAATGGGCATCAACGAATAGCTGCGCCCTTTTCAGCTTCAATCATGCTTGAGTCGTAAGCCTAGACTTAGCTGCGTAGCCGATGCCGCTATCGTACAGAACCCAAGCCTCGCCGTTGACAGCCTCCTCGTTAGATACCTCCGACCGTGGCACTTTACGGACCGCTATTCCTTCCAAATTCGATACTGCAGCCGGATTGATCCCTTCTGATATCCGTACGATGGACAATCTAACCAACTGCACATTTTCTCTTTGTCAGCTCTTGCTCCTTAATTGGACCATCCTTTCAGGCAACAAAATTTCCTCCAGTCCAAGCTTTTTCTACTTCTTGTGCATTCTTCCTCTGCTTCACCTTCCACCTCACCTCACCTCACCTCACCTCACCTCACTCCACCTCGCCTCGCCTCGAGACCGTACCCATAGCTATCCAACCAGCGAAGTCACATGCATCACTCAATGAACCTACGCATACTCGTGAGCATATGCCGCGACTTTGACTCTTGGTCCGAGGATTTGGCAAGAAGATGGTTCGTTTGGATAGCGTCGACTGTTCCCGCTTATGAGATGAGGATGGCGGGGCGCTGATGGGCGATAGAAGCGTGGAAGGAGGGGAGTGCGGGAGGGCGTTTGGATGCTGAGTGAGCGGACACAGATGGGTGGCCGGGTTAGGCCAGGAGGTTTTTGGTTTGCTGATATGCTTTATGAAGGATGCGGGAAGGATTTCCGTGTGTGTGTGTGTGATAAGGAGATGTAAGGATCCATGATGATGGTGTCCGGCGACGTGGTAGAGAGCCTTGGGTTCAGCTGCGTGGTGCAGGAGAATGGTCGGCGAGGCTTCGGGCGTGTGATGGGAGGTGTACGGCACTGACTGAGTCTGGGAGTCGTGAGTGCAGCAGTAGAGGACGTCATCTTATATCCGCGTGTCAATGTTCACACAGTCGCGAGCTTTTTCTTCTCTATCGTGTTGCACCTACCTTGTTCCCAACGGTGCCCTGACGCGGAGCCATCACCTACCCTCGGGATCCATGGGTTGCAAACGCTCCACTGCCGCAATCCCGCCCCACATCGTGCCCGCGGCTTTTCTTCTCCGAAGCCGCAGTCAAGCTGACGACTTTGATGAAAAAAGAGAGGGTGGAGGCGGAGCCTCGGGGCCAGCTGGTGGCTGTGTGTGTGAGGGCCTAGAGAGGGAAGGGAGGAGGAACGATTAGTAGTACCTACCCATCGCACAATGGAAGATTCAAGAAGCCCAATATGATGGCAGCAACGTCAAACGCCAACATCAATCCAGTACTCCCAGCGCCTTTTACCCAGGACAAAGGAAAAAAAGTCATCAGCTCAAATCGGTCACCGCCAAAGAAGAGAATTGTTTTGTATGTTTGTGCCATCTGGGCTCTTTGCGTTTTTTTGGTTGTTTTTTGTGGTTTTCGGTGGAAGCAAGGAAAAACGAGATACTCAAGCATCAACCATGTCCACGTCCCCCTCATCGTCCTCGGCCTCAGCATCAGGCCCCTCACCGACGAACTTGGTCTTGGGGAAATGCAGCTGACCGCGCCCGTGCGGCTCGATCCACCTGTCGACGTCGAACACCTCGTCGTGGCGCGCCCAGCAGACCTTGACGATCCAGCGGTCGACGATGCGCGTGGTGTTGTGTTCGAGCGCAAAGGATACGGTCTTGGGTTCCTTCTCCTTCTTCTTGATGGCCTTCGGGTGCTCAAGCCTTTGGGCAGGGCGAGCGGCGTCACGAGGGGCTTGCTCGACGCTGACACACACCGACGTGCGGGCGACAGTCTTGGCGAGGTTCGAGAACAGTCGGCGAGGCTGTCCGAGGTCCAGGGCCGAGAGTGTGCGGTAGCGGCGCGGTTGGGGTGCGCTGGGGAGAGGAAGGAAGTCTGCGAGGGGAAGGAGCTTGGTTGGTCGAGGGACGATTGGGGGTGGTGAAGGAGGAGGAGGAGGAGGGGTGATGTAGGAGGGTAGGAGGAGGGTGGAGAAGACGAAGATGAAAGGGAGGGAGGAGAGGAGGGTGAAGAGGGGAGACATTGCGTCTGTTGTTGATGGGGTAGGATGAGATTGGTTTGGGGGGGAGAGTAGCAGTGAGAGAAGGTTTGTGAGTGCGTAAGACAGTTTGTGAGCTTGTTTGTGTGTGTGCAGAGTGTGTAGTGTCTATGATGAGAGCGTCAGGTACTCGAGAGTATCAGCAGTCAAACATTCGACGACGAGAGAAGGAGAGTCGGAGAAGCTGGAGTGTTTTGTACTTCGGCGGCACCCTAGCGTGTAAACAACTGGCATAGCAACGGCGGCAGCGAGCAGAAGCGAGTCGAAGCCGGCGGAAGAGTGATGTGTTGAGAAGATGAGTAGGGCTGGTACTTATCTCCGACGATTCTCGAGAGGGCGCTCTTTTCAGCTGGCTTTCCTCAGGCGGCTTTCCTCGACCAAGCTCAACATGCCGAGACTCCAGCAACAAGGAAGAGCTGTTCCGACTGTTTTTATTGGCTTCTTTGCACCTGTGAACACCCATCCAAGCCCGCTTCGTTGGTATTCCGATGCAATACCCCCAGATCGGTATCCAGGCTTTTGCAGTCCTCTCGGACTTCGCCTTACTACCTCAACTCTCAACCAATCCATTACCACCGCCTCATACTCCGGATGCCTGCATACCGGCGAACCTGGTCGGTCCCCTGGATTCACCAGCTTCAGGAGCAAATCGCCTGGGAAAAGACTCGGCGAGGGAAATACCATAGGTACAAGAGTTCGGGCTGTGCTCAATGCTTCTTGCGTTTGACCACGGATCGCACTCGGAAGCGTGGATTTCTCACGGGCTTGGAGCGTGGACTCGCTGCCAACAGCAGCTGTTCCTGCTTAGAGCCTGGCCCTTCTCGATTTTTTTCCAATTGCTTCAAGCATTGTCCTTCGGGGTTTCGTTGAGCTTCGTGAAGGCTAAACTTCACGAAGCTGCATCAAGCTGCGTACATATTATCATAATGGTCACAGCAGAGGAGACGATCTCTAGGAATGCCATCATATACGCGAAGGAAATATCGAGGCTATAGGACTGGGAACTGGAGGCCCAAAAAGGATGGTCAAGCGAAGGTCTGCTTCGATTGGCGGCGGCAAAGAAGGTGCATTCAATCTGGACGACGAGATCCACGATGCTGCGGAAAATCAGGATCGTCGGTAGCCAATCTGGGGTCTGATTATTGAAAAGGAAAAATGCTTGTTGAAGGCTACCTACCTTTCCCACGACTATAGTCTTCACTCTCTTTGTATCCGCTTTCGGCTGGGGAACGAATCAGTCACTCCGCGTGTTCACCTCTCCGAACCCCGTTGCGAAAAGCAGTTTCTTCAATTTACGCAACACCGCTACAAGCGTAATGTAAAGTTCAGTTCTCCCAGGCTCAGGTTGCAGCCCAAACAGCTGCGAGTACCCTCTCCGCAAGGAATCAAGTACATATTCAGCCGTTTCTATTCACTCTCAAAGAGACACATCCATCTGACAAAGCTGAAGCGTCAACAAGTCCGAAAGACACGATGTGTTATTGGAAGGTCTTACAACATACTATTGTATTTGAGGCGATAACGTTCATAGGTAGGCTTGCCGAATATCTCTTAGGGCTAGGGCTATGTGACCAAAGTGGATGGAGCAGATGAGGAACACGTCTGCAAGACTGCACGTACCTGAAATTTCCTTGCAACTCGTTCAAAGATTTCTCTGTCACCCTTCAATGACCTGGTGCCTACGGTGGTAGTACCAGTACCTTAGTAAGGGTCGCTGAGTGTCGTCTAAGTGAGCTGACTGCTATGTAGCTTAGCTCAAGCCACTAATACACGAAGCGGCATAAGCGGACCGTCCCACCATTCAATTAAGATACTTTAATGCAGCCAGGCACAGTAATCCATCCTGTCGAGGCCAAGTCTCGATTCCTGAAAGATACAAGAGCCTTACTATACAACCTTTCTCAGTACGATGCATATCAACACTTCCTCTTACTCACCAAAGCTAACGATATAGCTTGTCGCCCTCAACTATCCGTGTCGAGTACCTAAGCAATCCCATCAGCCCCTGGCGACTTCTTCTCCAGAGTTGTGGCTACGAAGAATTATCCCACGGAGGCAGAGCAAGACAGTCAAGCCTCTTGCCATGACATGACTTACTAAGGTAGATTCCGATTTTGGCGGAATGATAGATACTCAGATGATCTGTCTCAAATGTATCACTTACATTACCCCAATACCCACCCCCAATACCACATCCTCGGAGCAACTTGAGAAAGGGCCAACCCTCGCAACAGGCCTGATTTGGGTTGACCATGCTACATAGTAACGGTAGTATGTCGCTACCTGTTGATCGTGCCACGCACTCCCCAAGGTAGCGAGGCAAGTACGTGGCACCATTATGACCACTGTGACCAATATGACCACCGCACCCACTGGCACTCACCAGACACAGTTTGGCATTTCAACAGATAGCTAGATGCATGACATCAAAAGCCATGGCCTGCTCCTCACATCTTCAAGTCTCCAACTGCCCTGCTTTCTTCTACATGTTACAAGTTGATAGTACATTATCCCACCTGCTCCTGTGTGGTATTCTTTGCCGGTAATATTTGTGCCCACATTCTGCCTTGCTGTAGACTTTCCTGCTCCGTGGTATCTGATGTTGAAGCTTGTTTACCGACCTGGTTCGTTGCTGTCTCTATCTTACTTTCCACCTTTCCTGCCAGAGGCACGTCTCCACGAGACTTCTTCGGCCCGTGCTTGCCATCTCAGACCAATTCTTTGCTAAAGCGTTTGCAGGTGCGAATGCGCAAGTCAAATCACAGTCCTCCCCCTGCCCTTCACCGTCACTCCGAGCCTTGCGGGGGCTGCAATAACTTTACTCACGACCGCCGTTTCCTCACCGACCTTTCAGTATTCCCTGGGCTGCGATGGATCCTGCAATTTGGCTACAATCCCAAGTCAGGCGATTTGCGTCGACAACAAGAACCATGTGCCCACTTGCCCGACCCTGGCTAACATTTTGGTCAATGGAGCTTGCGCTGCAGCTTCTGGTCAAGACTTTGCTCAAGTTATAGATTGTATCAACGCTCCATTGGGGGGTTCCACTGGGACTACAATGGTCTCATCTAGTTTTCTCTCCAACGCCGCTTCAACCACGGCATGGATGCTGAACTCGAGCACCTCGAGCGTGTTCCCCACCATAATCAGTATGGCAGTTCAATCAACTCCCTACGTCAATCCAAATCCTTAAGGATGTAGTAGTAGACGGGCGATGTAAGCTTGCAGCCGTACGTATATCTGTACCTGAAATATTCACTGACAGACCCTGTCATTAGCTCACAGGATTTGGGCATCCCAGCATCTATCACGACCATGTTTTGCGTCTGTAAGGGTACCACTTCGTAACTTCAATCCACCGTGATATCAGATTGCTATGCGCATATACATGCTCGCCCTTTGCCACATCAACATCCATGCAGTTACAGACATCCTCGCAAATGTCGTCTGCAGTGGCCATCGCGACTGGGTCGTCGTCTATGTTATCCTCAAGCGCATCGAGTTTCAAACCACATACGATCCTCACTGGTTTGCGTTCTGGGGGTTACTCCCTTGCCAGCTGTTCAAACTCAATACGTCCGGACCCGGATTCTCCCGATTATGTGACCAAATGCTTGTATTCCGATTGCCAAGAAGCCAAAGACGTACTTTGACCGCCAGATCTCTTCATTTAAACATTGGGACCGTAAGGATCACGACTGGTGACAAGGACTGAAGATTTACTCTATGATGGCGATCGTAGTCGCTGACTTCACGCTTACAGCATGCTTCCACAGGTTATATTATTGTGGTAGCAGGTATGATAGTACTCTTCTCTCCACGAACCCACAGCCCCTATTCGCCGACCCTAATCTCAACGCTGACGCAACTAAGATGCCTACGAAATTCAAGTCGTCTTGGGTATTGAAGACAATTTATGGACACGAGGCGATACAAGAATATTTACATCCTGATAACATTTGATTAATTCCACACTGCAAAGCTATGTCATTCCTCTAGAGCGTCAGTATAGAGAAACCTTGGCACAAGCACATCGAAGAGGAATTGAGAATCTGGAGAAAGGCTGTTGGAGTGTACTTGGGAAGAGGAGAGGCGTCTTTGGTCGTACGTAGTGTCTTCTATGTATTTTATTTTGCAGTGTCATATTTTGCAGTGTAGATGCAAAAAAGGTTTTAACAAACGGAAGTGAGGCATTTGAACCGACTAGGCGTCGGATCTCCGGGTATTGGGGTAGCTGGATATCATCGCGGGTAAGTACCTTACAGCATCGGAAGCAGTTCGAAGCCATGATCCCATCAACAAACCCCGCAAACATGAAATATAATTGTGGGGGTGGAGCTGTGGGGTAAATGATTCGGCCCTTCTTGCTTTTTTTGCTGCGGGCTTTGCTTTTGTCGAAACTTTGTTCGTCGGGACTCGAAACCCTCCATTTCCGGCTTACCTTTCGAGTCTCGATCGATAGGTAGATGAGACGGGTGGGAGACAAGGCGCACACACTGTGGGGGGATCGATGAGAAGAGGATTCGAGCAGTGTGGGAAGAATGTGGTGGAAAAACAGCGACGGATGACGACGTCGAGGGGTTCAAAAAAATTCATCTTCCGGCAAATGACGCCTTACCCAGTTGAGGACTAGCGTAGCTGCGTTGCCAGCCATTGCCAAGAATTTCAGACCTTTGTGCATATACGCTTATAGCTTATCCCCGGACCCGGCGCAGCGGTTCATTTCGTTGTTTTTCTCACAGCATAAAAAGGAACGCTGTTTTCCAGCACCTACGTGAATTGCCAATAAATAACCCCCCCCTCCTGCTCTTCATGAATTGCATGGTGGATGCATCGACTTTACTACCTTCCACCCCGTCCTCTGCTCACTGGCTACCTCAGTAATAAAGGACCTTAGTGCCTCCGCTTTACAGCCTCTTGAGAGGAAATACTTATTGCTGCTGAAAGCATCGGATCCACCAGCGTGAGATCAACTCATCGAGGACTGCTCAAACCCCTTGTCAGTGACAGCAGCATTTCCCACACACACAGAGAGCACGCGGCCTACGAACGCCAAAATGCCAGCAAGCATCAATGACCTGCCTTACGAGCTCCTCTCACAAATCCTTGAAAATGTCATTTGTTTCAATGTGGAGCAGAATTCTCGCAGGACGTATGGTTTCGACATGGAATTGCATGCCCCACCGGATCCAGATGTACGAATGCAGCGGCTACTCAAAGGCCTTATGACCCCGGATTCTGTCCGATGGACTGCCTCCAACACCATCCGGCGGGTCAATTCGCGATGGCATGATTTAGCGTTAAAGTACTCTTTCAGAGATCTGGTAAGCACCATTTCTGAGTCAGTTCTTCCCTTCGTATATCCTTGTTCCAGTCTTAGCACATATATGAGGAGCAAAATCGTGTCTCTTCTCCTTAGACATGCCTTCAGACTCAACAGTCCGTCCAAACGGAGATCTGCTGACTCCGAGATGGTGTAGTACGTCTTGTCTTGGCGTGGAAGCGAGAAGTAAGCCCTCTTGAGTTTCATTGTTTCTGTGACCATACTTATCTCTGTCCCAGGCACATGCTCTCAGGCGTTGTACGGACTACATCATTGGAGCATCTGAGTCTCTCTACTTTCTCGGATTCTAGCACTTTTTTGAGTAAGACAGCTAGTCTCCTTGAGAATCATCCTACACTCTCATCGTACATTCGAAGAATCTGGTTCGACGGCTACTATGAAGCAAAAGAGAGCGCCATGATCTTCGGAATTCTTCGTCAGTGCAAGAAGCTAGAAGATCTCTTAATCCCATGGACAACATTGAGGCACGGAACTGTTGCAGGTTGGTCGTCGCTGTTCGGAACTAACGCCGCTGGTCCATGTGTAACGTCTCTTGAGATCCGAGCAATGAATCTTCCCAAACGTTCCCCGGCAATGAAGAAGGAGAATCATTTCGGCAATAACGCGTTGGAATCTACCAGCGTTGACTTCAATAATCTTGCCTGTCTGAGGCTCTTTGGGAATTCAAAGTTCATGACCATCACCGACAAAGACCTGATGGCTATAGCACGCACAGCGAGCAACCTCCGGGAGCTCCATGTATCGAATGCCGCCTCTCTTGGTCCCAAAGGTATCGGAGCTCTCATACGTTCTTCCCGGTTGAGCTTGGAAGTCTTGGAGCTCGATGGCTCCTCTCAAATGGAACCCGAAGAACCAGAGCAGCCCAACAGCTACAGCCATCTTCGACTGCCTCGACTCATTGCACAATGTCCCCTTCTTCGCAGACTGAGGCTTCAGTCCGTCCACACGTGCAGAGATATTTTCGCTTGTGACGATGTTGCTTGGAGTGGTAAAGTACAAATCTGCTTAGGAGTCACCAGCTACTTCCAAGTACCACAACCCGACGAGGATACCACAATTTTATATCAAGTTCTTGATCAAGCACGCTGTTTCATGGATTCACGAACGCGATCCGACAAGAATCTTGTTGACATTGAGATCTTCACGAGCGGCTTCATATTTGAGCCCGGGTGCGCACTGGTCCACGGTGATTTCCCAACGACTCATGCAGTCCGAGGACCATGGCTCGTCAAGAAAAAGGAGTCATACAGAAATTCGCAAATGAATGGCTACGTGAGCGCATTCCCTTTTTGCATAACTGAGGACGAATTTAGGGATGGGTTGATCAAAGGCTATGTTTGGATATAACATACATATGGCGGCCCCAAGTATCATATGCGCCGGAGGGATCCATGTAACCAGCGGTAGACTTTCAACAATTCAGGCCGTTTGGCAAGCATCGCTTAAAGACCCGAGATCGAGACCACTAGATTGTGGATCACGGGCCCTCGAAGCTTGGGGAAGGGCGTTCGACAACTTCCAAGTGTCTTTTCTGATACGAGCACTGCCTATATATTAGATTATTGACGCAGGTATAGATTCTGAAGAGAGGACGAACAGTCTCTCAACGTGACAACAATCTGGCTCTCCTCATTTGCAGAACCCAAAGCTGTCTTGCCTGTGCTCCTTGTTTCCAAACGAAAAGCACTTCGAAAGGAAATTTGGTCCATGGTTATCTACGATCACGCAGCAGCCTCGTTCGCGATTAGGCCTCGTCTTTCCCAGTCCATCCCATCTTCCTCGACCTCATTTCCTTTGTAAAGTATATAATGCTGCACCATGAACACAATGTCGAAAATGATGGAAACGTTGCCTAATCCCAGCTTGACTGGATTGCCTGTTAGTCCAGACCAATCGCTTTGCAGACTTGAGTCGATCACGAGTTGTGCAATTGACAGAACACCGCCAATGACATCCAGCAGGATTTGATTGATGCTCCAGCCGACGGTAGATTTCCGTTGATAATTTGCCCGGGCCTGGGGAATGTACTTCAATACCGTGACGACCAGCTTGACATAACCAAATGCATAGACCTGGAGAGCATTCAGTCAGTCAACGCATTCTCCGGTCCACGCAATATATATAGCAACCCATGGAAAATAACCACAACGACCCGATTCACTCACAACATCAATCCAAGCCCATGATTTCGGATCCCTGCCACTGTCGAGTCCCTTTCCCATTACCATCCCAATCACCCATCCAATACCAACAATACAACCCACGACGATCCCCCACACGCCCATCCCAGGCCTCACCTTCCTCCTTTCGAACCCCCACAAAGAATGCCAAAATTGACTCAACGTCAGTATACACAATGCTAGTGCATGCACTGCAAACGCTACATCGTTGGCCCTGACTGTGTTCTCTTCTCCGTTGTTGCGGGTGCGGTACTGGGATTGGATTAGGGGCGAGTAGTAGAAACAGACGGTGGAAGTGGTGTAACAGAAGAAGCCCAGGACATTGAGGGTGGGAAAGGCGGGAGTAGTGCCATAGGTAGAGTGCCGGCGGATGTTGAGGAGGGGTTGAGGGTAGAAAGACGCGGACCAGGACAGGGTGCTGGAAACTTGTCAAGTAGGGCTCTCCGGAGGTAGATAGAGGGTGGAGAGTGGATTGGACTGAGGGCTGAGAGGGAGCGTTACTATATCCAGCCGAGTAGACTTTAGACGGGTGGTCAGTAAGGATTGCAAACAGTCTGATAGAGGGGGGCAATGTACCGAGAAATTGCTCTGAGGAATTGGACTGATGACGGGGAGGACGACGAGAGAGCTTCCAATTTGCCCGGTTCGGGCCAATACGATGTGGGCATAGCAATGTAGAAGGCCTACCTCTCGCAGAGGTATCCAGGTGGTTTCTTTATAAAAGAGTGAATGGAGCAGCGTGTCGTGTGTCTATTTACGCATCCGTAACGCCTCCGATAGGGTAAGGCTAGCCCAGCAAGGCCCGGCCAGGCACCGAGTTTAGGTCCCGCCCAACGGGAAGCAGGCCCCCACAGCCCCCAGAGTTGCGTCCTTCCTCACTTTCACTCTCTACTTCGTACCTGTATACTTGCCTACCACACTCGATCGATCCTATACAATTGCAAAACATGAAGAAACTCGGCATCGGCAAGAAGAAAGACGGTGACGACGACGGCAACCGTCGAGCTCTATTCGGCGGACGATCCAAGGATAAATCCCCTGCCCCATCAACCAACAACCCGTACGCCAACCTACCTACTCAGGCAGATGCATACAACCAGGCCAAGGCGAGAGCAGGGGTTCCAGGCTATGCACAAGCACAACGTGGACCAAGTCCTGCTCCTCCGCCAGCACAGCAGGGCGGATATGGGGGCATGAATGGAGGTTATTCGGACGAGAAAAAATCGGGCGGTTACGGTGACGAGAAGAAAGGCGCAGATCGGTATGGTGCATCTAGTGGGTATGGTACTGATAGATATGGAGCTGAAGGCTCACAAACGGGTGGTGCTGGTTCGAGATATGGACCTGGCGGCTACGGCGGGCTTGGAGCTGCTCCTGTGCCAGATGAAAACAAAGATGCCTTGTTCGGCAGAGCAAAAGAGCGTGTGCAGAAGCAAGAACAACAGCAGATGGGATATGGTCAGCCTCCGCCATATGAGGAAGGTGGACAGGAGGGGGGATATGGCGGGAGCTCGGGGCCTAGCTACGAGGCCTATGGAGACAGGCACTTGACAGCAGAAGAAGAGGAGGAAGAGGATGTGCAAGCTACGAAGCAACAAATCCGGTTTATCAAACAAGAGGACGTTTCGTCGACTCGCAATGCCCTTCGTATGGCAGCACAAGCGTAAGTGTTGTTGTTATGCGATGCCCGTAAGACGACTGACGAGTGATTAGCGAAGAGACAGGCATGAACACACTCGCCCGTATTGGAGCCCAAGGCGAGCGGATACACAACACCGAAAAGAACCTAGACATCACGGCGAATCATAATCGCGTCGCCGAAGACCGAGCCAAGGAGCTGAAGAAGTTGAATAGAAGTATGTTCGCAGTGCACGTTTCAAACCCTTTCACCGCAGAGTCACGTACCCGACGAGCAGATGAAGACGTCCTGGAGAAACACCAGCTTGAGCGGGCACAAAGGGAAGCTACCCGAAGAGCGGGATACGATACGGATCAGCGCCTGCAGAAGACTTTCAAGGACATAACAAAGGAGGGCCCGAATGCTGCCGCGAAGAAGCAGGCGACTTTAGCGGAGAGGGCGAAGTATCAATTTGAGGCTGATTCGGAAGATGACGAGATGGAGAATGTGGAGTTGCCCTTCTTCCACATTTAAGAATTTTCGCTAACGACCGTGGCAGGAAATCGACTCAAACTTGGATGCATTAGGAGGTGCAGCGGGTCGGTTAAATGGTCTTGCAAGGGCGACTGGGAAGGAGGTTGATGAACAGGTAGAGTTTACCGACGTCCTTGGCTCGATCATATTCGTTGACTTGACCTGCAGAATCGCCATCTAGAGAGAATCAATGCGAAGAGCACGAAAGTGGATGACGAGGTAAGAGGACGACCTGCTCGAGTCCTCCTGTTCACTATTGTTCTTTCCCTGAACGACTAACAATCTACAGATTGCCCTCAATAGAGCTCGTCTGGACCGCTTCCATTGAAGACTTCACCGACCTGCATTGCTGAAGTTGGTTAGCATTGTACATTGCCGCCTATTCCTTAAGAAAAGCCAGCTAGCAAGCTTTCGAGGAATACCCAGAAATCAAGGCTATTGTCTAAAAAGAATTGAAGGACTTCTGTACAGTCGCAGAAATAGCCATGGGTACTCATTTCCAGGTACGGTTCTCATTGACCCACGTATCGTTTTGACCATTCCAATGCGCCATAGGCCTTCTCTCGGCAAGAGCCGTAATGCTATTGTTATACAATTCTTATAGTAGTAATTATACGAAGCCACTCGTGCAAGAAGTTCGAGACAATGTGGCTGTGTCGACGTGTGGTTGATATAAACAAGGCAGATCAACAGTCTCTCTCCCGAATCGACCCCCTGGGCCTGGATATAAAAAGAACTGAACCCCAAGATCAAGCGATCTACTGCTGCTCTACCGGCCCATCTACCCCCTGTGTTTCTATCAAAAGAACTGAACGAGATCTGCCTGCATTCCGCCCGTCTGCCGGACTATCTCCCTTAATACTCTATCGAATGGGACCTATTTCTTTCCCCCCCAAACGGCCCTGTGGCTAATGGCTGAGGTTGCAGGGCAGTGGCGAAGAAGAAAAGATCTGCCCTCGCTGTCTGCCGGTCGCCGGATGCCCGATGATCGATGAGCTTATGCAAGGTAAGCTTGTAGGTACGGGAGTGGCGCCCGTCATGGCTCAAGGATCTTAGGAGGGTATATTTGGGGCTGTGCAGCTCCATTGGTGTGGCGCGAAAGCAATCCATTCGTTGCCTTGTAAAACATGTGAAAATTGAACGGCGTTAGCATCGAGCGTTGCAGTGGCGAATTATGTGCCTCGGATACCGGTGACACGGGGAGTACTGGTCTTTTGGGACCCCACGTAACGAAGTACAGTGTCTCAAATTAATTACTATCATGCAGTCAGATGGCCATCGGAAGCGCATCCTTCTACTCCATCTACCCTATCACAGCAAGACAAACAATCAAGCATGACGACACTCATTTTACGCCGACGGCGCAACGACTGGATGCTGTTGCAGATATGGCAGGGTATGGCGTAAGTCATCCTGCTTACTACGTCACAGTGTCAAGGATACGCTCGGTAAGATTGACGAATCGGTGTCTTTACCGTGCGCCACCAAATGCAGGTCCTTCTGGGAGAGATCCGCCGGGAGATAAGCAGCGTCATGGTCCATGATGGCTGTCGGATGTTAGAGGTGCAGGGATACCGACGTTTGAAAAGAGGTACCTGAGTGAAGTACCGTCCACACTCGACGGCGCAGTGCCACAGTCTACGCCTCTGCCGTGACGAGGCTGCGGGGTGAAAAAGCTTCCTTGATGGCGACTAGGATTATTGCCCATTTACTGGCTACCTCGGAGAAAGCACGACTAGACGTACCTATATTCAGAAAGCGAGGTCGAGATGTGAATCTATGCTGCGGAAATATTGCAGACGCATTTCCCAATCAAGGCAAGGCAGTGATACTGTTATTGGAATAGATTGGTCCGTTCAGGCTCAAGGACGAGAATAGCTGCATGATAGTCGCACGAAGAGATCGAGAACGAATTTTCGGAATCCAGCATTACCCTTCTGGGCCATCATCGATTGCGCCGGCGGGGTGGTGAATCTTCACCGAGTGACATATGCCGGTACATCGGACAATGGCATGCAGGAACTCTCTCGGAAGCAGACCGAGCAAGAAGCAAGTTCCATGTGAAGAGGCACCGAACCATGGTAACTACAGAGCACCGTACTGTTTGTTATGCAAGCTCGTGTTAAGATCGCGTGTTCAACAATAAAGGTGGGATGGGATAGGATTCGAAAGGCTATTATCATCATCATCATCATCATCATCATCATGGCTTCGCTGTGTTTCGAAGTGGAACATGTCTGGGTAGGATTCGAAGCGAAGGGTCTCCGATGGTCACAGCCTTGCGACCAACTCGCATCATGACTATTCTATTCGCTGTCATTGATGCTATCCACAGCGAAGTCTTCCCCACCCTCCATCAGCCAGCCTTGGATCCCCTCATTTGCCCGTATCTATATCACCCCTGCTTGCATCGAGCGTCAAGTCTAACTGGAAATGAGCGTAGTGGACGGAAGATAAGGGTCTGGTGCAGCGTGATGGCGTTTTGTGGCTTACGGGATGGCTTGGGGGAAATTTGGGGCCTTACTGTTTCGAGTCTAATCAAATGAGCCAGGCAAGATTCATTGCACCCCCCTCGAAATAACGGTAAAGTTGAAGTAGTTAATTAAAATGGATTGACGTCGTTGGAGCAATATTTTGCTTAGGAGAAGACAGGGGGAAAAAGGGCACCACCCCCAATAATCCCAAATCCCATACCTCAGCTTTTTTTCCAACTAGCGCCAGGGTTTATTTGGGCGCAAGCCATTGACAGACCCCCCTGGTCATTTTTTCATCTTCCCGGCAGTAGTAGTCAAATGGTAAAATACCTTGCACGCTCCATTTCTTCAACATTCACTACCAATTGCTGATCATTCTTAAATATAACCCTCCCCCCCTTCCCCGCTGATCACTTCACTCTTTCATCAATTTTCTTACTATTCCTCCTACCCATTAGAGTACAGTGAATGCAGCACACATCCACAATATTCTCTTAAAGTAACAAACCATTGCACCCTTTGCCTCACTCTTAATAAGTCGACCTCGTCACCCTTCGAACCTTCTTCCACTTCACCCCCAATCACCAAGGTCAACAACACCTGTCAAGAAGTCGAAACGTTCCCCACGCCGCTGATCACCCGTTGTACATCAACCTATTTACCGTCAACCTTTCCACCATGACTATGACTCTGGATCAACGCAATCATCATCTAGCCGGCATGAACTTCGACCACATGTCGTATGCCAACTCTCCACAATTCTCAAATCCATGGGGCTCGAGCCAATCGGCGTCTCACGCACCTCAGCTCTTTTCCAGCTCCATGGGTACCAGCAACATTGCCTTCGACGCGCTCAAGCAACAACAGAATGCTCGCTCCACCACTTCCTCAATGTCATACTCGTCAGCACCCGCAAGCGCGCCATCGATGCCAGCGAGCAATGGCTACCCATCGTATGCGACATCCAATCTACTAGATATGTCGCAAGACCTGCTCAAGCCTGAATTTCCTCGATCCACATATGATCATGGATACTCAGCTGCGCCTTCTTCAGTCAATTCATATGCCCCTACATCAGCGCCGTATGTGAGCTCCTACAGTTCTCTTGCGCAACCACAGCAACCAGATGAGATTAGGCGGTTGTCTCATTCGTGAGTACTTACTATCGGCTGCAGTCCTTTGGAACCGTTGACTAATTTTCTACCCCAGAAGCTCAGTGTCCTCGTCATCACAGTCGCAGCCATCATACACCGATGCTCTCGATGCCTCCCGGGGCATGGTCGCCTTGAGCCAAGATTTGACCACTCCAAGAAACATCTACGGTTCAAGGAGCGACAGAGCATCATCCAATGATGGATATGGGTTCCCTTCAACCCATTCTTCGCACTCCTCTGTCTCAGATGGTAGCTACAACCCATCATACTACAGCGGCTCAGTCGCCTCTTCGGTCTCCGACTACGGATCCAACTCAGACATGGAGTCTGTCAATTCGCGAACACTACCCAGACCATCTGGCCTGGCCGGCACCAATGCACTGCCCGCGCCCCAATCCATGATGAGCCAATTCAACTCCAAGGTCTCTTCATCCACACAAAAGAAACACAAGTGCAAGATCTGCGACAAGCGCTTCACTCGCCCCAGCTCTCTCCAGACCCATATGTACAGCCACACTGGCGAGAAACCCTATGCCTGCGAAGCTGACGGCTGCGGTCGTCACTTCTCAGTTGTCTCCAACCTGAGGAGACACCGCAAGGTCCACAAGAGCGATCGCGCATCAGACCACGGGTCGCCAGAAGGTTCATGGACATCTTCTGAGAAGTGAACCGCATCTGGATCATGATTACGATCATTGCCTATGGCTTTCTCACTTCGAGAACACTACGAAAACTCATCATAGCATCCCGGCACAGTGCTTCAGCATTCGACCGCCGAGACCATCATCCCGCCCGAGCAAAACCGCAGTCTAATTTAAATTCTATGTTGTATATTACCCACAAGAAGGTCACCCACCATACCGTCTTTACAATAATTCGGGTTCTGCAAGCGTGGCGTTCAGGAAAAGTCGGAACCTTAGAGTTGAAAGAAACCGGAAAAGGAGACTTAGAGATGAGAGGAACAACACGAAAAGGAGAAGTGTACGTTATGACGGAGAGGGCCAATATACCCACATTCGCTATGGCGATGGCATTTTGCATTTTCATGTATTACTTAATAGCATTTCAAACATGATTGTTCAACCACAAAAGCAGTCGCTGCAGCTCGTGATTCCCACATGTCTTCCAGCAACGGCACATCCCTTTCAACCACACATGTCCAGCACCATTGCCACATGCTCGCCATCCAATCTCTACCCCTTAACCATCCTTCCCACGCACCCACCAAAACCCTCCCCACACACCCTCTCCACCCAAAAACCCACCACGCGATCTCGACCCCGCCCCCAACATCTCGAATCCCTGACGCACCACCGTCATCGCCCGTCCCCTGCCGCCCTAGCGCCATGTTTCAAACCCCATTCCCATGTCGTCAGCGGCGTCCCCCCCCTTTCTCATCCCTGCAGGCATCGCGTTATCCAACTCCCCCCTTTCCCGGGAAAGCGAACAAGGCTGATGAATGGTCACCTCCACCTTCCCTTCGCGGACAAGCGCGCCAACAACCGTACTTTACTCTAGTATCGGTCGACGGGGGGACCGGAGTCAGGGTAAAGTATGTAGGTACATGAATGGTGTTTATACATCGTGTGGCTGCTGACAGCGTTTTTGTTTGCGGCTGCGGCTCCCTCGCGATGCAGGGAGAGGGTGTGATAAAAAGGGAGGGGGGTGGGCATCGAGGCAATTGACAAATAATCAAATCGAATCAAAACCGTTGCGTCTGACTGGCCCAGGACCGAAAGCGAAAACGAAAAAAGGACGCAACGCGGAGGTACCTATGTACGTAACCACCGTGGCAAGATTTTAGACCCGGGGAGGGGGGGCATTTTTTCGATTTTTCGCTCCCCTCGTCTCTTTCCGGCGACTTGCATGCAGCAAGCCATAGGCGGTCGCGGTCTTTGCCGATAAGATTCGAATCAAAGAGTACGTACCTTACCTTACCTTACTTTACCCCCTGCATGTACTTTAACATGTGTACCGGTCGATGGATTGAGGGTCACGGTTGGTAGGTACCTACTTCGGATCCAGGTAGATACGAGTATGTATGTATGTAGCGCTTTCTTATCTTTTGTGTTCTGAATGCAACGTTGGGGGGCGGGCGGACGGGGCCAATGAGGGGGCGTGCCCGCGAACGCCCTTTTATGCCGCACGGAGTTCAACGGGGACGGGTGTGGAAACCTCGATGGGGGAATCGTCGTGTTGGGGTTAGTGCGGTGCGGTAGGGTAGGGTGTGGTGTGAGTAGAGGAGAGCACGTGCGGCTTTGCGCAGGTTCGGCTCGGCCGATGCTGGTTATCGATATGCTCGTACAGTATATGCGAACGTTGAGCTGACGATGAAAAGAAAACTCCCCCCGTTCTGAAGTACCTCGTTGGTCTTCCGGACTTGTGCGAGATTTGCGAGCCGTGGCCGTCAGTCGCTGCTTCAATCGTCAAAAACCGCATCAAGTTATGGTGTCTCGATGTTTTCTCGAACATCATCGGTATTCTTTTCTTCGGCACGCCCTACGGAGCGGCCATAGACAGTCCAGAAAAAGGTATATTCCCAGGCAGTATAGTAGATCTATTCACGCTTGGCTCGGGCACCCGGCTTTTTCGCTGGGAAAACGAGGATTGGTCTCCTTGAGGATCTGAAGCACATTTCAAAAGAACTTGAGGATACTTCTATATCGTCCGCCGTCTTCTGTCAGGGAATCTGAAAGTAATCACTTGTACGAGACGGAAGAAAACACCCCCCCCGGGCTTAGCAGATTGATATGAGACCCGTCTTTCTGTGGTGGCTTAAAGCTCCCACGCCTACAACAAGCTAGTTGCATGCTCTAGATTGTCGAGAAGGGTTCTGCAATCTTGGCAACCGAGGGCGAGAAACGCATCCCCGGATTCGTGGATCACCGGCAGGTTTGTCGATTCAAGGGCCGTCCTGATCCCGACTATGCTGTGGTGTCCCAGGCGATATACCAACTCTGTAAAAGAGCTTGTTATCATCCGTGCACGTAGAGGCCGAAAAACCTTTCTATTCTGATGCTGAAATGCTCATCGACAGCTCTGAAGGAGCCCGAGAAAGACGTCTTAGAGACGCCGATGTTGATGACTACAGAGTCAATCTCCCGAACCCTGTCGACGGCACCTGCCAATGGCTTCTATCAAATTCTCAATTTGAAACGTGGATTGCGTCCGAAGAGAGTGCCCTTCTTTGGATCACGGGCTACCCAGGTTCTGGGAAAATTATACTCTCAGCTTCGATCACCGACCATCTTGAGGGAAGGCACCTGTCAGCTAGGCGGGAGCCTAGGTCTGCTCGTTCTTCTGTGTCGAAGAGAATGAAAACCAAAATGACGCAAATGCAATTCTTCGCAGCAGCATCGCTCAGATCCTCGTAGGGCGTGGCTGAGCATACATATATAGAAGGCTTCGACCAAGGCGACAGGTCTCTCTCGCTTGAATCAAGCAGTGTCGAGACAGTCTTATTGATTTGACACTATTTTGCAAGGCTGATGCTTCACTAATACACCCAGCTTCTGCTGCCGGCTAATTCTGCTTATGTCCTGTAACGGTGGCTGGACATTTCGGAAACTCATTTCAATAGATATGATGAAAACTCTGTCAAACAGCATTTTATCTACTTAGGCTCTTCTTGCAACTCCACCACCTCTACATTTCTTTCCCTCACATCCAGGCCATCCGCTTTTCGCCGCTGACCAACAAATTTCCCTTCCAGCCCCAGCTTCTGTGTCGCCAGATTCCTAAGCCATATGACCCCCCAAGCAATGCCAAAGATCACGCAGATAGCGATCAAGATTCCAAAACAATATCCAGTAACACGGCCATTGCCCTTGCTGGGGTCTAGAAAGGAGTATGGATAGAAGCCTTCAGTGGCATGGGTAATGTAGGCGAGAGCAAGATAGCATGCTAGCAAGATGACCAGAAAGACTATGTGCAATGGCGGTGGCGGGCTGGTTCGTGGCAGCACAACCTCGACGAGGGCAAAGAGGCTGTTGAGGGCGTGTTGGGATATCTGTAGAAGAAGAACGAATTTAGCATCTATACACTCCCCGGCGAAGAACGCATAATGTATCTTACATTCGACCACCCTTCCTCCACGACCGGGAACCAAGGATCTCGATACAAAATGGCCCAAAACACCAGCGTCACCAGAAACGGGAACGTAACCACCGTTGAGTAGAATACCGCATGCGCAGCCTGCAACGGCCTCGGCCAGCCCCGCAGCCACGCTTGCCCCGTCCGCGCGTACGAAAAGGTATGGAGGGCGCCGAAGAGGAGGTAGAACGCCAGGCCCCAGTAGGTCAGGTTGGTGAAGTAGGAGAAGGACTGCCGGGCGGCGGCGGCGAGGTGGTGGGCGTCGTCCCAGCCGAAGACGGTGAAGATGGTGGCGAAGGCGTAGACGGAGAGGAGGAGGCGGAGGGAGGCGAGCGGGAAGGGCGGCAGGAGCCAGGAGGTTGTGTAGCGGCATGTCGGGTCGAAGGGTTGGGGGATGCCGAGGAGGGGGTAGATCTTCGCCATCGGGGGAGGTTTTCTTCTCTATGTGGGCGTGATGGAGGAAGGGTGGGTGTGCGTTCGTGTACTTAGCCTTGCATGATGTTCAAGGATGAGCGAAAGAGTGAATTAGAGAGGCTTCCACGATGGCAGCATGGTTGGAGGAATTCCGCAGGCACGGAACTCGAAAAAGCTTTCAACTCGCGGAAATCCAGACTGGTGATATGATGATAGAGTACTTAGTGCGATGAGGCAGCCTGACAGCCTAACACCATCGAACCGCGGCCGATCAAACGGCGTGCCGTGCCTCATTGTCCAACCATGACAGTCCTAATTACCTCGCAGCTAACTGTTCGCAGCCGTAGAATTCGAGAGACCGCAGTGCTTCAGCGGCGGTCTGCTGCCCTCGTGCCAATTCGGGACCGTAAAGGTTCTGAGACTTTCGTGCATACCTACGGAGCCGCTCTCTCATTGAAAAGTGTTTACAGCTCCAGCCTCGTGGGATAAGCGCCCCCCCGCATTCACTCGGGACTCGCTCGACCGCGGCCGCCTTAGAGTACATAAAGTAGCGGGAGATTCTACTTTTACTTACCTAGCTGAGCAGGGGTGACGAACACCCGATCCTTTCGCTTAGTGTTGCATGTACACCATATACAGAGCTCTAGGTGAGTGCGAGACGGATCCTCGAGGCAGCCCGCTGGCGGACCTCATGGCGCTCACTATCACGAGGCAACTTTGCAGCGTAGCGCAACAATCTACAAGGCTACCTACGGACCAAAGTGGTGTGCAGTGTCATGCAATATCTTGCGCTGACTGCTGGGGTGTCCTGCACTACCCCCGATGCAGGCCCCCTTGTTCAGTACCTGTGGGATCTCGTACGTGTACACACTTGTTGGATACACGTACACTCACTCCTTCAGATCGGGTTCGTGTCCATGATCATCAGCGCGCTGAGGAAGAGACAGAAGATATCCATCAGATATCCACTCAATTAGATGAACATCTCTTTATTCCTTCAGGGAGGAGTACTATACATGACCTCGGTTAGTGTAACACACTTGCTTTTTTCCCTTTTGACGAGGCACTTCTCAGAAACATCGGTTCTCGAATATTTGCAAAGGTGTGAGACATGTTTTTTGATGCAGGTCAAAGAACTTGCTATGTTTGAAGGGTATCTTAGTTCTACAGAGAACTGGTTTGACTTATGCAACAATTAGGGATGTGTGAGGGATTTCCTTGCTGTGTTTTATGGCAATCTTACGGAAACCGGATGCGACTGCTTTGAGAGTTCAGAGTGTAAAAATGTTTTTCGATGCAGGTCAAGTTGTTGAGCCAAAACTGCGAACACTGAACCGGATCTGAGTGTTGTTGGATGGATATTTAGTTCGTATTAGGTTCGATTCCTAACTGGCGCTGGTACAATGGTGTTGCGGTGCTTTTTATTTTCTCTGAGGGGGTGTACACGTATCGAAAAGGAGTGTACACATATGAGATGGCTTATCTGCTGGCATGGCAGCCTGTTCACGGCAGCCATGCACGGCCCTTTCGAGGACTCCCATTCATCCTGGGGGAATTCCCACTCATGATTCGTATCCTTCGCACTTTTTGTCGTTGTACGTTAGACATTGCAACGCATGCGGCCAGGCATCATGGTAAAGCCTGCACAGAATAGCCCCTCTCCCAAATTGGAGGACGCGTCAGGCATCAGCAGCGAGCGTGAGCAGCTACTATTCCATACAGACCATACTGGAGAATGGACGCACCGTGCCAGGTACAGACAACGATGAGCACTCAACCCGATGCCAGGCTTGCGGGCGAGATGACGTTAAATCAACTTTCAGGCAGAAGTGTGCCCGAATCCTTGATTGCTCTTCCAGCACATTTGACGCTGGCAGTCGGTACAGTAGGTACGGCGAGATCGACTCGTTCAGCCCTTGGTTCCCCGAAACCGATCCTAAAAATCCTCGAGCCCTAACCTGGATCAAGAAGCTTTCACATCGAGGAACGTCACTGTTCATACAGATAGTCATCTCGACTGCGGTACTCATATTCAACATCTCAGTGTTGATCTACGCTGTGACAAAAGTACGGCATATCCAATGGCTTTGGAGATGTATATCAGGGACACTGCGGTTTGGTCGGAAGATATAACAATATGGTACACTTAGGTATCAATGTTGTGTCGACTCTGCTTCTGGGTTCCAACAACTATTGCGCACAGCTACTGGCGGCTCCAACGAGGTCCGAGGTCGACATGGCGCACGACAAGGGAGATTGGCTTGATATCGGAGTGCCGAGCCTTCGCAATTTGTGGAAGAAGAGAATCGCCCGAAATCGCAAAGCTGCATGGACACTGTTAATGATCAGCTCAGTCCTCTTACATCTTGTATGGAATTCCGCCGTCTTCGCGGCAAAACCGTACCGAATAGCAATCGTCACCTCGGACTACCTCGCAGACGCCGGACCGTGGCCGACTCAGAACAATCAGACACTCTACATGCTTCGAAATACGGGATCGCTCTCCCATTTGAACAAAAGCCAATGCATTGAATGCTATATAAGCCCCAATCCTGGGCAGATGGACGTTCTGGTCGTCGCCGCTAACGTCACAATGCAAGATTACGCATCCCTGGCGGGCGGCAATGATAGCTCATCTCTTCTGTGCGAGTATGACAATTTCGATGGTGGGACTGACTGGATCTGGGCTCAAAGCTGGTTGTGTTCAGCATACGCGCAGCCCGGAGCCCAGCCTGGATCATGGTGCACTCCCGAATTCCCCCTTGCCAAGGAGGTGGAGTGCACTCTGAAGGAGTACCCTTGGCTTAGAAATGGAGTTGTTGGCAAGTCTCTTCGGGTAAAAGTGGATCACTGTCTCAGCGCCGGGGTCGAACTTTGCAGTTTGCGATACAGCGCCCAAATCCTGCTCGTGGTTTGTATACTCAATTTGGGCAAGTGCGCTGCCATTTACTACACAGTCTATCTTCATAATCGAAGCGACACAAACCCCAGAGAGAAAGCTTCACTTGTCACCGCTGGCGATGCTGCAGCAAGCTTTCTTGCGGAAGAGGATCTCACTACCGAACACCTGTCATGTGCAAGCCGGGAGGAATTCACTGGGAAAGAGTGGCCTACTAAACGCTCGCCGAGGTTACATCCAGGACCGTCACGGTATGCCATTCCCTGGTTCAGAGCTGCTAGCAGCACCCGGTGGCTTGTGACCCTAGCACTCTGTGTTGCCGTTTCAGTGGTCGCTGCTGTGCTTCTTGCCCAGGGCATTGATGCACAACGAAATCGTGCCATTGCCGTGACTATCAGATCGTTGACAGCTCATGGCCTTGGTACTACGCAACCATACGCCACAGCACTTGGGACCCTTGCAAGACACATGAGCCCGCTTGCTGGTTTCTATGTCGCGACTCTGTTCGCGAATATGTGGCAGGTAAGCAGGACAATTCGGTTCATCTCATGCTCAGCATGGCTTTCATTGACTGCTTATTGGTAATATACAGTGCACTGTACCTCCTGTACAACGGCCTATTAACCAACATGCTGGTTGCGGATGAATGGAACGACTTCATCAAAGAACGTTACCCGGAATGTGGGCCAGGCACTGAGCTGGACGTGCTTACAACGACCAGTGGCTACGAAGAAAATCACCGCGAACTACGAATTGATCTCGGACCAGCCCTCGAGGTGCCCAACCAAAGCTAGGAGGTTTCTCCTCACGACGGCGCTAGCATTCGAGAACAGCGAGACGAGTCCGGTGATACATCGGCACCGCTATGAAGGTCGCAAATCGGTGCTTGAAAAGGCAACTACGGAGGGGCGTCATCGCCTGCTTATTTTCGTCAGGATCACGGAACAAGAGGACTAGATCGAGACCTTCGAGATGCTTCGGGAGGGGGGTAAATTCGACAGTGATTCTCGCTCTCACGGAGCCGAGTGCGTGACACGATTACGAATTCTATCTACCTTGCGGTACTACTACATCTTGTGATACTCCCTTACCCTACGATACGCGGAAATCTTGAAAAGAGCATGCCATCGCTGTGCTGTACCGAAAGTAGGCAGTACGCCCTACATCTTGTCGAGCGGAATGACTCACGATCATGTTAACCTCAGTTGCCTCGGCATCTGCGGGTTCGAATGCCCCCTCTCGAAAAGGTCGTCAGAATAGTACGCCTTCCGATCGATCCTTCCTATCCCGAACTCAACCATTCGGTTCACGGCCAGGTCTTCAAAGTGTCTGAAAGACTGCATTCCCACGGGAGAATCCACGTCTCCTCGTCGCTCCGGCTTCTTGACCTTCGTGAAGAAGACACCGGCCTTGACAAGTATAGAACGGCGCCATAGGTCCGTCCACCCGTGGGACTTCCGCTCCTTTGCACCGCAGCCGATCAAGGCCGCGGAACTGTTCATCCGCTTCCGCCGTCGAAAAGCCCGTCTGCTTCGGAGTCCCACGTGATGAGATCCGACCGATCCGGGTTGGCATCGCTTTGGGGCCGATCTGAGGAATGGAGGAATGTGGTAATGGTGTTGTCCGTCGATGAGATAGATCTCCGTGGGTCCGGATGCGGGTTCGGTCCAATTTGTGGACGGTAATATCTCCATTGGGAGCCTTCTCTGGCTGTCAAACGAAGAGCCTTTTTTTGTACGGAGGTGTTTGCTGCCGTATCTGGTTAAGATGAGGCTCTCTTGTGTTGCACGTGACTCTGCCTAGGTTGTTGGAAGCGAGGCGTGGGAGATGGGAGTGATCGGGAGCAGATGTGAGAGGAAGCGTTGTGGTGAAAGGCGTTCGAGTCGGATCTAGGAAGCTGAGTCGATGTAGTTGAGGGCTTGGAAATGAATGCCTGAGGTCTTGGGGAAGGTGTGTGCTACTTCGTTTTTGGATCTGGAGACAGAGAGGGAAGGGAAGGGAAGGGAAGGGAAGGGAACGTGGGGCCTTTTTCTTCCTTTTGAATGGTAGGGGAGAGGAGGGGCGTCGTCTATAGTGTCATTACGACTACATCTTACGGCCTTAGATCTTATCATTTGCCTTCAAGGGCTGCCGTCCGACACCTTCGCGCAAGATCTCGACGATCTTCGGAGTCTTCCACATCACATGGTCCGCGATCTCCGCCGGCGTTGGACCCTTGCGGTGGCTCTGATGCAACACTGCGAACTTTGCGAGTATCTGATAGTCTCCGAGATCGTGCTCGCGGGGGTCGGGCCTCTCTATGGAGTAGATGCGAAGAAGCGCGTCGCGGATTTCTGAGCGTAGTTTGTTTGTACGATTCTCCTTATGGGGGCGAAGTTCAATGCGCCAGTGTTATGCTCATTCGTGGATTGGCAATAGGGGTCGGTGCAAGGGGTCATGTTCAGCTGCTCGTAAAGAGGCAGGCATTGTGATTTGGAAATGGAACGTGTTTGGTGAAGGTTGTTTTTTTTTGGTGAGTGTCTAAACGTTACTGGAATGAGCAGACTGAAGGGCCAAGACGAGAGAGGGGACATGATATTATTCACAGACACCACTGCCAGCCGGGCTTCGAGTCGCGACCGAGACGAAAATGGGGTCAGAACGAAGCGAGAAACAAATTTTCACTGGATCCTTTCTCGACACTGTTTTCGCAACTAGTGTTCCCCAACCAAGCCATAGTTTCTCCAACTCTGGCGGAACATCAAGGGAGAATGGGAACTGACACTGGAAGCATGTTGGGGCCAATGGGAAAGAGTACATCAGAGAGCTCACAACGATGTGGAGTTGGCACGCATTGCGGTCTTTTTCGTTCGAAGCTGTCATAGGCACATGCTAGTCCGGTAAGTGTCATCCATCAGAGATGACACCAGGCCTCCCGTTGGGGGCAAGAGATCGATAGCCTTTTTTCGGGCTGCAAACTGACTTGAACTATGTATTGGTAGACATAATTGTCAGCAAAGGGACCCTGAGAGTACAACTGGATACTATGGGATAAAATGTTAAAGGCGTCATTAAAAAATTAGAGTGTTGTTGTTGTTTTGTTGTCTCGTCATGGAGATCAGGGTTAAAAAGTGACTAATCGTTCGCCAAAGGGTAACGTATGATGGAAGGGGCGAGACTTACGTTGAGCTGAGCCATGGAATCCCAATTGTCGAGTGGTACTGGGGCAAAATGACCTTGAAATTAGAGACAGACGTAGACAAACTCATGCAAAGACATTGGAAATGGACATGTTCTAGAGGCATGATCATGTCTTGATTGCTTTGCTGCTGCTATACAGACATTGCACCATGATCTAGTCGAAAAGACCTCCAAATCCTGCAGGAACATTAGTAGATGAAATTGTGTTACCAGCCGTAACATCATACCTTCGTCACCACTCTCCTCCTCCTCAGGCTCATCAGCTTTTTCGTCCGCAACATCAACAGGCTTGTCAGGCTCATCTCCAGTGGTCTGGGCAGGTGCTGCGGCTGCGTAGGCATCAGGGTTGGCAATACGGTCTTTCAGATCGCTGATTCCTTCCCAGCTATAGTCCGTTTCGACGGCGACCGCCAGAACATTCTTGTAGCTGTTCATGAAGCTGTGCATGATGGATGGTAGCGTAGGGTAATTTGCGGCAAGGGAGATCTGGGTAATGGTTGCGATGGCGGAGTTGAGCGCCTTGAACAATTGCTCCTCTTTGATGTCGAGCACAGAGGGAGCGAAAGTCTGGCCGCCGTCATAAACCTGTGAAATGCTCATGCCGTAAGTGAAGGGCGAGATGTTGAGCATGTTCAGTAGTGTAGCCTCGGACGCTCCGACTTTGGTCCCTGCCTCGACAAGCTTCAAGTCCGTTGTGATTTCAATCGTACCACGTGCAATCTTTGTTGGAACACCAAGAGCTTGGAAGAAAGATGTTTTGCCGGGTTCCATTCCAGTATTTCCTGCAGGCACAAAAACATCCAAAGGAGCGATAGCGCCGGCTCTAGCAGGAGCCGCGACCTTCTCGGCGAGAATTACATCACGAGTCTTATTGAGGTCCGCATTGGTGAAGATGAAACCAACGTTCCCTAACATTTATCAGCGCGGAACTAGCTGTAGAGAAAATAACAGCGGGTAGTACCTTTGACGTGGGGAAGCAGACGTTCGTACTCCGGGAAGTCGTTGATGAAGCCTTTAATAGCTCTTCGTACCTGTAATTTGGACGGTCAGCGCACCGATGACACGAATCTGAGCTGCCTGCATCTAGCCTGAGCCTGTCAATAGACGTAACATACCATGGTATTTTTGCCCATGAGCACTACCCCTTGAACTTCTCCCTCGGACCTCAGACTCTTACGGATCTTATGCATTTGTTGAGAGCTGACATTGTCGACCGTAACGATGAAGATAGACTTGTACCTATTCTCTAGTAAGCTTTCAAGCTTTTCCCTCCCTTGGATAATAATGTGCGGTACTCTTCAAGGAGCCCCTTGAGCTTATCGAAATAGGCCGCCTTGTTGCTGGTCTTGCCCCCCTGTAGATACTGTCAGTGGAACATTCTGTCAATATCTTCCTAGATTGAGATCCCTCACCATATCTTCTTAGTGTGAAGATAGGATGTTTAAGGGTCAAGTGGTTGTAAATGTGCGTTTGCTTTGGGGTCTGTCTGATGCTGTTGGTAAGACTTCGCGGAGCTGGAACATTAAGTTTGATATCCTGTGGGCTCTTCTCGCTTGCGCTTACCGCGCTAAATTCTTGGCGCGAATTTCCTCAATCTGCAACTTGTCTGCGAGATATGCCTCAATTGTCAAGATGATTCTATTCCGACAACTCAAGACTGGTTATGTCGCACCCATATCAGTGCCTTCTCCACTGCCATCAAGCCGGTCAAGTTGAATCCGGCATCTTAGTTTTCGCATCTGGACCCTATATTCATACATTGAGTGCACAGAATGGAAGATATCTCTCTACATGGCCATCTCTTGAGAATACAACGCAGACTCGATCAACTGGCCAAAACAATGGAAACGGATTAGAAGTGGCGCAACTGAAGAGCTCACCTCAAGATGATTCTGAACGGCCCTCGAAGCGTCAAAAACTATCTCCAGCAAGGGACGAGTCTTGCAGTTCCTCGGCGGAGATCGTAGTAGCGAGAGACAGTGACAACGGAGAATCGTCAAATTCTCAGCAACCTTTGAATCCACCAGTTATCAAGCTGGCTGGTACCTCCGCCGGTCAACACGTGATTGCCGTGACGGGCGAAGACAAATGTATCAGGGTATTCGACCTGGCAGCAACTGGCATTTTAACGCAGCTCAGTGAAAGGCAAGACAGTAATAGATGGTTACTTTGCGTTATGTACTGATATAAGAGCAGAGCTATGCCAAAAAGACCGTGTGCAATAATCTTGACACCGGATGATTCTACAATCTTATGCGCCGACAAATTTGGCGATGTCTACTCGTTGCCTCTTGTAGGTCAAGTATTTGAAACAGCGACTTTCAATGGCATTGACGCCAATAACACGAGTCGTACGAGTGATCAGAAGCATAAGCAAAAGCCCTTTGCTCCTTCTGCAACTTCTCTTACTGTCCACACTAAAGGAAACCGGGAGGCGTTGCGGCAACAGCAAAATATCAGGAACCTCAAAGCAGAAAAGAAAGTTTCGAACCTTGATCACAAACTTCTGTTAGGACATGTTTCCCTTTTGACAGATGTTGCGTGCGTAACTCTAGCCTCGCCCTCACAAAAGCCCCGGAACTACATATTATCATCAGACCGTGATGAGCACATTCGCATCTCCCGTGGTGTTCCTCAAGCACACATCATCGAAGGATACTGTCTTGGTCACACAGAATTTATCACCAAGCTGTGCGTGCCAACAGTCTACCCTCATTTATTAATTTCGGGTGGAGGTGATGACTACTTGATATTGTGGGATTGGCCGGCGGGAAGGATGTTGCAGCAGCTTGACTTGAAGAGTCTAGTTGCTAACCTTAGGAATACTAAACTCGGAGCTGGAAAGTTGTTCAACGGCTCTGCAAAAGTCAAGGACGCTGAGACTGAAGTAGACATTGCACCCAGAATATGTGTCTCGAATATTCAAGCTCTTGAAATTCGCACAGAGCCATCTGGTCATCCGCGAGTTGAGATCATAGTTACATGCGAAGGGTAAATTGATTTACCAACAATGGAGATGTGACTGGCTAAACTTTTTAGGGTTCCTGCGCTCTTCACCTTCACGCTTGGAATGAATGCGCAAATGCAATTCAGTGCAAGCATTCACACAGAAAGCAATGTCATCGATGTGACAATTCTTCCTAACCAGAGTTCCGTTATCTATTCTATGGACACTTGCCATCAGGCCTTCTCGACAGACGCCTCAGCGGACACCGGGAAACAAGGCCCACGAAGCTTAGTGGGCTCCCTGATTTACGATTTAGACTCCAAGACCTGGGAAGAGAACCAAGCATTGCAGGCAAATCTTGTTGCAGCTACGAGAGAATGCGCAGATAGCCAGCTACATGTTCCCCAAGCAGGAGCAGCTAAAGGAAAGTCACTTAGAGAATTACTTTACGGCTTGGAAAGCCTCAGAAAGCGGGGATCAGAAAATGAAACAGATGTGTAGGTAGATGTCAATAAAAGCTATTGCCTTAATCTGGTAAAATCTTAGATATATCTTGATTCGACCCTAAGTAAATGGCTTAGCATGAGCTTTGGTGAATGCAGATCATCCTCTTCTGTAGCGCTCGTACACACACCAGCGATGTCGAATTTTGCCCCTCTGCAGAACGACCTGCTGCTAAGGGCTGTGAGAGGTATGCTCGCAAAAAGTCCATCGCCTTCCGAAAGCTCACATGTTGAGCAGGCGAACGTGTGGAGAGACCACCAATATGGGTGATGCGCCAGGGTAACAGTCGATCCCGTCAACGTGAGGATTCCAGCTAATCAATAGCAGCTGGGAGATACCTCCCGGAGTACCACGAAGCCAAATCGCACCATGACTTCTTCGCATGCTGCCGGAGCCCGGAAATCTCCTCCACTCTGACTCTTCAGCCCATCGACCGTTACGATGGCCTCATTGATGCCGCCATCATCTTCTCTGACATACTGGTCATACCGCAGGCAATGGGCATGGTGGTGGAAATGCTGGACGGCAAAGGACCTCACTTCCCAAACCCTCTAAAGGCTCCTACCGACAGGCAGTACCAGGACCTGCTATCGAAGCGTGTGGATGTGGAGAAAGAGCTAGACTACGTCTACCAGGCTATTACAATGACAAGACAGAAGCTGAACGGCCGGGTACCTTTGTTTGGCTTCTGCGGTGCCCCGTGGACATTGCTGTGCTATATGGTGGAAGGGGGAGGAAGCAAAATGTTCGTGCAGTCGAAGACGTGGGTCTATAAATACCCCGATGAAAGCAAGACTTTGCTACAGAAGATAGCTTTCATATGTGTGCAGTATTTAGCCTTTCAGGTCAAGGCTGGAGCACAAATTGTGCAGATCTTTGACTCTTGGGCTGCAGAACTGTCGCCTACTGCCTTCAAGGAGTTCTCGCTTCCTTATCTAAGCTATATCTCGAAGCAACTTCCTGGACACCTTAAAGCAATGAATCTGGAACCTGTACCAATGGTCGTGTTTGCCAAAGGCGCCTGGTACGCTCTGGACGAGCTCTGTGATCTAGGGTATCATGTTGTTGGTCTCGATTGGCTGCAAGACCCAGCAGAAGCAGTGGACATCGCCAATGGTCGAGTGGTATTGCAAGGAAACATGGATCCTGGGGTACTGTATGGAGGCAAAGAAGCTATCACTGCGGCTGTTGAAGAGATGGTGAAGGGATTCGGAGGGGGGAAGCAAGGCTGGGTTGCGAATCTTGGGCATGGTCGGGATACCGTCAGAAATCCTGCAGCCTAGTGCTGGCTGACAAAGACTTTAGGTGTCCAGCCTGGAGTCAACCCTGATGACCTGAAGTTTTTCTTCGAAGAGATACACCGTCTCGCAGGTGCAGCGAGGTTATAAGCAACGATGATAGGACGAGCATCACGCATTCATGAACACACAACAACATAGCCTTGAGGGGCATGTTAGAGCAAATTGTGCTTATTCTCCAATGTCTTCATACCTACTATCCTTTCAGTGCTCTGGTTGCTTTATAGAGTATAGGATCTTTGTATAGGCTCACCAGACACCAGGCTTCTCTTCGATAAACTTGCTCATCAGGTCCTGGCACTCTTTGTTCTCCAGCACGATGACCTCGATTCCTCGCTGCTTGAGATATGCCTCACCTCCAACGAAGGTCTTGTTCTCTCCAATCACAACTCGAGCCACTTTGTACAGGACACAGGCGCCAGTGCACATATCGCATGGGGATAAAGACGTGTACATCGTTGCACCTTTGTACGCTGAAGCTGGGAGCCTGCCAGTGTTTTCCAGCGTCGATATCTCTGCCTTTGGTAGATGAAACTCCATCAGAGCTCGCATCTAGCCTCGAGTCCAAGAAAGGCCTACATGTAGAGTTGCTGAGTCTTTCTGCACACGCATATTGTGTCCTCTACCCAGAATCTTCCCCTCTTTCGAGACTAGACAGGCGCCTATAGGAACTCCTCCTTCTCCGAAACCTGTTTTTGCTTCTTCTACAGCAGCGACGAATCCAGGATCTGAGTCCATGTTTGTAAGTACAACTGATCAATCTAAAAAAAATTGATTCAACGTCCGATATCGGTTTTACTTCGGACAAGTAAGCGTCCCGATTTTATTAGTTGCTGAGACTAGATTTCTTCGACTCACTCCTCCCATATCTGTGCTCGTAAAAGTTGATATATGCTGAAGTCAGTAGTAGAATCTCTGATGCACTTCTGATTTCAGTCTCCTGGAGATGTGGAAATAAGCCGTCAAAATAGGTGAATCGTGAAAGTGCAGGGTGGAGCTAGGCAGCTGTAAGGCTGAGAGAAACCCTTAGAATCGCGGCGAAATCTGCATGTTCTGGTCGATCAGTTCATTCTGGGGGCTTTTTCATCTACTTCTTCTACCCACACAACAATTTTCAACGTTCACAACACACAACTAACTCTACCCACACCACAGTTTTCAACGTTCACAACACACGACTACGGTGTCTACAAATCAAATTTGGAACCGCTGGTAACTCCTTACTGTCCCTATTGTCTCAGAGCACGCTTTTATCTCTTAAACAACGTATGTATTACAAATGAAATTCCTTCCTAGCTCGATCATTTTTCACAGCAGACCGAGATTCTGAGAGCAGCCATGGTGTGTCCTTGTCACTGACTTCGACCTTAGGAGTATCTCAAAGGCCCTGGTGACGTCTCAAACCCTACTGAACGACAAGCCATACCTTAGAGGCCAATACCTTCGCAACCTTGATCATCTTGTGTCCTATTTAGCTACGACACCATGGTCAAAGAGACCAAGTTCTATGATATTTTGGGGGTAAGCCACAATACTTCAGAGCCATACATTTGAAGTGGTACATCGCTTATTACTTCAATAGGTGGGACCTTCAGCCACAGAGGCTGAGCTAAAGACAGCTTACAAGAAGGGAGCACTCAAGCATCATCCAGGTGCCTGGTCCTCCCATCGCAATCCGGTGCATGAGACTAACACCAGCTGTTACAGACAAAAATGCCCACAATCCAGATGCTGCAGAAAAGTTCAAGGACCTGTCTCGTGCCTATGAAGCGCTCTCAGATCCTCAAAAGCGTCAGTTGTACGATCAATATGGCGAAGAAGGTTTAGAGCAAGGTGGAGGCGGAGGAGGCATGGCAGCGGAGGACTTGTTCGCCCAGTTCTTTGGTGGAGGCGGTGGAGCGTTCGGTGGAATGTTCGGTGGTGGTATGCGCGAACAAGGACCCAAGAAAGCGAGGACTATTCACCACGTCCACAAGGTCTCGCTGGAAGACATCTACCGAGGAAAGATCTCTAAGCTTGCTCTTCAGAAATCTGTCATCTGTCCAGCATGCGATGGCCGAGGTGGGAAAGAGGGTGCAGTAAAACAATGCTCTGGCTGCAATGGCGCTGGGATGAAGACCATGATGCGCCAAATGGGGCCCATGATTCAACGATTCCAGACCGTGTGCCCAGATTGCCAAGGAGAAGGCGAGATCATCCGGGATAAAGATCGATGCAAGCGATGCAGCGGCAAGAAGACGGTCGTTGAGCGAAAGGTTCTCCTTGTGCACGTCGACAAAGGCGTCAAGGGCGGCCACAAGATCGATTTTAGAGGAGAGGGAGACCAGATGCCAGGAGTTCTTGCAGGAGACGTCCAATTCGAAATCGAACAGAAGCCGCATTCTCGCTTCCAACGCAAAGACGACGATTTGTTCTTTCATGCCGAAATCGATATCCTCACTGCTCTTGCTGGAGGAGCGATCCATATCGAGCACTTGGATGATCGTTGGTTGACGGTGAATATCGAGCCTGGAGAGGTCATCAGTCCAGGTAAGCTGTCATTCCCCTCCAACTATATCCACAGGGCGGCTAATTCGTGACAAGGCGAGGTGAAGATGATACGAGGCCAAGGGATGCCTTCAATGAGACACCACGACTTCGGTAACCTATACATTCAATTCGACGTCAAATTTCCCCCTCTAGGCTTCAACACCCCCGAAAAAATTGCCATGCTTGAACAGATCCTGCCTCCGCGTAAGCCACAAGCGACACCTCCTAGCGACGCCATGATTGATGACTTCCCTCTCGAGGAGGTTGACCAGAGCGGACAACGAAGAGCCCAAGGAGCTACCAGCATGGAAGAGGACGAAGAAGACGGCATGCCTCAAGGCGCAGAAAGAATGCAGTGCGCGTCCCAGTAAGCCTGGGAAACGCCTGATGAGTGATGAATGGATGTGGAGGAATAACGACCACGACACTACTTTCACTACTTTTCGAATGTCTACTACACACCACCATACCTATCTACCCTGCCTACTCTTGTTATCGCATGTGGCGCATTGGCTGGCTGGGACAGGAGACAGATTCTACCAGCTGCACAGCGTGGCTTTTGCAGAGGCGTTGCGGAGCCCCTGATCAGCTGCTGACCTGGGGTTGCATTATCAATTCATTACAGGCCCGATAGATTTTTTTTTACGGCGGCTTTACAACAAGGTTGCTTGGCCTCCCAAGAGGCATCTTTTTCGAATTCGTGCATGGCGTTTTAGAGTAATTACAGTTTAGAGAAAATAATATTGCATTCAGATTTCTTTCGGCCAGTGATGGCCTTGTTGGCCATGGTCTTTGTGTCTTGTTGACAAGCTGGAACAGTCCATGCTTTCGGAAAATAGACACGATAGCAAATAAAGTAGACACAGCACGGTGGTTCTGGAAGTCTCTTCACTCCCAGCTATTGCACAAAAGCCGCTGCTCTTCTAATCGATTATATTGGGCACATAGATTTGAAGAGAGAGCGTCTCCGAGGACCTTAAATTCAGCCCTATCAAAAATCGTCGCGTCGCTCCTGGGCTCCAGCTCACCTGCAAAACAGCAATGCGAAATGTAGCTTTCTTTGCGACTCGCAAAAGACTTTTGTGGAAAGACTTAATCAGATGTCCATTCAGGCTTGCTGGCACACCGCCTAACGCCTACCCCTTCTATCACGGATCTAATTGGGAGATTGCCCCAAAGATCCAATGTCGTGGAGCGAAATCACGGGCAACCATTTCCCTCAACGATCTTCCACAAAATACGTTTGCAGCCAAGCACAGCATCTCAGAGACCGAGGATGTCGGTCCAGCATATCCCACGGTGGTACAGCAGGCATGGGACAATATGCGGAAGTTCGACAAGTGCGTACTGTTGACAAGGGTGGGAGGTTTCTACGAGCTTTACTTTGAGCACGCGGAAAAATATGGACCTCTTCTCAACATCAAAGTGGCCCAAAAGAAGACTGCCGCTGGGTCTGTGCCCATGGCAGGCTTCCCTTTCTACCAGTTGGACCGGTTCCTCAAAATCCTCGTGCAGGATCTGAACGAGTATGTGGCCATTAGTGAGGAATTTGCGAACGATGCTTCGGGCACTGTCAAGTCTGGAGGGCTGTTGTTTGACCGGAAAGTTACTAGGACGATCACGCCGGGCACTTTGATTGACGAGAAATTTATGGATCCATACGAGAATAATTTCCTGCTGGCCCTTCACCTAATTGGACCCGGCGAGTCGCCCTATCCCTCGGAGATCGAGAAGATCCCAGCAGAGCTCGCGCAGGGCTCAGTACCGCCGTCACTGATATCGACATCAATCGGGCTGGCTTGGTTGGATCTGTCAACAGGAGCTTTTTCCACGCAAATAACCACCATCGGATCGCTGGCTTCCGCCGCTGCGCGGATAGGGCCAAGGGAGATCGTGCTAGATGATGATCTTGGAGATGGCATGAAGCAGAGCATAATGGGCATACTTGAGCAGCAACGTCATCTTGTGACTTACCACTCAGCTTCAACACAAGCCCTTTCTATGTCCTCCTGGACTCCAATGTTGGAAACAGAAGTGCCCACGGAATTGCAGCCTACATTCACGAACGAGGAGGTCGCTGCAGGAAGCTTGCTTCTGGCATATGTGAAGGACAAACTTCAGGGTTCAGGGATCAAATTACAGCCACCAATCCGAAGACAAGACGGGGAGACCATGAGTATTGACAAGAACAGTATGAGAGCCCTGGAAATTCTGGAGACGTCAAAGGGCGGTGTAGGCGGCGGCAAAGGCAGTCTACTGCATACAGTGCGTCGTACCGTCACTAAAAGCGGTACAAGGCTGCTCAGAAACTGGATTGCTTCTCCTTCTATGTCTCTGCAGGTCATCAATGCAAGACTGGATATTGTAGCACTATTCTTACGGGATCGAGCTCTCGGAGAAGATGTCACTAGTCTCCTTCGTCGCAGCTACGATTCTGAGCGTCTCGTGCAAAAATTCTCTTTGGGCCGAGGAGATGCCGATGACCTGATCAGTCTGCTTAGGACCATCGAAGCGACGAGCGGGATAGCGAGTCTACTGGAGACACGTAATACCTTCTCTGAAGCCCATTCCGAAACAGATTCCCCTGACCGAAAGTATCGTCAGTCTTTGCAGAACCTAAGCCGCCGACTTTGGCTTGAGGAACCAAAAGCACTCGCTGCTAGAATTGCCTACGCCATCGACGAAGACGGCCTCACGGAGAGCCACCGCATCGAGGAAACCGAGAATGCAGATATCGTCTTAATGGCGCAGGAAGTTCTGCAAAAGGAAGGTTCTCCAGAGGACCAAGCTGCCATGACCCGCCTTTCGCGCTCCAAGATAAAGCAGAGACCTTCCGCCGACCAGGAAGGGGAGGAAGTGGATACCTGGATTCTGAGGAAAAACGCGAGTCCTATGCTGGGGAGCCTGCATGAAGCGCTAGATGGTTTACGTCAAAACAAAGCATTCTTGACATCTCGCTTGAGAGGAGACCTGGATGCACCAAGTCTAACATTGAAGTGTACTCCGGGACAAGGGCATTATTGTCACGTCAAAGGGACTAAAGATATTGCCGCGTCCTTAAAGAAGTATGTCGCCGCTCGAAACGTCAAAACGACCAAGTCAACGCGTTCCTTCCACCAGTCTGAGTGGAGCAGTCTTGGAAGCAAGATAGATCAAGCAAAGCTACGTATCAAAGCTGAAGAGCAGCGTGTGTTCCAACTCCTACGTGAACAAGTCGTCGTGAACTTAGTCAAGTTACGACGGAATGCTGCGGTACTCGACGAGCTTGATATCGGCTGCTCATTCGCAACTCTAGCAAAAGAGCAAGGGTTTGTTAGACCTATCCTGAACTCGGGCTTGGACCACAAGATCGTTGGTGGGCGGCATCCGACGGTAAAGCTCGGTTTGGAAGAGCAGGGAAGAGCCTTCGTCAGCAATGACTGTTCGATCGGCGTAAAGGAACGGATTTGGCTCATCACGGGCCCAAATATGGCTGGCAAGAGCACGTTCCTACGCCAAAACGCTCTAATCTCTGTATTGGCTCAGGTCGGATCCTTCGTTCCCGCCGAATATGCAGAGATAGGCTTGGTCGACCAAATATTTACGAGAGTGGGTTCCGCAGATGACCTGTTCCGAGACCAGTCCACATTCATGGTGGAAATGATGGAGACTGCTGCGATTCTTAATCAAGCTACGGCCCAGTCTTTTGTGATAATGGACGAAATCGGACGTGGCACGACACCGGAGGATGGGATTGCAGTGGGCTTCGCATGCTTGCATCACCTGTACTACAAGAATCTCTGCCGGACGCTTTTCGCTACGCATTTCCACGCTTTAGCAGACATGACAAAGGATTTTGAGCACCTGGCATGCTATTGCACGGATGTGGTAGAGCGACCTGGAGGATCGTTTTCATTTGTTCACCGTCTTCGGAAGGGCGTCAATAGGAGCTCCCACGCTTTGAAAGTGGCACGCCTTGCAGGTATGATTCTGTGGGGACCTCCCATCTTGACTGGCTGCAGACTGACCCTCTCTAGGAATTCCAGAAGCAGCAATCGAGACCGCTCGGACTGTTCTGAAAAGTTTTGATAAGCAGTCTGGCGGTTCTTTTGAAACATCATCGCCTCAAGCAGCGACGGCCTGAGCCTGAGCTTGCAGGCCTACAGAAAGTCTTTGACAACCACACACGTCTGAATCTATAAGTTGTTTCAAAACTTCAAGAAATCCCTTGCACGAGGCGAGGCAAGAGAATTTTCCTGAATAGTGAGACATTGGGAGACGTCAATTGCTCACAAGACGATGATATGAGGCCCAAAAAAAAGAAGAGGGAAAACCCGGGGATGCAACAAAACAGCTCCATAATGCAGCATCCTCACACTTACGACCAATCGACTTAAGTAGGAAGTGCGGTGTTAGCGAACACGAGAGTACAAAGGTGGCTCGAAGAGTCTAGCCGCTTGCCCAATGGCGATGGTCGAAATCTCGCGGCGTTGCTGTGTTGACCATGAAAGAGACTGATTTTTTGACTTGGTGCCCAAAATCAATATGGGGAAAAAGACTAGACAATGGCACAACTCATTTTGGGATTTTTCTGGCAGCTTGCTTTGCCTGCTCTTCACGTCACGCGTTCCCGTTCAAGGCTCCTGTTTCTGCATAATCGGCTATTGAAAAGGTTGACCGGCTTGGGTGCTGACTACTTCACATCTAGTAATGGATGACTTCAGCTTTTCACAAATGACGCCCTGTAGGTGGTCTTGCTAGGCTTCTTGCACGGACCTGCTCCAAGACTTTGCGTGGTTACCTGGTCTTAGACAATCAAGATCTGTTGATGGCTGTATTCTTTATTAACATCGCTAGTTGATTACACCGAGGCCTAAAGTCGAGCTGAGTGACGAGAAAGGTCACTCTGCGTTGACAAAGATTGCCAGAAAATTTGGGGTGGTAGTATACCACGCCACAGTGTCTGCATCTGGTGCATAAGCATGGCACGATGGACCTTCAGCTCGTGGCACTGTGCCAGACAGGCCCCTGTTTCGTGTCGTCTTGGGCTTTTCCAACTCATCGAAACCTCGTCCCTCACCCCTTTCGAGGTCTGGAGTCTTTGTTTCTTCCATGCTATGCTAACCTTGTTGTCAAATCGATCTTCCTATTCCCGTATGGCTCTTCCTAGAGTTTCCAGTACTTCTTGCTTTGTGCACCGCTTTTGAAAATGAGAGTGCCAGTCTGTTGAGTACGGCGGCCAGCGTATGCGCCCAAGGGTTGGATCCAATAGTCAATATGTGCATTCGCTTCGATCACCAATGCATGAAAGCGATGACTATGAGCGTCTCGAAACCGCTGGTAACGAGCTGATATTTCATAGCGGTCGTCAAGAACAGCACACTCTATGTCAACGGTGGCAGAGAAACATTTATCGACGTGAAAGCAAATGGCAGCTCGTCAGAGCAGTTTGGCAACGGTACAGGGTTACAGTGAGTGATTGCAAACCACACGGCTGCGATGATAGTCTCGGTAAAGCCTGGATAAATATCTTGTTACCTTTGACTGGAGTCAATCCTGGGACTGGAAGACCATATCTCGGGAAAAGCCTTCGCCAAGAAACCTAATCCCAGGACTGGCACGGCGCCTGCGGTGCTCTCACGCGGGGCACTGTTCTACGGTTCAGCCAATGACAGCAACATCTATCTCTGGGGCGGAACAACTTCATATTCGAATACGAGCTTCCCAGGCTACGAGGCCCCAACTCCACAAGAATACTCATTGTGGTTGTTTGACATTTCGACTCAGGGATCGGACCAATATGACTTGACGCTTGGCAGTGCAAACAGACCAAGCTATGGATCGTTTACTAATGCAGAAGAGCTAGGCTTAGGATTCTATTTCAATGGGGAACTCGACTCGGGCTGCGAGATCCAGACGCAGATTTATGGAAACGGTGTGGAGCATTTAATTGGAGGCATGATTGTTGTTGACTTGGTCAACCAGACAGCAAGGATATGTCGACGCAGGCAGTAAGTGGCAACGTGCCGTGATCAAGAGGAGGAACGATGTACGGCAATGATATTGAACCCCATGGAGTCATTGTCCAGATAGCAGGCAAGCAACAGAACGTCGCCAATACTACAGGTATCATAAGTCCGCATATCGAGAATTTGGTCAGTCAAAAACTGACACCGGAAGACTTGAGGAACATGGCTAATTGACATGGACAGCTACCGATGGACGAGATTGACATCTTTGACGTTGCTTCCTACTACAACGACAGTACCCCGCATGGCACTTGGTACAAGCAGACAACGAGCGGAGCCACTCCAGATCCGCGCATTGATTTCTGCCTCATCCTAGCATCTGCTCCTGATGGAAGCAGCCACAACGTGTGAGTCTTGTCTCCCTAAAAAACGCACCAAAATTTGATTAGCTTACACAAGGCAAGAATTTGTACGGTGGCCGCGGAGCCGACGCGTTCTTCGATGAAATTGGGTCCTTTCCATACCATCTTTCATATGGACAAAAGTCTATCAAGGCGAGAGCCCACGATTTGGACACACGTGCCACCGAGTCGGAGGCCGAACGATGATCACAGTTGGCGGTGCTGCGAACGATGATTGGCACGACGCCCCTTGCGACTGGGAGACTTTCGATTTGTCGGATCTGGTTTGGGAGAGTGTGTATGATGCATCTGCGCCGGCTTACGCTGTGCCTGCTCCGATTGCTGCGTGAATAGGTGCTTCGTAAGAGCTTCATACTGATTTATCCCCCTCATAGCTAATTCATGGAGTTCTGCAGCGCATCAGGTGGCGCTGCGATGTACGAACCTACTCCATCCGGCTTCGGTCAATCCGGCCTCGCAGACCTCTTCAAGGTCCAGTATTAAGGGGCTTCAGTAGGTCTCGCACCAACACCAAGCCCCAGACCGTCAGGGTCTCGCCCAATTCACCGTCCTGCCGTTATAGTCGGCTGCTTAGTCGGTGGTATCGCCTGTATCACTGTCATTGTTGGACTAGGATTGTGCTACAGGAGGCAAATCCGTCATCGCATCACAGGCTGCGAGTCTCCACGCCAGGAGATGGAAAACCATGGAAGAGTTTTCCAGGAGATGGACGTTCACGAGAGGGTGGTCCAGGAGATGGGGGCTGAGAAAATTCACTGGGAGTCGCCCGCGGAGAATAAACCGGCTGAAATCTGGAGTTCTACCAAAGGCTCGGAAGAGAACCCTGGCTCTGGTGATGTCCGCCGAAATGGGATCCCAGCTGACGATAAGGTGCCAGAGATCCCTAGTCCGGGAAGAACCTCGGAAGGAAGTTCAAGAGGGTCTCAGCGGAGCTTCAAAATGCTGCATCCGCTGCCAATGCCTTGATGATGACCAAATTTGCACTGTGTCAACCCACCACTACAGACTACGGAGAGGCCCACCACCTCTGGAATGGAGCGTTTGCTCTTGGAATCAGGACTTCATCTCCAAGGTAACGCCCTTATTCTGGGGTAAAGTACCTTTTCGAACGGACAAGCCACAGCCATTCCTCACGACCTACAATGGCTTCTGGGAGTCGTTGCCTCTACCTTGTCTTCCACCCCTGCAAAGACTCTAGGATGTAGTGCTCGGAAGCATACAATGTGTACAAGGTGTAATAACACGAATGTACGAATATTCGCAATGCGGAGACGATGGCAAGGCCACCGGCCGGGGGGGGGGGTTCGAAGGTCGGAATTTCAATAGCAAAACATAGTATGATAGCACCTACTGGATTTGCCGTAAATCATCACAAGAAACACCTGATAGATAGTTATACTATAGATCTCTGCATCAACAATCGATCATCGTCCCCAAATCTGACACCTCCGCTCTCCTCCCCCCATCATGACCACGACCCCCCCACAGACCTACATCCACTCCGCTCCCCTTGCGACCCTCGCACCCCACCTCCTCCCCCACCTCCCCAAATCCCTCCCCCTCCTCCGGCGTCTCCAATTCCACACCGCATCGCCCTCCGCCCGCACAATCGCGACTTTTCCCCCGCCATCATCATCATCACCATCACCATCACCATCACCGACGACCACCAACACCGCCCCGCCAGCCTCGTTCGCCGCCATCTGGGCCGACCGCACCCGCGCGCCCGAAACCGAATGCTGGATCTTTTCCACCTTCGAAACCCTCCCTCCGCCCCCGCCGACGCCCTCCCAGCGACACGAAGCCCGAGCTCAATGCCTCGCCCTCCTGGCCGTCACAGCGCGCCTGCCGGCCACGACGCCCCTGACCATCATCGGGTCTGTGAACGAGAGCTTGCTGCGGCTCATCGGCGGGGAAGAGGTGGGTCGGTTGGCGCCGCAGAAGGTGGTTTCCAGAGACACGGAGCACGATGATGATTACGACGACGACGACACGGGTACGGGCGGGGGTGGCGTGGTACGCGGGATCAGCGTGCCGTACTGCAAATGGCTCATCGCCCCGCCCGGAGCCGAAGGCGGCGGAGGAAGATCGCAGGGCGGGGGGTCGTTACCGCCCGGCTACGCGTTCGGCGAGCTCCGCGGCGAGGACGAGCTCAAGCTGACGATCGCCCGGACGGAGATCCCCAAGACGGAGGAGACGCTCGCCCAGCTCGGCTGCTGCGGGGTACGCCACACGCCCGGATCTGCGTCTACGGCTACGGCTACGGCTACACGTACGGCCGCGGACGCGAGGGAAGGAGAGGGGCAAGGACGAGGCGCGTTGGTAGCGTGGGCCTTCCTGGGCGTCGACGGCAGTCTGACGTCCCTGCACGTGGAACCGGAGCACCGGGGTCGGGGGCTCGCGAAGGCGGTCTCGCGCCGACTGTTCCGATCCCTGGCGGACGATGCGTCGGCGATGGGGTTCCGGGCCGCTGACGGGGCCGGAGACGGAGTCGGGGGGTATGGCCGCGGCGAGGGCTGGGCGCACAGCGACGTCGCCGAAGAGAATCTCGGGAGTGCGGGCGTGGCGAGGGCGATGGGGGGGAAGGAGGGTTGGAGGGTTAGATGGGTCAGTGTCGATTTGGCGGCGGTGGTGGAGGAGAGATGGACAAAGCTGTTGGGAGAGGAAGCGGTACTCCGAGTTGGCTGATATTCTCTTAACTAGCTTACTTCCGACGCGCTTTTTTTGGCCAGCATCGACCCAAAAGAACGGTGTCATTTTGTGATAAGACTCGTCTCAGGGAGAGTGGTAATTTAGAAGAGTGGGAGAGACTGGCCTGTTGGCGACTGCTATCGTCAATGTTTTGGGGGCTGTACCGCCTAGACTGCCGCTTCTTTCGGCGCCTTGCCTAGAGAGTAGAGATGGTGGTCGAGTTTGGGGGCGGTTGTAAAATATTAAAATTGGGGTGTGGATTCTTCTTTATTAGGGTTATTGTCGGTACCGGAGACGGGAGGGTGGTGGAGGTCAGATTTGGATGAGGATGGAATGGAGAGATGGTATGGGTCATGAATGGATGTATAGACAGATGAGGAGAGGAGTAAATGATTCAAGAAATAGATCATGGTTCATTTAGAGCTAGTGTTTTATGCATTCGATATCCCAATACGGCCGAAGGAACAAGCCTTTGACTCATCCACAGTAAAAATCGTCGAGAAGTTCCGTCGCCAGTAATATGCATGAAACGCACTCAAACTCTCCGCTGGAAGAGTGTTGTCGCCACAAGCAAGGGTATAGTAAGTAGATGACATGAAGTAAATAAGGGTTTGATAAGAGAAAGCAAGCAGCCCTCAAGGCTTGATAGAAACCGATTTCTTGCGTCCAAAGATGGTCCTCGTCCTTGACTTGTCTCGTGGTTTTTTCTCCGGCGTAGTCTGTTTCACACCTCGCCCCTGGCGTTCGTTCTTGTCGCTTTCGTCTGCATATTTGGGTTTATAGATCCTGTCCGTATGTTAGCAGAAGGCCAGTTCTTTTGTCTCTAGATGGGACATACCAGCTATTGCCAACCATACTCATGCCCTTCGCCTCCGCCATCCTATAGTAATGAGCTGCCTTCTTCAAGTCTTTCTTACAACCCTGGCCCTGCGCGTAGCAGAATCCAGCCTCCGCCATCGCATCTGCGTCACCCCAGTTGCCTGCGATCTCAAAACATCGTAATCCGAGTGTTTTGTCTTGTTCGATGCCCCAGCCGTTCATGTGACTGACTCCGAGCTCGTATATACTCAATGCGAACTGTGCACGCCTGGTCTTCCGCTCTGTCATATCGGCTGGATTCCCGTTCTTGTCTTCATCAACTGCAACTTCTATGCTGGCACAGTCTGCGGCCTTACGGAGCCATTGCACGCCTTCTTGCTGGTTGGGACGCATGCCCCATCCGTGGCGACAGGCCAGTGCGTACAACAGCATAGCGGTTGGAAGATTCTGCCTCGCTGCAATGCGAAGGTGGTAGGTAGACTCTCGGGCGGCCCCACGCTCGTGTAGCTCAATGCCCTTTGCTAGATGATCTTCTGGGCTTAGCTCGGTAGACAGAGCTGGAGCACGAGGGCGTGCTTTGATGGTGCTTCCTGACCGAGTAGAGGCTGAGTATTCCGACTGAGCGTCGCTCTGGACCGGAGTTGGAGGTGGCCTATGATTCTGCTCAGGTGAACCGTTTGATCTCTGGTCGGTAGAAGGAAGAGCAGATCCACTAGAAGCCTGCTCAACGGAAGGCCTTGGTGAGCCTCTCGCAACCTGCTCAAAGGAGGGCCGTGGTGAGCCTCTTGGAATCTGCTCGTGAGAAGGGCGTGCGAAGAATTGGGGTCGCTGATCGAATGAACGGCGTGGTGAAGATCTGTGAAGCTCCAGGCTAGGTTTTGGCGACCGGGTAGGCGTCATGGGTCTGTTCGCGAGGGGTGTGGTAGGGCGAAGGTTTATTGGTGCTTGAGGTCGGTCCCACTCGAACACCAGCTTTTCATCCTGAAGGACCTTGAAGTCTCGCTGCAGCATCCTGCCACGGGGCAGGGAGTATTTGGCATAGATGTAGGAGGGGGCTGGTGCATCTAGTGGATTCTGTGGGTCCGGGATTTGCTCGTTGTCCATGCTCCCAGGCGTTTGCACACTATCATCCACGAAGAGAAAACGCTGGCTATCAAAAGATGGCTGACGGGATGCCGAGCTGAAAGGAGGTCGTACTGCATCCATCGACGGCCGGCTGTCGAAAGAGGGTTGCCGGGATGGGATGTCGGTTGATGGTCGGCTGGCTCTGCTGAGCGGCCTCGAGAAATTGAAAGTCGGTCGAACCTGGCGTGAGCCGCCAATGGAGTATTCAGAGTTTAGAGACGGTGACCGACCGTGAGCTTGTGTGAAAGGAGAAAACGGGGAGTGAGGCACCGAGAAGCCACTGCTTGAAGAGTCCTTCCTGTGTTGGGAAAATCCAGACCGGCCAGTAGAAGCACTGTGCTCATCATCCGAACTGTCTTGGGGAATCGACCTAGTGCTTCCCGCATAACGTACATGAGGTGATTTTGGTGGTGCTAACGAGCCATTGTATCCTCGAGAGGACGTAGAGGCGATAGACGTCTCACGTTGTGGCCCATGATGGTTGGAGGACTCGGGGTTCCCTGGCGGGTAGGCGAAGGGGTTTCGGTCCACCGCCTCAGCGCTCCTTCCTAGTGGAAATGTCGGTTCTGGTGACTTTGCTCTCGGCACGCCAAAATAGTCATTCGTCCGCACTGGGCTGAACTCCGCAGGTGTAAGGAAAGGTGGGTCTGGCGTAGGACCTTCATGGTACTCTGGTTCACCCTCAACTAGTGGTATATTACTCATTCGAGGGTAGAAGGATTTGGGTCGAAAATCTGGATCCTCCACCTCTGGCATTGTTCCAGATGGATCTTCATCCCTAGCTCTTGGAGGTGACCCTGGTAACACATTCTGTATTTCGGCGGACCTTGACCTGTTATACATGGAGTTTTGCTTCGTGATCGGATCACCAGTTGTGAGTGGAGGTAGCCTGCTGACTCGCCTGCCATTTCTCTTACTGTCGTCCAATTGTTTCGCCAGAAGTCGGCTTTGCATAGCAAACATGTCCAGCGGGGACATTGCCGGGGGTATGTCGCCCGCGAAGTGCTGCATCCTTGGAGATAATGTTCCAGATGTATGGACTGGGATACCGTTGTGCATTGATTCGTGAGACTTGGAGCTCAGGTCAATGAAGGTTGGACGTGGAGCCATGATGAAAGAAATGGAGAGGGGTCGGTAAGCTGATTCATCCGAGAGGCAAACACAAGTCGCAGTCACTGTCGCAGTGCATGTGCATGTGCATGTGCGGCTCAGGATGGTAGGAATATGGAGTAATCAAGGCGCAATGAGAGTATTAGCGCAGGATAGGCTAGGTGATTGAGGCGAAGTTCTTAACGAGCGACGGTGGTGAGATGGATCTATTATATTAGCATTGAGCTGTGAAAGAGGGAAGTCACGACCCCAGGCTGTCGATGGTCTGGTTTTTTCGTACGTGGTCGTCGGCACGGAGTAGGCGTTTGAGGTGGGTTAAGAGGGGTTTCACGACGATTTGGCGATCATGTTGGGATGATATAAGGATATTGCAGCCGGAGGATGTGCTATTTATTGACGGCAGCAGATGTCGATGTAGATGTGTTGAAGGCGTTATTGGTCTGACTATTGAGTAGGTGCTACTGACCAGAGAGGACGTTGGACAACGTTGAGTGGAGGCAAGGATGAAATTGATGATCTGATTCGGATGAAGTCCATGTGATGTGATTGGTTGGCTGGGTGGGAAAGAGGAAGTTGTTGCAATTGCAAGCGGGTGGATCTACTCAGGGGTGGTTAGGGCCTTGCATCTCGCCGCCTATAAAAATAGCTGCAGGGGCCCGGTGACCCTGGGGAGAAGATTGGTAGTTGCATTATTCGCTGCAGCATCCCTCAAGACTTCAACCTCAAAGCATCCGTACAGTCACCATATCGAATATTATGATTCATCCATCACACCAATCATTATTCTCGCTGCCTCTAATGTTTATGTAGCATTATCACCAAAATTCGAGGACGAAAATCCCCCCATTTTTATGCCAGATCTCTCATCATCTCCAGATCTGGGACTTGGCATTTTGCATAAGCGCAACCAATTGGGTTTCTGCCACTACTAGGTCGCATAGGTGCAACATTAATCTATGGTACTGTGTTTTCCAGTTTGGTTGAGTGTTTAGGTTTTATAATCTAATAGCGTTTTTAAATAGATTTTATTAATTGTTGTGTTTTTTTTTAATTTTTTTGGTGATGGTTGGCCGGGATAGAAAAATGGGGGTGTGGGTAGGGGGTCCCTTACATGTAAGTCCCAAGTCCCAATGCTTCACTTGCTCATCTGATAATGGACAAAGTATGAAGCTCATGTTGACCATGGACCAAAGAATGGAATCATTAGGTATTGGGAAAAATGGGTTGATTGCCTTCTATCTAACTTTCCGCCCCTTGAAAAATGCCTTCTGACTTCAGAGCACTCCTTAGTTCTGGTCTGCCTTCCAGCCTTCGTACCACAGCTCAAGACAATGTAAACATGGCTAATTGTTCGACGCCTAGAGTAGCCATGCCATAAGAACGATATCCGCAATGTTTCTGCCAGCTCTCACCCATATACCTCCTAGACTATGGTGACTCCTTATGATGTAACAAAGGCCTCTGCCGGTAAGGTCGCCTAGGCATAACCATGTAAGTAAGACCGTCATGTAACGAAGATATGCAGACAAACCTTAGCTTGCCCAAATGATGCTGCCGCTCCTTCCAAATTCCACCCACACTGTTCCAGGCACAATCCCGAGAACTCTAATGTCATCCCTGTAGCTTTGCTCAGCTCCACCGCCAGCACCTCCTTCTGCACCTGCTCCTCTGTTTTGCCAGGCGCGGACAATGCGAATCCCGCCGGCACATTGATCTGATGTTGTGCTTGTGCCGTTGGATCGGAGGCGCTATCCTCTACTTCAGGCCGCCACGCATCGTGGCCTCCATACTGTCTCAAGACAAGTGTATCACACGCAACGCGGATACCTCCAACCCCTCCTCCTGGCCCCAAGACAAACGTACGATCAAAACTCCGTATTGCTGTTGATTGGCCGCTTGAAACATCCACCTCCGCGAATTCTCCATGCAACATGACCATGAGCCCACCGACGCCGCTTGATGATTGTCCGGTTGGGTCTGGTAAACCTGGGATGGTGTGACACTCGACACACCATTTTTGCGGCTCTGCCATTATGTCGGGATGACGAGTGACTGGTAGGGTTGTGAACCCATCTTTGATACTCTCCGCACCGGTGTATAGACGTGACATTCGACTTGGCGGGTGGGTGATCTTGGTTAGATTTCGGCTCTTTCTGAGGTATGCTTCCCAGCCAGGAGGTTTCTGGCTCGTGGTTTCGGCGATGTGGGGAGCGGAAAGGTTGATGCTGATAGAGAAAGTCGATTGGGCATCGTAATATCCATTGACCAGAGCGGTGCGATCTCCATCGTAGGCAGGGAAGAAGTGTTTGACAAAGGTCTCGCTAATAGCTGCTTCGTCACGAAAGCTAGGCCCAAGGATTGGGATTGGTAATTTGCGTTTCACCGCGGCTCTAGCATCCTCCAAGGATCTTATTTGTATTGTGTTGAGAGTAGTGAGGGTAGGATACCATTTCACGATGTCGTCTTTATATGTCGGCACCTCCGTCTCAATGGGATTTCCAGTAAGTATAATTTGGTCGAGCTTACGGAATTTCCACCGCCATCCATCAAGCGCGGTGAGGTTCTTCAGTTGATTGTTCGAGAGGTCGAGGTTTTTGAGTGCTGGAAATGTTTGCGAAAGTGTAGTAACCGAGGCTATGGTAGTCAGGGCGTTGTTGGCCAGCGAAACACTAACGATGGCCTCCTCCTTGGCGTGCGCGGTTGTGAAGATGCTATCGCAGATCTTCATGAGCGCTGGGAAAAACTTCGATTCCCGTGAGGTTGTGCTGAACATGCCAATATTGACAAGTTCGGGATCCGTGCCGAGTTGCGACAGGTCTAGGAGCTTCGCATCTGTACTGTACCGCCGACTGAGAACAGATTTCAGGACGTTGATAGTGTTAGGTGTTTCGGAGTCTGCGTTACTCGCCAGTGGTTCAGATATTTTCCTGCGAGAAACCTCAATGCCTAGCGTAGCTCCGGCAAACTGGAAATTGTTGAGTCTCTCAATCTTAGGAGTATCCTCTGGTCGCACTGAAATAATCAGAGCTTCACCCTCAAGTCGTGACTAGACAACGTTAGCAAGGCATATAAACCTTGAAGTTGCAAGTCACCCAAAGGCGGTAGCGTGAAATCTCGGTCGTCGTTCTGAGAGCTTGGCTTGAAACGAGGGCGGACCGGAGAGTTTGGAGTGTTGGTATCGCTGTTGCCTGGCGGAATGCAATGTCAAACATACCTTCTTTATCTTTACCGTCTCTGGAGCATCCGGGTGGGTCGCTTTTCGTTCCAGAAATGCAATCAGTTCGGATATGCCACCACCTGGATTGGCAGCAGCTTTGCTCTGCTTGAATCCCTGAACTGTGATCTGGTCCCACGCTTCATCTATGGGTCGGGTACTTCCTCTTCCCCGTACATTTCTCAAGCTGGATCTCTGTCCTCTTGGCGATTTCTCACTGGAGCCCATGCCTCGCAGGACGGCTTTCTGTATTGCTGAAGGATCGATTCCTGTCCGAGTAGGACGTGATGTTCTTGCACCAAGTGAATCGGGTGTGCCCCTCTTCTGCGTCCGTGCCGATCCTCGGATGGCGGCGCCACGTCCACGACCACTCGCTCGACCATTTGTACCTGCTTGGTCCATCACCAGATCTCCATCCTTATCCACTCGCGCTGGAGTGGTGTTGCGTTTTTGAATGCCCCCTCTGCTTGGGAGACGACTTGAAGCGAGGCGTCCTGAAGCCCGAGGCCCGGTGGGTGGTGGAGGCTGGTGAAGCATGCTTGCCGTGAGATGTCGAAAGCTTGGGTTGGGAGAGAGAATCGGATAGAATAATGGGGTTGGTACTCTTGGTCGCTTTCGTACGGTAATGGGTAAAAAGGGTTGTCGAAGGACAAAGAATGTTAGTCGAGATATTGATGGAGTAGCTTTTGTGATAGCTGGCCAGAGCTAGCGACAAGCTCCGGATGCGGTAATGATGCTCTCCGGAGACATGGACATGGACTGCAGAGTGGTAGACAGATTTTACTTTATGTGCTTCCAATGGTGAGTGAGTGTTGAAAATTGTTCACGATATTGAGTCACATGTTTCAAAGAGGGCGTTTCTGTGCCAAGCCGCTAACCATATTGAGTCTTAGCAAACTTCCCAGCCAAGCTACATTTTCTGATCATTCGTGACTATTGAGCCTATCTAATTTGTTTGCGCATGCATTCTGGCTAGAATCTGTCGCATTGGCGTCATATACCCAGTCTGCACAGTCCGAGAACATGAAGTAGACCGCCAGATAAACGTACTATAGCAAACAGAATGTACTTAGCTTTGGGTTCTACAATTGTTGCCATCGAAGACCGACCCGTCCACATGCGTAGAAAATCCGAGCGAGATTAGAACAATTGAAAGAGCCATTGGTGGGCTCAAGCTTTCTAGAGCTTCTTCGTGCGCATCCATCCGAGATCGTGTAGAGCAATATAATTGAGCAATAGTGAGAGACCAAAAGGCAGGAAATTGGCCGGTGTAAAGGTTCGAGGTCACAGACAAGCGCTCTGAGGAAAACGTCCCTACGCTCGCGTCAGACAAGAGAGAAGGCTTACCCATAAGATGTCTTAATATTCGGGACCCACTGGGCGGCAATGGCGCAGCAATGAGCCGACGCTTCATTATTGATGCGAGACCAAGTCTAGGCCAGGGATGAAGCATTGATGTCGTCTTGGCGTACGCATCTATCGTTTAGAAGTGACTAAGAAAACATTTACCGTAAGCATGGTGGTGGTGAGCTGATTATCAGAGAAGTGTGACCGATAAGCCTTGCTCGATGACTGAAAGCTCACCTATCTTCGAGTCCATTTCTCAGCATTGTATAGTTGCAAGGGATTGTGGGATTCTGCCCTATGGTGAAATGCTCGAATACGATCCAGCGATACTATGAAGCCGTCGTGGTCTCGAGTGTACTTGACCTTCTAGGCGATTACTGCGTATGTGTGACGATGACCGTATGAGTGGATTGGCGAGATTACAGCACTGACAAAGATGGACTATTGTGAGAAATCACTTGTGTATGGTAGAACTGCATGGTTGAGTCGACCGTATCTTGTACTGACTGGTCGTTACGTGTGGAAGGAGGAAGCTGGAGCAGGCGGAGCTGAATGACGATAGTGTTACAATTTGATGAGCAAGCTGATTAGGATGATGACCTCTGTGGGAGGAGCTTCGGACGCGCCAGAGGCCGATGCGAGCCTCAAGATTGAAAATAAAAGCTTGCTGTTCCGTCGACCGCTGATCAGAGCTCCAGCCAGTACACTTTGGTAGATGAAGCCGAAATGCCGTCTCCGTATTTGACCCTAACATCAACCGAATGGAAGGAAAATAAATGATGCCGAGACTTTTGGACTGAAGGAAATCCTCATCGCTGAGCTGCCTTGGTATGATAATGCTGGAAGCAAAGCCATGCTGAAAGTACCGACAGGACCTGCCGTATCCCTAGAGCACCATAGCAAGAAACCGCAAGAGCCATTTTCGCCGTGTACTGAGACCTCTAATTCTGAACCTTCGAAACCGCTTGACAGGTTTGGGCGCATTATTTGGCAGAGCGCTCCGCACCTGAGTGGATTAGCGAACTGCAATTTATCGACGGGAGTACCTATCGTCAGAACGGTAGTCTTGGTCTCTACCTCCACCGTACGAGTCCCGAGTCTCTCTTGAGGGAGCATCGCCGTACGCAGCATGAGAACGCCCACCATCTCGACCGGCATAAGAATCATTGCCACCACGGTAGTCATCACCGCGGCTACTGCTGTAACGATCATCGCGCCCGCCTGATGCATACCTGTCAATTCCTCGAGAGCCGTAGTCATCACGACGTCCATACGAGCGACGCTCACGATCATCGTAGCGAGAAGATCCACGATAGCTGTCATCGTAACGGCCACCGCCATATCCACGGTATCCACCACCACCACGACGATCATCGAAGCGATCGAAGCGGCCACCACGTGGTGGACCACGGAAGTCCTCTTCTAAATACCAATGTCAGTTCTAAAGATTTATGAGGTACCGGGGATACTCACCTCGCTTTGGCGGGCCAAAGTACTTTCCAGGAGTGGGAGTCCTAGGACGAGCACGCCTAGCTTTCTCAATGCTTAGAGTCCGACCTTCGATATTCTCACCCTGAAGTCCCTCCTTGGCAGCATCGGCCTCCTCTGCAGTAACCATTTTGACGAATCCGAATCCACGAGACTCTTGGGTATGCGGGTCCTTCATGATCGAACAACCTTCGACGTTGCCATATTTCTCGAAAAGACGAGAAACTTCTGCTTCAGAGAGACGAGGATGAATGCCAGTGACGAACAGATTTGAGCCTGGGTTGCGGGCGCCTGACTCGCGATCATCTTGGTTGCGCTCAGGAGGGGGACCACTATGTTGACCGTCAGCTGAGTGTCCACAGTCATACTGGGATTGTTGAGCAGTATACCGAGAGTCCATACGGCCATTCGGAGAGGCGCTCCTATCACGCCCTCCGCGATAGTTGTCCTCACGCTTCATGGGGTAATCATCATCACGCTTTGGGCGAGGTGAAGCGCTTCGGTCACGTTCGTAGCGTGGCTCATCATCTAAGAAGCATCGTCAACTATGAGTAGATTTTCTCGTTACAGTACAGAGGGACACCAAAAGCAAAAGATGAGAGCGAGTGATTAGGTTTTACATACTGTCGTAGCGACCATTCTCCTGCTCATAATCCATGGTTGCCATTGCGACCAGCGAGTGGAGACGTGAATGCAGGTGAGGTAGTACCGAAGCTTGCTCTTCGAAGAAACCGGGGTTTGCAAATCTCTTGAACAGTGTAGAGAAGATGAGGTCTAATGTTTTTGATGAGTAGCAATGGTGAGTGTGGAAGAAGTCGGTATTGTTCGGTGTGGATGGAACAAGGGAGGAAGTACTTTTACTCTCGCGACTCTCTTTTTTTCTAGAATGCGCGGCTAGTTTAGCGCCAACGCTAACCAAAAGCGGCCTAAACTAATGAAGTAATGTGATGCCCTATGTTTCTTACAATGCCCTTGCAAACGGGCAAATTTGGTGAAGTACGGATAAGCGTGTAGAGAGATTGTTTCTAGTTGAAAGGCTGCTATCAAGGCATGCATGAAAGATAGACTATGATACAAATCTGATTCCACAGCTACGTATTATCATGATCGCGAGAAACAATTTCGAGGTGCAACGAGGCACGCTGCTTGAGCATTGCCTAACATCCTCCGTGTCCTAAGCCCGGAACTCCCCTCATGTTGCAGAAGAGTCATGATCCTGAGGCGCCCCATGCAAAGTTAGAAAAAGGTCCGCCGTCTCCGTCCCTTTTTGACAGCCTTGCGAGTTTTGGCAGTTTTCTCTTCTGCCTGCTGTCGTGCCAAATCGCCACCACCTTCAGCCTCTTCAGGCTCTACTAGCCCCGAGAGCTCCTCTTCATCCATATCACTCAAATCCTCGCTCATGCCTCGCACAAGCTCTCTTCCTTTCCACCGCTCCTCTTCGATCGTGGTGCCTACTGGGTCAAAGCATTCCATGTACCATGGAATACCACCCTGTGAAAGCGGTTGAGAATGGCCCCCAGAGCTCAATGGTGGCGTTACTGGTTCTGGAGGCGTGTCCTTACCTAATTGGTGGGATACATGTTCGTCGAAATTACCGTTTGACGTGTGGTCATCGCCAGCCGCGCCGTTCGTTGGTGGCATAGACTCTGGAGTTGGCTGTTGACGATGACCCTTGTGCTTGGCTGATTTTGAGGCAGTAGCCTGCTCTCTGTGAGATGCATGGGCGATAGCAGGATCGAGTTTAACACCAACGAGGTTTCTGGCATTTTGATTGAAACCATTAGCACTGTTCTCATCAGAACTACCTCCGCTGATTGATTGCCGTTGCTGTATAGGGTCAGCTCCACCTTCGCCTAGCTGCGATCCATTCCTTGAATCGCGTCGAGAACGCACACTTGCTTCAAGTAGCCTCTCCAAGTCGCGGAGCTCTTTTTCGTGGGGCCTGCCTAACAATTCACTTTCCTTTCTCATCGCATCTTCAAGTGGGCCTTTGACGGCTTTGACTATTCTGTTTGCAAGCATCTTTTTGGCCTTGTGGTCAGCGATTAAGTCTTTCGATAACACTTCACCATTAACATGTGGCTGGCCCTCGGTTGCGTCGACTGTAGGAGACGGATCTAGTGCAGCCTTGACCACGTCACCGAACTTTTCGGAGAAGGCTTCAACTGACGTATGACCACGTCTATTCAAATGCTCCTCAAGATCAGCAAAGCCTTCTCGGAAAACTCCCTTGCCATCAAGTCTGTTTAAGAGAATGAGCACAGTTTCGATTCATGCAAGCAAGTAGAGCACTTACAGTTGAGCCTTTTCCAAGATTGGCCACAGGACTGGTGTGATTGGGAAGTAGACGATGTCAACGATTTCTTTCAAGATCTTCACGTCATCGAGCTTTAGCTTTTCTTTCTCCTTTATCAGGCTGCTCAACTGTCTTATCTTGCCAACCTCTTGTAGAAGCTGCTCCGCAAAATCAATCCGTCTCTGCAGTCGCACCCCGCCAGCTGCTCCCATGCCAACAAAATTTCGACGAGTGATCTCCATCGATGAAAAGGTTTCCATCTGCAGTTGTAACCTCTTTAACAAAGCTGCGCCTCTCCGAGCTTCTCTTTTGAGAGTCCAGAATTTGCATGCTTCAGCAGCAAATTCTTTTCGTTTTCGGATAGCAAATCGCTGCAGAGAAGCTTCCACTGTATTATAAACCGCTTGCGGTATGACTGGTGCGCCCGAAGGTAGTCTCCACACGACCTTCGGCGGCTGATTAAGTTTCCGCTTTTTGGAGTTTAGCGTGAGTGTAAGCTTGGGATTCGAAGGCTCTTCCATTGGCTCTGGAATAGGGATGCCTTGCGTTTGTGATGCACCCATCGTCAGTGCAGATTGTTGGCTATCTGCCCAGAGTCTGCCACGCATCGTGCGTCGATAGAAGTCTAGTGCGTCTCTGGTCGCATTATCAACGTCATGCTCTCTACGCCAGTCTGCTGGGACATGCTTGTCACAAAAGGCTTTGAGTACACTCGCGTCGATACTTGCTGGTCCGCCATGGGTTGATTTCATCTTAAGGAAGAGTCTGGCTCTTCTAGCGCATGTAACGTGGAATGCAATATAGCAGTTCTTGTTCCCGCACTGTACACAGGCACCCATTCTCTGTCGACAGATATAACACGTTAATTTCCATCTGGCCTTTGGGACTTTCTCGACGTCCATCACCGGCTCCATGAAGGTATTGTTGCCTATGGAGACCTCAGGAATCCAGATTGCGCACAATAGATGAGACCACCTCGAGGCATTCGTCTGCTTGAATGCTCCGTCCGTGTTAGGACAGAAGATACATGTAGGAGTCCCGCGGCCGATCAGTTGGCACTTTCGGCATAACCATTGCCCTTCAGGTATGAAAGGCACTCCATAGCACTCTTGATGCACAGCTAGGTCGCAGCCGTCACAAAAGACGATTGCATTCGTATTTTCGCAGTCACCATCATCGCAAATTGCGCATTTGGTGTCTTGCTCTTCTCCAAGGGCGCCAGACTCACCATTGACCGCCGCCGCAGAGCTAGAACGCGGGCGATGAGTTTGTGGGGGTTTCGGATTTGGCTTTGGAATTCTCTTCTCGAGGGCATGCCATTCCTTTTCGATCTTCGTCATTGTGATCTCGAAGATCGCAGGTTTGATGGCCTCGACTCCATCCTCTTTTCTATGGATGTTGTGGGCCTCGAGCCAAAGATTGTCTTGCTCATCCATGTCATATTCGACTCGACCAACCACAGCACTACCGATAGCTGAGTTGCCCTCGCCCTCATTCTTCTCCCCAGTGGCCATGTCCAGGTCTTCCTCAATATTTCCCTCGGTCACACGGATCAATTTCTTCTCTGGCCGGATCCAGATTTCGCTCTCCTGGTACCCTACGTTGGCCATAGATCGGTCTACGTAGTTGAGCTTTTCAACGTGCTTCTGCTCGTATTTGAGGAAAGGATCTAAACGGCGGAATGAAGGTTTCGGCAGCGTTAGCTTTTCCCGTGGGTTGAAACCAGGAAGTGGAATGACCTTAGGAACCTCGGGTGTGCCGATACCTTTCAGCATCGAGTCTGCTCGACGAGGCGGGCGTCCTGGACGTCGCTTGGGAGTGGCTTCCATTGCTCCCGGAGTGGCGGAATTGCGATCATAGAGGTTGCCATGTGTTTGTACCTCGCGATCTTCTGTCGCGAATTGCTTGGCCCCTTCTACAAAAGCTGGACTGCCATTTCTGCCGTCGAACGAAGAGTTTGGTGCAGGTCTTGTGATCCCATCAACCTCATGTGCGCTGAAGACGGGAAAGAGTGCGCCAATATCCAGATCAGGATGAAATTCGTCCCAGCTTCTTTCTTCTCTCGGCTTGAACCCATCGCCATGCACCACTGCAGCGGCTGCGGCGGCGGCAGAGCTGAATCGAGGTCTTGCTGGAACACGTTCTCTTCGACTTTCGCGACGCGGACGTGGGAACTCGACTGGTGACACCCCGTTGGCTACATTTTCGCGCCCTAGTCTCCCCCTTGGTCCAGTGTAACTGTAATCTCCCGGGCCTGTTCCACTGATTGCCAATTCCGTCCCCTCGGAAGTCAGATACCGGCCACCGCCGCCAGGACCACCCGGTACATATTTTCGACGTTTCGACGACCGTGTCTCACCGATGGAAGGACTTTCGGCAGAAGAAATCTGTGGATCAGACCTTCGGTTAGATCTTGCTCGGGTGTTGAAAGCGCGGCGGCCACTGGATGAAGGAAGAGGCGCCATCACTGCGCTCGTAGTGTACGATCAGCTCGCGTTGCTGGTGTGGTAAGCTCAGCATTTGCTGACGTGTGAGTTCAGCATTTCAAGGTCTTCTGATTTTTCTTGGTTTAAGGATTGTATGGAGTCACCAATCTGTGAACGGTGGGATGCACGGATCAGTGCGTGCTCGCAGGGGCAGTCGCCATTGATGAGGCTCATTGCAGAGATGAGGTTCAGAACGCTAGCTCGGCTCAGGGAAAGCTTCGGCCGCGGAATAACGCGCTAAATATGGCACTAAATTCGCTCCGAAATAGCGAGTCTAGAGTACCTACCTGACCTTAGAGCAGTGAAGATAAGCAAAAAGCTCTCGCTGGAATAACGGTAGCTATCTACAAGGATCGCGGACAGGACGTCAACGGGACCCCTAGCACTTTCAGTCAGTCCAGACTTCAAATGTCGAACAATGCCTGGGCTAGCAACGGCCGCGACAGACAACATTCATACAATCCACCCTCAGAAGGCCCTCCGACACCCTCTTTTAATTCTCAAGAGGTGCGAGATTGCTTGAAAAATGGTAAAACTATAGAGACATAGCATCTTATGACTAAGTTTTGACGCGTATCAGCAATCAAAAACCTCACCTCCGAAGAAGTCAAAGCATCAAAGTACCAGCCGGGAGCCGCAAATAACACGAGATCTGGGCAAGCTTGGGCTTCCAATCGTATGTCTACCAGCCTTCAAAACTCACTTTACTCAGCACTGATGATCTATAGCCAAGAACATGAGCAATGGTAAAGACTTCTACGTCGAGCTTCGCAAACAGGTGACCGCCATGCAACAGGGTGGCGAACGTGCTGGTGTGTACATCTCGTTGCATTTATACCTCATCTGAAGTTGCAAGATAAATTCCGGAAGCGGAATGGTTCTTTATTCCATTAGAACTGCCTCATTACTCGAATTATTGCTCGGAAGAAGAGATGCTGACTCCGAACTCTCCATAGGCGGATAAGATAAAACGATACACATCAACCCCTAGAGCCTTCCCGTCTCTGCTACATAAACAGGACTCTAGAATAGGGGCTCGCCTTGGGACTTTTTGGTCCCCACTCAAGCTTGGCGGCACTCAGCAAAGCAGCAGTACAGCAAACGCTGCATACCGACAACAGCCAGGCCTAAGATCGAGAAACACGCATGTTTACCTTGTTGGCCTCTTCGCTGCAAGATCGTGGTAGCCCGCTTGATCAGCTATTCGACGCTGATCAAACGCTTGGCGTCTACTTCATACGAGGTGTACCTGCAGGACTAGAATGTGTTCAAAATGTGTGGGCACAGCATTGCTTCTACATCGCATGTCTTAATAGGGTCCAGGCGTGCTTTCAGAACAAGCGGCAGTTGCATGAACTTAGTCTACAGAGTACTTTCCACAGAAACACTAGGCGTGGATCGAATAAACACCCCAAAAGCTTCCTCTCCGCTCCTCGGCATGATGAAGTTTTGAGGTCGCACCCCTAGGTGTTGTTGGAGGTATTTAGTTCGTATTAGGTTCGATTCCTAATGGCGCTGTTACAATGGTGTTGCGGTGCTTCTTATTTTCCCTAGGCTGCTTGATAAAGTAATAAAGCGAAGCGTCTTGTCTTGTGCTTAGTGCCTCAGTCTGCACTTCGACTCACCACATGTCACACTGCTCGCTCGTGATGGTGACCAAAAAGCAGGCACTCGAACATCGCGCATTAGCTCGGTACCCTAGGCTATCCGATAATGGAGGTTAGGTGCAAGCTAATCCGCCATAGGCAGGTAAAGTTTCCGTCTCACTGCGTTTGATTGTCCGACTGGTTGGTGTTCATCCGACATGTGCAGAGGCTTGCATAAATTTCGTTATCCCACCGCAGCGAGCGCAGAGAATCTACCCCACCTGCAAGAACCAGCGCTTAGCATCGAAACAACCACTCTGATTCGCTAAGCCCATTCGCAACTGAGGGTTTCCTTCTTGTATACCGTGGATGGGAACTGGGGAAGACAAGATATATAGACGCTTCGCAGCTCCAATTACTGTTCTCTCTCCACCTCTTGCTCCACTACCTGTCCTTGTCTTTGATTTAGTACTTGCCAATTTCTTCTCATCTGATCGATTGGCTGGTCCAATTCTGACATCGCTACCTCCTTTCCTTGATCAAACACGCTTATCACATTACTCCCATACCTTTCCTGTTGACCAGGCCATCTTCCTCCCTCATCCTTGCATTCTTCTGGCAATCCGCCACAAGGCTCCCACGATTTACATCATCCTTCCCTCACCAACATTCATCATAATCCCGGCGCCACTGTCAATATGCTTGCCCGAGCAGCCAGACCTAAGCTTGCCGTTCTCACCGCCACACCGACTACCCTCACTAAGTCTCCCCTTCCACGGACACCCCTCTCACCTTCCCCAATGAGCCCCACAGTCCGTAATACCCGCCTCAACCAGCGAGGTTTCTCCACCTTGCAGCCACCTACATTCGCTTACGCCGAGCCCTCAAATACCAAAAGCATTCTCAAGAAGGGACAACCTTCACGCTCGACAGGAAAGAAGCTTCAGTTCAGAGAGGAGCCTGCGGTCCGATGCATCAGTCCTGTTCCAGAGGATTACCACGGCACATACGTGAAGATGAGCAAGGACGAGCGAAGATGGGGAAGCGGCAGGATCTTGTGAGAGGGAAATGGAAGGGTAGTGGGGGCCGCATTCCCTACTTTGCCTCTGGTCGAGCGGTCTTCCGCCCGAAAAACGCGCCGAGCCGTTGGAGCTCTCCGGGTGATAGACAAGGCTATGTGGCAGAAGACCTTGGGGAGAGGCTAGCATATGAGGACGTATTCATGAGATAGATGACAATGAAGCATGACATTTGCAAACGTACTCTTTGGTGACCTGGATACATCTCGTGACAATAATTCCATGGGATGAATAATCGCCATGGAGCTAAGACTGCAAATATAGCTTTGACGTTGAAGGCTCACAACCTGCCACGAAAATGTGTTCCGTGGTTTCCGTTTGGTCCTCATTATCTTAAGCTAAAAGTGTTCAAAGAACCGAGCAAGTGTAAACGGCCGAGGTGAGACCTTCTTGATACTCTGCAAGGTCCCACAGCAAATATTCTGAAACATGGTCCTAAGTGTACGGAATCGCGTTAGAATTATGGAAAGCTGAACCTAGCATAAGCACTTGGACGACGTAGGAGAATTAACCCGAAAGCCGTTGAAAGATAGCCCCGCAACATCCCGCCCACGAAAGCCGAAGTTCAGGTGACGAGCGAGGCGGTGCAACAATGGTGGTGATGGGTATGTACGTACCTGCAGTAGCCGTACCTGAAATTTTAACTCGAGTAGGTAAGCGTCAGGGGGCGAAGCCAGCTTTCTTCAAGGCAATTTGAGGCAGGCTGGCAGCTGGTTTGAAGGAAGTCAGAGATACGTATCGTTCTTGTTCCAGGGCGAAGTCGGCCAAGCCAAAATCTGAAACCCGAGGACTTTGTGTGTCAGATTGGATTCAGCAGACGAGGCAAACTTCTCAAACACGAGGACTCGTGTTTAGAAAGGAGCGCGGTAGATGATGCTGCGCCCATGGATGATGGTGAAAGCCCCAAAATTTGAAGGCAATTTGTGAGGCTCTGTTCTCAGCGTTCTGCCATCACAGCACATTGTGGTCATGTGGGAAAGAGTCGCTCTCGGATGTCTGTCCGAGCACCCATCGTTGCATCGCATTGTCAAGCCGGAGATGAATTTAAACCAATACACACATTTACACTTATCCGTTACATCAACGGCGTAGTTGCCTTATCCGGTAGGGTTTTCCTCCAGAAGATCACTTCGGCGCAAGGTCTACTGTTTACAAGGTGGAATATCCGTGGAGGAGTCGGCGAGGCTCCCAAAGTCAAAAGCCATCCCCAAATTCTCAATGTGCCTCTGTGCCTCTGTGCCTTCTGTGCCTCAAACAAAGTCCTTCGACTCTCAGCACGAACTGATGAATACATTGCGATTGCAGCGCATGATGGAGATCTGCACACCCTCTTCCCAGGTTTCCCCACTCGGCCAGCTCGCCGATTTTGGCACTGTGGTAGGCATCAGTGATGCAGAGAAAGGGCAGATCAAAGCCTCAATCTTTTAGAAGTTTAAAAGTATAGTAGGTAAGTACACTTCAGTAGAGAAGGGTGACCCGAAAATAGAAGTGATCTTCACCCATCGTAGACTAGCTCCCGCCCTTGGCACCGCGCTTACTTGCTCCCAACCGCCGGACCAGCAAGCATGGAACAAAGATAGAACAGATAGAACGGAGAAGTCAGCACCTAAGATAATTGGCCTATAGAACGAGACCTCCTCCAAACTTGCCGGGTCTTCATAGGTCGACCTTGTTGACGCTTCTTCCCCTCGTGGCCGAAGAAAGCTATGTTTCACATTTTAGCTCCCTAAAGAAAAACATTCCAACAATAGCCCTTCTCTAGCCCTTCTCCTCTGGCGCCAAGGCCAAAACAGGTACCACCAGAGACCGCCATCATGGCCTGCATACCCAGCTTGCTGCAAAGGATTATAAGTTCGTATGCTTCGCCTCAACCGCATCATGTTTACTTCTTCACAACGCAGGAGTAGTCGGTAAAACACGACCAGCGATCAGGGGCATTCTCTTACTGGTACCTTCTCTGCTTCTCTGCTTAGCCTTCTCTGTTTCTTCGCTTTTCCTTACCATCCACATGCTTCCTGCATCATAAGCCTTTCCTAGCTTCATCTTGCATATATAACCCCGCGTCCTGCCTTGTCTTCCAGACGATCTTTTCCTTTCTCTGTATCTCTTCCTTCTCCTTCCTCCCGGTGAGGTTACATCACAGTCAATCATTACGTACTTTTCTTTATCATAAGATGCCCAGAGCACCCAAGCCCACTACTACACAACACCGATCAACGCCTTACCCAGTCGCTACTTCAACCACCTTATTACCTTCAGCTATGGCGTCCCATCACACATCATCCCAGGCCTCGGCCTCGGCCTCGGACCGTCATGCATCCCAGTCCTGGCCTCCAGAGAACGACGAGCTGCTCATGCTTGCTCGCCAACGAGGTCTCAATTGGCAACCCATTGCCTCCCAGTACTTCCCAGACAAGACCGCCAATGCCTGCCGCAAGCGCCATGAAAGACTCATGGACAAGCGGAACAGCGCCGATAATTGGGACGGCGTCAAGGTAGAAACACTAGCCAAAGCCTACGTCGACGTCCGCGAGCAAATGTGGAAGATCCTCGCCGACAGGATCGGCGAAAAGTGGCAGAATGTTGAAGCAAAGGTATGCCACCCTACTTGTGATCGAACAAAGTATACATTGGTTAACAAGTGATCTAGTGCATGGAGAAAGGCCTGAAGACCCTCCAGACAGCGGGCCGTACAGCCTCACGGCGCGAAGCTCGCGCAAATCTAGGCCATGACTTCGACTCCGACGAGATCATAGACAGTCGCTTTCCGCCATCCCGGCGTGAGCGCTCCCGATCGCATCAAGATGAAGAAGACGGCTTCAACGATAGCGCCATTGGTCCTGAAGATCATCCATTCGTCAACGGCAATGCTTTCGGATCGAGCAGAGATGACCACCAGCCAGCCTCTTACTCCGCTGGCGGCATATCTAATCCTTCACCTTCCTATAGCTCCGCCCGGTCGTTTAGCATCAACAGCAATGCCTCCTCTTCATTGGCAGGGTTTACGCCCACAGTGACAGCCGCACCTCAATTTCCTTCTATTCACCAGCAACCACAGACACTTCCGAGCTTCAGTGCTGCCTTTGGCATGCCAAGTATCTCAGCCGTTTTGCATCACTCGCCGCATCATTCGCCGGCTGTTACGACTCACTAGCACAATGACGACGAACGGATATTGCACTCTGACTTATACTACTTACGATACCTTTTTAGACCTCTTTCTTTTCTTATCAGCCTTCGTTTTCTACGTTTATATTTGCGGGGAACACGTTACAATGTGAAGAGGACGATTTTCCTTAATTTTTGTACGATTAGAGATGGTGGTGTATGACTACCAACTTTCTTTAATTTCAGATTTACGAAAAAGCGTGCTTCATAGCTTGTATCATTAACTGTCTAATGCTTAAACGTCATATCCACGATCACCACCACCACCACCACCTCAAGACTTGCTATATATCCCGTTTTCTCCAATACTCCGCACCCAGAATCCCTCGATCTTCTGCATTGGGGTCAATTGACCACTATACCATTTCGGTGTCAGAAATTCTCTTCTTGGACGGGTTCCTGAGTCTGATGATATGTTTGAAGAATATGGAAAGGGTATCAACCGTTCAGGAAGGGCGCTTACTTTCGGTAGCGGTCTGCATCTCAAATCGCTCTCCCATCCATTCTCATATATCTCCATGCCCGTCCAAGCAATCATAGCGGCATTATCGGTGCATAGCTCAACGGGTGGGAAGATGAGCGTGACGTTTTGGAAACCACGGGCTGTGAGGAAGGAGCCGAGCCTATCATGATCCTAGTCAAAAAATGCTAACACATGACTGCAAATAGCAACATCAACGGCAAGGACTTACACAGTTCTCAGAAACGCATTGCTAGCCACGCCGCCGCTAACAACTAATGTTCCTACCCCGCTCCCTTTCTTCCTCAGATCTCGTAATGCCAATACCACTCTACTGGCCAAATGTTCAAACGCAAGCCTCATGCTCTCGCTCGCCAGCTCTATCCTCTCCTCATCTTGCATCTTTTCTTTCCCTTCATAGATCCTCTTTACCGCACTACCGAGTCCGGAGAACGTAAACTCCATGGCTTTACTCTTTGATCCTGACCTCGTTTCCGCAAGTGGTGGGACGAGCGCCCAGCCCCATTTGGTAGAATTTCTTGCAAGCTCTTCTGCGCGACTAGTGGGTGCAGTGTAATTGTGATCGGCCGAGCCATTGGGGAAAGCAAAGCGCTCAAGATGGCGGCCGTACATTATATCCGATCCTTCCTTCAATACATCAGGCGGGAGCACCAATCGCGCGATTTTGTCGATACAGTCGCCAATAGCTATATCTGTCGTCGTAGCGAGTATGGCATGATCGCATATTTCCTTCGAATGCACGAGCAAAGTGTGACCTCCTGAGACGAGCAGAGAGAGGAATGGGAAAGGGGGCGCTGCGTTGGGAGAACTGCCAGAAAGAGCCGAAACGAGGCGAGGCGTGAGCGCGTGTGCTTGCATGTGGTTGACGCCCACGAGAGGGATTTGCCACGCGACCGCGAGGCCTTTCGCGGTGTCCAGGCCGGTAGCGAGGCTGGAGCGCATACCCGGTCCACGAGTGACTGAGATAAAGTCGGGCTTGGAGTTTCCTGTATTTGGCAAGACGTGGAGGGCCTCTGAAATCAGAGCCGCTAGATTCTCCTGGTGGGATTCGAGAGATACAATTGGGTGTACGCCGCCATGGGCGCTGTTGTTGGCTGTGATTTTCTGGTGGAAGTGGAGCTGTGTATGAGGCGCCGCATCATTGGATTTTTGGAGTATTGCTACCGATGTGTCGTCACTACCACACTCTTGTCAGAACAGATGGTGAATAATTAGATCAAGAGGTCATTTATACCATGAGGTTTCAATGGCAAGGGTCAAGAGCTTGCGGCGGCTATGCGCGAGATTTGCTGCTCGTGCGAAGGAAAGTGCTGGACGTCGCAGACATCTTGAATGCAATACCAGCATCCGTTTACCGGCAATAGCTAGGGAGCAGAAAACACAAAAGCATCAAAGCACCATGTTCTATAATAACTGCCCACTCTATCAGGCACTCGAGGGAGCATGGCGAAAAAATACCGCGGCGGAATTGGTCCGTGCCCGACAAAACCCAAAACAGATGGCCTGTTGGAAGTCAATTTCATTCACCTCGTCCGCGTTGATCACTCTTGAATCCCCATTGAAAGACCCTCGCGCCTCATCTCAAACATGTCTCGTTGGTCAAGACCTACGCAGGAGAAGCAGCACTAGCAAAAGGGTTTCTTGACAACCTATAACCTCTCCCTAACCCCTGGAGAAGCTCGGTGGACCCTTTTGCGGAGGCTACGAAGACCCAATCTCTGAGACAGAACGAAGCAGAAAGCTCTCCTCGCCTGTGGGCACTTGTTGAGAGGCCATGGCGACTGCGAAACAAGCCGTCACGGAATCTCTCCTAGGGACAACGAGAGAGCCCGAACTTTCACAACAGACCAAAGCTACATTCGACCGCAACGCGAGGCAGGATGAGGTTACAGATGATTACTATATGACCGAGGAGGATTTTGTGAATGCAATTGCACCCGCCAGTGAGAACTATGTGAGCTCTCGCCCCAAGCTTGCTCCGTTCAAAAACTGCTTGCGAAAGAGACCTGCTGACCTTGTTTCGGTCGCAGCACAAAATAAAAAGGGAGCAATACGCTATCTTGTTCCAGATCGCGGATCGAAAGAGGATTGGACGAATAACTTTGCAAGACTGGGGGAGCTTCGAAAATCTACTTGCCAAACCGGACGCTGAGTACGAGATTGCCTTTCGTCTCTTCGACGAAAGTGGCACAGGCACAATCAAGTACGACGATTTCCAGAGACTCTACAATATTAACAAGGGATCCGACACGATTCCATTTGATTGGGGCAGTGAGTGGGCATCCCTATACGTGGGATCAAAAAAGCACCGTCACGATATCACATATCCACAATTCTCCCAAATGCTGCGGGGCCTACAGGGCGAGAGGATACGGCAGGCATTCCATATCTTTGACAAAGACCACGATGGATACATAGAGCCCGAAGATTTCCAACGCATCATTCTGGAGACTGCACGGCACAAATTGTCAGACCATTTACTCGAAAACCTACCTACTCTATGCAATATCTCGACAGGCAGCAAAATCTCGTACGCGAACGTGCGAGCGTTCCAGAACGTCATAAGGGAAATGGACTTGGTCGACCTCATTATTCGGAACGCCACCAAGAAGAGCCAGGATGGTACAATCACACGGACAGATTTTCTCAATGAAGCGGCACGGATGACAAGATTTTCTCTAATTACACCCATGGAGGCTGATATTCTCTTCCATTTCGCCGGCCTTGACGCACCCTCGGGTCGACTGTCGCTCCAAGACTTTGCCAAAGTCCTCGACTCTTCATGGCAGAGCGCATATGCGCTGGGAATCGGGGCAGCAGGTGCTGCCTCAGAGACAGCCGAGAAAGCCATCTCGACGACACGAAGTTACTTACATATTGTACTGGAATCCGCGCACCATTTCGCTCTTGGAAGTATAGCAGGTGCTTTTGGCGCCTTCATGGTCTACCCAATCGACTTAGTGAAGACGAGAATGCAGAATCAACGAAGTCAACGCGTTGGGGAGATGTTGTATAAGAATTCCATCGATTGCGCAAGGAAAGTCATCAAAAATGAAGGCGCGAAAGGCCTGTACTCAGGGGTTCTCCCACAGCTGGTCGGTGTGGCGCCTGAAAAGGCTATCAAGCTCACAGTCAACGATTTGATCAGAGGCCACTACAGTAATCCGGAATCGGGAGCCATCTGGTGGCCACACGAAATCGTTGCTGGCGCTTCAGCAGGTGCCTGTCAAGTGGTACGTCGTACGTCTTTCGTCTCAAAATCGTTTTGCTGACTTAGAACCAGGTCTTCACGAACCCTCTGGAAATCGTCAAAATAAGATTGCAAGTACAAGGAGAAGTTGCCAAAACAGTCGAGGGCGTTCCTCGAAGATCTGCAATGTGGATCGTGAAGAACTTAGGTCTGGTCGGCCTGTACAAAGGTGCAAGTGCTTGTTTGCTGCGAGACGTGCCGTTCTCCGGCATATATTTCCCAACTTACAATCACCTCAAACGCGACTTTTTTGGCGAAGGGCCAAATAAGAAGTTAGGTATAATCCAACTCCTCACCGCAGGCGCGATTGCTGGTATGCCCGCAGCATACCTCACCACGCCTTGCGATGTCATTAAGACTCGTCTTCAAGTCGAAGCCCGGAAAGGTGACACTAAGTACACCTCTCTCCGGCACTGTGCGAGTACTGTATACAAAGAGGAAGGCTTCAGAGCTTTCTTCAAAGGCGGACCAGCTCGAGTGTTGAGATCGTCGCCCCAATTCGGTTTCACGCTTGCAGGTTACGAGGTCCTACAGAAGCTGCTGCCCATGCCAGGAAGCCAGAGCGAAGGACTTTCAGTTGGGGCCCACGCTGAGCCTGCTGTCGGATTACAAGAAGCGAAGGCACCGTTGCCGTATTTGAGAAGTCGAAATGCACTAAAAGTCATCCTAGATTTGGACGAGAATTTTGGAAGGCCCAAGATCCCCGCTGGCAAGGGTTGGGTGCCGCTGTCGGGGGTTGGTGCGAATTGATTGCATAGTAAGGGTGGGTGAATCATAGAGTGACATTAATAGTAGGTGGTATGCATGGCGCGCGGCTCGTTCTTTCTACTGCATTGCATCAGAAGTCCAGAGATTTCGAGACGAGTCCATAGACAGGTTGCACATCAGCTTCACAGACTTTGTACAATGAATAGGCAGTAGAGATCTCAGGCCGCCTCGGACTTTACAGAGTCTACATTGCCTTCCAGATCAGCCCCGACCGCTCTCTCCAAGATTCTTACAAACGCTTTCCTTTTCTTCTCCTCTTCATCTTTAGCCTCGATATCCTTCACGTCAAGCTTCTTCCAATGCTCATCCAACATATCACTCAACTCCTCCGCACTACCAGGCAACCCCAATTTCTCCGCCGCCGCCAGCGTCCTCTGATCAACGAAAGGATAAAACTTCGGCCAAACACCCTGTATCCTTCGCGCGAAAATGTCGAGCCCCGTCTTCCCCAACCCCTTCACATTCTTCCTCAACATCTCCCTCTCCCTTTCATAATCGTGCTCACTCTCCTCTCTCACCCGCTCCAGACTCACGTCCTCGTCCCCATATCCCAAGCTGTTGACGACTGCGTCGGCGAGCAGCACCAGCTCTTCGGCCGTTCTCTGCCGGTGCTGCGTCCGCGCCTTATCCAAGGCTTCCCTGCAGCCCTCGTTTCCGGCTTCTCGAATCTTCTTCGGCGTGGTGAATTCGTACGGCGCATTGAAGATCGTTCGGATGGATCGCAGCCCCAGCATGTGGCCGATAGGCCGGCTCAGTATCACGGCGCAGACGAGCTCTTCGAACGGGGTGAAAGTGGATGTGCTATAAGTTTTGGTTTCCGCCCCACGGGTCTTGAGGTCTTCGATCTCGTCTTTCGGACGGCAAAGGTCCAAGGAGGTGGGCGAAAGGAGAAAGTGGAGCATCTTGACGACGTCGACTGGGGCGGATGGTGTGCTGCGAGCGGAGCGGCGTGGGACTTTGTTTGGTCCAGATGCGGCAGGCGCTTTCCGCTTCTTAGATGTTCCATTAGATTTGCTCGTTGAGGGTTCCTCTTTGGATACAGCCGCTGGCTCGGTGGACTTGTCGACAACAAAATCTTTGGTCTGAGCTTTTTTGGGAGGCATTGCAGTCGATAGTCAGAGGATTGAATGGTGGTGGGAAAGCCATCGTGTCAAGCACCGGATGTCAGGGGTTTTGCGCCAAAATGCAATAGGTCGACGTCATGAAGCAGCCCCTGGAGCGATTGAAGTTGCCCTTACAGTAGCTTGACGCGCCAAACACGCGAAGTGCCAAGCATCATGCTTTTCGAATCTACGATGGGAAGATCCCGGGAGCGGTTTCCCAAGCTAGCATCCTTGTCCCACTGCCACACATTCACATTCTGATTGATATTGATCTATTAGCCTTTCATCTGGAGAATAATTTCTGTCTCAAAGTTCAATATTAGTATCGTCTTTGGGTCCAATTGAGATATGACGAGCTCTCCCAGCAAGAATGCTCCTCATCTACCTCCTTCCTCTGCAGGTCCACACCTCGGTTCACCTAGAAGCCTGGGCCGACTTCGACAGCAAAAATCCGCTCATCAATTGTCATCCAATTACTCTGCACTCAACGGTCCTTCTCTGATATCCCAACAACGGCAGCAGCAGCGAATTACAGGCATAACTCAAAATACTCCAATACCACCTCCACCTGTCCCCGCCATACCTTCGCCGCAGAAGCACATCCGAGCACGCTCCAACAGCGATGCGGTGGTCCCACATCCAGTAAATGTTGGACCGTCGCTGAAGCGAATCCAAGTGCCAAAGAAGCCTGTAGACCCCAAAGACGAATTGAGGTCTCTCATACGACATGGACCAAGAGGTGATATGCCGGATGCACTACAGAGTCTTCGACACTGGATCTTGGTTGACGGTTTAGAGGCGGACAATGATGGCATGGTAAGGTTCTGGCAGCACCTCAAGGATGACTGCTGATACGGCTTTCGTAGTCTGATCTCCGCATCTATGTCTGGCTGATCCTCCTAAACTCTCCACCACTTCCAACAGACATCTACCTCAATCTAATACGCCGTGGCCCTTCCCCAGCATACGCTAAAATACGCAATGATACGCATCGCACTCTGATGACAAACGTGCTGTTTCAGCGACGAGTCCGGGAGAACTCCATTATCCGCCTTCTCAATGCAGTGGCTTGGAAATTGTACGATGCTAAGTCAGATCGATTGACGGATTCGGGCAGAATCACCAATGCCTCCAACGACCTTGGCAGCCCAGAATTACAACATGCTTCGCCAGCTATAAAGCACGCAAAAGGAGCCTCGACAGCAACGAATGAAGGCTCCGAGGCAGGTGGCTCTGAACCGGGAATCTATGTTCAAGGCATGAACGTGCTTTGCGCTCCGTTTTTATACACGTGCCGAACTGAACCGCAAGCTTTCATTGCTTTCTATCATTTCATCACCCGAGAGTGTCCCGGCTACATTCGTGGTGCTATGGATGGTGTTCACAAAGGGGTCGCCTTGGTGGAGAGATGCCTTACCGTTGCCGATTCAAGACTATCAGCTTATTTGACATCTAAGGGAGTGAGCGCGCAGATCTACGCCTTCGCATCAGTTCTAACCATGTCTGCATGCACGCCGCCGTTACCTGAGGTTCTTCTACTCTGGGACTTTCTCTTCGCTTACGGTTCGCATTTGAATATCCTGTGCATCTGTTCTCAACTCATGATGATGAGGGAGGAACTTCTTGCGGATCCCAGGTATGTAGCAGAGACCCGCTGTCTAAATACGTATTCAAAGGCTGATATGTGCGTGCCAGTCCCGGCAAGCTGCTCAGATCTTTCCCACCACTGCAGGCCAAAGAGATCATTGCGTTGACTGTCAACCTCGTCCGCAAGATTCCCTCCGACCTCTACGAAGAGCTTGTACACCATGCAGAATGAGGAATATGCAGGAAGACGTCGATGGCCAGATTTCTGGTCACATGCGTCCACTACTCAAGATCATTGCTTCGACATTCTCCGATAACTAAGGGAAAACATGATAGCCTGTTACACGAATGAAGGTATCCCTCTCCTCCGACTTTATTGCACTCTACAATGAGACAGCTGGAAGGTGCGGTCATCTTAAACACTGTGGACGCTAAGCACTGACCCGAGTGAGCCCGAGACGCGCCTCGGAAGAATTCGCCCAACACCAGTTTCATCGGTACAACGCCGTGAAGTGACGGGGAAGGGGGTTTTTTTCTGCGACTATTCTTCGAGGGTGCATTGATGCTGGAGTATTTGTTTGGATTGTGTATGTTGCTTGCGCGGGGTTCTGCAGGAACAGGTTCGTAAAAAAAAAGGTTCACGATCAGCTAGAGTAGGTACTGCGTTTCGACCGGAATGATCTTTTCCGAGAAAAAAATTAAAAAGTATCATCGGATCACTGAGTGGACATCCACGAAACTAACAACAGGTTCAATCCATCGTGTTTGTCTTGTCTGGACCCAAGCATATAAGGAACGAGTGTCGGCAGGAAAACTACTGGCTATATCTATATACGTATCCCCCACAAATACATGCCCCGGGCTCGTGGATACAAACTTAAACAAAAAGATGTCAGAGATTATATTACCAATCAAGAATGAACAGTAATATTGATCCCAAAAAGTCGTCCGTTCCGGCCCACGACTCCGTGCCATTCAAACCCCCTCGGTACCCACTCCCTTGGCCACAGCCCCGTCGCCTCTCATCTCCACATTGGCGACGGCGCTCTGCAGCGCGCTCGTCAGATCGACGTGGAACAGCGGCTTGTTGAGCCCGTGCACGGCCGCCACCCGGGCCCGGGGGCCCTTGCCGCCGCCGTACGCTTTGCTGTTCTCGAGCTGCAGCGCGAGATCGCTGCCGCTGGTGGAGCTGGCGGTGTCGAGGCCGCGGGCGATGGCGTCGGCCTTGTCGCCGCCGATGCTGCGGCTCCGTGCTTCCTCCGTCCGCTGGCGCCTCAGCGCCTTCTCGTTCACGTCGTACTCGGCGGCCGCCGCCGCGCTGTTCTGGCCGCCGATTTCCGCCACGCTGAAGACGGGCTTCCAGCGCTCGAACGCCGGCGCGTCGCCTTGGGGGGTGGGGAAGCCGAAGCCGGCGGAGGCGAGGGCTCGCTTGGTCCAGCGGTTGTTGATGCAGGCGAGGTGCCAGTCCACGGTGTCCGGGGAGGCGTAGCGGTCGAGTTGGTTGCGGACGTCGATGAGGTGTTGGACGGACGTGATGTCGACGTTGTTGACGGAGGAGAAGTCAAGGATGATGGCTTTGAGGGTGGGTTTGTCGGGTTGGATGGGGATGGGTTGGCCGCGGCGAGGGCCAGGGTCGTTCCAGGGGCGGTCCTGGGTTGCGTGTTAGTTGATGCTACGGGGCAATGGGTTTGGAGGAAATGGAGCTTACGCCGAGTCTGGGGTATTGGGCAGGGTTGGTGCGGCGGGTTTCTTTGAAGATGGTGGCGACCATGTCATCGAGGTAGTGGTTGGCGTTAGGGTAGTTGAAACCCTCAGAGAAGCGGTACATGAAGATGCCCGGGTATGGTGATTCGACGTCGACTTCGGGATTGGAGCCATCATTGTGGCTTATTGGGAGGAAGAGATTCCGGGTGGATTTGTCAGGGTCGTTGGAGCCGAAAGAGCCGCTTTGACCGTCCATGTGATCTCCAATGACCGAATGGATTTTCACTTTGCCGATGAAGCGACCTTTGGCTTTGACGACGCGGAATAGCAGTACGGCAACCGAAACACAAATTGTTGTATAGATACCATCCTCGATGCTGGCAAAGACAGTCACAATGACACCGGCAAAGAAGATGATGACTTCCAACGGAGAGATGCGCCAGAATTGGTAAATGGTGTTTGGGGGCGTGATCAGGTCCCCGACTGCGTGGATGATGACCGCTGACAAACTTGCGTTGGAAATGTAGAAGAAGACGGCAGGCAGCGCGTAGATGGCAAGAAGGACCACGAGGGCGGTTATTACACCAGCGAGCGGAGTTCGCACGCCGGCTTTCGCCTTGATGGCCGTTCGGGAGAAAGATCCCGTAGCTGGATAAGCTCCAAGGAACGGGCCAAGTAAATTACTAACTCCAATAGCTACCATCTCCTGGGATGGGTCGATCGTGTAATTGTTGATACGACCAAAGGATTTGGCGATCGCGATATGCTCGATGAGAATCACAATGATGGATGCGGGAAGCTGGTTTGCGAAGGCTTTGATGAGCTTCTTGTTTATTGTTGGGACTGCAGCGTTCTTAAATCCTCGGGGCACTGCGCCCAGAATCGCGATGAGAGGCTTCTTGCGGTGATGCCTGTTCATGAGCCAACTGATCAGGGTGTAGAGAAGAATGACGAAAGCGGTTCGGAGGGTCGAAATGAAGAAAAACGTCTTGGCTCTGTGTGGCATCTTTCGAGCTCCATAGTTACAAACACTCCGTATCATGTATAGCATAGTTAAAGCGGTCAGGCCCAAGGCAGCGTCGAGCTTGGTTCGCCCGAGATGCTGCAAAATGTGGATGAAGACCTTGTAGGTGGCGTCTCTGTTGGAGAATCCAGTGATGCCCATTAGCGCGGGGACTTGACCAACAGCGATGTTCAAGGCAGACCCAGTCATGTAGGCGGAAATAGCGGACAGAGAGATGAAGTCGACTATCCAGCCACAACGAATAAGCCCGATGAAGCAGATGACCGCACCAGCAATGACAGCAAGTGCTGAAGCAATGATGTTGGGGTGATCTTTATATTCGGGAAGCACCTTGATGACTTCGGTGACCACGGTGCCGGTAACTGTTGACATGACGGCGACGGGCTATCAATCGTCAGCAAAAGCACGACAAAGAGAGACCTTTTTTTACACTGACGCCAATGGTAATATCCTTGGATGTGGCGAAGAACCAATATATCAAAACGCCCATGAATGAAGAATACAGACCGAACTGGACGGGAAGCAGGGCCAATTTGGCATAAGCCATGGATTGAGGAACGACGACAGCTCCCACGGTGATACCTGTAGATCCGTCATCAATTGACCGATCCATGAGCCCAAAGGGAATGCGACCGACCTGCGATCAAATCTCCGACGAGCCAAGACGCATTGTAGCGGCCAATCCAATGAGTAAAGGGGAAGAGATGATAGGCCCAGTTTGTAAAGGTACGAGGAGTAGGTGCGATCTGGCTGATCCACTCCAGTGATGTCGGCTCCTGTTCGACAAAGGTGTCGGCTGTGGATACAGAGTAGGCCGATTCGCCTCTTGTCAGGTCTACTTGGCCGGCTCCGGTTGGATTGCGATATTGCAGCTTGATCCCCAAAACCTTTGCGAGGCCATGGCCAACTTTGGCGGCCGCACGCGAAGACATGTTCTTTCCTCAGCAAATGCCAGCAGGTAATACGACTGAGGTCGATGGGCGGGCCCTCGATTGGCTTTATGCCGACTCGGAGGATGTTGTTGACCTTCCACTCCGCCTTCAGCCTTTTCAGAGTATGAGATCAGACAAGCAGCAGAATATCAGCAATGGCAGACGAGGTAGATATGAAAAAGGTGGCAGAGCCAGGTAGAGTAAACGGTGAGCAAGGATCTCTACAGGGACGTGTCTTGCAGCATGTATATATGTGTGTAGATGTATTCTAGGTGCATGGAAGCTAACTGAATTGGTGGATGACAAGCGGCCTCTTTTCGAGTCCCGAGGGTTCTGGAAAGCATGGAATTTCCCCCTAGAGTATAAAAGTAAAAAGATTGTCGTGGCTTTCGCCAATCTAGGAGCTAGAGTTACTTCTCCATGGAAAATGGTAACTTAGCAGAAAGATGAAAAAGACAGAGAGTCACGAGTTGATGAGGAAAAAGGAGAAAAAAGTGCCGATGCTTGAGGCACTTCTAGGCCTATGCAGGTGCAGGTGCAGGAGGGTGTGGTGTGTGGGGGCCTCGGAGGGATGTAATGTCTTCGGGTGTAAGATGAGTCCATGACGATCCGGCCTTAAGGTACTTTTCATCATCATCATCTGTGGAGCTTTTTTCCCATTTCCCAGGAGGATCGTGGACCATGTCGTCCCTAGCAGCTTGATATGCTATGGCGTGCTCGGGCGTGATGCCGTTGAAGGACGAATAAGCGTCGAGTATGACGCTTAATAACCCATCTTAGGGCTGCTAATCATTAGCCCCTCGGCCGGCAAGGATCCAAGAGTAGGATGATCTGGGGGACATAAGACGTGCTTTCTAATAAGGCGTGCTTTCTCGTGGCTTGTGCACCAATTGCCAATATCAGTGCATGTGCATCCATCTGATCCAATTCATTGCTGAGAGCACCCCCGCGGCCGAAAGTGTGGGGGGCGTCGAGGCCGCGTCTCAAGTGGACAAACATCTTGCTGGTGCTGGTCAAAATAGGAAAAAGCAAACGACATAGCATTAATGAATAATCTCCTAGCCATCCGACTATTTTCCAGCTGTCACCTTGATGTAACGAGCCAGAATGGAAAAAAGGCCGAATGTCACAGACTTCACTTCTATTTTCCAAACCTTACAAGTAAAGGGACCACCCTCAGTCGAAATGCCCACGGCAATTGGCGTCAACAAGGCACGCGATCTTTTCTTTGCGCCAAGGTAGGTCCAGGACTGGAAGATACAAATCTGGTTTTGAATCGGTGATATCCTAGACGCGTTGCCGGCCCTGGAACTAGGGTGGTGCTATAATTGCCACTCAACCACTGGAGCTTTCCGGCCAAAGGGTCATCCCCAACTGAAATCATGTCCCAGTGCCTACAGCGTAAACCCCCAGTCTCACACATCCAAGCGTCCCGCCTTTCAGCATCGGAAGCCACAACGATCGCCGCGAGCAGCACTGTCATGTCCCCATCCATCTCCCACGACAAACCAAGACGAGCCATGCGACACCGATGGTTCCATATTCATAAGGACATCCCCGTCCACGCCGTCGTAGCTCATAGTCCGAGGGTCAGAATCCACAACCTCGGCTTCCGAGACGATGACAGCAATAACGCGTCGGACAGCGTGGCAGACTGGTTGAGCGGGACATGGCTCAAAGGCCATGCCGTAAGCCTGCCACTCCGCCACATATATTGGGTTGCTGCTGGAATATCCTATCGCGATTCCTACCGTTAGTGTTGTAAAAAGTAATAGTGTAGCTGTACTAGGCCCCCCCCCCCCTGATTGCACACTCCCCGTTCGCTCACGGGGTTGGCTGGAGCTGCTACCTCCGATTTTGTTTCACCTATCTTGACGAGAATCTCATATCCCAAGGTTCAAGGAGCCTCACACGACCAGAGACAACGCATTGCAGAAGTTTTACCCGGTCGACTTTCGCAACATCGAACCAAGCCACAAAAAGTGAGGGAACAATGGCGGACGTGTCGACTGGTGATGAATCACAATGAAGAGTAAATAATTCGAATAGAATACACTCTACGCGTCTGGTACGTTTGGGCCCTAACATTGGTATCTTGGGCAAGGCCATCGAATCATAAAAGTACAGTGCTTATGCCTTCCATAGATAGCAAAGCAATTCCTCCAATAACCCCCAATATGCCCGCGCCCTATCCTCCCACCTGCCTGCCATTCCTTCACTCACGCCATTAATGCAGCAAATTCCGTAACGATGGACTAGCACTCGCCCCATTGGCCAACTCACTCGGCCACCTGTTCTCGCTACCAAAACCCTCGGGAGGAGTCCTCGTCCGTGGAGGCGGACTACCATATTCGAGGTAGGGCCCCTGCGCCGCCCTCGACGATGCACGAGCCTGAGGGACAGAGCCCATCGTCCTGGAAGGTGGGCTATCATAATCAGGGTACGGTCCCTGCGCCGCCCTGGACGCTGGACGAGCCTGGGGGACAGAACCCATCGTCCGGGGAGGTGGGCTACCATATTCCGAGTATGGTCCCAGCGCCGCCCTTGACGATGGAACTGGGGGAGTTATCGTTCTTGGAGGCGGACTGCCGTACTCGGAGTACGGCCCCATCGCCGCCCTTGACGATGGAGCTGGGGGAGGGGTCCTCGCTCTCGGAGGTGGACTACCGTACTCGGGATACGGCCCCATCGCCGCTCTCGATGATGGAGCCTGGGGTGGGGTCCTCGCCCTTGGAGGTGGACTACCATACTCAGGATACGGCCCTCTCGCCGATTGTGAGATGGTCGGGACTGCGAATGGATTCTCTGCCGCCTCAGGTGGGCCGTGAGGTCCCTGCCCATGCTCGCGCATTGATGGCGAACGCATCGGGTGTTGCGGTGGTGGCACATGAGGGCCCCGCATCGCAGGTGGAACATATGGCACCTGATACAAGTTGCCTGAACTGTCTCGCCGATACTGGAAAGATGGTGGCTCGGCGGGTACGCCATTCACTAGATGCGGAACGTGGAACTGAGGTGGTAATCCGCGATGGAGTACCCCTCGCGTATCGCGGTATGTTGGTGTAGGTCCACGATAGCCGGGTTCTGGATACTGGGGAGGCAGCGGGGGTGGAGGGTAATGTTGTGGAGGAGGCGGTGCCACCACAGGAGGTGAGTGCGGTACAACACCATTCGATGCACGTTCTGGGCCGTGATAGTTCTGTGCTGGCTGGTTTGGCCATCCATGATATGGTTCCTGAGTCGTCGGTTGGGGTGTTGATGGCCAGATCAAGTTTACTTGTGGCGAGGACTGTTCAGGCTCAGGTGGAGAGTGATTTTCCGGCTCAAGTGGCTCGGATGGAGGAGGCGTTGGGGTAGGTGGAGGCGTTGGCTCCCTGAGCTTGCGTAAATGACATTTGTGACAGAAGAACTTTGGTGGCTCATCGATATCATTCCCAGATGGCAAGCCCTGCTCTCCAGTTGCGACCCCGTTGGAGCTGTGCCCGGGTGCCGGACCTGAAGCTCTGCTGTCTTCAGCTCCCCCTCCACCAAAATCACCATTAAGCATTGGTGCCGGCTCTGCTTGAGAAGACGAAACAGGCCTACCGGCAGAGTCGCTGTGCGGATCTGAACCATGTCCGTTGACGCATCCGTTTGAAAGTGCATCGGATGGCTGGGAAGATTCGGGGGGCTCAGCGGCGCTTTCAATTACTGTGGGTGCTTTCGTTTCAGAGACGGCTTTGGGCATTATCTCATGCCACTTCGGGCTCGCGTCAGTACCACACATGGCACACTCTTTCGCATCAAGCTTAGCAGTAATCTCTTCGCTCAAATGAACCACACGATCACCGTCTTCGTCAACTTCATCAGACCTAACTGTAAATGTCGACGGCGAGACCCTAGAGCTCCTGGTGGTGGGCGCCGATGATGAAGCTCCAACTGCAACACTAGCTGCAGTGGGATTAGAACCGCGATGATTTGCGCCAACACTTCCAAGCTGTGCTGCAGTCTTTGTCGCGGCATCAACGATAAGCGCCTTGCGCAGCGTTCCGGTCAAAGAGGTGTCAGCCTGCTTGTGGCTGCGAGCAAAGACCTGGAGTGCGTTCAGAGTATCCTGCTGTTCAGACATGAGATGTACGGGATGCTTCGGTGGGTGATCCCTGCAGTAGACGACTGCTGTAGCGTTTCCCACTTCGCCACCCATGCCTACGGTATTGACCGCGTGACTGCGCGAGCTTTTGACGGGATTCAGATCGAAGCCGAGCATACCGCCATATTGCTGTGCGCAAGTCGGGTGAACATTTCCTTGACAGTGGCTGCAATTGATGCAGGCTCCATCGGTTCTTTTGCATAGTTTGCACACTGTATTGTATTTGGCAACGGGAACAGCGCCAAATCCCTCTGCCGGCTCAAGCCTCTGAGGGTCGCCGAATTTTATCTCGGGATGAAAGATCGCACAAACTACATGGACCCAATTGTTGCCCGAAGTTCGCTTGAGAGGCTGACGGGGCTGCTCCGGTCTCCCTTTCGCTTTCTGGTCGCGATGGTACAGCTCGGTAGCGGTGACAACCAGTTCTCGCTCCAACCTTTCCTTTTCACGCTCGCGATCTGTCTTCTTCTTATGAGACACCTTTGGAGGTTCCATGAGTTCCGTGTCAGTATATGCGCGAACGGAACAGAGTACGCAGTCGTAGGTCGTTGAAAGCTGATGCCCAGAATCGTTCGCACACATGTCACAAGTCCACGTTTCTTTTGGTCGCTCTTTCGCAACGCCGTAACAATTTCGGTGTACTGTTAGCCTGCAGTACTTGCACTCAAGGTGTTCGTCGTTCAAGGGTTCGAATTCGTAGCAAACGGCGCAGGGCTGAAGCCTGATTCGGGGCTGTTCAGGTATAAGAGCTGGTTCAGGTGGCTTTTCGATGATCTTCTTTTTCGGAGGCTCGACAGGCACGCCATCTTGGGGTCCCAAAACCACTGGGTTGTCAACGGCTATCTTCTGCTTTTTCTTGGGACCATCCTGCCCTGGATGGATCGTCAAGTTGGGTGGAATTTCCACGCCAACTGATGCTGCCGCTGCCGCAGTGGTGGTGCTCATTCCAATCGAGCTGACCTCGTTGGCACTAACAAGCTCGATTAGGAGTTCCTCGTCAATCCTACGTCTCCATGCTCTACCACCACCACTGGCAACCTTTTTGGCAAGCTCATTTTCGTTCTCCCATTGAATGCCATAACGGCGCCAGAGCATTGCGCAGCGCTGACAGAGCGCAAGCATTAGATGTGCATTCTTGTCTCTGCTGTTTTTGAAGCTGGGGTCAATGGGAACGGTTGTGCCTGGAGCTATTGCAGGTGCTCGGCGCCATTGCGGGGAATGGCGAGTCGCGCAGAATTTGCATTCGAAACCACGCTTCCGCATAGCGGCCTTCTGATTGTCGAAGGCAGAATCGTCGACATCATCTGCAACATCATCTGCAAGCTTGGAGTCTACCTGTTGAGCCTGCTTTTTCCCCTTTCGTCCTTCGTAGTTGCCCCATACCTGCTTACCAAGGGGAGTCTTCTTCCACATGTAGTAAATTCGAACAATGGTACCGTGCTTCTGGTGTTTCCCAACATGCCTAGAGATAGCTCGTAACTCCGATCCGTATCTGCTGACACCATCTACAAACTTATTCCAGTCTTCTGGCGAAAGCTCTGGCTCCTTGAGGTCCTTGAGAGTCACCCTTCGAAGCTGTTGCAGTGCCTTCTCACTCTGGTAACCGTTTGCAGTTAATAGTTCTAGCGCTTTGTCAAGGAAATTGGTGTTGTGTCCTGCGAGGCCATCGATCAGCGTAGGGGCCAAATGCCTAGCGCGAACCATGTAATCATCAACCATCTTTTCGTGCTCAACAGACCCAAGACGATTTTCAGAGTCATCCCCTCCTCTTGTTGACGTCTCGCCAACTTCAGGCATTCGAAAATTCAGCTGAGCCGTGTTTCTAGGATCTCCAACGGGATAGTCTTCTCCCCGTGCAACATACCCAAGTGGCTCATCCATGACCCACTTCGGACGCTTCTCCTTTGTGACTTTATCAGCCTCGAGCGCTGCGACTGTCTCTTTGGTCAACTTGGCGTCCTTTTTATGACTGGTTCCCTTCATGTATTTTTTTTTGATATCTGCAGGCTTGACGAACTCCACAGGTTGGCCCTGCCATACCTGCACATTTGCCTGATGTTTGGGCCCCAATCGAGAACTAGCTCGCGGATATATGCGATCATCGTAGTCGAGGGCATCTTCTACCCGGCAGTGAATGCCCAGGTATCGATATGGCCAGAGCTTCGCTTGCGCAATCTGCTCTGCTGTTGGTGGTCGAGATCCAGGATTCTGGGTATCTGCATCGTGTGAACCGCGGCCGTGGGCAGGATCCGCATGCTCATCTTCCTCCTCATCAATGACCTCCTCTTCCTCTCCTTCCATAACCTTTTCACCAACGATTGGGGTATTTCGGGCTTCGAGCTTCTTTTCCTGCTTGCGACTGCACGGTCCACATGACCATCCAAATCCACGAGCTGGCTTCTTGAGTAATGGTGGTCGCACACAGTTCATATGATAGGTGTTCTTGCAAACGGCACAATCCACTGAATCATTGCTGTTGACTATGGTTAGCGGTATGTCGGTCAAAGACGGTCTGGATGCACTTGCCTAGCACAATATCCCTGGCATCGCTTGCACGATTTGATAGCGCTGGTCAACTCTTTGCCTCGCCCTATCTCCACGATAACAAATTTCCACCGTTCATCCAAAACCTTTTTGACCTTGGCAGGAACGTTGATTACTTGACTTGTAGGAATGACTTCATAGTAGCGGTGTATATAGCGATCGAATAACTTCTCATACCAGAAGGAATCCTGCATCTTCCTGTACTGATCTAGGTCTTGTATGTCGTTTCTATGCGTGATGTGGCATTTTCCTCTCAAAGATGTTATAGGGCATGTATCGGACTGCATTGACGCAAAGACCACTCGAGTGTCATTGACTTTGCGTTGCATATCTCGTGGGCGGAGATACCAATTGACGCGCAATGCGTCAACAGGTTGACTGAGGTCGTTGTCGATATGGAGGAATTCCATTACCCGCGCCAAGTAGTATGGCTCGCCAGGAGGTTCGCATACCAGATACACTTGATCTGTACAGAAGTCAGCGACCGGACGATTTGGTTTGACATCTGTGCATCGTCCGCTACGAAGGAACAGCCAGAACATTGGACGTACCGTTGACCGCTAAGACCGTTCCATCGTCAGCCTTCAACTTTCCGTTCTTGAGATAGCCTCGACAGTTTTCGAAAGTCATCAAATTCGTCTCTCTGGATGCCTTGGGGTTTGGAACACCCGCTGTCCTTCGCGCTATGCCAGGTGCAGGAGTTTGAGTTGCGGCCGGGGAGATATGCGATGAGGCAGGCACATTTCCGGGTGCTTTGCGCTTTCTTGATGGCGCCGGAGGTGCGGTATTGGGTTCAGGATTGACAGAAAAGCTCGACATCCCGGGAAGGTGATCTTTTGGAACGCTTGGAATTGCTGTTTTGGTGTTCGTCGGTGGTGCTATGGGCGCCGTGGTTGATGAACGACGAATGTTAGCGGCTGATGGCTTATCGCCGTCTCCTAATTGTGCAGTGTTGGGTATGGAAGGTCCTGTGCCAGCATGTGGTCTTTTGGTAGAGCTCCACTCGTATTCCATCTCGAGTTCCCGATCTTCGGCATAGTTGATTCGTGAACTTCCTGTTCTATTCCGAGACCTCGTGCCGTACGGAGAGGCCCCTGTTGCATCCATGGTATTGTTAATTTGTTGATCCGACGGCATGGACGAGGAGGATGATGTTGCGGTCATTGGTTGCGAGTCGAGAGTCGACGACTTAGCCACAGAGTGGGTGGGCAGACGTGGATTGTGTTGAGGCGACTTGGAGGATACGCGTGGTGGCAGCGAAGCAAAGCCTGATTCATTTTTCGCACTGGCGGGGCGTGAATGAGGTGCAGGATGTTTCGGTGGATCTGCCATGGCCGGCCTATCAAATTTTGCAGAGCCATTATCATCCGCCATGCCTGCAGCCGAGCTGTCCTCGCAGGTAATTCCTACGAGGACAACCGCCTTGATTGATCAGGTATTGCTGGATGGGTGATGCTACATTTGCGAAGGGGGCACATTAAGTATGTATGAAAGACGGGGAAAAGTGTGGAAGAGGACGATGCCTGCTTGTGGCCAGCATGTGATCTGTGGAGGAAAGTCTCGCGCTTGTACTGAGGGACCGATGCGGCTCCTGAGCAGGTCACCAAATATCCTGAGGGTTTTTACTGGAGAGCAGCTTATAGTGATCGCGTGTGTATTTAATGTTAGAGCGCAGGGGGGGAGCTATTAGAGCGAATAATGACCGAGGAAGGAATTGATGGGAGAAAAAGAGAGCCGGCGGGGGGGGAGGAGGGGGAGAAGTATGAGGTTGAGGACAAAAGACTTGAAGGCAAAGCTGGTGAAGGATAAAGTAAAGTAAAGTGTCTATGGCCTTTGGCTTTGGGCTTCGGCTCGTTAGGCGTAAGACATTTTGGCGCGCCGCTAAAAAAGATGCCTGCCATTGCCAAAAATTCCCCCTCCACTCGTCCCTTACTCTTCCTTGTTGGATGTTCAACTTGATACGAGACTCCAACTCCAATTCATTCGACTTCCTGCGAGAACTTCGGCATATATGTAAGATCCTTTTTGGTGGTCTTGCTAGCAATCACATATTGCTACAGAGCTATATTCTCCTTGGAACCATTTACCGGACTGCTGCTGCTGCTGAAGCCTGCCTTTCCCCACCAATCTCGCTGTCGCATGTCAGTAAGCTTACCGACAACCTGATATTCCATTTTTCCTAGCTTCACAATGCATCGAGGAGCTTAGAAGCTGAATTTCTATGACCACGGCGCAAAGTCAAGTGTTCGCTGTCCTCTCAGTTCCCTTTCAGTGCCTGTCTCATAGGCCAGACGTTTTTTAGGCCCAATTCGGTTAGAGTCGAATTGGCCCGCGTCATCTCTTGGCAGAAACTCCGAACCCCTCTGGTGCCTCGGAGCTGTACCGTAGTTAATAAGGTAAACAGAAGAAATCATCGCCAACTCTTCCGCTCCTTCATTATTCCTTCATCATTCATCCTCTTCGCATTTCTCTCTCCGGCGCTTTGGAGTCATGAGCTTTCGTTACCATGTTCTATGGCTTCTTTAGCAATGGCGCAACCCGGTGGTGCCGGCTGGACAACCACCATCGACTTTGTCCACCAACAGCAATACAACACCAAATCTTTGCATGGCATCAAACGTTCTCATAACGAAATGCGTGCAATTTCACCTAACAACCACAACGGTGCATTTCAGGATATCATCCCTGCTCAAGAAGTCTTCAAGCGCCAACGGCTGCATGCAGGTGGCAAGAACCGCATTGAAGCTAGCAGGATATGCAGTGTTACTAGCGGCCCAGACATTTTGAACAACGAACAACCCTCAAGGCAGATATCGGCATCCACCCCAGGACCATCACAGAGTCCGCTGCTTCTGTTGTCTCATCCACGCTACTGTCTCCCAGAAAGATTGGTCAGCAATTTTGCTTCGTTGGGAATCAATAGCATCTACCCGTGGCAATCGTCCTGTCTTTTGGGACGTGGACTGTTAAATGGCGAGAAGAACCTGGTTTACACCGCTCCAACCGGTGGCGGAAAGTCTCTTGTGGCTGATGTGCTCATGTTGAAAAGAGTAATTGAAGATCCCACCAAGAAAGCCATCTTGGTGCTTCCGTATGTGGCTTTGGTGCAGGAGAAGCTCAAATGGCTCAGGAAGATTGTCGACGGTGTGGAAAAAAAGAGTGTCAGCTTCGGAAGCCAGACCAGCACGCAGCTTCCTGCATGGCGCAGACCCCACAATAGCTCAGTGCGCGTCGTGGGTTTTTTTGGAGGAAGCAAAGCACGAGCTTCATGGTCCGACGTCGATGTGGCCGTTTGCACTATCGAAAAGGCAAATGCGCTCGTCAATACGGCCATTGAAGAGTGCACTATCAATGATCTAGGAGTTGTTGTTTTGGATGAGCTTCACATGATTAACGATGATCATCGAGGCTATCTAATGGAGCTAGTAGCCAGCAAGCTCCTGAGCTTGGAGCGGTCAGTGCAGATAGTGGGAATGAGTGCGACTTTAACGAATGTAGAAGTTTTGGCAAATTGGCTAGACGCGAAGTATTACAGCACGAAGTATGTACCTGTCCCTATTGAGGAATACTTGGTCTACGACCGCTCTATCTACCCTGTCTCAACTTCCAATGCGTTTTTGAAGACTGCCAGCCAACTCAATTCGACTCAGCCTTTTCCGGTTGTCTCTCCTTCACGAATGATTCAAATATCTGAGCATAACGAGCTCAAGAACCCGTTAACTAACGCTGTCGTTTCTTTGGCCGTTGAGACTGCAAAGGCTGGCTATGGTGCCTTGATCTTTTGCAGTGGCCGCCAGGGATGTCAGTCGACTGCTTCCTTGGTCAGTGAAGCGATGCCTATCCTTTCCGATGTGGACGAGAAGATGCTGGATCGAAGGAAAGACGTAATCAGTGAACTTCGAAGCCTACCAGTAGGTCTCGACGATACGTTGGACAAGACTGTGATGAAAGGAGTCGCTTTCCATCATGCCGGCCTCACTGTCGAGGAGCGAGACATAGTTGCCGAAGCCTACGATAAGGGCGTCATCAGCGTCATCGTAGCCACATGCAGCCTTGCGGCAGGCATCAATCTGCCAGCGAGAAGAGTCATACTCCAAGGAGCCAGGATGGGCCGGGACCTCATCGGGCCAGCCATGCTCAGGCAAATGAGAGGTCGAGCTGGTCGCAAAGGCAAAGATGAGATTGGCGAAAGCTATCTCTGTTGCCAGAAGGCTGATCTTGAAGAGGTAGCGCAGCTACTCGAGGCCGACCTTCCCATGGTGGAGAGTAGTCTGACGCCCGAAAAGCGTGGCATTAAGAGGGCCCTCTTGGAAGTCATAACAGTTCGGCTCGCCACGCATACTGGCGCCATCCAGGAGTATGTTCCGAAGACTTTGCTCTATCACACCATGGATCGAGTATTGTTAGACACCATGGTGTCGAAAACACTAGAAGAGCTCATAGAAGATGGACTTGTTACTATGGACAATTTCGGTAGCTACGAAGCTACTCTCCTGAGTCAAGCTACAGTCGCTTCGTGCCTGACTCCCGAAGATGGCATCTTTTTACATGGCGAGCTTCGTCGGGCTCTCCGAGCCTTCGTTATGGATGGAGAAATGCACATTTTCTACACCTTCACACCACTTTACAGCTCCCAGACAGACATCAACTGGCCCATCTTCCGTCGAGAAATGGAAAACCTGGATGAGAGCGGCGTTCGAGTTCTCGAATTTGTAGGCGTCAATCCAGGCCTGGTCAACCGAATGTAAAGCATCCCCAGCCTTGCTCCCACAACCCCTTTTTAACATACCACCAAACAGGGCAAACAGCGCGAAATCCCTCCCCGAAACCACGCCCTCAGAAATCCACGCCGCCCGAATCTACCGCCGCTTCTACGCCGCCCTTCAGCTCCGCGACCTCTGCAACGAAACACCCATCCACCTCGTCGCTCGCAAATTCGAAGTTCCCCGCGGGTTTGTGCAGACTCTCGCCCAAATCTGCGAAGGTTTCGCAGCGGGCATGATCAAATTCTGCGACAGAATGGGCTGGGGAATGCTCAAAGCCGCTCTCGAGCACATGATCGACCGCCTGAAAGCCGGGGCGAAAGCTGATTTGTTAGACTTGGCGAAGATTCCGTTCGTGAAGAGTAGGACCGCGAGGGTATTTTGGGAGAATGGGTACAAGGGTCTGAGGACCATGGCGGAGGCTGAGGCGAAGGATTTGGTGCCGATATTGCTGCTGGCGCAGCCGAAGAAGTCGCGGTTGGATGCAGGTGAGGAGGCCAAGTATCATCAGAAGTTGCTGTTGAAAGCGGAGATTATCGTTGGAGCTGCGAATAGACTGTGGGAGAGACAGCAGCAAGTTGAGCTCGAAGCGGACATTTGAAATCGGACGAAAGAATTCGAAAGTCTAGCAATTCGGACATTTCCAAGCAGTACGAATGCCCACAACTGACGGATCAAAACCATGAGGCCTCAGTAAATATTTGCATGCTTTAACTTTATTTACAAGATCACACACTTGAAAGGCAAACCACAGGGACCACTTTCCTTTTTCTCGGCAACAGGTTCCGCAGCAGGCGCACCTTCGCTCTTGTTGACATGATCCGGATCGTTTGTTCCGACAGTCGTTGCCTTTGTCCCATCGCTAGCACCATTACCAGCACCAGTAGTTCCGCTTGTTGCTGTCGTTCCTACCGCAGCTACGGGTTCCTGTTGGTTGGACGAAGGAGCAGCCGCGGTATTGGCGACGACCCCGCCGGACGGATCATCTAGTCATGCGAAGTTGACCTTCGACACAGCCTTGTAGAAGGACTCGCCCTCTACGCAGATATCGAAGTCAGCATTGTTTCATCGGTGCAGAATTTTCAAGTTGCAAGACAGGTCTCGGGAGCAGATGTGTCTTCTGGCTCCCGAAACATGTCTTGCGACTCGACTTAAGTAGCAAATAGGGAGGATCAGCTCCGAAATGTACGTACGTGTCTTGGCTAGGCTAAGTTCCTGCTCGGTAGGCATGCGCGAGCCGTCAGCACCCTAAGAAAGCACATTAGTCAAGGCATCCCTTGTGCGTTTGCCAAGAGGCGTTAGCTGGACATGAATGGAAACTCACGGCAAAAGTCCCTGCACCCCACGGAGTACCACCCCTCACCTCCTCCAAATTCGCCAACGTCGCAAACGCCGTGGCGTAACCCAACGGTACATAGATCATGCCATGGTGCGTGAAAGTGCTCATAGCCGCCAACGCCGTGCTCTCCTGTCCTCCTCCCTGAGAGGCGGTACTGATGAAGACACCAACATATTTCCCGTAGTATCCGCCAGTCTGCCACTGCTTGCCAGTCTGGTCCCAGAAGGCTTTCCACTGGGTAGGGAAGTTGCCATAACGGGTGGGAATGCCAAGGAGGAAGGCGTCATATTTTTCAAGCTCGTCGGGGGTGATGAAGGGGATGGAGCTGGATTGGCCGGGTGCGTGCATCTTGGAGAGGACCTCTTCGGGGAGGGTCTCCTTGACTCTAGAAGAGGAAAAGCAGGTCAATTTCGCTCTCTTGCGCACCGAGAGGGAGTCAAGTGTTCTCTGGCCCAAGTCGTTGTGCTTGGAATTGGAGTGGGGACGCACTGGTAGACATCGGCCTTGCCTCCGGCGGCTTCAATGCCTGATTTTTCTGCTTCGGCGATCTTTCCGATATGGCCGTACATGGAATACTGTATCAATTGAATCAGTAGATAAGGAAGGTGATGGATAGTGGTAGTGGGGGGTTGGAGGACGAACGTAAACAATGGCGATACGCGGAGCCATGTTTGCGAATTGAGCAGACGTTGATTTTTGGTACGATTGAGATTGATATGAATTGAGGTGACTGAGCTCTCAGATGAAGATAGAGTAGAGAGAGGTAAAGAGTAAAAAGTGAAAGCAAAAGAGGTTTGAGGGGCCCCTCGATGATTATATCATGAACCCGGCCAATCTGCCGGCCCCACCAAAGACTGCCCCGCTGCCGTTGCTTGCTAATGATGAGTAAAGCACCACAAATCAACCTCCACCCCCACCCCCCCCCCGCCTCCTATTAGAAGTTGTGCATTGTGCGGCTGTGCCTTGCATAAGTGCAATGTTCCCGACACGCTAATAATGCACCAGCGTCGCAAAAGATTTCGCCGGGCTTGGTGGACGGCAGCAAGATCAAAACATACTTTAGGTACAACGCAACAGCTGCTATCTACCTTACCTACTCGTAGTATAGGCAGAACTTCCTTCGTAAGCTATTGTTCATCTGCAATCTACCCATCTTCGACACCCTTTGCTGCTCCAAAACGGCCACCGAATCCAGTCAAGTCCCTTTTAAAAAACTTCCCGATATTCCTCAAATTTTCGTTCAGATTTCCGGGTGCAATAGCTTCTCTCCCACCATCAGGAGACTGTGGTCGGCGATTTTGCGGCGGCGGACTCGCCATTCTTGAATCAGCGGGCGTACTCAACATGCTCGAGCCTAAGGCCGGAGTGCCAAAGCGGTCTACACCGTCTCTAGCAGCCGTCATGATTGCACTGCCAAAAGTAGAGGGATCAAAGCGGCCAGGTAGATTCGAGGTGCTCAGGCTTGCAGCAGAGGAGAGTGAGCCAATGCCTGTAGGGATGGGAACGCCTCCGCCAACACTACCGCTACCCCCTCCGACCACTAAGGGGGTGAGAAGCGGGGACGACTGCTGAAGGTCCTCGTTCCTTGGAGAGGCGCGATGAGCTTGGAATAGCTCGACTAAATGCGCTTGGTCTGGCTTTCGGATGCCTTTGAGATCGAGTATCTTGCGGAAGTTGGCATCGGATTTGTCGGCAATGTGGATGAGGTACGCTTGAACAAGCGCTTCCGGTGGGGAGGGACGCACTTGCAGCGTCTTCAGGATAGGGTCGACGCGGGACATAGCTTGCGAGACGCGCTTGATATAACTAGATGGAGCCGCTGTCTTTGGCGGCGAGTTGGAGGTGAGTAAGTCTTCAAAGCCTTTCTTCAGGACGTAGATGTCTAGCAGCATCTGGTTTGCTTCAGCAAAGGATCTTTTGACAAGCTCATAGGGCTTGTTACCTGTTCAGCGCCGACTTCCGAGATAGGCTTGCACTGGAAGATGTTGGCGACATAAGCATTCGCTGTCAGCTCAACGACGTTATCGCAGAACGCCCTCGCGTATTGCTGCTTATGTAGCATGCCCAGAATTTCTCCGGCTCTTGACTTAACCCGTTGAAGCATCTCGGCGACATACGAGCTCTGATCTCCAACGCTCTCCATTTTGCTCCACCCAGTGTTGCGCATCTCTCGCCATGTGGGCTCAATGTCGAGTTCCACCTTGCGTACCAGGGCACGGACCGTTGCACTTGCGATGCCCATAAAAGCATCTGCCTGACTCTGAAGATCAATACTAGTTTTCAGATCATGGTCAATGCGACTTTTGATCTTTTCTTCGAGTTGTGTACTAGTGTTGAAGCAGTAGTCCGCAGTATTCAGGACAAGTACAATGTCCTCGATCTGTGGCGTCCTTGACGGCGTTTGCCCACTCGGACGTTCGCTGATGTAATAGAGAAGGATTTGTTGCGCGTACTGATCTAGATATTTGGCGAATACCTTTGTCAACTCTACAAGTCTTGCACCAGAAGACAGCTTAGCACATTGAGCTAACGTCAACCTATAGAAGCTGAACAACTCAGTGGATGACGATATAACCATCTGTGGAGAGAAGTCCTCGTCCGGCTGTCGTGGTGGTTGAGCACGATACTTCGGGATCATTGTAGAGAGATGCCTGAAAATTTCAGCGGGTCTCCATTTATTTAATGATGCATGGAGAGACGTACTTGTCCTGTGATTCTACCCATAGGCTTAGATAAGGTTCGAAAGCCTCGGAGATGGCCTGACTGAAAATTGGCGATTTCTCGTCGTTCGAGCTCAAGGTGTCCATAGAGGCGCGAGACTACAGGAAAGTCAGCCAATGACAACCGTAATCGAATCCAGCACCAACTGTACTAGTGAACCGTCGCTCAAGGCCATGCTCGAAGTCCAAAGTCTCCTGAAGACAAGAAAGCAGAAGGTCCACATCCAATGTCTGCCCGTCTGCTCTCCGCATGGACTTCTGCAATATGCCCCTGAAGTCCTCTCTTGTAGTCTCACAAAAGGCATTGGCCAACAGCTCGTTGACACGCCAAAACGGAGGAAACATGGCCGCATGCTCGTCATCGTAGGTTTTGAGCAATCTCTTGAACCAGGAATATCTTCTCGAGATGTTGTCCAATGACCCTGCCTCCTCACTGCCTCTGAACAATTGTCGATATTCTCGTAGCTGCGTGTTGCAATACCATGTTATGAGCCTCGCTCGGGCGTTTTCCCCCAAAGCATCCATGACCGAGCAAGCCTCCGCCAGCATGCCTTTCCGCTGTCCTATCTCACCCTTGGCAAACGTGACCTCGAAGTCCTCGCAAACCTGCTCCAACATTTCCCTCTGTAGATCTGACACGTTTTTGCTGAGCGTAGCAATCTGATCGATCGAGCGGTACGATTTGAAGTGGGCCATGAGCTGTATCACAGCCTGTAGAAGCTGGGCACATTCTCGGTATTGGCGAGAGCTACTGAGTCCCCGGAGCTGTTCGTAGGCCGTAGTAAGCATTTGTAGTCGTTTCAGAGCCGTCATAGAAAGTGTAAGGTTCCTCTTTGTATTATCAAGCCGTTTGATGTCGGCCGTCATCTCTGTTATCGCTCCTTCGGTCTCAATGGCTCGCTGCCGAACTCCCTCCACTTTCTGGAAGAGCTCGCCGAGATCATTCTGAGCGGTCTGTATACGCTTGACGCTTTCGACATCGGAAGCCGACTGCTGCTGCACATGGGCAGAGATCTCTTGGTCGAGTTCATGTTGGTAGATGCGTAGGGCTCTGGAGGTTTTTGAGACGGAAGAGAGGCTTGAAGGGTGCGAAAAGATGTTGTCTAGATGATGGATTACTTGGAAATCTTCTGTGAGATGTCAGCTCAGCATAAATCTCTTGTGCTTCTTATAGTACCAGCATCCAAGGAACTCAGAGGTGCCGTGTCCACGTTCAGCTGCGGCATGGAGCCTGCCAACCCATGAGCGAGCTTAAGACTTCTAACGCGATAGAAAGTAGTGTTCAAGCCCTTGAGAAAACATGAAAGGCTTTATAGAGGGTGGAAAGGGTATTGAGGCTCAGAAGAATGAAAAATTCTCTTCTGATGTAGTAAGTCAGGTGTTTCTCCGAATCGACTGGGGATTATTTATTACAGGGGGTAGCATATTGGGTCTACAAGATTCAAGAAGAGTGAATTGAATTGGAATAGTTTGGTTTGAATTGATAACTCAGGGTCTGGTTCGATTAACAACAACACGAGCAGGGCAGTAGAGAACTTCCCCTTCTGTCAATCTCCGGCTCTTCCAACAGAATCTCACAGAAGCAGACAAACCAGAACGCAAAGGTGCTATCATGATCCCGCCCCCCCACCTCCACTAGGCACATGTAAAGCACATGTCATCCAGGTCTGAGTAGCTAACGACACTGTTTGCAACCTTACCTACCCCCGGTATGAGACTCTCCGGTGTCGGAGAAGTCAGCAACCCGCCAAGCTCCTGATTGCAATAGAAACCACAGTCCTGCGTCACGTTATATAATGTCAGAAAATCAGAAGCCTGTCCCGGCACTCTTCTCTTCTGTCCATTGAAACCGAATGTGCTCGCTGATGGTTTGCTATGGTCGACATTGTCCACGTCCTCTTTGAATCTGTAGCAAAATTTGTTGCCGTCAAGGTATTCTGTACAGACCTCCTTCTGTTTGCTGATGTGGTCCATACATTTGGCGGGCTTTGTACCATTGGAGTTGTGAGGCGCTGACGAGGTGCAATTGACTGAGATGGAGTAGTTGCGGCTCAGATGGTAGTTCCAGTAGTTGAACAGGTACTATCAGAGATATCGGAGTTAGCAAAGTACACACTCCTATGACATGCCCTCGGGCTACTGAGTTGGTTGGAAGAGGGAACATGGACTTTGAACACGTACGTAGTAGCCGAAGGTAGCATCTGGCGATAATGGATCGGGACTCTGACAGTAGCATTGCGTGACGTTGAGAACATCGCCCACTGGATCAGAGGGAAACAGGGTGTGGAGGTCTGTCCCCTTGAGGGTCTGAGTAGCGGTCGTGAGCAGAGGAAGCATGAATGCGAGGAGCATCATGAGCGGAGACATAGTCGGTCAGGGGAGACACGGATGGCAAGCTGATAGTGTTGCGGTGCTCTCAAGCTGGTAGAGACTAGCGACGAGGGCCTCTCACTGCATATCCTTATCAGCTTGACCATGAAAGCGGTTTGACATGGCATACAGATTGGCTAATTCTGATCTGGAGCTGATCAGAGACGTTGCCTCGAGACACAACTGGAGAGTGCTTATACTGGAATGCTCTGGTGGAGGTCAAGCAAACTGCAGAATGGAGACAGTCCGCGTGTTGGTAGCAAAGACAAACGTTAGCTTGAGCAGCAGAGTAGAATGAAGTAATAATAACGTTGTGCTGTCGAAGCCGATTGTAGCAGATACTCGGTCCTTGTCCTGCGGTGGAATGATTGTATGTAAGAGAGTGGAAGAAAGACCGTGACTTCATACAATTTAAAGGATTACAGGATCGTCATGGAGACAAGGTCTGCACTTTCCGAATGAGGAGGATGCAGGTCAGTTTGGGCTTCGGTTTTGCTCACTTTGACTGGCGCCTTCTCAAAGATTTTTAGCTTTTGGGCAAGTTCCTTCTCAAAGGACGAGCATGGGGAGACACCCCAAATATTCATCTATCTGGTTTCAAGACAGTGCGACTTGTTACACTCCGTTGGAATGCTGAGGATACAAGGATCGGTAGCTTGCCTCCACTAAGCTTGTGGAGTCTTGCGTGTCTCCCGTTCCAGTCCAGAAGAACAGCCCCGCAAGACCCTCTTTCAGCGCAAACGTAGCCTTCATTTGGACAGTGTCAACATCATCATAGCTCACAAAGCCGCCATCACCGCCGACGCAATACACGGCACCTGCTTCCTTATCAAGATTTACAACAGCTCCGGGCCGTGGCAAATCCTTGTACTCGAAGCTACCTTCCTCGCCTGCATGGCCTGTGAAACGGTCTCCTGGCTTGCTAGCACCCAGGAAGGAACGTCCATACGCAGGGACGCCAAGCAGAATCTTCCTAGCCTGTACGCCTCGCGACTGGGCGTAGGCCACTGCTGAGCTACATGAGACTCTGGCAGCCTCGTTGTGAGGGTTCTTCGGGCTGTAAAGCTGGGCGTGATGACCACAAAGATTTGTCCAAGGTCCGGAGAAATCGTAAGTCATCAAGTTGATTAGATCCAAATGAGAAGAAGCTTTGCCAAGATCAATGTTCCTTAAGGCCCATTCACCAGCAGGCAGGGCAGAGGTCAGGATATAACTTGGGGCAGGCAATTCTTTCCGAAGTGCTGCAAGTAATTGGACGTAGTGCTGGCCTTGCTTAGGATCCGATGGATGTTCCCAATCGACTTTCTAAATGTCAGCTACGGCAGGAGCCCAGATATTCATGTGACCGCTTACTATCTACGCCATCAAATCCAAATGCATCCACCATCTGTCTTGCGCTTTGGGCAAAACTTGATCTGACGATTCCATTGCTGGCGACTGCAGGAAAAGGAGCACTACCTTCTCCTCCTCCGCCAACCGAGAGAATTGTCTTGATGTTCGGATAACGCTTCTTAAGAGACCTCAGATCATTGAGACATCCTTTCACGCTACCATCGCCGTTAATGTCGATCTCGCTGTCGGCGTACTCGTCGCTGAACTGCAGCTGCGTGAGTATCGACCAGAGAAGCCAACTTTGAAAATTACATACAAACAAATGACCCTGATTTCTCACCCTGCAAATTTCATTAGTAAATACAATTGAACATGACGAGAATGCCCACCATGCAAATGCGTAGAAGAGGTGAGTGACATATTTCAAATTCAGCGAGGACGGAGGAAATCCCTTGTAGACTCGCCAATTTGGGTAATAGACGGCATTGATGGGGAGAGATTGAGAGATTTTCTCGACAGGAACTGGTTCAACTTGCACTTGGCTCCTGGTTTTGAATGGGTTCAAGGAGTGTGCCCGCCAACCCGGCTTGGGTTTGCCCTGGGATGAAGCCATGTAAACCGTGTTAAGAGAGGTGAGATTTAGGGAAGAAAGAGAGGAGGGATGTCTCTTACAACTGATGGAACATTCGCTCTCAGTCTCCGGAAAGGGCAGCCATGTATTAGAAGCAGAGGATTTTAGAAAGTTGAGAGCTATCACATCATTCCATTACTTATTACAACTTACAAGACCGTGGGCGATTTCTTGACACATCCCGTCCCGCTTTTTAAACACAACAACAGCGCCATGGGAGCAAGGAAAATACTCGTATACGGATCCGGTAATGCCCGCTACCCGGTACATGCCCGGTCTAAAATCCGATGAATCTGAAACTTCAGTAATTCGTCCTCTTACAACAGTAAAATAAAAATATTAATAAATCAAATCATAGAACGTAGAATAATATTTCTAAAACTTCAAGAGTTTTCTAACTCGGAGTTATATTGATAACGTTGTATGATAGTGTAATAAAGTCTGCCCAAATTCTGTAAGCCGTACGCCGCGTAGCGGAGCGGGGGTAGGCTCGGGGGGTTTTCGGGAGGATATTCCCCAAAAATCCCCCCCGGGATTATCGGATTTAAGACTGTGCATTACCAGCTCTGCAGTTGCCGTGGCTTGTGGAACTCGAGCTTCCAAGGGCTGCTTGAATAAAGCACAATATAGCGAGAAAAATGAGGCAGGGTTGGCGGGAAAAAAACCCCTGGCGGTCGATAGAACGAAAGCAGCGGAAGACTCTATTGCGGTTGTGGACCAGGGTGATTATGCCATGATGAAGGACTTTGGGAAGACCCCGCAATAAGTCGAGCTTTTCGACGCGATATCCGTTGGTCGAACTCTACGGTCACCGACCATTCCTATACTACTACGCTGGAATGATATCTGAAAAGGATTGTTATCTGCCTCCCAATAGGAACCGACGGACTTCGAGAGTAGCCTCCTACCGATAGATCAATTACCATCACGTCGATTTTGGGCTAAGGGGTAGCCTTCAAGGACGGTCGGAAGCACAGCTCCCTACTATGCCGACGGACGTATGTGGAGTATGAACAGGAATGCTAATAGTAGGTAGTCTACACACTGAAATACATATAAATATCTGTCTGCGCTTGATTCGAGATGAAGGGTGAGCTTAGCTCCTTGAACGCTCTTTCCTGATCCGCCTGGCCGTTGCTTTGCTTTTGGCAAAATGGATATAACTCTTGGAAGGAGCATGGGAGATAGTAGATTCAATCATCTTAGATGCCATTCCCGTTCTCTCTTTTCTCTTTCTTTCAACATCGCTCATCTACTGCCTTTCAATAAAGGGGGGGAGAGAAATACACACACCTCCTTTTTTTATAAACCCTATTAATTATAAAAAAACCACCCAAAAAAATTAATTACCTCCCGGGCCCCCCCCACCCAAAAAAAAAAAAAAAAAAAAAAAAAAAAAAGAGAGAGAAAGAAGAGGGAGAGGGAGAGGGAGAAAGAGAAAAAAGGAAGAAAGGGAGGGGAAGAAGGAGGTAAACCAAGAAAAGGTAACGAGACCATGTTTGGTACTTTTCAGCTGCAGGAAGGCCAGGTGGCCAATAGGTAGTGGATATTCGAGTACGATAGGCGTATTTCTATTAGCAACGAGAGAGGGTAGCCCCCCAATCAACTATCCCCAAAAAAAGAAAAAACAAAAAACCTCCCCTTAACAAATTTTAAAAACCTTTTTTTTTTTTAATTTTTAAAAAAAAAAAAGGAAGGAATTCTTTCCTTAAAACAAAAAAAAAAAAAAAAAAAAAAAAAAAAAAAAAATTAAAATTAATAATTTAACAGGCGGGGGGGCCGAAAAGAAAAAAAAAAAAATTAAAAAAAAAAAAAATAAAAAAAAAAAAAAAAAAAAAAAAAAAAAAAAATAATAATAAAAAAAAAATTTTAAATAAAAAAAAAAAAAAAAAAAAAAAAAAAAAAAAAAAAAAAAAAAAAAGGAAGAAAAAAAAAAAAAAAAAAAAAAAGATCCCAAGGATCTTAGGGATCCAGCTAAGCGAGCTATGCTATATATGGCTAGAAAGAACGACCCCGCAGGAAGCACCTTCCGACTACTACGGAACAAACAAGACAGAGCCCCAGCGACTATGAAGCTATACACAAATGTAGACAAAAGCTGCTTCTGTAGAAAACAAAGCTGTAGCATAGCATAGCACCTGAAGAAAAAACAAAACAAAACACTGTTCCTGAAGCCTTCCGCAAGCGCATGTACTTCTAAGAAAGCACAAACTCCGCTCCGTGAAAGCATGTACTTCCGGGAAAGCATAGACTTCGGGAAAGCATGAGTTCTGAAGCTTTCTGCAAGAAGCATGAACTTCCAGGAAAGCTTCTAACGGGGACGTCGGGTAGTTTGCTGTTGTGGTAATGGGGGGTAGCGGGATCCAGGAGGTAGCCTGTACGAGTAACGAAGTTCTTGAGGTGATCTCCGTGAAATGCGTGTCTGATCTTTCGGCCATTGAGTTGTACAAGTGTGAAGGATCTTCCATGGGATCCACCATATCCACTTATTCGGAACGGACCTCTCCAGCGGGCTTCCAGTTTTCCTGTATCCTTCTGGTATAACATGACTAGATCACCAACATGATGCGTGATTTGCTTGATTCCCTTGTTGTACCGGGAAGCCATGTCCTCCTTCTGCTGATCCGAACGCTGCCTGACCGTATCATGAAGATCCGCCCGGTGAATGAGGTATTGTCGTACGATCTGAGCATGGCTAACAGGATCCTCCAGCTCAGCTACCCAAGCAGGAACGTCACGTCCGGGAAGTGCACGTAAGGTAGACATGCTGGCAGAAGCTTCCGGCAGCGGTCCGAAAAGGATGCTGGTAGAAGAAATTCCCAGGTGTTCGATGACTCGTGTATTGACGGAACCTCCAGTCTTTGGCAGCCGCTGATCCCATTCCAGTCCGGTATGAAGAGAATCCTTGCGAAGCACCGCTTCCAGTAGTTTGTTGCAGACCTCGACCATTCCCGTGCTCTTGGAAGCACCAGAAGGGCTGTATGTGACGGCAATGCCTTCGGATCTCAAGAATTCTTTCAACTCATCATTAAAGAAATGCTGACCGCGATCGAGGTAGTAGGCATGAGGCTTCCTGTACATAGCAAAGAACAACTTGAGACACCAGATGACGTTCTCCACATTAGCAGACACAGTGGCAAAGGGAACCGTGAACCTACTCATGTAGCAGACTTTCACGAGTATGAAAGTAGATCCTGCTTTGGTAGTTTTGAGTGGGCCTATGAAATCCATTCCCATGAGCTGGAAAGGGTACGTGACTTTGATAGGATGTAAAGGCTGAGATCTGGTAGCAGGTCCATGCTTAGCACACTCGAGACACCCGGCAATGTACTTCTCAACATCTTGTGCTTTCCCAGGCCAGTAGCAGCTGCGTAGTCTTGCCAGGGTGCCAGTCTTAGCCCAGTGTCCGCTTTCGTCATGAACTTCCCGGAGCACAGTGAGCACCTTTCCTTCCGGCACGCAAGGTAAGTACACGCCTCCTCGAAAGATCCACAGGATATGTCGCACCACTCGGTACTCAAAAGCTTTTCGGAGCAGCGTGGCAGTGGGAGTCGAAGATCCTACGGTAAGAAATTCGTAGATTTCGCCGAACCAGGTGCTGCTGCGGTAGGCTTCAATCCAAATCTTGATATTCTCATCGATCTTGCCGAAGGCTTCCGCAGGTGGTTCCATAGTTTCCGTAGCAGAAACAGCTTCCAGCGAGAAAGAAGAAACACCATGCAGCGTGCCTCTATCAACGACCTCAAGTTGCTCCGATTTGGTGAGTGCTGCTAGGAACGAATCGAATCCATCCTTGCCGTCTTTCCAGATCCATTTCGGGCCATGGTTCTCCAGTTTCTGTCGTACTCGTGTGACTGTGATATTCTCTGAGCATTCAGCATCGAACAAGGTCCTCGATAAGCCGTCGGCAGCTTTGTTTCGAGGCCCAGGTATGTACTGAATAGTGAGATTCAAGCGACGGAGTCCATCAGCCCAATGCCCGTAGATTCCCTCGTGAAGATCTGAGTCGAGGAAGTGCGTGAGAGGCTTGTGATCAGTGTGTACCACAGTAGGCTGATACGGGTGCTTGCATAAGTAGTCATACTTCTTGCAGAACGTGACAATGGCGCAGAGTTCTCGCTTGTAAGTAGGGTACTTCTTTTGAGTGGGACTGAAGGTAAACGAATCGTACAAGACAGGCACTTCTTCATCCTTTCCCGTTGCGGTAGGCTTCTGAGATTGTGAAGCTTCTGGCAGGGTGGGGGCATGGTACTGTGTGATAGCACACCCAGCTGCAAAACCGGAAGCATCAGTGTACATGTGAACGATTCGGCTCAAGTCAATGCCGTACATGCTTGTTCTCGTAGCACATTTGATGCGTAGGATCTCGAAGGATAGCTGTTCTGCTTGAGTCCACCGCCATTCCACCTTTCCCGTAAGTCTGGAAAGAGGTCTCGCGATTTCCGCGAAGTTCTTCACCCACCGACGCGTGATGCCGACAGTTCCTAAGAAACCTCGAACTTCCGACTGATCTGAAGGAACAGGCCACTTGGCTACTTTAGCAACCCGTTCTTCAAGAATGTGGACATGTCCTCCAATGACATGAGTCACGCCCAGGGCCTTGATTGATGATGCAAATAGCCGCAGTTTCTTGAAGGACAATAGCAACTTGGCCCACTCGACTCTAGGAAAGAAGTGATGCTGCAGGAAGGAAAACAGATCCTCGAAGTCGTGGAAGCCACCAAAGAAGTCGTCCATATAGAACGTGAGAGGCGGTGGGATCTCAGGATCCGGCGAATGTAGCAAGGAAGGTTCCGAAGGAATAGGACCAAATGCTCTGTAAGCTAGCTCTGTCATGGTAAAGCCTGCAGACTGTGATCCCTGCTGCATTCTCGTAGGCTGCACCTGACCGATGCCTGAAATAGTGAAAGCAAAGTAGTGCCTGTCGTCAGGATGCAGAGGTATCGTGAGATACGCGTGCTTCAAATCAGCTGAGAACAAGCATCCATGACGTGGATTGGATAGGTGATCGTGAACTTTCGAGCTTAGCTCGAGATGAGCTCCTGGAAGAAGCTCCGTGACACGGGAATAATCGAAAGTCATTCGGGGCTCGTCAGTAGGTTTCGGATCCTCGACTTTGTCTACCATGACAGCCCGTGCATTCCACTGAGACAGACGTCCATTTGCAGGCTCAGTGAGTTCATAGACACCACCTTCGAGACCGTCTTGAACAAGCTTTCTCAGCCACCACTCCGTGTGAGGAGGCCAGCGTTTCTGAGATTTCGAGGAAGCAGGCTTCGTGCCAGGTGCAATGCGTACTCGATGCGTGATGAGATCCGTGCAAGGCAGGTCTCTCAGATCTTCCCTATTGAGATGCTTGTACTGGTATAGCAGTCGTAGCACCCGTAGTCTCTGCTCTGCTGTGGTAATGAGCGGTCCGAGGACTGGTCCCAATCCTAGCTTGCTAGCCCATTCTTCAAGTTCTGATAGTGAGGGATGCTGCGGAAGGCTTCGGCGAATCATCCTTCTAGCAGGAAATGCTTGCTTGAGAGGCACCTGTGGAAATGATGGTGCTGGCGTTCCCGAAGCACTGAAGGCTCCGGCAGACCAGCCTGGAAAGCTCACAATGGTTGCTTGCTTTGGTAAAGAAAAAGAATCAAGGACTTTGAAGGTGACGACAGGGGTACTCAAGGGGCTTGAATCCTTGAGGCAGGCTTCTGCGAGCCCTGGCAATTTAACGTCCTGCTTAAGACAGACTTGATTCACTGAAAATCCTGACGCTTGATCTCTTCAATATCTGACAAATCATCCCCAGAATCAGAAGAACTATCAGATTCTGAAGAATCAACTTCCTCAACGGAAGCCTTTGGCATGTCCCACTTGATAGCTTTCGGGGTAGTCATGGCGGACTTGGGATACATCAACAAATTGTGATCTTTGCAGAAAACCATTTCCGGACCCACGATTCTTCGGACTTCCTCGCCTTCCGATCTGTCTCCCAGGAAAATGGTAGAAAGGCGGATCGAAATGAAAGCATCCACAGTCCAAAGCCACGGAATCCCGAGGATCAGACTGAGATATTCAGATCTCCCTGATTCCGTGACGGACACAACTTCCGGAGCCACAAAGCATCGAATGTTTCTCCAGATTCCTTCCACACCAATCGTAAGCCACACCCAATGTTCTAGCACGGTATCACGATAATCCGCCGTACGCATGGAAAGGCCTTTAAATCCAATCTCCGAAAGCAGGTGGAGATGTAGGCCTAGAAGGCGTGCCAGTCCAGAAGACATCACATTCATATCGGAACCTTGATCCGCCTGAGTATGAGATTTCTCGAGGCTGACGTCGGATCCATCCTGTTTCCTTGCAATAATGGGAATGCGGAACGCCTTGTCCACACCCACAAGAGAGCTCAGGAAGCGTGTGTGCTTCTCAGCTTCCATAGCAGAAACATCAACCTGGAATACGGATACTGACGTAGCAGGGTTCCCCAAAGTCTGCTGGGAAGGCTGAGATAAAGGTGCTTGAGGTGCAGACGTAGAAGGAAATGCCGGCATGGGTTGATAGGCTTGCGGATACCCTGGAGGTAGCACAGGCATCTGTGGAATTTGTTGAACAAAAGTAGGCTGGAAGCTGACTGGAGGTGCTTGCGTAGCATCTGCAGCAGGCTTCGGAGTTCGTTTCTTGGGAACCCGAGTGCAAAGGCGCTTCAACTCCTTACACATAGCAGGTGACCATGCCACAAGATCCATCATACTCATGTCGACTTTGGTACTCTTAAGCATATGTCGGATCGACATGGGAGAATCATATTCTGATCCATTGAATAGGCCTACCAAAGGCTGAGGTTCTGCCTTCTTACCGACTCGCTTCTTGCCCTTGCGTTTAGGACGCTCTTCTTCCGAAGCAGCCTGGAATAGGTATGGCTGGTTCTGGAAAGAAGGTCCTTGACCCATAGCTGCCGAAGGCTGCTGCGGACCTGCTTGGGTAGGAACTTGCGGCGGGTAGAAAGAAGCACCGGGATTCAGGCTGGCATCAGGCTGCTTTTGCTGATGCTGAGGCATCTGAAACTGCTGTGGTATGAATTGCTGTGGTTGAATGGGTACTGATTGAGGCCTCTCAGGTTGCTTTTCTTGTTGCCGCTGAGATGCCGGTGCCGGTGCTTCTTCCACGTGAGCTCGCTTGTTAGGTCCTGATCCTTCACCGAGGAAAGCTTCGGCGGTTTTCACGTCAGCGGAACGAGATCGATTCAGCCCTGCTACTCCGAACTGCACTGAATTAGAATGAGGAGAAATGTAAGAATCCATGGAGCTTGAAGGCGTCACTTGACCCGATCCAGCAGAAGAAGAAGAAGAAGAAGAAGCTGCGGAAGGCTTCGGCGAAGGGGTGGTCCCGTAGGGTCTAGAAGATCCATCAAACTCCCCGAACCCAACGGAAGCAAAGTTTGACTGTGGATTGTCCCCGAAAACAAGCATCCTCAGGTACGACTGTTCCCAAGCAGGTAGTGAGGCACCCTCACAATGAGGAGAGATGTGACCCTTGGTACCACACTTGATACATAGCTGACCGTCTTTCCCGTAAGACCAGTGGATTGTGCCATTGATGTAAGGGTTTTCGAAGTGCTACGCTCGGGTATATCTTTTGGGGTAGGCTGATAGTTACGGAAGCGACTGCCAGCTTGGGATTCGGGGGTCCGCTCCTGCCAGCGTTTCCTTTGTTGGGATTCTGAGCTAAGATCGGAGCTGGAGCCGGAGCAGGAGCCGGAACTTCATGTGAAGAACGACGATACTCTGGGGGTTGGGATTGCGTGAAACGTTGAGGTCCCGCGGAAGCCTCTGGCAGCTGCTCCGGTGGATCCGCATGGAAGGACCAAGACTGATAATGTGAGGGCCTCGGAGCTTTGGCAGCTTGATGAGAAGCAAGCAAGGAAGCCACCTGTTGCTTTGGCAAGTTTCGTTCCACGAGAGATTTGTAGAACTGGAGCTGGTCGGATCTCGATTCTTCATCCAAGAGCTTCTGGATTTCGGCGTTGGTACGCCGTGCTTCTTCCGCGAGATTGTAGACCATGTGTAGAGATCTGTCAGAAGATGCCATGCCTCTCGTTGCTTCCTTTCGAATCTCTTGATCATTCAATCCTCTGATGAAGGCACGGAGAATGGTGTCGAGCATGGTAGATTCAAGGAGGCTAAAAGCAGCACTGGGAGTAGCAGCGGGCCTATCCTTGATCCCAACTCTCTGCATCAAGTTGGTGACACGCTTGAAGTATGAAGCAAGGGATTCTTTCGGGACGTTGATGTAGGTCTGCAATCTCAACATCGAACGGGATCGCACTTACTTCCACAGCTTTCGAGGGAAACTTCTCGCAGAATATGGCCCGGAACTGCTGGATTGTTTGCTGGGAACCGGCGTTCTCTACTTCGGTAAGAAGTCGGACAGCTTCTGGGTGACTTTCTGACCACTCGAAAGCATCGTCGACAAGAAGCATGTCAAGATATCCCAGATACTTGGCTGGGGGAAACGACCTTCTTCATCTTGGTAATCCTCCATGTCGAAGTCGAACTTTCGGAGCCACTTTGATGCTGACATGCCAGTGGTCCCGAGAAGTTACCACATGTAGCAAACGTAGGGCGAGGCATGATTGCTTTTGTAGTATTGCTAGGAAGGGTGCTAGACTGTACGGGAGCTTCAGACTAATCTGAAGAAGGCGTGCTCCGGTAAGATTCTGACGACGAGACTGTGGAATTCGTAGGACTATTACCGAGAGGAATTCTCGAGAAGTCTGGGGCGTCAAGACGGTAATGGTAGGCCAATTCCTCAAGGAGATTCCTGGTGCTCGCCAGAATGATGATGCTATGACTTGCTTCCGTAGTAGCAGAGATTCCTGGTAAGTGACGGCGATGACCTGGAAATCGAGTTGGGTGACAGCAACTTCTTGAGGTACTTGCTAAAGGGTTCTCGAGTCTCGAGAAGTGGTTTTGTAGATGAAAGAGGTTTTTTGACCTAAATACCCAAAAAAATTTTTTTTTGGTGTGGTTTTTTATTTAAAAAAAAAAAAAAAAAAAAAAAAAAAAAAAAAAAAAAACCCCCAACCAAAAAAAAAAAAAAAAAAAAAAACAAAAAAAAAAAAAAAAAAAAAACCCCCCCAACCCCAAAAAAAAAAAAACAACCACCCCCCAAAAAAAAAAAAAAAACAACCCCGTGGGGGTAAAAGGAAAATTATATATTTATAAAAAAAAAAACAAAAAAAATAAAAAAAAAAAAAAAAAAAAAAAAAATATAAAAAAAAAAAAAAAAAAACACCCCCACCACCAACCACCCCAAAATTTAAAATAAAAAAAAAAAAATTAAACCCCCCCCCCCCCCCCCCCCCTTTTTTTAAATAGTTGGTGGGGGGGGGGGCCCCCAATAAAAAAAAAAAAAAAATTCTTTTTTTTTTTTTTTTTATTTTTTAAAAACCACACCCCCCCCCCCCCCCCCCCCCCGGCTTTTTTTGTTTTCCCCCACATTTTTTTTTGGGAAGTTAAAAAAAAAAAAAAAATTTATTTATTTTTTTTTTATTTTTTTTTTTTTTATTTCTTTTTTAATAACCCCCCAAAAACCCATACAAAAAAAAAAAAAAAAAAAAAAAAAAAAAAAAAAAATAAAAAAAAAAAAAAAAAAAAAAAAAAAAAAAAAAAAAAAAAAAACCCAAAACCCACCCCCCCCCCCCCCCCCCCCCCCCCCCCCCCCCGGGCCCCCCCCCCCGCGAGACCCCTCCAAAAACCCCCAAAAAAAAAAAAAAAATAAAAAAAATAAAAAAAAAAAAATAATAATAAAAAAAAAAAAAAAAATAAAAAAAAAAAAAAAATAAATAAAAAATAATAAATAAAAAAAATAAAAAAAAAAAAAAAAAAAAAAAAAATTAAAAAATTTTTTTTTAAATTTTCTTTTTTTTTTAATTTAAAAAAAAAAAAATAATTTAAAAAAAAAAAAAAAAAAATAAAAATAAAAAAAAAAAAAAAAATTATAAATTAATAATTAAAAAAAAAATTCTTAATTTTCAACACACAAAAACCATAAAAAAAATAAACAAAAAAAAAAAAAAAAAAAAAAAAAAAAAAAATTTAGATATGTTGGCAACATCAGCTTTATGGTCCGCGGGTCCTTTGATCTTCTTGTCAAGGGAACCTTATCTTTGGATCGTGGCCTCAGCATTAGCTCTCTAATCGAATGATCAATGACTAGCCATATGTGATAACGAGCCGCCTTCGAGAATCCAGGAGGAGAGCTGACTTACTAATTACTCGAGCCTCTACTATATCGTCCAAACGTCTCATACAACTCGTAAATCTGCTCGGCTGTACCAGCTCTATACACCATGGCCGCCACAGTCGACCACCGTGGAGTTACGCCGATGAATTTCGATCACCAAAGCCCTAACGAATACCAAAAGCCTCCAACACCTGAATTTGCCTTCTCCGACTTCCTCAAACGCGAATACCGCTTCGGTCTCGATCCTAACCGACCGGTCTGTCAAGCAGACCGCCAAGGCCTCTGCCCATTGGGCAATCTGTGTCCTGATAAACACGGCAACCATCACAACAACAATCTTGTTTGCAAGCACTGGCTGAAAGGTCTCTGTAAGAAGGGTGACCAATGCGATTATCTGCATGAATACAACATACGGGCTAGAGCAGAATGTACGAACTATAATCGCAGTGGATATTGTGTTAGTGGAGAGGATTGCAATTATCTACACGTCGATCCAGCAACGAGACTGCCTCCTTGTCCGCATTACGAGAAGGGATTTTGCCCTTTGGGTGAACGTTGCAGCAAGAAGCATGTGCGGAAGACGTTGTGCAGATTCTACCTTGCTGGCTTTTGCCCTTATGGAAGGCAATGTAAGGAAGGTGCGCACCCAAGATTCCCAGAGGATTTGCCGAAGCCTACTCTGAAAGTTGAGAAGACGGCGGAGGAGATAGAGGCAGAGAAGGAGAGACTGCGGGAGGAGGCTGATCGACAAGAGCAGAGGGAGTACGAGAGGAATGAGAGCAACAGAGGAAGGGGTAGAGGTAGGGGTGGTGGAGGACGGTATAATCCTAGGAGGCGAGGAGGAGGTCACGATAGATGAAGTCCTGCTCATGTCTGAAATGTTCGAAGAATACTCAAAGGTGTTCCCTGCCGATCACAGTTTGGTGACCGTAAAGAGAGGAGGAGTGTTGAATCATGCAGTCTCTGGACTTCGCTAAGCTCGGGACCGGACATATCATCCTTTAACGACAAATGACAGTGGCTTGGAGTCTTGAGCCGGGTGTTGAGAGAGGTTATCCTCAGCACACCGATTGAAGCGAAACCGGTCTATGCCATCCCTCCGCCATGGAATGCGTCAAGCAATGTCCGCTACCCAGAGGACAATATGTGGTTGATTGACGAGGGAGCGCAACGAAAATCTAGCACTGAAAGGAGTCCGGGCTGCTGATACGATCTGGTTATGTGCAGAAGCACCGATGAATACTGTTGGAGTACTCCAACCATTTGGTCCAAGCCATAAGCTTTGATTCGTGCCTATATTGAGCATCGTGGTACTGAGATGAAAATCGAACGCCAAACGCCATGCCTCCAATACATTCCACCTGCTCGTATGATTGAGACGAGATGAACGCTAACTAATCCTCTAACCCACCACGATTCCTCCGGTACACTTACCTGTCATCACCGTCATCCACCTTCTCCCACTCAGTACTACCTTCTACAGAACCCTCTTTCTCCGCCGTTTCAACAATATTTGTCTTAGCAGCCCCCATCATCCAGCCCACAATCCCATCCGGAACCCATCTCCCCACAAGTTCATAACTCCTGGCACCTCGTCCCACAAAGATCGTCCCATTTCTTCCCTTGCCTCTCGCCATAGCATCAAAAACTCCGTTGTGCAACTCGCGCAAGGATTGGCCCTTCGCCGGCTTCTCGAGTCCTTTTTGCTCGAGCCTCCGCCTCGCAAATTCCGCTCTCGGCGAGTACTGGCTCGGCACAAGCTGCTGATTGTCTGAGAGACTAGGACCATAATCGAAGTGACCAAGCCGGAAATGTACGACGTTGACGCCTTGGACCTGCACCTCTCGGCGTAGTGTGGAGATGTACTGGTTCAAGGCACCCCCTATGATACTCTCGGCGGCGTGGGAAGGCGGAGTGAGCGAGGGTACGATCGAAGGGTTGAGGAACAGGAGGGAGGATTTTTGGGAGACAAGGAGGGGTAAGAAGGCGTGGAGAGTCGTGAACGGTGCCACGAGGTTGGTGTTCAGGATGTCAGACCAGTCGGGTGGGGAAAGGGAAGTAACAGGGCTGACAGGAAGGGTAACTGCCGGGAATATTACGAGGGAAGTCAGGTGCAGGTCGTGAGGTGGAGCGTTGGAGAGGGGATGCTGAGGAGTATTTATGTGTGTGGTGAATTTCTGGACGGTTTCTTCTGTAGAGGAGGGCTGTAATAAAGGGTTAGCAAACCCTGTCTGGCTTTTGAGACGCAGGAGGTATACAGATGTAATATCCATGTTAAGTGGCCGAATGTCAGCTCTTGACTCGGACTGGACTATTTGTTCCTCGGATAAAGTGCTGACTGGGATGTAAACAATGAAGCCTCGCCTTTCGAGATCTAAAGACAGCGAACGAGTAAGAGGCGAATACGGGGATCCAGCGAGGATCACGACCTCCGTCCTGGATCCATTCTTAGCACGGCCTGCCCGTCTCTTGACTCTATCATTTCTCTTCCGCCGCCATACAATGAAGGCTCCCGTACCAAGGAATGCAACCACCGCTGCTGTCCACGCCCGATGTTCGGAAACCCAGATTCGAGTAGCTTCGAAGTAACCAAGGGGGATAGCTATAACAGGTACTCTGTGCGGGACAGGAGGTGGCTTCGGCTTAATCGAGTCTGGAAGCCAAGGGGTGTCTCGAAATGCATCTTTCAATGAACGGCCCACAGACTCGAAATGACGATCGATAGCCTCAGTGAAGGAGTTAACTGACTCCAGGATACTCGACATTTCAGACGTGACGTGATGGTGGAGAGACACGCTGTCCATGAATATCAAGCTGTTGAGCTTCGCCAAGGTGAAGGACGAGGGTAAGGACTCCTCGACTTCGAGGGGCATAAATACGTTTAGCCAAGGATTAGCCGATTATACTCACGTGATCCCACCGTAATAGAGACTCCGTGGCTCTGCTCTATTTCTTCTCTTTCCTTCTTCAATCAATATCTTCCAATGTAAGGGTAGGCTAGCTGACCTTTGGAGTTGGGGCTGTGGAGGAGCCTTTGAAATCATGTGAATGGCAGAAGGAATTCGTAAGCACGATTCTGGATACATCTGGAGGCAATGCACCACCTCACACGATGGTCTACCACGAACCAAAGTCTTCTCTTCTGAACTGTTCTCATAGCTACCAATAACCTTCCCCAACACAACTGTCAACATGGCCTTCGAACATGATCCTGCTGTCTCCGAGTATCAGCATGAAAGGTCGCGCCCCCGAGAGGCGGAGGCGCTGCAAGCCCTCCGCAAAATCGCCTCCCTGGTCAAGCCCATAATGAGACAGCGAGGGTGGAAGGTCGGTGTTTTGACGGAATTCTATCCACCGGAACGTAATTTGTTAGGGTTGAACATAAATAAAGGACAGAAGATTTGCCTGCGCCTGAGGTATCCTGGCGACGAGCGTCAGTTTCTTCCTCTGGAGGAGGTCACGGATACAATGCTACACGAGTAAGAGTACTCATGGCGCTGTACCATCTACATAACTAATAGCCGTTTCTCAGGCTCTGCCACATCGTCTTCGGACCCCACGACGAATCCTTCCACAACCTCTGGAACCAACTCCGCGACGAGTACGACCAACTTATTCGCAAAGGCTATACAGGCGAAGGCTTCCTCTCCACAGGCCACAAGCTCGGCGGTAGGGGTCGTATCCCTATGCATGAAGCCCGTCGCCTAGCTCGCGTCAACGCAGAGAAACGACGAACTCTCACGGCAGGATCAGGGCAAAAGTTGGGAGGTGCTCCTGTACGGCGAGGCGTGGATATCAGGAACGTGATTGCAGACGCCGCAGCGAGGAGAGCTGCGATTATGAAAGGCTGTGCTAGCGGCGTTGGTGCCGAGCGTGAGAAGGAGATAGACAAGGAGACGAACAAAAAAGGGTTTCGGACCAAAGCAGAAGAGGATGATGCGAACGAAGAAGCTATTATGATCGCCTACATTGATCTCGTCCAGGAAGAAGAGAGAGATAAGTACGGTGACGCCTACATTCCGCCCAGCAAAGAGAACCCCGCTGGCAGCCAAGGAGGCTTCAACAGAATCAAATCAGAATCTGGAATCAGATCTAACCGTGCACCACCAGTTCCAGCATCCAAAAAACCCATACTTCCTATCACCAACACGGTTGATCTAGGCTACGGACAAAGCACGCCTCCCCCCCACACTCAACCTCCATCCACCAAACCCCAAACACCATTCTCAGACCCCTGGACCTGTGAAATATGTACCCTGGTCAACCCAGCCAACTATCTCTGCTGCGATGCCTGCAGTACCGAACGCTCGTTTCCCCCGCCTTTGCCCCTATCAAACACTCAGAAAATTGGCTCGACTCAAGCTAGGCCTAGCTCAATCAGGGATAGTAATTCCAAGAAAGCAGTAAAGTCGCTCATGTCTCTTGAGGCTACGACGTCGCAGCTGCCTAAGAAGCCGATAGGTTGGTCTTGTCATTCCTGTGGGAACTTCATGGAGAGCGAGTGGTGGACTTGTGCTAGGTGTGGGAGTATGAAGCAGAGTTCATAATGGGCACCTTGTGGGCGAGGTACGAAATCAAAGTGGCACTTCCAAGCGGTACAAGAACCTGAAACACGGGTGGAACCCACACCCACAAGAAGGTTTCTTCGTGGTTGAACGCTCAACCTGACGCCAATTTATGAATGAATGACGACTTTCCTCGGCATGATTCCTGAAGCTGGCGCTAAAGTAGAAGGACTCAGCGCCCAAGACTGCAAATTCTTGGTAGCTCGCCTGCTTAACCATGGTGAAGGCGGGCTAAGAGGGCCACATAACCTATGAGCAGATGTGATACAGTGATTCTTGCATAGCGCGGAATAATCTGCTTGCTGGCAGCAAGATGGCAATGATCAATACGAAGCATAGCGACGGCGTTCTAAGCTCTATCATCAGGAAGGAAAAAGATTCGTGCAGTTAGCACTTGCTGATAGGTAGAACCACTTGCATCAGATTTAATCAAACCATTTAAAAATACTATTATTGGCATACTGCTATCGCTGAATCGCTATGTAATTAGAATTATGTCAAGTGAAGACTCAACTTGACGCTGCAACGAAATGATGCTGTATTATTCATTCCTCTACCCTTTCTTATTCCATCCTTTGAGCCTCGCCAATACTCAATCCTCAATTGGCCGGGGGACGTCGGCCAGAACTTTTCTCCTCGATATCCTTGACCTTATTCAGGAACTTTCTCCACCCTGTATCTTTCTTCTCCGAATACGCCTCAATGCCACTATAACCCTGGGAAGCGGGCCTCGATGAATTCTTAGGCGGCTCTTCTTCATATTCCTCGCTCTCGGAGCCGCCACTCTCAGGATACCCTGGGGCGCCAGTCTGGACACTCGTATGAGCGTCGGCGGAGCTCGGCGGGTTAATCCCACCGTTCGCTGAGGAGCTGTTGGCACGCGCCATAGGACCAACACCCAGCATGCGGTCGACCTTACTCGGCTTGCGTTGGTACCCGCTGTTCGGATTTGGGGGACTCGCATCAAGATGCTGGTGATAATCAACAGAATCATACCGTGCCTCGTCATAATCAGAATTAACGAACTGGCCTTGCTGCTGACCCAGCTCTCCATATTGCCTTTTCTGCCTTGGCGGCATCGAGAAGGGTTTCTGTTTTGTTTGTCCAATCTGCTGGTTACGATCTTCGAAATCTCTTTGCCTCTGGGGCCGCTGATCGCCATATTCCCGTTCGAGAGGGGGCGTCTGATCTCGATACTGCCTCCTTTGGGAGACTCCAAAGCTCCATCGTCGAGGTTTGACTGGTTCAGTTTCTGCCTCGTCCTCATCCTCATCCTCAGTCTCACCCTCGCTCCCACTTGGTGTTAGGCTGTCTTGCCGACCCCAGTTGCTCCGACCTTGACTGCCGGCCAGAGTGTTTCTCCTGGTACCTCTGATACTGTTAAGCCGAGATAAAAGGCCCTTCTTCTTATACGTCTCGGTATTGACGTCTCCTTCTCCTTCGTACCAAAGTGCTGGAATTAGAAGCCGGTAAGGAACGGTGATACCTGCTGGATCTTTCTGGTTGACTTCACAGTTCAAGACTAGATCCAGTCCATGCTCAAGATTGATGTGACCTGTCATGTCATCCAGGTCTCCTCCTTTCGCTGCAGCTTTCTCGCTCATGTTGGTCGGACGGCGGTGGAAATTGCCGGGACGTGGAAGAGGGGCGGAGCTATGGCGTTGATCGCCATTGCCGCTGATGGTGACAGCTCTTTGAGGTATTTTGGGCTGAGGAGGGAAGTAGCCATCAGGCGGAGGCGAGGATGAAGAATCTCCAGTGTCGTACTTGTTTGAAGGCGGAAAGTCGTTGCTTGGCGGTGGCCCACGACCTGAGAGTCGGCGAATGAGATTGCCAGGTTTTACATCACCCCTTGTTAATGATAGGGTCCTTTGAAGGCGAGTTGGAGGGGGCGGAGACTCGTCGCTCGGGGTTTGCGGCTCCGACTGAGGTGGTGTTGGTGGAGGTGTGGAGCCTGGATAGTACTCTCTAATTGAGCACCAATTTCTTCGTGGCAAAAGCCTTTTGTTATTTCTTAGCTTGCCATTCACATCATGGATAAACATTGGAATCATGTCCTCATCGGTGTCACCGTCGAGATGGTGAGTCTTGTTACGCTTGTTGAGAATATCGGCCATATTGTTCGGTGGAGGCGTATTGACGATGGCAGATGAGATGACATTGGCCATGTAGCGATGGTCTCGGTCCTTTGGTATCTTCAGCTTAGGATTTGAGTAGAATTGGCCGACCGCTGCTAGATGAACATCACCACTAGTCGCTCGTTAGTATCGAAGAAACTCCCAAAGCTGTTCTTTGAAACTTACCCAAGGATTGTCACCCTTACCGACTTTTCTGCAGCCAGTTCCTGAAGCTCCTGGACAAACCAGTTCCTCTCTTGTTTGTGATTCTTCGCGGTCCAGTGATCGTCCAGATCATCTAAGATCTCCACGCCGCCGTCGAATTTGTTAAGGAAGCCTCCGAGCATACCAGCTCGGCCTAGGGCTTTGACAGGGTCCATCACTCTGCTTGTGATCAAGTTCTCGAGCCAAACTAATCTTGGATAGGCGATAGGTACACCGAGCACCACGACAAGATGTTTCGTTTCACCCTCAACGATCTCTCTTCGGCACCTATCCAACACTATCTGATATGTAGCCTCGCTTAGGATTTCTTCTCTCTGTGCTGGATTAGCACAATCACGGGATTTCGTTGTCTGATCTTCCACTTACTGTTCGCTCTGTGCGACAATCAAGAGCAAGAAGCGCGACATTCTTCCCAAGAGAAACAAAAACACTCCTACTAGGCTCGTTGATATAAGGCCCAGGTGCAGATCCCATGAGCCAACTTGGCTCATCAGCGGGCCCTTCGTCTGGAACACTTTGGTGCTGAAACAGCATATAGTACTTGAACGCTACAGCTCCGAGACCGCAAAATACTGGCGTGCTCATAAAGTGATGCGGGTAGGAACCAAAACCATCGATGATATCTGCGGAAAGGTTATTAGCCACCGATCATTCGTCATATAAGTCCGTTGCAGTGTCAGACGCCATCACATCGAACACGTGGATGGCGCAGTGAGATCTGCCAGATGAGAGGTCTGCTCCGATCACAAACGTACCATGATCATCCCACATGTTTACCATTGGGATTTGGGAACTGGCCATGCCGAAAAGACCTTGAGAGAACCACATAGAGTACCTTTCCAGATAGAAAGTCTCGAGTTCCTCATGCATCGACGGCGAAAAGTCAGCTTCATGTTTGTGATGTGGATTCTTGATCTCGAGCCAATTCCGAAAAAGTGGGCTTTGGCTCATGACAGCATCGTTGTAAATCTGGTCCCCTCCACCAATCATGACATGGAACGGTCGTGTCTGATGGCAATTGAGCACATCTCGCCAGAGAGGGTCAGGCCCAGAGAAGTTATCCGGGCTGTTCCTTTATAAGCATGAATCCTTTCACTAGATGTCCAGACTTACTTGACGCTCATACTAAAACCGTTGCAGCTATGGAACATCACGTTCATTGATTGGCCTCTTCCGGGTATCCAGAATCCCACAGACGGCGAGCCATTGATACTGTAAGCAACGCGAGTTTGTTGTACACTCAGCTCGACTTCCAGATTAAAACGCCAGAAGGTAACACCACGCTCTGCATGGAGTCGAACACCCCTGACTTGTTGACCTCTCTTTGGTGCCCTCTCCCCACGACCTCCAATCTTGGGATTCGTTTGCGATGTTCCATTACTACGTCCTGGATGGAAGTCGGGAGTACCATAAGCTGTCGGAACCGCAGCAGTACGGAATTCCTCGAAAAGCCCGTCATCATCTTCAAGACGCGACAAGTCCACGCCTTGCTCGAGATCGTCTACAGGCTTGACGTATACGGTCTTTCCACTTCTTGACAATTTAGGCAAGCCCGCTATAGGATCCATATATTCAGCAGGTAACTCGTGACCGTCTTCGGCATCAATATGTTGCGGTGGTGGAGGCAAGAGATCCATTGCTTCTGGGAATAGGCGCAAAGTTGGTGCAGGATCATATGATGAGTCGGCATCCGCTGTGACGATCATGACGCTACCTCTCCATGCCTCGCGTTCGCTGCTGGATGGGCCACTTCTAGTCTGCATCTGCAGTCTGTCTCTCTTCAGGCCTGTGTAGCGCAAGAGAGGACCACATTTCAGGTAGAGTGGTGGATCAAAGGTAGCGAGTGCTGGAGCTGGCCGTATGCGGACAGACCGCATACTCAAAGTTAGCTCTTTGCTCAAGTATGGCTCGCAAATATGTTCAAAGTGTGCAGGGTCGTGATCAGCAAGATTGGTACATGAGTAAGAGTACACAGACGAAAGACCTGAAAGCTGCTCATTCTTTGTACGATGGAGAAAGTGGGACACATGACTTTCATAAGGCGATCCCGAGTGGTTTCTGACCCTCCGAAATTGCTCGTGCCCCACATATTGCCTTGTACGAATTGTGCGTTCGTTTGAGGGCGACTCTGCAGATCTTGTTGTCTGACTAGAAATGGAACCTGGTATCTTACCGTTGTTGTCCTGATAGTCTCTTTGGAGAGGTTGTGCCTGTCTTGCTCTTCCCGATTTGCGGCGACTGTCAGACCTGCTCTCTTCCCACCACGTATCCCCTTTATCTTTTGACTCTTTCCCGGAAACAAAATCAGCAGCCGAGAGTCTTGCTGTACCTCCTTGCTTCCACTCGTCAAGATTTCTTGGCCTAGCATTGGGCTGTTCGTACGCACTGGCAGTGTGGTTGTGACCTCGATGCAAGATGGTGGAGAGGTGATGTTTTCGATCTGCGTGACCCTCGATCACTCCCTGCGACCCACTGCCAAATCCCACGATCTGTCTGGCCTGGATACCAGCAGCAGTTTGTGGAGGTATTCCGTATTTTGTAGCCTGCCCTTGGTCCTGTACAGTATGCCGTGGTACAGGGTCTGGTGCGCCTCCATAAGTTGCGGCTGACGCATCTTCATTCAATCTCTCCACTCTACTATTGTACAGCTCCTTTTGTTCTGTGGGTACGTCTCTGGACGGCGTCCGTTTTCCCACCGTTACTGCGTCTCGACGAAATTTGTCTCTCCGAGCAGCACGTTCTTGATCTGATCTTGCCAATGCTTCCGTTCCCCAACTTCTCCTGTGACTGCGCGAGTCTGCCTTGTCCATATCGCTAGAGTAGGCATCAAGATCTTCAGTATCCTCTTCGCCTTGGAATCTCACGCCTCGTCCTTGGTGCTGGTCGGACTGGGGCGTCTCGGTCGATCTTGTAGATGTCTTGCCGGTACGATTTGAAGACAAAGGCTGGTAGGAGTCAGAATATATCCTTCCTGAAGTTCGTTGTGGTTGTGATTCGCGAACCGGTTGTTCTCTGTGCCCGTCAGGCCAATTGACTTCAGTCTGGTCAGGAAATCTTCGTGATTTAGCAGCACCAGTATATCTAGAAACACGTCTTGATGTGCTCCGATCCGCGGCAAAGTCACTTTCTCGACCAGAGTCGTGCTGCCTGTTGCGGGCCTGAGATTCTCGAAGCTTTCGTTCAGCAGCCTCTACACGTGCTCGTTTCTTTTCTTTGCTGGTAAGCTCGACCTCGAGTTTCTGCAACGGCGAATGCTCTGGCGCCCACTCTCTTCCTTGTGGTTGCGCTACACTGGCTGGAGCACGTCTAGCACTCGGCTGGGTAGCAGGAGACAGAGTTTCTGGGGTTTTCTGAGCTGTTGCTGAGCTGCTTTTTCGACTTGGAGGATTGCCACTTCTAGATTCGAATTGTCGTGGGCTTGCTGGATTTGAGAACCGCCTGGGTGATATAGGACCGTTAGGGGGAGGGTATGAGTCTCTTTTGTGCTTCTGGATTTCTGAGTATAATCCACCAATGGGACGATTGAGACTTCCTCGTCTCTCTGGCCGTGCTGGCTGAGGGAGGGGCTCAGGGTTGAGATCTGGTGGTTCTGCGGGTAGTGACTTTCCGGTCAGAACACGCGCTCGCTCTGCAAAAGAGGCTGGAAAGTTGCCTTCGGGTGGGCTGTAGGTCTCGGTGCCATGTGGAGGACGGTACGAAACAGGTGGTGCTTTCGGTACTTCGGGAGCAGGAGGTTGTGGAAAGTTCTCGATTGGTGTCCTTCCAGGTCCAGTCCCAGTTGGCCTTCGCCTTTTGGAGGTCGTCCTTGCCAAACCATTGGTTGGAGGGGATCGATCCCCGCTTTGCGACGAAGGCAGGGACGATTGGAGTGGGAGATTTGGATTAACCCTCAACGGGCCCTGATTTAATTCTGTGCCTGCATCGTACAGTCGCTGCATTTGCATGCGCTGTGTCTCCATGGTTTTGTCCTGAGGGTTGATAAGAATGGAGAAATCAAACGCTCATCATTCGAGGCGCATGGAGGTTGAGCTCTCGAGTAAATGAATGTAGATTGCTCAGGTCGAAAAAAAGAGGGTCATTATGGCAATGATGTTTGATAGGTCAAAGATTGATGTATACACATCTTCATAGCTAACTGGCCACATATGTCCGGCACACTGAAATGGAAAAAGCGAAAGCAGAAGAAAAGCTACCAAAGTAAACAGGAGCTCTCGTCACATTGGTGACATGGCTGGAGAATCAAGGTTAGCACTTTAAGCCAGTCGCCAAGCTTCCAGCCCCCAATCAAATCCACCGGCCCGCCAACCGAGCTCCATCGTGGCAGCCACTGGCAGGCTTCAGGCGGGCCTCCAGGCTCCCGTTCCCCCTCTGGCGCGAACCCCCCAGTCACCTCTTATAGGGCTGCAGCCGCAGCCGCAGGTGCAGTCAAAGTTAAAGTAAAGTAAGTTGACAAGGTATTCACAGAGGACTATCGCCCTCCTCGCACGACCTAATCATCATAATATCCTACACAAAACTAGGGCTTGTTCTTCAGTGCAGCGTGCGGTCACATTCTGCACATCTTTCGTTACAATTGGCGTTGATGGTAGTCGACTCACTCGCAGCTTGACAAAGAGCATTGTCTCCAAGTCACACCCATTTTGCACTTCTCGAAGCATCTCGTATCCAATCTTGATTGAGGAATTTTTAACGGCTCTCCACCGTTCACAGCAACCCCATTCCTGTTTCATGGCGCTTCTGTGAAGCCTTTGTTTTCAGATTATGCTGCTTCCGAAATGCCTAGGGTTGCTGGCATTAGTATGCCTCTCCTCGGCAGCAACTCCACGCGTTCGCACCCACGAAACCCACGACTACTATGCCCTTCATCTCCGATCCGATGCCTCGCCTCAACAGGTTGCGTCAGCTCTTGGCCTTGATTATGAAGGCAAGCTAGGAGAGCTCCCGGATCACCACACCTTTTCCTCGCCCCGCCGTAGAAGGCATGCAGCGGATGCTATACTCGAAGACCTACGACGGCGGCGGCGGAGACGAGACTTGACTGGACTTGGTGCTTTGCAAGGAGTTTTATGGTCGCAAAAGCAGAAGACTAAGGCTCGCATGGTGAAGAGAAACGTCCTGCCTCCCATACCACATCGGGCGCCCCCTGTCCCTGGAAGTAAGGAAGGTGCAAAGCCTGCTTCTGTCGCAGATGTACCTGTGAATACAGAGCCTGTCGCGAACCCAGAAGCTGTGACCCAGAGGACAGACCTGGCAAGGGAACTCAGTATCGAAGACCCCATATTCAATGAGCAATGGCATTTGTTCAATACCATACAGCTTGGCCACGATATAAATGTTACTGGTGTATGGAAACAGGGCATCACCGGCGAAGGTGCCACTGCCGTTATGGTCGATGATGGTATTGATATGTACAGCGACGATTTGAAGGATAATTACTTTGCTCAAGGATCGTACGATTTCAACGAACAAACGGATGAACCCAAACCAAGACTCAAAGATGACAGACATGGCACAAGATGCGCTGGGGAGATTGCTGCTGTCAAAAACGGGGTCTGCGGTGTGGGCGTGGCCTACAGTGCCCGGATTGGGGGTCTCCGGATTCTTTCGAAGATCATCACAGACGAAGATGAAGCATCGGCGATGAACTATGCGTATCAGGACAATCAGATATACTCCTGCTCATGGGGTCCTCCAGATGATGGACGGTCAATGGATGCTCCGGGTATCCTGATTAGAAAGGCTGTAGTAAACGCCATTCAAAAGGGACGACAAGGAAAGGGAAACATCTATGTCTTCGCCGCGGGAAACGGTCGCGGATCTGGGGATAATTGCAATTTTGATGGATATACGAATAGTATCTACACGATTACCGTCGGAGGTATTGACAGAAAAGGTAAACAAACATATTACTCGGAACACTGTTCCGCTCAGCTGGTAGTCACCTACAGCAGTGGCAGCGGGGATGCCATACATACTACGGATGTGGGCGTCAATCAGTGCTACGCGAACCATGGTGGCACTTCCGCTGCTGCGCCACTGGGTGCTGGTATATTCGCCTTGGCATTGTCAGCTCGACCAGAGCTCACTTGGCGGGATTTGCAACAAATTCTCGTCCTGACTTCGGTTCCAATCAACGAGGATGAAGACTGGGATACAACCTACATTGGGAGGAAGTTTAGCCATGCCTACGGCTATGGCAAATTAGACGCATACGCTGTTGTTGAGAAGGCCAAAACCATCGATCTCCTTAAGCCACAAGCATGGTTGAATTCGCCATGGATGCACGTCAAACACCCCATCCCTCAGGGAGTAGAGGGGCTAATAAGCACATTTGACGTCACCGAAGACCAAATGAAGAAAGCCAACCTGGAAAGAGTCGAACATGTCACTGTCACTATGAACATTGAACATACCCGCCGTGGCGACCTCAGCGTCGAGCTCCGAAGCCCTGCAAATCTGGTCAGCCACTTAAGTGTAACACGCCGCTTAGACGACGCAAAACAAGGTTACGTTGACTGGACTTTCATGTCTGTAGCCCATTGGTAAGCTCGCATTCTGCCTCCACTCCAAGACCTCCAAATCAATTGACATAATCTAGGGGAGAACCCGGCATCGGCAAATGGAGCGTTGTCGTCAAAGACACCGAAGTAAACGAGCATAATGGTTCCTTCACTGACTGGAAATTGACTCTTTGGGGCGAATGTGTCGATCCTTCATCTCAGGAGCTCCTCCCTATGCCCAAGGAGGACGATGATGATGATCACGATGTCATGACCGCCTCTCCATCGTTCGTGAGCGTCGCTCCTGTCACCGGCGAAACCGACCTCCCCGCAAACCCGACTGACCACCAACACCGCCCCGTAAACGCAAAACCCACAGGTAAAGCAAAACCCACAAGCTCAGATCATCAGACAACAACCACTCCATCTGTATCTGTATCTGCATCGGCATCTGCATCTGTATCTGCTACCGTAACCAGTCTTCCCTCAGAACCACCCGAAGAAGACACAGAGTCTTCCCATTTCCTCCCCCATTACTTTCCAACTTTCGGCGTCAGCAAGCGCACCCAATTCTGGATCTACGGCGCCTTCGCCATCATCGTACTTTTCTGCGCCGGTCTCGGCACGTACTTTTTCGTCCAGCGCCGTAAGCGTAGGAGAAGCGAGAGGGAGGACTACGAGTTTGAAGTGCTGGATGATGAGGATGTGGCGCTGAATGGTGGCGTGAGTGGGAAGAAGAAGGGGAGAAGGGCGGGAGAGCTATATGATGCATTTGCGGGGGAGAGCGATGAGGAGGGGCTGTTGAGTGATGAGGATGATGAAGGGTATAGGGATGAGGGACCGGCTGAGAGAGCGGCTGAGAGAGGGAAGGAAAGCAGAGATGAGAAGTGAGGGCTCTTTTGGATGGCAGCTTTTGTTGGGAGGTTGCAGAGTAATTTGGGGCTTGCATGGCGTGGAGTTCCTTTAGCATATTGACATCAATAACAGAATTTTTCCATTCATTGCCATTTGCTTTACTTTCACCATGAGTATTGGTAAAGTATTATTAAGTATTCGTTGCCATATGTCATGATTCCCTCATGCGTTACTTCCTTTGCAAGGTACCTTACATAGGTATGTACAATCGTTACCCCATCACCCTCTTCACTCTTCCTCCGCCTCCATCTCCCTAATATAACTCTCCCAAGTCTCCACCACTCCGGAATAGAATTCCACATGCTTATCCGCCAATGCTCCCAAACAATCCCTAAACTCGCTCGCCTTGATCCGCTCAAAATCCCCCACCTCCCTCACCACCTCTCCATCAAACGCCTCTGTCGTTCTTCTCGCATCTTCTACCTCACGCACTAGCTTTTCAATCTGCATTTCCAGTTTCCGCACCCTATCTCTTCTACTTACCTCATGATCTACTCCTCTCACATCTTCAATCTTCGAGCGTATGAAGCCGGTGGGACCTTGTGATGTATGGCCAGAAGAGGCAAGGGTGTCACGGTCATAGGATGCCTTGGTGAGGTATTCGGTCAGACCTTCGTAGTCGAGTTGTTTCTGCTCTCTGGATTTGAGTAGGGATTTTAATGATGAGGTGTAGGCTTCCATGTCCCGTAAACTGCCCAGGTAGCTTTGGTCCGTATGTTCCTTCAGCGCCGTTATACCCTTGGCGATTTCTTCCACACCTTGGGCAAATGCATGTACTGGGCCTTCTACACCTGGTTCCAGAGCTCCTAGTTTCATGAATTGGATGCTCAGGTCTGTGTAATCAGATTCTAGATCTCCTTCTCTGCGAGCCAGGCGTGCTACTATACGGGAGACGTGTCCAAGATCTTCGTCGAGTTTGTCCGCTTTCTCCCGCACTTCGATGAATCGTTTATCCGGCTTGTGGACTTTAGAAAAGGCATTAACAAATGTGTCTGCGAAGTTGTCGAACACCGAAGTGCCTGATTCAGAGACGCTGATGCTGCGTTTAGGATGAGTCCGCATAGTTGAGTTCCAATCTGTGGATTCGAGGAAGATCATGAGCAGGGCGGCGCGGCGGAGTGTCGGGTGCAAGACGAGTCGTTTCAGGAAGCGGTGGAGGGAGTGAGCTCTTCGATGGGTAAAATCAGGCCCAAAGCGGTCGCCGCGGACGTATTCCATTTTGTGCTTGTCTGGGAGAGGGGGGACGGCACATTGAGGGTATTCTCGGCAGAGCATCTTGTACAGGAAAACAAAGTCGGTGAAGCGGCGACGTACTTTGACGGTGGATTTCTGGAAAGAGGCGAAGTCGGTCTATAATCACTTGTTAGCAAATACTTGATTCGTAGTTTGAGCAGTGGGCGCTTGGATATTGGAAATGGCAGAAACGTACCTTCGTGGTGACCATGTAGGAGACGTATGAGTCTTTCGTGCCATCGTTCTCCTTCAGAGGTGTATCCACTGTACAATCCAGTCTCCCATCACCTATGCCCGCAAGGTCCACAGGGTCTGCGTCTGCGCCTGCCTGTGCTGAGCTATGGCTTGCTTTCCTTTTACCGGTTGATTTTGCTCCATATGCAGTCTCGTCCGGTCGACTGGTTCCTGCAGTGGTGGGTCTTGAACTGTCACTGTCCGGATCGTTCTGCCATGACACGCTGTCGAAATCGTTGTCCATGAGTAGCCTTGGGAAGTGGAAAGCAGTTTTAGCTCTGTAAAGGGCGACCGAAACGGGGCAGAGATTCAGATCTTGTTGCGGGGAAAGGAAGGGTAACAAAGATCAGTGCTGCCTTGAGTATGTAAGAGATATACATGCGAGCTTCTTTAAGTCTCTTAATTTATAAATAGAGTTATTTGGTAATATCGTATTCACTAGACGGAAATTACTCCTTTATATGTTTTATTTATTATATTTTTTAATGTAATTTATTTTAATTTTATCGAGTACTTTATAAATATCTATATTGATCGTAGGATGCAATATTAATGTAGGTATATTTAATAAGATAATAAGGTATCGAACTATATAGGTGGAAAGGAGGTATAATATAGTAGGAGATGCCTCCGCCAAGGCTCGCTAGGCTATAGGAAGGGATATCAAGGATACGCTTGTAATACTACCCTTTATTAAATTATATTCCATATTGGTGAGTGAAAAGGTAGAAAAATGGGTATGTATACACGCTTAATATCTGAAAAATGGTAAAGCAGTAAAGAAATAACCGTGTCTAGAATCTTTAGTGACCTTTCTTTAAGGGCGGTATTGTCGATAGTAGCTCTTCTTATCGTACTTACACGTCGTTGTCGTGATTTAGCGTATATAGAGAGTCTAGCTGGGAGGAAATCGATATAATATAGCGAAAATAAGGTCTATAGACGTGGGTAAATAATAGTAATTTTCGAATCCATATCTAGCGGGTGGAATATCGGTGAAATAATACGACGTGATTAGTCGAGAGCTCTCGAATTAAACCGAGCCGTAAACGCTAAAACCCTATTCAATATCAGTAGTTTCTCCGTGGGGTGCCATACAACCGATACCGATAAAGGCTCCGCGGCGCGTGGTCCATAGATACGTCCTGCTTCGAAGATACTTGGTGTTATCGCAGGGCCTCGCCCTATATAATATTATTTCCGATCGACTGGCCTGGGAATCGATTCTCGCCCTAAAAATAGGTATTGCGAGACTCTGTTTCATTTATTAAACGGGTGTCTGAATAGTTCTAAATCTCATCAGTCATTCTTTATAGGTAGGCTCTTCGAGATATCGCTTTAAAGTCGTCTACTGTCCTAGCATTTTCGAATTTATCGTCATCGCATTATATTAGATAATATTATTATCAGGCCTTTCCACTTAACCTTATACTTAGACGCTTAATTAATTTAAGATAAGTATTTTTTAATAACCTTTCGTTCGATCGTTAATAGTATATATTTCGGCGAGAATTCCTATCCTAATAATAGATTATTTACTATAAGACTTAGAGATTATAAAGATATCGTTTCTTATGCTTAATAAAGTTTTGCGATAAGAGATTTCATAAAGCCTTAATCTTAATAGATTTCTCTTATAGTCTAATTTAAAGAGCATTAGATAATATTCTTCTATTTAAGACCGTTCGCCTATTTAAAAGTAACCTTTATTAATACTTATTGCTTTATGCCATGCCTTCTAACGCGATTCATATTACTCTAATATACTTAAGAACTTATTTTATATAATTCGTATATCCTTCGCTTAGTGTTCGCGCTTACGTTAGTCTTATAGTCGTATATTCGCTAGTCATTCGATAATCTCTTATTCAGATAATATCTGTTTGATAGTTTATTATCCAACTCGTATAGTACTTCTTCTCATTATTCTTATATAGTTATGTTATTCGATAACCTTTATATTCTAATTCGCTCGTTCTTTTCGTCGATTTTAGTAAAGCTATTATAGCTTACTTATACTTATCTCTTTAAAAGACTTTTATATAATAGTATAATTAAGCCTCGATTTAATATTATTAGGTCGATAATTATATAGCGAACACTTTCTTAGTATAAGTTAACTTTTCTTAATAATAATACCTTTATTAATATCGAATAGTTACGTAGTAATATTCTTAATAAATTAATCGATTGCTACTTAATAGCGTTTAGTTATCGAATATAAGTAAGCCTTAACGAAGTCGACTAATATATCTTATCATCGCTTCTATAAGATTAATAGAGGCTTAATAAACTATACTCCCGATCGCGAGACGCCTTAGCTCTCTAATAAATATAGTATTCTAACGTAGATAACTACGATAGTCCTTATATCTTATTAATAATATTCCTTTTAGTAGCTTATAAATATATACTACCCCGAGATATTCGTAGAATAATTAATCGTATACCTCTCAATAACATCGTATATATATTATTGGATACTTATAAACGGTTCTATAATAAAGATCTTATCTTATACGAGCATTTCTAAGAGTAATCCTCAAACTTATCTTTATTTTCGGCGATAGCCTACGGATTTTCATATAATACTTATCTTTCTTATTAACTTCTACTATCTTATAATAAATAAAGTTATCATTACATATACGTCGATATATTCTCATCCATTTCATCGATTAATAAGATTATTTGATACTATTGGCGTAATCATTCTTTCCAGATCGATTAATTTACCCCGCTATTCGTATAAATATATTAATCTTAACGTTCTAAGATTCGAATTAATAAATAATCTTTATATTAATTCGAATAGCTATTCAATAGCGGCTAACACTAGGTCTCTTTTTTGAGTACATAGCCCTTATAATCCTAAAGATCTTATAGAGATATCGTATATTTTAATTCGAACGCTAGTATTTAGACGCGAATATAGTTAGTAACTCCTTATCGTAGATCTAATAATTATACTACTAGTGATTCTTACTATAGAAGACTATCATAGCACTCCTTATCGTTATATTAAAAATATCTCATTAACTAGTCAAGAGTTAATTCTGACGATATTCTTTTTCTATCGAAATAATATAGAACTAAACTTCTAACGGCACTTTCGAAAATAAAAGGCCTCTTAATATGCTTAGACCAATCAAATATAACCTCTTTGCATGAGTTTTATTATAGATTTAACTATTTTAAGAGTCTCTAATAACCGCCGATAAATTGAATTCTAGCCTTTTTTAGTTATAGTATAATCCATCGATATAGCCTGTTTTAATAAGGTTCATTTATAACCTGTCTATAGATATCGTAGACCTAAATTTAATTTCCTAAACGTGAAATTCGCCTTAAGAATATTCCTAAGGCCTATCCCTTATTTCTGAGAATTTATCTAACGTGTTAAATGTTTTTTTATCTTATTATAGATAAGTATATTATCAATAAACCTAATAGAAGTCGTTTAGATACTAATAGAATATTATTATATATATTAATATGTAACTAGATCGTTAATTATCGATCTATACTTATATACTCTGGGGTAATAAAGTAATAAAATCTGCTATCGGTTATATGTAGTTTATTAAACGCGGCTTTATCCATCGTAGATTTTACATCTCTGATTCTTATTAAACCTTATCTTTATAATTAGTATGGTTTTTGTAATAGCTTTGCTTTCATAGTCTATATAAAACGATTTCATTCACTTTTTCGCGATAGATAGATGGCAATATATATAGCTTTGTTATAACCCTCTTCAATGTTCATTTGGTACTTCTTATCTTTTCAGTTTATATCCCATATTAAATAGATTCTACTTTCGAAAGTTTCGTTTTTTAAGCTATCGTTAAATTTCGCTTTATTATAAAAATGATTGAAAGTATTCCGCCTGTTTTCAAACATCGGTAGTCGTATACTCCGCGATAGCTTATATTTTACCTCTTAAGACTAATCTCGTTATACTTTATCTAATAAGCATTAAACTTATTTTTATATTTTTTTCTAGTTATAGAATGGTTTATTAACCGATATACGGTCGCTGTATTCGCATGATTATATATGTTACAGTTATTAGACCTTTTCTTCATATAATAATTTATTATCTTTTTCGAGCTATTAATAGTAGGCCGCTTATCATCTCCTAATAAACTTGACCTTATTTTGTTTTATTTGATAAAGATATTGAATTGTGTTATGTAGTGTGAAGACTTTATTATTTTAGTATAAAGATAGAGTAGATAATATAGATGGTCGAAGATTGGTTATGAAAGGGGAGTTGTTTTTATTAATATCTAATTATTATTATAATTAATTATTGGTAAAAGAGTATCTTATCTCGTAATATATTAAGAACTACCGTATTTATTCATTTAAGGTTTCTTAATTATTATATCGTATTTTAATAATGCATTAGTATTAGATATATTCCTTTTAATAGTCTTTTACTATTACCGTTGGGAGTAAGTAGTTGTAATTAGTCGTTTTGCGATCTAGTCGTTATAACCCCTTAGTAATTTAGTTGTAATAGTAGAGTAATTTCGATGTAAGGCTTCTATCGCTGAGATCAAGACTCATTTATAACTATATAAGACCGTATATCCACTATCTATAAGAGAGTTCTTAAGTAAATAGGTTTTTTATAATAAAAGCGTAACTTTATACGAAAGAACGACGTAGAGCGTTATTAGTGTTATAGTATACTTCGTAGTACCTTTGAACTTTGAAGAGGCTATTCTTTCCGAATCCGATAGACCGTCGCTACTATAGTGTCGACGTTATAATTCGAATTCTTCATCTATATCTATCGCGGGAGTCGTGCTTTAAAGGCCTTTTTGCCGGCCTCGTTTAAGTAGTTATTATGGTTGTTGTAGTGTTTCTTACGGTTGTAGATTTATTTTGTTTTAGATCGGTCTTACGTTGGGGTGTAGCGGTCGAGCCTCAGTAAGTATAAGGGTATATTAGTCGTGGTTCGTATGGTAATTAGTTGATAATGGTCTCTTAGTCTATATTTTGCATCTAGCGCGTATAAGTTATTTAGTTTAAGGTATTTTTTAGTCTTTAAGGTGGTAACCTCTACGATATCTTATAACTCCTTATTATTATTTGTTTAGAAGGTAATACTTTACTATAACATTTCGTTAAGATAAGAATAGTATCTAGTCGAATAAAGTCTAATAGAGTCGATAAAGGGCCGGTTCCTTGCTATAGAGCATATATATACGCTATACATCTTTGTTGTTTCATTCCATTCTCTATCTCTATTTATTATATTCAGTCTTCTTCTGTTCTTATCTTCGTTTAACTACGTACTTTTAGTCTTCATGGTAATAATGCTATTGCCTAATTTCTATTCTATTTAACTATCGTTGTTACGTCTAATAGTGGTCTACCTTAACTAATTTTTTTAATCGTCTGCTCGTTCTTCCTCATGGGCATTTAGTCTTTATCACTTATTAGGTTATTAACTTTCTTCAGAAGTTATATCCTTCTAAGTCTCGCGTTATTTATCTTCTCGGTTATTCTATCCTAAATAAATCGTTTATAATTGATCCTTTTTCTCCGGCGACGTAATATCGATAACAATCTCCCGAAATCGTCTCGCTTCTACAATTTCATTCATATATTATAATTCGTTGATTAATGTTCTAATATTGTAATTATAACTATTAACACATTCTATTTTCTCTAGTCTACGTTTCCTTATTATCTATAACTATACCGTCAAACTTGATTTACTAGTGGTCTTATTTAATCTATTCTTTCATTTAACTTTACTATAAAGAAATTAAAAGTAGGTTTAATACTCCAAGAATTGTTAAACATATACTGAGATAGTAAGTTTCTGGCGCGTCAATTATTCATATTAATAAAATTTTTTCCTATAAAGTCTGATTTTCTTTCTTTAAAACTTATCTCTTAATCTTTGTGTTAGAAGACTTGGTGTTTAATAGTACTTTTTCGAGTGCACTTCTCCGCCTATCCTTTCTCGTAGAGAAGTTTATGCGAAGCTTACAATGTTTTAGATAATATTTTGTTATTTTTTAATATTAGCTATTTCTTTCGATTCCTAGCCTACAATGTTCATATCTTATTTATCTCTCGACCCTTTTGCCGAGTTCATTCGCTTGAATCAATTACCTTCTTACTTACTTGAATACGATAACTTAACTTATTTCTTTCACCCCTCCGCGTTTCTTTAATTTATTCGCTAATATAATGAAATAGTTTAACCTTGTTATAGTATTAAAATCGATATATATAATATTAATATGTATTTTAAGGCTTGGCGACTTGTAGAATGTAATTACAGTATTGCTGGTACTACTTTACTATTGCTGGTACTACTATTGCTGGTACTACTTTACTATTGCTGGTACTACTATTGCTGGTACTACTATGAATATTGGCTAATGGAAATGATACACGGTTTGAATGCATCTATTCATATGCACCATCTATATTGCTCTCCAAGCATGCTTCTCCCATTCGACCAGTACGTCTAAACGTGCCCTTGCAATGCTAAGCGCCGATATGCAATGCTCTACCTTATACTCAAACACCGTAACTATCCAATTGGTCCTACTTGAGCACGTAAGTCCATGTTGAGGAACTCGGGTGCGAGTCGGAAATTAACGTTGAGGCGGCTGTTTGTCGAGAACGATTGCTCCCTCTTCTTCGTCATCACCATACCTGAAGACATTATCATCAAAGTCGTCTCGGTAGCCCTCTGAGCCTCCGTCGGGACCTAGGAAATCTATTTGGTCGTCTCGAATGAGGGTAGCAGTCGATTCCTCTGGATTATCCGAGAAGTCATCTCCACTGTGTGTTGCTGGATGCTGGAGTTTAGACCTTTCTTCAGCCTCAATTTGCCGCGATCGAGCAAGTGTCCTGCGAAGGTTCAGATAAAGACTTTTGACGAATTTTCATAGACCGACCTTTTATAAATGATCCAACCCGTAAGAACGCCAAGAATGACACCAAAGATGATACTTGCCCAGTTGATGGCTTTAGTGGCCGTGTCCATCTTCTCTCCACTCTTTGCAATGACTGCAAGTCGAGATCCAATAAATATTGCTATTAGGAGCTTAGGCGTCGCAGCGGCAGTTGCGGCGGCGAACATAAGCGGTTGCACGGTAGGAAAAGTCGATATGGCTCCGTTCGAGATGCTATAAGGGAGAGGACAGAGTCTGATCATCACTAAAAGCTTCAGGCCGTCGTGTTTCAGGACGAGAGACAGTGCTTCGTATCTTTTATCGTTCGCTACGAGCCGATTGACGAAATTCGAGAGCAGCGTTCGAGAGACTACGAATGAGCATGTAGATCCTACTATAGTGGCAGAAGCGACGATTGGCCAGCTGTTATCGTGTGAGCTGCCTATAGAAATTGATGCACTTGGCATGAATTGTGTGATAGCTTACCCCCATGGAAAGCCGTAGACGAAGCCAGCGAGCGTCAGGCAGGTCGAATAGCCTATTACCGGAGGGAACGCAGTCGCAAAGGTCAATGCCCAAAGGATCAGCCAACCCCCTCTCAGATTCTTCCATTTTTCTGCCACTGGCTCCAGCCATGCAAATATGCTCTCGCTGAAGACGAGGAACAATATGGCAAGGGTAATCGTGACGAGGCCAGCAATGACAGACAGCGCCAACTGGATAGCGGTCATCCCCTCTACCATCTTGAACAATCGGCGCCACAACTTTTCCGCGCTATTCAGAGCCCTGTCTATGAAGCTTGATCTCCGTCGGCCATGAGCCTGGTTGTTTCTCGTAAGCGACTGGCTCGACCGAGTCCATGATGCTTGAGTGCCTTGATGAGATATATTAGGTAAAGAAGGCGAGACGGGCAGAGCGAGTGCTCGTGCGGTGGAGTTATAATCAGTCATGGTGTCCCTGCGAGCAGCAAAAAGCAGCACTGAATATCATGATGCTTATTGGTTTTAAGCCGACACAGATAGTCTTGTGCTCGGTCACAATCCATGTTTCGGAGTCAGCCTTAAAGCGCCAAGATCCTAAGTACGGCAGGTCCCGTTAGCACAGTACAAAGTGAAACATCGAAACATCACAATCGCATTCACCAGTCGTCTCATTCAACACTTTTCCGTGAAACTGATGGCGTAGCATGAGGTCTTCTCCATTAGGAGAACCATCAGTGAGGAATAGCTACTGTATGATTGTGTACTACTACGGCCTTCCACGAGTTGATATCCGAAAATCTCAAATGCAGTAGATGACCTTTTAAAGAGTTTGTGTCTCGAAGCAACCTTGCATCAATTGACCAAAGGACGGCGCTGAATCGAAGGTGTTACATCCAGCTAAATACACGATAGAATTGAATTATTGATCATAACAACCAACATCTGTCGAAGGGAGTGATAAGAAAGGCCCCATTGGTCGACTGTTCAAGTTTGGAAAGAACCGCATCCGCTTAGAACATCGTATAAATCAACTCTTTCTCGGTTCTTGAATCATGGCGTCCCAGACACGTTCCAGAATAGCACTGCTTCACTAATGCTTCTGGTTTCGGCAGTTTCAGTACAAAGCCTTGGGGCTTCTTTGTCCCTCCTCATTCATATTGTGGCATATCCGCTGTCTACAATCATTATTTATAAGCACGTGGCTGTTCTCGCCTTGAAATATTCCCTTTGTTCTCGGTGAACGTCGTGGTCCACTTTGCAGACCTGGGCTTTTCCCTTTCTTATTTAAGTCGAGGTAGTATTTCCACGTGTATGTCAAGCTTTCCAAAGCAACTCGATCTCACCATGTCTTCCATCTCACCAATCTCCCCTCTCTCACCTATCTCTCCGATGTCCCCAGCCAAATCCTCAGCCAGACCCACACACCTCTTGCTCAACCAGCATTCGTCGTCTCTTTCCGGTATGGAGATAGCTGTACCTTCACCGTTAACTCCTGGATTCACATACTCCCGTGCCAGTAGTAGCAAGGCGCTCCCTCCAACTCCAAGGAAAGAATCCATTCCCTACAGTCCCCACAGCGCTCCGACCTCAAGGAAAGCATCTAGCACTTACAGCAATCCTAAGGAAGAAAGACCCAGCACATCAATGACTTCAAGGAAACCATACACCACATACACCAACCTCAAGGAAGAGAGACCAAGGACGCCCAGATTTGCCTCACAAGACGAAGCACTATCTTCCAAGACCTTCCTCGCACCCCCAGAGACTCGGTCGAGCACCTCCAACTTACCAGATAAAGTACCGCTACGGCCACAACTGACACGAGACGCTCATACCCACGGAGCCTCTGACTTCACAGGTCGGAAACAGCCATCAGGGAACTCGTTCTTTACCGAATGGAAGGCTCCCAAATATGAATATTCAGATGACGAATTTAGCTCGAGCTTGCCGGCTTCAAGGAGAGACTCCAGCCAGGGAAGCTGGGCGCCACCCGAACGTACGCAAAGTGCTGAAGAGAGAGCCAGAGACTATACATCCGTGTTGCCCGCGTTTGTTCCGGAGCCAGTCTATTCTGAGTCCGGCTATTTGCCGTCCGAAATGTCAGCTCGCATTACCGATGTTCTGGATGGATCACTCATGCCAGCACCACTAATTTTGAGTGGTAATTCCGAGGATAGAAAACTTTCGAGTCAATTTTCTTGCTCCGATTCTGAGGTTGATAGTCTACACGACGAATCCAAGCCTTCTCTTAAATCCCGTGCGAAAAAGGCTTTCCATTCACGCACACAGGAGAGGAGAGAGAAGGCGCACGCAGATCTACAACTGCCACAGCATGGGCAAGCCGGCGAGCTAACCACAGCGAAGCGCGCCAGTCTCCAGAACGGTATTGATGAAATGTATAATACACTCACAGGCCTCTACTCACCGGCGAAGTCAAAGATGAAGCATGACTCCGACAATTTCAAAAACAAAGCTATTGCTAGAGATCCGCGCCACCCAGCCACACGTGTGAAAGCATATCAAGAATCCGGCAAGAGAGCCTGGGATTCGCCGAGGAGTCCCAAAAGTCCAGCGCCGAGGAGGGATGATTCGGTGGGAAAGAAGCTCGCGAGTGTTTTTCAAAATGGGGCCATGGCGGTAGGATTTGAAAGAGGGAAGGAACAGAAAATGAAGAACGAGGAGTAAGTGCACTTTCCGGAGCGGTTTCTTCCTAATCGAATCCTTGGTCTTGAGCCGCAAGAAATGCCTCGCGAGGGCGTCTTGATAAAAGGTTCATCCACATTAAAGAAGCCATGCTGACTTGAAATGGTGCAGATGGAGAGCAGAGATGAAGAAGAAGATTGTGCTGCTTAGACCTCAGGGTAAAATCTAAATCGATTTTATTATCGAGTGTTACAGAACCTCGATTACAATAATAATAATAATAATGATGATAATAATGATAATAATGATAATAACAAATATGTATCCTGCGAGGACCATTCGTTGCTTTTCACTTTTGATGTAGTCACCACGTGCAAAGGATGGTAGGAGATGCCTCCCCACCCCGCATCATCTCCGAGAGAGATCGACCTCAGCAGACCCCGCAAACGCGGCTAGATCCGACTAGTGCATCAAGCTCCTCCTCCTCCTCCTCCTCCTCCTCCTTCTCTTGAGCAATATAATAAATATCAACAATTCATCTCGACCCTTTCCACTTCTGTTAATCATAATTCCTTGTCGAGGGTCACCATCAATTATGGGCGGCGAAACAGCAATTAGGAGGACGGCGGACACATTTCCAAAGCTCTCAGCAGGTCCCGTAGGACAACAGATACATTCTATCTACAAGGGTAGACTGGGATCCTTTACAGATCGAGGACAATATGCCTCACAGAACTTGTGGGCGTACGTTGCAGTCGTGTTGTTGGAATTGGAGGTGCTTCGCTGATGAATAAATAAAATAGGAAAATGTACGAGGGCAAAGCCTCCGGTGAAGAATACATCAAACTATCCGTTTATTCCCCTCCAGATCTAGCTCGGCCTCCGTTCGAAGAAGCTACGTCCCATGAGTTCAAGAAGACACAGGTTGGGGCATCATTCGGACCCAGCTGGTCCACTCATTGGATCAAAGTGGAGCTCAAAGTGCCCTCACATCTGCTGAAAAAGGAACAGCTCGAATTCCACTGGGACGCTGGCAACGAGGGACTGATCTGGACCGAGAAGGGGGTGCCGTTGCAGGGATTGACTGGGGGAGACCGAACAGAGTGGGTCCTTCCAAAGGATTTCCGTGACGGCAATTTCCATACATTCTATATTGAGATGGCGTGCAATGGAATGTTCGGTAATGCTCCAGGCGGAGATTCCATCCAACCGCCAGACCCAAACAAATATTTCCAGCTATGGAAAGCAGAAATAGTGGCCGTGAACCAGGAGGCTAGGGCGTTATTTTACGATTTCTGGATCATGGGTGATGGCGCACGAGAGTTCCCAGAGAACTCCTGGGAGTCTCATGAAGCATTACAGCTTTGTAACACGGTTATAAATACTTTCGTTGCCGGTGATGGAAGCCAGGAGTCAATCGTCGAGTGCCGTAAAATTGCCTCAAAGTATCTTGGTGACGTCAACTCATCAAAGGTATACGACAATGATAAAGAATATCTGATCTACGGCATTGGAAATTGCCACATTGATACATGTTGGCTTTGGCCGTGGGCGGAGACAAAGAGAAAGGTCGCTCGCTCGTGGGCAAATCAGTGTGATCTGATAGATCGCTACCCAGAACATCGATTCGTGGCGTCTCAAGCACAACAGTACAAATGGCTACAGCAACTCTATCCAACTCTCTTTGATCGAGTCAAATCTAAGATCAAAGATGGGAAGTTCCAGGCAATTGGTGGCAGTTGGGTCGAGCATGACACAAACATGCCCAGCGGAGAATCCTTGGTACGACAATTTTTGTACGGTCAAAGATTCTACGAGAGCCGTTTCGGTGAGCGTAGTCGGACTTTCTGGCTACCGGATACTTTTGGCTACTCCACCCAGCTGCCACAGCTATGCCGGCTTGCAGGTATGAGTCGTTTCTTCACCCAGAAGCTAAGCTGGAACAACATCAACAACTTCCCGCATACAACTTTCAACTGGGTCTCACTTGATGGCACTCAGGTACTGTGTCATATGGCACCGGCTAACACCTATACTGCCGACGCGCACTTTGGAGATGTGAGCCGCAGTCTTTCCCAAAACAAGTCAATGGACCAAGATGCCACTGGACTGCTCGCCTTTGGTAAAGGCGATGGTGGAGGCGGCCCAACCTTCGAGATGCTCGAAAAGCTCCGACGGTGTCGAGGTTTGAGTGACACCACAGGTCTCTTGCCTCGAGTCCAAATGGGCGCCTCTGTAGAAGACTTCTTCGACAGACTAGAGAAGAAGGCGGAGGAAGGTACTAAATTTGTGACGTGGTACGGTGAGCTGTACTTCGAACTGCATAGAGGAACCTATACCACCCAAGCGAACAACAAGTGGAACAACAGGAAGACCGAGATCATGATGCACGACATCGAGTACCTCGCGACGTTGGCTACTATTAAAGACAGCACTTATAAATATCCCAAGAAAGACATCGACGATATTTGGGAGAATACACTTTTGTGTCAATTTCATGATTGTCTGCCGGGCAGTGCGATCGAGATGTGCTATAGGGATTCCGATGAGTTGTACGATTACGGTTTCAAGACCGGCGAAAAGCTTATGAAGGATGCATTGTCTGTCCTTGACTTTTCCAGACAGGGTTTGAAGAAGGGTAGCATGACTGCGATCAATACCCTTCCATGGTCACGATCAGAAATCATCAAGCTTCCCAAGGTTACGAAGTCGAAAGACTTTGAATATGGTCTTCTACAGGGCGGTCCTGGGGTAATCAATGTCGAGCCATTGACAGACAAGGATGCCAGGTCAAAAGCATCTATCGAAGAAATTAAGAAAGGCGTATTCCACCTATCGAATGCCCGCTACAAGATAGAAGTAGAAGGCGGCAGTATCACCTCCCTTGTCGATCTTTCTGTGAATCGCGAAATCATTGCCAAGGGAGGCAAGGCAAACCAGCTCGTCATCTTCGATGACAAACCTTTGTATTGGCAAGCCTGGGATGTCGAGGTGTACCACTTAGAGACTCGTAAAGAGTTGCTGTCCAGCTCAAGTCGAATCGTTGAGGACAGCCCTCATATGGTCAGCCTGGTCACAGAGACCAGAATTGGCGAGAAAAGCTGGATCAAAACCACGATAAGTCTCGCAGCAAGCGTCGATGACCAGCCATCTTATATCGAGATGGCTAGCGAGGTTGAGTGGCGAGAGACGATGAAATTTCTCAAAGTGGAATTTCCAGTCGACATTGTGAATACCGAAGCCTCCTACGAGACCCAGTTTGGAATCATTAGGCGACCTACTCACTACAATACCAGCTGGGATATGGCCAAATTCGAAGTCTGCTGCCATAAATGGGCTGATCTTTCAGAGTATGGTTATGGCGTCTCCATTATGAATGATAGCAAGTATGGCTTTGCAATAAGTGGGAATATGATGCGTCTCTCTCTTCTACGAGCGCCAAAAGCACCAGACGCACATGCTGATATGGGTAACATTATTACATGAACAATCCAGACGTCTGAACCCTTCCACTAACACCCTCCCAGGCCGCCACCACATCCGTTACGCCATTCTCCCCCACGCCGGTCCACTTGACTCACGCACAGTTCGCACAGCCCGCAATTTCAACACGCCAATGAAGATATACTCCCACCCAACCGTCTCGACCGCATCCTCTTTGCTTTCTAGCATCACCCTTCATGGCTCGCCCGCGCTAGTCTTAGATACTATCAAACGCGGCGAAGACGATGAAGACGTATCTCGTGGCGAGTTATCTAAGCGTAAGGGTAGAAGTATTGTTCTTAGAGTGTACGAAAGTTTAGGTGGTAAGGCTAGAGGCACAATCAAGACCTCGTTGGCGGTCCAAAAGGTCTGTAGGACAAATCTACTTGAGGATGATGAGGGCGAAGTGGAAATCAAGGATGGGGAAATCGCAATTGAGCTGAGAGCCTTTGAGGTAGCAACTTACCGACTACAACTGTGAACGATGACAAGAGGAAATTTTACACCAGATTCAATTCAAAAGGCATGGGAGTGGATGGGTTGGGTTTCATAAGAAACAAGGGTTTAGAATTAATTAATTGGTGCCCGAGAAAAGTCTGTATCTATATATCATACATCGTTGTAAGATGAAGACCCCCGAAACTCAAGCGAGCTATATGAGTGACATCTACCTTACATGAACTCGTAGTTCTTCGAGCGCCGAAAATGTCCACAAATCAGATAGGGTTAGGGCTATCTATGCCTGGTCTTACAGCTGGCTTCAGTACAGGCTCACTCTACAAATGCTCCTGATGCGGAAGACAAGACCCTTGGTCATTTCACGGTTTAAAGAGATTGTTTACCACAATTTCCACCATAGTCCTCCGTGAGCCATTGCCTCGTCTTGCCGGCAGATTTGAAATCGACGCGCTCCCCATCCATCTATGCAGCAGCAGCAACATACACAGCTCGGCGCAATGTCGCAAGTAATTATGGATCTGCTCTACTCTCTTACGAACTGCTTCTTTTGTTTCCCTGGATCGCCGCAACTGAAGATAAATAATCGAAGTTTCAAGATGCAACATCTGCTAGGGGAGGTAAGCAGACCCACCAGCTTCACTCCCCAACACTGAAAGGTCTAATTGCCAGAACTTAGGGAGGCTTCTCCTACGTCTATCTGGTCCAAGATACATCAACATCCCAACTCTACGCTCTGAAGAAGATACGCTGTCCCTTCGGCCAAGAATCCGTCTCGCTCGCCCTGAAAGAAGTGGAAGCCTATACCCTCTTCTCGCCCCATCCGAATATCATACATTCCGTCGACCACTCCGTTGTCTCTGCAAAAGACAAATCGGATCCGGGGGCTAAGACCGTGTACATACTCTTGCCATACTACCGGAGAGGGAACCTCCAAGACGCCATAAATGCAAACCTGGTCAATCATACAAAGTTCCCGGAGCGGAGGTTAATGATACTATTTCTAGGAGTGGCAAGGGCGCTGAAGGCGATGCATCAGTACAGAGTGAAAGGCGCGCCGGGAGGAGTAGCGTCGCAGAGGAAGGCAAAGGGTGTGCGGCAAGAGGCGGCCGAAGCAGATCAAGATGCCGCGAAAAAGAACAAGAAACGGCGGCGGAGAGAAGAGCCCGAGCGAGATCAGGAGGACGTAGAACAGGAACCGTTGATGGAAGGAGAGGTCACAAGGTCGCAAGAAGGGGTGGGAGAAGGAGAGCTACGAGCTTACGCGCATAGAGATATAAAACCTGGCATGTTATTTGTCTGGGTTTCGCATATGGCTTGCTGATATGCTTCATAGGCAACATCATGATTGCCGATGACGGCAAAACACCAATACTAATGGATCTCGGATCGCTCGCTCCTGCTCCGACCCCTATAACATCGCGCTCCCTCGCCCTCGCCGTCCAGGACACCGCCGCAGAACACAGCACCATGCCCTATCGCGCCCCTGAACTCTTCGACGTCAAAACAGGCTCCGTCATAGACACCAAGGTCGACATCTGGAGCTTGGGATGCACTTTGTACGCCTGTCTAACGGGCAAAAGCCCTTTTGAAGCAAGAAGTGAAGAGACAGGAGGGAGTCTGAGTATCTGTGTCTTGGGCGGAGATTGGAGGTTCCCAGATGAGGGCGCCAAGAAAGATGCGAAGGGCAAAGGGAAGGTCAACGGAGCGGCGGAGGGGCCCGCGGAGGGGGCCGTTGGTGATGGTGTTAAGGATGTTGTGCGGAGGTGTTTGAAGGTTGAGCCGGCGGAGAGGCCAGATATTGATGAGTTGATTGTATTGGTCGAGGAGCTGTTGGGCAGGATGCCGGCGGATGATGAGAGGGATGATTTGTAGGGGTGTTTGGGCACTGCATTCTTGGCGGATGTTGCTTTCTGTTCTAGCATGAGCGGAGCGCCTGGCTTGGCGGATATCCATGTCTCGAGCGCGTCTGGAGAAATGCAAAAGAGGTCAGAGATATGATCCCGAAAAGTCGTTTTCGGCTTCCCTAGAGTTTATTCGGGATATGAATAGGACACCTTTATACACAACCTACCTAACTCATCCCACCGCTGTCAACAAAACCTACTCTCAAACTCCCCAAAAAGCTTTGGACTAATCTCATCACTACTGTTACCCTCTACCCTCCACAGCACCCCTTGTCTCTCATAATGCTCTAGCAGAGGCTCGCTGGTCTCCTCAAACTTCTTCAGTCTAGCCTTCCAAGTCTCCTCCCCATCATCCTCCCTCTTCGTCAGCGCTTCCCCCGTCACATCATCCCTCCCCTCCACCCTCGGTTTATTAAAGCCCGTATTATAAACCCTCCCACTCGGCGCATGCACCCATCGATTCGCTATCCTACCCAGAATGATGTTGACCGGAGTGATTAGTGACACCACTAGGTTTATAGGAATGAGCGAGTCGAGTTTTGACGCTTGAGGCGAGGTGCGGGGGAAGCCATCGAGGATGAATGAGGCGGTGGGGGAGGAGGAGGGGAGGGCGGGGCCGGCATCGGTGAGGGAGGTGCTGGGTGGGATCCAAGATTTGGATTTCAATTCAGAGAGAATGAGGCGGAGGATCATGTCGTCGGGGACTAAGGAGCCGGATTGCATGTGGGATTCTGCTTCTTGGCCTGCAATAGAGACGCTGTTAGAGGTGCTCATGTAACATGACGGTAATGCCGGCGGGAGGACCTGATGTCCGTTGACAGGTAATGGGGCTTACCCAAGGGCGTTTTATTGCGAACGGCATTGCGCAAAAGATCCCCAGAGCTCACAGCGGACAATTGAGGGAAACGTTTCATGAGCCGCTCGGCCTGTGTTCCTTTGCCAACGCCAGGCGCACCGACGAGAATGATGCGAGCGGCGCGTTTGAACTCCTTCGTGGCCATTCGGAGGCGATATGCAGGTATGCGGGGCGGAGAAGTAGGTCGGCTTGTAGAGGGGGAATCAAGGGATCCGGGTTTGATGAGCTGCTCGGGCCAGCGCGAGAAGCTCGAAGCTTCCGGACTTTATATGCTACAGCCTCATGTTGAGGTTGTAAAAGGGATGTACATATGTACAAAGAGAGGTGTAGACGCGCAATAATGTGACAGAGCAGATAGACGTAGAAGAGGTGGGAGAGTCGGTCGGCATGTTCGGCGAAACCTTTTTTGGGCCACAACCGTTACCCTAGCGCTTTGTTGAAGCGGAAAACCCTCCGGTGGTCACACATTCGACACAATATCCTTCTTCATTGTGAGTACATGCAGTTGAGAAAGATGACTTTCTGTGTAACAAAGGCTATCGAAGATCGCTCCGTGAGGCTTGAGGTGCTCGTTAGCCAATAGACACCTCTTCCAGCCCCTGCAAGACTTCGAAGCCAGCAGCTTTCTTCTGTTATATAGGCTTGAGCCAAGAGTCTCAGGAGTTGAAAGCATCAGAAACCTCGAAGCCCATGTAGGATAGGTAGGCATCTTAGGTAACCTCCGTTTTTTAGGCCAGCCGTTTCATTTCATGTTCGCTCCTTTGGTATGTGAATTATAACGTACTCGTAAAACGTGTAGAGATATGCGCTTAGACGTGGTAGTGGTAGCGCTCGCTCCATTACTAAGCGCTAGCCAACCCGAAGAGGCTTGGTGGAGGCCACGTCTAAGGGATTGCAGGACATCGGGCCGACATTGCGACCGAGGGCGGCCAAAAGTCCCAAGTCCTGACCAAGGGGAAATATTACCAGCAGGTCCCCATCGACACAACCCTGTGACGACTTTTTCCCTATCCATCAAGGCTTGCAAGTACAACGCGTACAGTCACATCGGTGTCGCTGCAAAGCCACGAAGTATCTGCCTCTCTCCATTACTTCCCTAATATGAGCGCGTCAGCCAGAGCCGTCCAGAATGCTTCTGCGCGGCAGACGCTCCGTACCGGGGGTAGGGCTCAAGTGATGATGGGTATTGGTAGAGGCTTCGACTGACATGTTGTATAGCCTTCCTGCCCTTGAGGAACACCTTCACTCCATCCCCTGCTCACTCCGCATTTCTGCGACGCAATGCCACAGACCTACCACCACAACTTCGAGCGCTCGCCATACTCCTTCCTCGACGAGGCTACGCTACAGAGACTTCAACAAGCGGTGGTGCAGGGTCGGGATTCCCACCTCCAGGCTTTAACGCTGAGCAAGCCAAGAAGCCGCTTCCACCCGATGATTCAAAGAAATCTTCAACATCGAAAGTTGCGTCAGATGTAGCATCATCAGTTACTGACCAGACGACAGCGGGAAAAGCCGAAGGACAAGTCACTGGGGTCGCAAAGACGAAAGCCATGGAAGACAGAAGCCTGAACGAGCTCGCTGCGGACAAGGCAGCAGCAGCTAAAGTGGAAGAGAAGAAGCTGGCAGAGTCCAAAAAGGAGCAACCGAAATTATCACTATGGGGAAAGGTAAAGCGAGAAGTGCATCACTACTGGGATGGGACAAAGCTGCTTGCTACCGAGGTCAGGATCAGTACGAAGCTCGCCGTGAAAATGGCAGCTGGCTACGAGCTCAGCCGAAGAGAAAACCGGCAGTTGCAACGTACAGTGCAAGACCTGGGTCGGCTTGTTCCATTCTCCGTTTTCGTTATAGTTCCCTTTGCCGAGCTCCTGCTCCCCGTAGCGCTCAAGCTTTTCCCCAATCTTTTGCCAAGCACCTACGAAGGTCAGACGTCAAAGGACAAGAAAGCCAGCCATCTCCGAACGACGCGCAAGGAGGTCAGCAGTTTTCTGAGAGATACGCTCAAAGAGACCGGTCTCCCAGTCAGCGCTGTCAACGCACAGAAGGAAGAATTCACTGAATTCTTCCGCAAAGTACGCGCCACTGGAGAGTCACCCACTCATGCGGATGTCGTCAAAGTCTGCAAGATCTTCAAGGACGATCTTACTCTTGACAACCTGTCCCGTCCGCAGCTGGTTGGCATGACCAAATACATGAATCTCAACGCTTTTGGCACAGATATGATGCTTCGGTATGCGATCCGACATCGTATGCGCCAGATCAAACGCGACGATCGTGCCATCTCCGATGAGGGCGTCGATAGCCTTTCAGTCCCGGAACTTCAAATGGCATGTGCTTCGCGGGGTCTTCGAACCCACGGCATGAGCCCTGGCCGGCTACGAGATGATCTTCAAATGTGGCTTGACCTGCGTCTCAAGTATGGCGTCCCGTCCACGCTACTTGTCCTGAGCAATGCCTTCATGTACACTCAAGGTAAAGACTCGGAGATCGCGTCCCAGTTCGACTCGTTACAGGCTGTCCTGTCATCCATCCCTGAGGAACTCTTCCATGAGATCGAGCTTGAGGTTCACAATGCAGAAGGTGCTGCGACGAACAAGCAGAGACTTGAGGTTCTCAAGGAGCAACAAGATTTGATCGAAGAAGAAAATGAACAAAATGAGGAGAATGGCGAGTCGGGCAGATCGTCGCCAAAGGACACCGAGAACATCGACGAAGAAGATCAGAGGAAGGCTAATGCTAAGGCTGAGCAGGAAAAGGGGGAGGGCCAGACTAACGAAGCGGCTGAGGCCGAGAGAGATGCTGGTGAGGTGGAGAAGCAGGAACAGCAAGAGACACGGGACACGAGAAAGGAGCAGTGAAGGGAGTGATGCCCCTCAGCCTAGGTATATTCGAATATAGATCGCATTGGGCGGATGCAAAAATAGCATAGAACTCTAGACTCAATCATCATATTACTTTTGGCACCTTTAAGGTGAGCTGGACCGCGTTGACCATCTTTTCCTCCAAGTCACTTCTTATTTTTTACTCCACGCTCCCAGACACTTAACGCTAAAACGAGGACACCAACTTCATACTCATAGGCTCTCATCGATTGTGTCCATCATTGCATACCGTTTAGGGCCGCATGATATGGCTCCAAGGACATACAAAACGCCACAGTCGACAGTGGCCGGGAAAGCCAGTCCTAAAGATTTTCCACAAGTTTTAGCAAGAACCCAGCGGCAGAAGCAATCGACCAGGATGGGTTTGTCTCTGCCATTGCAGACGTAGCGTTCTCGGCTGGACACAGTGCCGGACATGCAGTCACATTGGAGGCAGAAGATCTATCAGCTGCGAAAATAGTGTTTCATCGTTCCCACCCCATCTCGAAGATCGACGCAATTATGTTCCATCCCATGGGAAAGCGTATGAAGAAATGGTTCCGGTGGGCGAGAGGTGCGTTGTTTTTTGAAGATAAAGCATACAAAAGGGTGCAACCGCTTGAAAAGCCTTTGAACGAGTCGCATCAGTGACGAATGCATGTTGGAGCGCAATATTGGAAGATACAAATACTCATAGGGCATAAAGTCCAGTACTGCAGTATGCTCGACAAATAGCATCAGGCAGAATAGAGCAGGAACAAAAGTCGTAGATAGTATCCCTGAACGATCCACAGTAAGGACGTTCCGGAGGTTTCGACTTTAACATCACCTACTCTCATACTTCCAGCTCAAGTACATCTAAAGTGTTTGCAGACACACGCTGGTGCACCCAACATGCCGTTCGTCCCAAGGAATCATCGCGCGAAGCATTAGCTTTCTGCCCATCATGATTATCCATACTCGCTTCCTGATGGTCTAGATGGTGTTTTCGTTAAGTAAACAGCTGATTGATTGATTGATTGATTACATCATACTATCCTGCAGTCATGCCTTAGTGGCCGACTATGCGAGTTACATAATCTATTTAATCCTTTCGGCCAATCTATAGTCTTAAATAAATGAGGCTATATAAGTTACCTCATGGTTCCCTTTTTTTATATTTAATTTTTAAAAAGGGTTTTTTTTTTTTTTTTAATTTTTTTTTGACGTGTCCTTTTTTTAATCGTTTATCCTAGTAAATTCTTATTGTTAATTCTTATTAAGGGCTTAATATTATCTAATAAGCTTAATATTTCTTATAAAGTCCGTCGCTATAGAGGCGTAGCGTAGTTTTATTAGCATATTCTTATAAGTAATAACTTTCTCTTTTATCTTTCTTCTTTCTTCGATTTATTATATTCCTCGCTTCTTATTAAATAGCTTACATTTATAAAGAATATACCGAGTTATCTATTTTACTTTATACTCGTATTCTTTATTCTCTATATTCGATATCTATCGGTTATAAAGAAAGGCCTTGAGATCTATTTTCTCGATTCTTATTTATATTATTAGGACGTTTTAGGCGCTTAACTCTCGAATATAGAAGTTATATTTGTTTCAACGATGTTAATTAAATTCTTCTAAGAATATCGTTTTACTTCTTATTAGCCTATTTAATAATTTATTACTTTATTATATAGTTCTAATAGCTATCTTAATTATCGATATTATTCTTATCTATATAATTAATAATTAAACTATTTCGTTAGTATTTATCTTCACTCTTTTATTATAGATTACTCGCTTTCGCTAGTTAATAGTCTTCTTCGCCTCTCTATCCGCCTATTTATTATTGTTAATATTAATATATATCGAGATCTAGTATAATTCTATTATTATCTTGAGATACTTTAGCGAATTAATAATCTATACTATTTATATTATATAAATCTATCTTAAATACTTATTCGAATCTTCGATAGTCTAAATTAATATTTAATTATTTATATTTACTATAACTCTACTAAGTTATAGTCTTATTTAATATATAGCTATTATAATTAAAGCTTAAAAATATCGTATAGCTTTATCGAGTATATTATATATTAATCGCTTAAATCTAAATAGATATTAAAAGTAGAATTAATATCTAATAATATAGTAATACTCCCACCTTTTTATTAATCTCGCTATCGTCTATATATATTATTATATATTTCTTATCTATCGATCTTTTAGCTAGTTCTTTAACGACTTTCTTAGTTTTATAAATTATTATTTTAAAAGATTTTTAATTAAGGGCGGCGCTGAAAAGACGTAATTTCTTAATCTTATTAATATCGTTATATTATTCTTTAAATCTATTAATATATCGCTCTAATAAACTTAGTTTTCTATTCTTTTTAAGTTTTCTTTTAAATTTTTATCGCTCGAAATATAACTTAATAATCTCGCTATATATTAAACTAATAATAATTTATAAGATAGCTTTTAAGATAATCTTATCTAGTTATTATTTAACTAGTAGAAGATACGCTTCTATATCGAGTACTAAAATAAATATAATCTTAAATACTCTAGTTATCTTTCTCTTTATTTAAGATTAAATTCTTTATAGTAATAAGAGATAAGTTTTATTATAGCTGATAGTATTTTTAAACTAGTATTATACTAAGTAGTAGTATATTATTTATAGAATAATTATCGTTTAATAGAGTTATCTTATACTCTTATAATTACTACTCTATATTAATTCGATAATTCTCACTAGTATATCGATACTTTTAGTAGCTTTAGATCGAATCTTCTTATTATAATAACTCTATAGAAGTTTAAAGTCGATTTCGACTTCTAGATAGCGGATAAAGCGTCTTATCTTAATATATTATCTCTCATTAAGTTATAAGAAATAATCTAAGCTAAATCTCTATTTTCTACTAAGGTATAGTAGTTAATATTTACTAAAATTAAATTTTAATTCATATTATAACGCCTACTTTATATAAACTTCGTTATAAATTTTATAGAGTGCGTTATAGTTTTCTCGATAAAGTCTCTTATTATTAAAAGGTCTATATCATCTACGAAGCCGATAGCTATTATTCTTAAGTCGATATAATTATTATATTTATTAATAAGATTTAAGTTATAGAGAGATAAAGTATAGATAATAGCGATAATTCTTAAAGAATTTCGTTACTATAAGAGTCTTTAATATAAAGTATTTACTTGTTTTTAGTACCGTTATTCTATTAAATAAGAACGATTCTATTTAGTTAACTACTTTCATATCGATTTTTCGCTTTTAAGATTATAGAGTAGTCGAGAATAAGAGACTTTATTATATATATCTGAAATATCTAATAGTAATATTATAGCTACTTTATTAGAGTTCTAGATTTAATATATTCTTTCTAGAAGATAATAAATATCGTATTTATATAATCGTAATCTATAGCCTCTTATGTATATAATTAATAGAAGTCTATATATCTTCGTAAGATACGCTATTCTCCTAGTAAGAATAAACTCTATTATCTTTTCTATAGTGTTAAGTAGAGCTATTAATTAATAACCTTTAGAAATCGAATAGTTTTTACCCAACTTCGAAGGATAATTATTATCGATATCCTAAAGTGCTCTAGATAGTAGTTATTCGTTATATATATATTAAATATTCTATATAGATAAGAGAGTAACGACTTTAGGGTCTTCTTGAGAATTAGATTAGAGATCGCATCTCCCTTTAATACTCTCTTTAACGATATCTACATTATAGTCTTTCTTATCTTATTTACAATAATTATATCTATTAGATAAGTTTATAAATATATTATATTAACGCTAATATTATTTAACTCCGTCTATATCGATAATAGAAAGAATATTCTTATAAGAAGATCTACCTTTAGATTTAATTCGTTATATTCTTATTTATCTTTATTAAATAGTAAAGAGATACGTCTATATTATAAGTTATTTTCTAACTTACTTAGTCTTTTTCACATTATTTATAGCGACTTATACGTCTTTATTATAAATTCTCTAAACGCCTTTTTAATAGTTCTCTTAATTAAATTATTTTTAAAGTTCTTAGCGACTTTATATTTATTCTATACTTTCTTCGAGAGTGTTATTTTTTAGCTTCTTTTTAGCGATTTGTAATATCTTTATACTTTCTTATATTCTAATATAAATCTTAATCTAGATCGTAGCGATAATTTAATAATCGAAGTGAATTCCTCTATAGTCGCTTGAATAGAGTTAATAATAGCCGCTACTTAATAATCGATATCGTTATTAATAAGATTTTTATTATTTCTTAAGAAATTAATTAGATACTCTTTCGATATTATAACTTAGGCGAGTATCTCTCTCAAGACCTTAGCGTCTAATTTATTAAAGTTTTAGCGTGTTATTAATACTAACTCTATTATAGAGCTTAAGCTTTATAAGAATTAAAAGATAGTTAAATTACTTTCAAGTCGTTTTCGATATTGTAATTAATAATATTTGTTATTAGTATTAGAGTAACGAATAGTAGATTTATTATTATTTAATAGTTTTCTTCGTATATTATTATTTTCACTAATAATGCTTATTTTATAGGAATTCTTTCGCTATAAGTATTAGTTCTTCTACTCTCTTATCGATATAAGTATCTAATTTTCTTTATATTATATAATATAGATTAAAGTTATCTAATATAATTTATTTATTATCCTTAGACTTATAAGCGTCTTATATAGTTCGTTAAGTTCGTTTATTTATTAATCGTCGAGATTATAGATATTATATATACGTATAATTTTATTATTTTCGAACTTAATATTAAGAGTGTGAGATTCGATAAGTAATATAATAAGTATTATTATTTTAATGATATTCTCTTATTAATATAGAAGTATACTCGTATATTATTATAATAGAGGTAGATTAAATTAAATTTATCCTTTAGAAGATAATACGACATATTTATATTAATGTTTCTTTGAGCTTTTAAATTACTACTATATCGATATTATAGATCTTTTTTATTATTAAAGAGTTCTATTATAATTATTTTAGATTTTCTTATATTATATTATAGTATTAATAGCTAACTAAGATATATTATTATTTTTAATATTATTATTAATATTATTTACTCGCTTCGCCTAGTTTATAGAATTCATATTCTCTTTCTAAGTATTCTCCTTTTCTTAGTTATCGATAAATCGAATATATCTCTTTTTATTCTTATTAATAGAAATCGCAATTCTTTTATTATTACTCTTTTAACTTAGAGGTTATCTATTATTCTCGAGATTATTAATTTCCTCTATCGCTATATTATTCTTATATTATTTAGCTTTATCTACTACTTTAAAAGGCGATCTATTTCTAGATAAGACCCTTATTAGTAATATAAAGTATATCTTCTTTTACTCGGCTAAAGATTTGATATAGTAGTTCTTTCGAGATTTGGCCCTCTAATTTCTCCCCTATTAATTATTTTATCTCTATCTATTAGTCTACCGCGCGTAAATATTAATCTTAAAAAATTCCTTATTTTGTTTATGATTGAATGTATTCTGAAGTAATTGCTTAATTAATCGCTTATTTGATAGTTAATTAGTACTTTCTTCGTTATTATAAATCGTAAAGAAGTTTATTATCTTATTATTCTTATTCTCGCTATCTCCTCTTCTTTACTATATATATCTTATTTTAAATCTTATATAGTCTCTCGCAAATCGGGTATTTATAAGTGTCGACTATATATTCTTTATAATAATACTTTCTTAAATATTTCCCATATACTAAATAATTCTTTTTAGAGTATATAGTTAATAGATAATCGTTTTTTGTATATAGTATTACTTGATTTCTGCTTATTATAGACGTAATAATCATATAGTTTTAAATCGATAATTAGGCCTTCTTTAGTACTCTATTTTCTTTCTCTAGAGATACTAATTCGATGATTAATAAACCCTTATTATAATTCTCTTTATTCGCATCAAATTAGCTTAGTTATACTATATCGAGACTTAGCGTATTAATATTCTTATTCTAAATTCTTTTAATTGCCGTGACTATATCTTTAATATTAAATATATTAATCCTACTCTATAGGTAAGAGATTATACGTTTTAGTAATTACTCTCGCGCTATCACTTATCTTTAAAGTTTAATTCTTACTTTTTCTTAGTTTATTCGCCTTCTTCTCATTTGTAGTTATAATATATATATCGCCTCTAGCCTTCTAGCCGTTTTAATAGATTTTCTTATAGTATTTATACTTTTTATATATTTATTAATTATCGTAATTATCTCGCTGTATTTCTTCTTTAATACTTTACTTATTATCTCGTCTTATAACTTTATAATAATCTCATTTAGCTTATTATATAATATTTAATCTTATTTCGATATTACTAATAATATAATAGAAATTTCTTTAATAATAAGAAGAATATTAAGAATCGCTTATACGCTGGTAGTTAATTATCTATATTACTTTTTAAACTAGCTGTCTAATACTTAATATGCATAATCTTTTTTCTATATTATTATCTCGGTTACTTAGTTAATAGCTAGTTTATATACTTCTCTAAGACTATTTAGATTTTAAGTTTATTATTCGCCCTTTTATAAATGCTATCGCATCTTCAGTAGCTACTTCTTTATTAATGGTTTCTAGTCTTCATCTATTATTTTCAGTATAGTATTTATCGATAACTTCGTATAAATGCGTGCTCCTTAAAATTATAGCTGTTATGGTCTTATTAGGGCTAGTTCCCTTTTTTTTTTTTTTTTTTGGGTTTTAGGGTCCCCTTTAAATATTTTAAAAAATTTTTTTTTTTTTAAATTTTTTTTTTATTTTTTTTTTTTTTTTTTTATAAAATTATAAAATAAAATTTTTTTTAAATTTTTTTTTTTTTATTTTTTTTTTTTTTTTAAACAGCTGGCGACGACAACGTTTCAAGAAGACGCGCTAAAGCAGCGCCGAGGGCGTGCTAGACCCTTTCCATCAATCTCTCTACTTGAGATGCACACATACTCCCTCTCTGCGGGACGAAGCGCAGTGGCGGTCCTTTTTAGAGCTGGGTCGCTGTCGCTGTCTTTCTTTTTCGGAAGGGAAATGAATGCCGACCGGCTCGAGCAACGGATATCCTCAGTCGTTCCTTCTGTTCACACCATGTCCTCAAGCCTTATAGTTTAGCACTGAATATATTATTCATCTTCAATTCCTACGTCAAAGCTGATTGTCACCACGATCAACTTATACTCAAAATGGGTTCTGACGCGATCTTCGACTTATGCCTGCCTGTTCTCGAGGACAACACTCTCGAAGAGGAAGAAAAGACGGAAAAGTTAGAGGAGCTTGTTCAGAAAGAGCTGTCACTATCTGGCCAACCTCTGGAAGATGCCGTACTTTCTATCCTTTGGCGCTATCGAGACTCAAAGGTTACCTCCGTTGCATCTCCGCCTGTTCGCCACACGATCATTCGACGCAACTCGCCCGCGCCATGGCAAATCCCCCGCTCCTCCACCCCTGTATCACCTGCTCTCAGCAGAGCGAGTCCCGCCCCTCCACCAGGCTTCGGTGCCGTACCCTCAGCGTTCATGAGAACGAAGTCGTACGGCGGAAGCCCCTTTGGTTCTCCGCGCCCGTCGCCTCGGCTGGCCTTCGCCAGCCCAATACCCCACAGTCCGAGCTTGAACTCTTATGAATTTAGTGAGCCACACGTCGAACGAAACGAATATGGAGACTACGGTAGTGATACGGTGGACTGGCTGGTCAACGATGACTCTACCAGTAGGCCATCCTCTTCCGGTGCTGGCAGCGCCTCAGAAAGCGGGCTGAACGCTGCGGCTGCTTCATGGATCCAGCCTCAGCAGAATGAGATGTCTCCGTACGATATGCTACGTTCGGTGATGGGCGATGGAAAATCGGACGAGGAGATCGAGGGCGCTCTCGAAGCCAGTGGATACGACCTGAGTGCAACGCTCATGAATCTGATGGGGACTAAGGGAGGATACCAGCAGGAGCAAAGCTACTTTTCGGAGAACGATGGCCAAATACTCATTGGAAAATCCATGATGCCGAGTGAGCCCATAACGATCGATCAGACCGAGCATGGCCGCAGCAACATAGTCTGCAAATATTGGCTGTCCAATGGAAATTGTTTACGGGCAGACTGCCGATTCAGTCATGACCTTAGCAGCCACATCTGCAAGTATGCATTTGCTTCTAGGCTTTGATGCACCATACTGATGTTACAGGTACTGGGTGATGGGCAATTGCCTCGCAGGAGATTCCTGTATCTTCTCCCATGATCCAGCACTTCTCATGAAATCCATGAACCTCGGCGACGCCGCTATTGGCACGCCTCCGTCGCAACTTCATCCCAGCTTCCAAGTCCAAGACTATGATACGTTCCCTGCGCTTCAAGCCCCAGCAATAAACCAGTGGACGCAATCATCTTCACCTAGTCAAATTAACTCTTATAATTCTTCAGTTTCTCAAGGTTCGAATAGTTATATGTCGACACCTCGACGTCACTTCGAGGCTAGAACTTCTTCAATGAATGGGACGTCATCTTCCTATGGCTCTCCCAATTCGCGCCCAACCAGCCGTCACCGTTCTCGCGACCCTACGCCCTCTCCAGCAATTCCAGCCGTGGACGATACTGAAGCATTTCCTTCGTTAGGCGCGGCTGGAATCAAAGTAGTCAAGAAGCACCACGGCAAACGTGGTGGTCATGGCCACGGCCATAACAACAAAGAAAACACGCCCAACTCACTTGCTGATGTCGTTCGAATGTCTCCATCGCCCGCTCCAGGGCTGCTTCGAAAAGGTCTTATGAAGACGAAAAGTTACACTGGAAGCCGTGAGAACACTCTAGCTGCTAATGCGATACCAGCACCGCAGCATGTGCCATGGCTCGAGACAGGCGCCAAAGCGAATCAAGAATACCTCAAGGCGCGGCAGGACGCCTTTAAGCATGGCGGTCTGCGCAACAAGTTTTTACAAAGGTAAGGAGGTCTGTAACGAATGTATATGTTGATGTTAACATTTGGTAGCGCGGCTCAAGCTTGGAATCGTAATGATGCCAGAGCTGCGAAGGCTTTGAGTCTTCGCGGCCAATCTGAAAATGACTTGATGCGGAAAGCCCATCGGGAGGCCGCCCGACTCCTCTATGAAGAACGAAATAGGGACAGCTCCTCAGCACAAGAAGTATACGTCGACTTGCACGGTTTACATCCGGAAGAAGCCGTGGAGTACCTTGAGCACGCCCTCATTGAACATCAGAATTCCGGTCGCTCAGTCTACGCCATCACTGGCACAGGGCATCACAGCAAGAATGGCAAAGACAAGGTAGGAAAGGCCATTCGGAGTTGGTTGAGTGAGTGGAAGTACGCGTATCGGGAATTTAGCGTGGCTGGAGACAATCTTGGAGGAATTCTTGGGGTGGACCCACGAAGCTTTGACAAGAGCATGTTGGACGAGAGGAAGGAAGGTACTGAAGGGGCCAAGGCGGATAAAGGATCAACAGGGAAGATCCAGTTGGTGAAAGAGATTCCCACGGGTCCTAAGAAAGCTGGGTAGTCTTACAGTAGGTAGAAAATCGAATAAATTATCCAAGGTCGTGACTGCTGTTCTTACTTTTGAATCGATTCACTTCGACCGAGGATTGAAACCAGGCAACACATCTCATCACTACCCTCATCACGACCCTCAAGGCTTCGGTGCTGCATTATCTCATCTTGCTATCTCATCTTGCTAGCACCAACCCTCTGCCGAGCTCAAGGAGATCATGGCGCCTTACACTGCGGACAAGTATGGCCCCAAGACACCCAAGATATTCGGCCACAAACCTACCATGTATGCTGGTCTCTTCATGGTCACGGCACCCGTGTTGTCAATAGCTCATGCCGACTCAGGGACGCATTTGACTCCATCGTCCTGATCAAAGTCGGGCCCGGAAAGCAAGTTTTCCATATCCACAAAAAGCTACTGTGCGACAACTCCACGTACTTCCATGCCGCAATCAACGGAAGCTTCAAAGAAGCCAAAGATCAGTCAATCGAGATGCCCGAGGACGATCCTGGAGTATTTCGCCACTTTCAATACTGGACCTACACCGGGAACATTGTGCCGGAGGCTCAGGGAGCTCAGGAAGCCAAGACTATTCAATGGAACATTCTGACCAGCCTCTACGCCTTCGCAGAAGCACGAGATATTCCTCTACTTCAGAATGCCACCATTGATCTTGCAATTCTCAGACTCCAAGCTGAACACCGCATGCCTGTGGAATTGTTACTCGACATCTATGAGAACACCTCGGAGAACTCGCGTTTGCGAATTTTATTTGTTGATTTTGCTGCACACAGGGGGACCATAAGGAAAGGCTGGTTCGGAGGTCGATGCCCTATCGAGTTCTTGATTGATTTGGCTGTCGCCCAACATGCTAGGACCAGCGGCAGCGTCTCCGATATTGCAAATTTCTGGAAAAGCCGTGCCAACTATCATGTTGAGGTTCCTGTGGCTTTATCAAACAAGGACAAGAGCGAGCAAGATTAGCGAATGAAGTGGCGGCTGGAACTTCTTCCTAATGGCATCTATCAGGTTTGCTGGGCCGGGTCTTCGAGTGGTAGCATTTTCCGAATCAATGCTATTAAGGGTGACAGGAATGAGGTTGTTTGACGGAGTAGCAGCACACTTAGGCTCTCATGCTATCTTTGTCGACGGGATATGGAACAAGACGAGCAGCTAAACACACAACAATCATGACACATATACTCTAAGGACAGCACCTTTCGAGCCTGGTTGACTATACGTGTGCCAATCAAAATCACAATGTCGCTTGGAGTGGTAGCCATGGCAGAGTAGTGCATTGGATCTTTAATCTTTGCTTAGGAATCCTCAGCCCTATCACAGATTGAGTGTGCTCGGCAAATTCCGAGGGTTCGTTGACAAATCTAAAAGCATCTAACGTAGGGGAACAATTTAAATCATAATACCGGTGACTGGTGACACTACTCGTATATTTACTTCTTCCATTCTCTTCTCCCTCCTACTTTCAACTCAGCTCGACTGGTAAGCAACAAGATCGTCCAGCACCTCCTATTAATTCCAATTGCACCCTTCCATCCTTCATCCTGTTTTCCAAAACCTTCCCCCGCTTCTCCTCCCTTCCTCTCCGCTCCAGCGTCTCTCTCACCCTCGCAGCGGCCGGCTCCTTCCAACACAAACCCACGCCCGTCTCTGCGTCCGTCCCCACCTTCTCCGCGCCTCTGGGCAATACCAGCTCAAAACCTCGATCCATGCACTCCAAAGTCATCATAATCGGCTCCGGCCCCGCCGCCCACACCGCAGCCGTCTACCTCTCGCGCGCCGAGCTGAACCCGGTGTTATACGAAGGAATGCTGGCAAACGGTATAGCTGCGGGCGGCCAATTGACCACGACCACGGACGTGGAGAATTATCCAGGATTCCCTGGTGGTATAGGGGGCTCAGAGCTTATGGATGCCATGCGGGCGCAATCGGAGAGGTTTGGGACGAAGATCATTTCGGAGACGATAGAGAAGGTCGATCTGTCGAGTCGGCCGTTTAAACTGTGGCCTGAAGATACGGACGAGCCAGTTACAGCCTCGGCGGTCATAGTAGCCACAGGGGCCAGTGCAAGGCGGTTGAATTTACCAGGCGAGGAGAAATATTGGCAAAACGGTATATCCGCCTGTGCGGTCTGCGACGGCGCTGTACCCATATTCAGGAAAAAACCCCTGGTCGTGATCGGAGGCGGCGATTCAGCGGCCGAAGAAGCCATGTTCCTGGCAAAATACGGCAGTCATGTCACCGTGCTCGTACGGAAGGACAGGTTAAGGGCCAGCAAAACGATGGCGAAGCGGTTACTTGCGCACCCCAAGGTAAGCGTCAGGTATAACACCGTGGCGACCGAGGTTACGGGCGAGAAGAAAGACCGCGGCCTCATGACGGGCCTGCGTCTCCGAAACGTCTCCACGGGCGAAGAGTCGGAAATGGAGGCCAACGGCCTCTTCTACGCCGTCGGGCACGACCCGGCGACCGCCATGTTCCGCGGCGTCCTCGACATGGACGGCGACAACTACATCCTCACGAAGCCGGGGACGAGCTACACGAACGTGGAGGGGGTCTTCGCGGCGGGGGACGTGCAGGACAGGCGGTACCGGCAGGCCATCACGAGCGCGGGGAGCGGGTGCGTCGCGGCGCTGGAGGCGGAGAAGTTTCTGGCCGAGGCGGAGGACGAGGACGTGGAGGGGGGCCTCGAGGGGGAGAAGCAGGCGGAGAAGCCTACGAATGGGGAGGCGCCTGAGTACAGGGGTAATCCTTTGCTTTGAGGGGGTTTGGATGGGGTGTGTTTGATTAGATGAGATGGGATAGACTCAATCGAAACATGGACGTCGCTGTCACAAGAGAGAACATGTGCGAAGTGGAGTGACAGCGAGTGATACGGAGCGTCATCTCATACGCCGTCTAGGTTATACATTAGTAACTAAACAATTCCGCGAAGGATAGGTATCGTCCTTGATGCCCATCTCCAGGAAAACCAACACCTGCAATGCTCAGGTGACTCGCCGGCCCAATTCCGCTGGCGGAAGACGAGACGCAGGTGAATAAGAGAACGGGTGGATCAGTACATGTCTTCAAACGGACAATCCACACTCTCATGCCCGTCCCTCTCGCAAAGCGCACACCACCTCTCCCCATCGATCACGCCACTCTTCTTCCCGGCCACCGGCCCCTGTTCCATCGGATTCGGCATCAGGTTCGCCTTCGGGGTCATCGCCGGGCTCCTGGCCGGACTCAGAGGCGCCGGGTAGTGATTCGTCGGTGGCGACGACACGCCGAGCCCCTTGAAGCCTTCCGTGACGACATCCCGTCCCGTCCGTTGCGGGGGGGGACTGGGCTTTGGGTTGGATTGGAGGTCGGAGTGCTCGCCGTTGATGGTGGGACATGTGAGGATCTCGTGGCCGAAAGTCTCGCACATGTCGCAGTAGAGGGTGCTGCTGTCTGTCATGGTGGTGGAGTGGCTGTCGGCTTCGGGCATGGACTCGAGGTGGCCGCCTCGCTGCTTATTATCCGACGCCTGCCCGGGCCAGTCGTCGGAGGAGTGCTCGCTCAGATTTGGCCTGTGCTTGTTGCTTGTAGGCGGTCGTTCGGTGAAGCCATTGCTGCTAGCACTGAAATGGGCGACATTCTCGCGCAGCCGATTAATCTCATGTTCTAGCTCCTCTTCACGATAAGTCTTCCGATCTACCAAACCCTCTAGCTCTTTGACTTCTCGTTCGAGCTTTTCTCTCGCTTGGCGCTCCTCTGCTAGCTGGCTTTCGCTATGACCATTCGCCTGATTCAGACCACTATGCCGTTGCTTCGAGACTCGGCGACTGCTAGGCCTTGGGCTGCCCATTTCAGGGACGGCGTCTCGGCTCAGGGAGTGGATGATAGCCTTCAAGCCCCTGATCTCATCGTCTCTTTGCTCTACCTCTCTTGACGACCCGCCAGGACTTAAGCCGCCATCCATGGTTGCACTCGCTCCTTTCAAAGCTGCAATAGCCTTTTCCCTCTCCTGTCGTAGCTCTGATCGTGTCCTGTCGACTTCTCCCCTCAAAAACTCGACTTCACCCCTAGCCTCGGCTTCCCCCCTGCGAGCATCCTCAAGACCTTCTTCGAGCTCTTGGACCAGTTCCTCCAGTTGTTTCAGTTGCTGGGCGACGCTCTCTACGTCGTCACCTCGATCTTGCAGCTCTCTGATCTCCTGCTTCAGGCTGTCGACCTGCTGTTCATAGATTCGATTGGTTTCATCACTGGTACGCTCTAAGCTGTCAATGGTGTTCCGGAATTGCGCGCGATGAGCATCGAAATCACTAGTAAGCGTCGCAATCTTCTCATTCTTTTCCCGCACTAGAGCACGCAAAGAAGGTGCATCCAATTCATCAATTCCAGAGCCTCTAGATCGTAACGTGCCAGCGGAGTTATGTGTCGGAGTTCTCTCCACTGACTGCAGTTCCGCTATACTACTCTGCATCTCCTCTAAATCGCTAGTCTGTTTCTCGAGCTGTCTATCTCGCTCTTGCAGCATCAGCCTAAGTTGCTTGACCTCATGATCTTGATTCGATACAGGCCGCGAACTCTGTTGTGTGCTCTGAGCTCCGTACGCAATCTTTGCAGTACCGATTGGGGTGTTGTCCGAGTCTTCGTCAAACATGGCTTCTGGCCCAAGGCGGGATTCGCTCCGAGAATGAGGTCGAACATTGTTTGGTGTCTTAGGCGTGGATTTGGCTGTATTCATAGTTCTCTTCCCTGGATCTCCATCTTTGCCTCCTCTCACACTAGCTCCAAACCTCGCTGGTGTAGGGCTCGGCGCATATCGTGGACCACCGACAATGCTTTTGGAAAGCTTCGGCGCTCCTAGAGAAGGTCGGCCTAAAGGTGTGGAAGTAGCGTTCTGAGCTTTCCGCAACGGAGATTCTGGTCGAGGTAATGATGGCCTTGACTTGGCCCTTAAAGGGCTCTGTGCTCGGCCTGGGCCTACGGATTGGCTGAACCTTGATGTCGTTGACGATGTGGGGGTGTTTCGGCTACCAGGCGCAAAGGAGGGCGCTGGTGGTGTAGGAGGCATGGAGTCGGCAGAGAAGGTAGGAGAGAGCCGCTTGTAAGCTTTGTTAGATGGCAAGAAGATGCCGGCGCCGCGTATGGTTGTAGTGAAATACCGTATGCTTTATCACGGTAAGCTTAAAGTCCTCCGTACAGGTTCAATTGAGGCAGACCCATCCACATCTCCATCGTTCTTCCCCTTAGCTGCGAATTCCTTGCTGAGCTCTACCCCAGCAAAGTGACCCTTTTTGCCCTTGACCTCGCCAATGAACTTGATGGTACCATGCATCATCCCCGGCACATCTACCATATCTCCCACCATTAGATTCTGGTTTGCGAATTTGTCATCACTGATAGTCCTGCTGTTCGCAGGCTTGGAAGGATACATGGTGAATGGACTCGATCCTCCTTCAGACGTGGGCGTGTATCCTTCACTTCCATCTGCTATCGTAGACAAGCTAGCCGGGCCCCCCGTTTGGCCGTAAGAAAGTTTCCGATTGAGAGCGAGATTGCCGCTGGCGCGTCGGCCAGAGAGTTGAGATGTTGGGAGCGGAGGTCGCTCAAAAGCGAGCGCCAGGTTTGGAGAGGAGGCAGTGGTGACAATTGAATGGGCTAGAGTCGGACGAGGGCGACCCAGTGACCGACGATTTGGTGTTTGCGTTGCCATTGTTACCTTTTTTTTTGAGTCGCGTTTCGAAGGGAACTAAAGTCCGCTTCGGCTCGTTATCTGATTGGTTGATTGTCCCCTGTCGCTTCGCCTAAGTGCATGAATGATAGCAGACATGAATGACGGAGAATGATGGAACGAGAGCTCAAATTTATATTCAGCACACTGTTCCTGGATCGAGGGAGACTTATGGAAAAAACCATGTGCAAGAGATAAACAACGATAGGTGTTCAGGCGAACCACGTTTCATGCTTCGAGGAACCTTGGGTCTGTCGGTATTTATACAAGCGGCCTCTCGCGGCCTAAATGCATAACTAAGCAACCATGCGATTGGAGTGAACCAGGACCCTCATGCATTCCATCCCACTGTCAGTAGTGGCGCAAAAGATCGGAAGCAGCGTGTGATTGAGAACAACTCTCCATTAATCTATGTCAATACGAAACCCATCAGGACAAAACTCGAAAAGCTCAATGCTCGACATAATCCAAGCCAAGAAAACCCTTTTCACCTGCTTTCCCACAATTCCTTTCAAAACCCCCAGAATTCAAAGTATCCAAAACTCCAAAACCAACCCCCAACCCCGATTCTCCAATTCCCATTCCCCGATTTCCTGCCCAATACCCCCACCCCGGACCTTTGCTTCTGTCGTCGCTTGCTTTGAGATGCTGACAGCCAACGAGTATATGATGAGGCCGTGGTATGCTGTTGTGTTTGCAAGTATCATGCTCGAGGCTACGCGAGAGTGGTCAGGATAATGTCAACATGTGTGTGGTTTGTCAGCGACTTACTACAAGCATGTCGGGTAAATGCCATGACGAGGTTTGATTTAGTTTCCCAGCAGAAAGGGGTTGCTGATGCCTGGATCGTGGCTAAGCGTGGCGGCGAGGAGGCCTGAGAACATGTGAGCAGTAGATGTTGGCGATGTTGTTGATGCTGGTGCTTTGGTGATGTCTTCGGCGGTGTTCGAGGTGCCTGTCGACCGTGTGGAAGTGCTGGAGTGGAGACGCTCTCAAAAGCGCTGCAAAAGTGGTGAGCATGATGGCAAAAGGCTTTGTATCACAATGACTGACTGTAAGCGTGTCTAGTAGACGCCATCGCAATGTGTGAATTTTGTTGCCGTGAAGAGAATCTTTGAAGGCCAAAAAGTAATTGTACTGTGGCTTCGAGCATCTGAGCTGTACATGTTGGTGGGATATTGATGAAGGGTGCCTTGATGTGGTCTTCGTTAATGTTTGGTATTTTTGTGGCGAAATTCCGAAGACGAGACGCTCTTAAAGGTGCTGCGAGTATTGTGAGACTGGTAATGGGACACTCAAGCTTCCACGGTAACTTACATAGGCACGGTTGGGCGACACTTTCACGATGATGGTTCTACTATGCCGGCTGCGGTAGGGCATGACTGCCAGTCGAAGGTGTGGTAATATTGGTATGGTGGCGATGTGGAAACGCCACAGCTTCGAGTCGTCTGATAGCTCGAATGGCTGTACATACCAAGTAGCTCCCTGCACTGTTCGAATAGCTTCTTGTTGAGTGGTTTGGTGAGGATATCTGCTGCCATTTGGGCTGTGGGTATGTAGTCTATGGTGACTGCCTCGTCCTCAACCAATTGACGGATGTAATGGTACTGAACGTCGATGTGTTTGGTCCTCTGGTGATGCTCGGGGTTCCTTGTAAGGCCAATGGCCCCCTTGTTGTCACCGAGCAGTGTCATGGGGCCTTCATTTAGTGCTCGAAAACGGACCCCTTGCAGCCATCGTGTGGTCCATACGATGGTCTTACCTCCTTCTGCCAGGGCCACATATTCAGCTTCTGTGGTAGATGTGGCTACCCCTCGCTGTTTTCGGCTATACCACACACATGCTGCTTGTCCACATAGCAGGGCGAATCCGTAGGTGGACTTGCGATCCTCCTGGTCATCACCGTATGCTGAATCCGCGAATCCTTTTGGTGTTCCAGTCCCTTGATAGCGTAGTCCTAAGGATGTGGTGCCCCGTATGTTCTTGAGTACTCGATTCACGGTATTCATGTGGCGGACGGTGGGGTCACAGCAGAATTGACTGAGCTTTCCTATGACGAAGGCTAAGTCGATTCGGGTACCAGTCATGAGGAACATGAGGCTTCCTATTCGCTTCTGATATTGTAGTTGGTCCGCACGTTCTTCCTCTGGTCGACCTGGTTGGATTGACTCATATTTATCGATGGGGGTGTGGATGGGAGTCGCCTGGTCCATTGAATATTCTTTGAGTACTTTTTCGGCGTACTGTGCTTGTTCAATGGTCAAGGTATGGGATTTCCAGTCACGGTGGACTTGAATGCCGAGGATAGATTGACTGGGCCTGCTTCGGTAGCCTTGAATTCTTTGTGGATTTGATGCTTGATGTGGTTCACAGTGCTTTGTAGCTTGGCTTTAATAAGGATATCGTCCACATAGAGTGCTATGATGGCCATTCCCCCTGGTGATGCTCGAATAAAGATACAGCTATTAGCTGTAGTGGCTGTGAATCCCATTTTCTTAATGGCATGCTTGAATTTCTCGTTCCAGATGCGGGCTGATTGCTTGAGGTTATACAATCCTTTCTGGAGGAGTAGCATCTTACCCTTAGCACTGGTTGCTGATGGATAGCCTGGTGGTAAGGTCATGTAGATTTCCTTATGGAGGTCGCCATTGAGGTAAGCATTGTCAACGTCCATTTGTTCTACCAGAAGGTTCATCATTGCTGCATATGATAGAAATAGGCGTAGGGAGTCAAATCGTAGGGTGGGGGCAAAGGTCTCATGGAAGTCGATGTTTTCTACTTGCGTGAACCCTCTAGCAACGAGTCTGGCCTTGAATTTGTTGATAGTCCCATCGCTATTGTATTTGACCTTGAAAACCCATTTGCAGGTGACTTTGTAGTTGGTCTGCAAACGCCACAGCTTCGAGTCGGAGTTGCTCAGGAGACTAAATTGCCCGTCTTTTGATGTGGCTGCGTGCCGCGCCGAAATCGTTCTGATGTCCGCGGTGAATGTGTGTTCGAGCTCGCTGCCATGAAGGTACGGTGGATCTGTTTGACGGCGCAGGACTGCACGCTGAGGTAGCCAGATTGTAGAGGCTGTTGGATGTTGGTAGAGAGCAGCGCCAAAGAAGGTTTCAGGCCAGCGGTAGTTGTTCGTCCGCGCTCGCAGCAGACGGTAGCGGAAGTCGGCAGTAATATGGGACTGCTAGCTGAAGTAGCCGAAACGTGAAGGTAGGCCGACTGGTGAGTGTATCCTAGTTAGGCACGTAGCAAGAGACTTCATGGGGTCAAGGTAGCGGAGTTAGAGACGATTAAGGCCGGCCATCTTTGGTTGAATCGTCTGAAGAAATTAGTGTCTCGTATAAACAGGTAGTGCCGAATGCGGTCGAGCCGAAGCCTTCGTGATTACATACAGCTAGCTTGAGGCTGGTCGTGACGATCAGAGCCGGCCATCTCCGGATGAGGCGTCCTGAGGTGAACGATGCTGATGCAGATTTCGACAACAGAGGTGATGCTGATCGAAAAAGCCGTGGATTAAAGTCGATGAGGAAGGAAGGTTGACAGATAGCGCTGGGCAGGTCCAGATCTCGACGTAGGTGGTAGGAGGATGGCTTCTAGGCGGTGATATGGCGCTGGACAACCTTGCTGGCGACGTTGGTGACGAGAGTTGCAAGCTTGTGTTCGATCCTGGTATGGATGTTAAGGAATCGTCTCATACGGGCGGTGCGGCGAGCGAGCTTCTCGGTGGCTTCACTTTTTTCGCGTTGACGTTGTGCCGCGACATCGCGGATATACTCGTCGTATGCTTCTTGTCCAAACCTATTGGAATGTCAGCTTTTGTCGATCTTACTTCATGGAGCGATAGAAACTTGCATTGCGAAAATATGATTGGCATGAGGATCACTCTCGTGCTGGAACTTGCCGAAATCTGAATTGTCTGCGGTTTCAGCGTTTGCTCGTTCGTGCATGGCACGGACACTGCCAATGGATTCTAGACTACCCTTCGCGGGCATGGTAGGCGCGAGGCAAGCTGAGGTAAAGGTGTCCATTTTGTCGATATGTGTCTTATGATGGTGATGGTGACGGTGACGGTGATGGTGATGGGAGAGTTTAGATGCGTATCGACAGTAAGGAGATCTTATGAGCAAGGAGTATGAGAGATGGAATGTCTATTACTCGAGCTGTATGCTGGGTAACAGACGGACGTGGTGATGGTGAAGATGTAGGAAGTGGGACTGTTTTCAAGGGCTTTATATATTTACAGGATATTCGACTAAACAGCTGTGACTCACAGGAAAACTGCAGAAAGCGACAATATGCGGTATTTTTACCAACCACAGAATGATATATGCTCAAAAGAGAAATCTGCAAAAAAAAATCTGCAAAAAAAATTGCAGCGCCAAGCACTTGTTGGGGAACATTTACTGACACCGTTGCCCGAAATGGCAAATGATGCAGGCTTGAATAGTAGACAGGTGTAGAGTGCAAGTACTATGTGCTTTGAAGGTCATGTCTTCATGAGTAAGTTTCGTCTCATTATGTTCTCTCATCCGTCTGGTGGATGACGACCTCCAGCACTCTTGGCATCATTTTCAGGAATCCAGAAATGATGCCAACTGGAGAATCTAGGCATAGATACCAACTTTTCGTTCTTTAAGATCACAATGCTTTGCAGAACCATGACTCAGGGATAGGAGTTTGTGATACATTCGAGAATATTTGTATACTTTCAAGCGTACATGGAGCCAAGGCTAAGAGCTTGGCGAAAGACCACGAGACTCGAACCAAAACTGAAAGAGAAATCTTATTGATGAACATGCAAGCTATGACTACTCGTGAGTACATGAGTTTGGGACGCCAGACTTCGAGAGTCACGCGGCCGATGATAAATAAGCTTCTCGAGTAGGAACCAGAGCGAAAAACATGCCTTTGTCAGAAGTCCTTCACGAGAATCATGTCGAGATAACATGAGCGTGGAGTAATGTGTGATACAGCATGAAATGGTATGCGCGTAAGCTCGCGACCTACCTGCACCACTCACATCAGATTCCAAACTACTCTGAAGGTGCAGCTAATCTGCATCTTTCAGCAATGAGCACCATAGGTATTTGGTCCTGGCAATGTTAATGGTCTGTAGCCACTTCTACGCCCGTTCTGGCAGGCGGATTTGACAATGCTTGGGCCAAAAGTCGTCTTCGAATCGCAGCGCCACGACACTTGCTGGACTTCCTCATTCCTAGGGGGAAATCATGGCTCATCCTCGAGGCTTGTAGTTAGTATCCTCACTTGGTTGAACGTCCTCAGGCAATTTTTCTTCCCACATTGCCTACACCCCTGCCGACGACGCTCACTACCACGTCACCGCCCAGTCCTGTGATAGGCTCTCGTACTCCCCATCCGCTGGCTCCAAAGGCTTTCAGATCTCTGGCAAGTCCAATTATTGGTTCGCTACTAAGCACATTCTTGCCCAGCTGTAATCTTCCAACGTCTTCCGAACCCATGGCCATAAGGGTCAATACAGTAGGCGCGGCTGCTAGAGATACAGCTCCACCGAAAGAGATGGACTCGAGGAGCTGGTATGCACACTGTCGCCCTATATCCTCTGGTGGTACTCCTCCTGCCGGCGGTGATGCAAGATCTGCGGAGTAAAGCGATCCGGTAGATGACTCCGCAACAAGGGAAAGCCCAAATCCAACTCCTGTTTTCCTGTTTTGATTCGTATCGGATTTGTCCCTTGACTTTGGGTAGGGAGCAGAAGACACATCTGAGAAGATGTATGTGTCTGCCGTCATCGGATTCAAAACTCCTCTGGCTTCCTCAATCATCCGAGCGTTGTTTGAGGCCGAGACCCCTGTGCAATATGCAACACCTCGTATCTTTTTCACTCGTCCAGGATTCATTATGTGTACCGTCTTAGGAAGCCGGACCTGATGCCCGAAAACAAGCTGGACCTCGCCAGCTCCTCCTTTCCCACCAGTACTCACGTTGGAGCGCCGCAAAATCCTCAGTTCAATATTGTCTGTTATCCCAAATTGTGCATAGAGAGGCAATATTGCTGTTCGCACGCTGTCTGCAGACAAATCTCCAGAGGGTGTGGCAGAAGTAATTACTCCAGGACCGGTGAATAGGACATTGATCGGGGCTTTTGAGAATGGTGCCAGGAGGCATAAGGGTACCAAGAAGTAGCTGATGCCTCTGGTACACTCAGCGGGCAGCTCATGCTTTATTACCCCACCACTGGCACCAGAGCCAGGTGCGCTCCCTGTTATCAATCCTGGTTTGTAGAGCAGCTCTGTTCCCGTAACACTGATTACAAACTGCGACCCATTGGTGACAGCTTCGAGTAAGCGAAGAAAAGAAATCTCGTGAGGGGCGAGGCCGGTATGAGTAAGAGATGACGGCCGGATCTGTTTAAAGTGAACTGCACGGCCAGTAAGGGTGGAGAGGATCAATCGGTGAGCGAGGGACTTTTGCGTGGTGAGATAGACTGGTGCTTGAGGTGTACTTGCCATTGTAAAGTATGACGGAGCCTCATGGAGGTAGACCAACCATCGTTACGTGGGTTTTGCCTGAATTATTAACCGAATGCTGTTCGTTCTCCACGATATATTTTTTGTGGGTGAGGTAGGTGATGGATACCGATTGTATTTTATCCATTTGGCCCTAGCTGTAATTACCAGATTTGTCATCTTCAATTCGTCATAGAAAAACCACTGCTCTTCATGAACTGGTGCAGCATCGAATGCAGTCGCTCATCATGACTTGCGAAGATTGCACTTGTCCCACTCACCTCAATTTTCCAGAAATCGCCCCAATATGCTATCGAGTCCATTGAACATCCCAAAATGGTCAGTAGCGGCGCCATATTTCGACTGTAAACCTAACAAATTATCAGGCTGGAGGAGAATTCCCATCTACTCAAGCCACCAATCAATAATTACTGTGTCTATAAAGATGACGTGACTGTAATGGTACGCTGGTAGTAACGGTCGATCACAAGCTACAGGGTGCTCATGGATTTCCAGATTGTCGGTGGACCAAACGCTCGATCAGACTACCACATTAACGAGACGGCCGAATGGTTCTACCAATACCGGGGCTCGATGCTCCTGAAAGTCGTAGACGACGGCAACTTCCGAGATATTCCAATCCACGAGGGCGAGATGTTCTTGCTGCCTCCCAACACGCCACACAACCCAGTGCGATTCGCAGATACAGTTGGCATCGTGCTAGAGCAGCCCAGGCCAGCAGAAAGCAAGGATCGGCTGAGGTGGTACTGCCAGAATTGTGGAGATATTGTGAACGAGGAAGCGTTCCATTGTACAGATCTTGGGACTCAGATCAAGGAGGCAGTGAATGGGTTCAAGGCCTCGGATGAAAAGAGGAAGTGCAAGAAGTGTGGAGAGCTGGCTGATTTGGTGCCACGGGGCGTCGTGCAACCATAGAGCTTTTGACTGGCAAAGGAACGAGAAAGGCATTGGGACATGATTGCCATGTATCGAAATATCGGATCAAACAATATCAAAGCCACGGCGCTGATGATAGCTGCCTTTCACACCTCTGGCTCCGAAGCTCACAAAACTTTTGTGATCTTGACATGCATTTGCCATCTCCAGCAAAGCTGCTTTCTTCGGTGCTGGACTGGATGGTAGTGCCTGTGCACGCAGTTTTACTCTCGGTTCTCATCATCGAAGACTGTGATGCTGAAGGAAAGATAAATTTGTGTTGTAGCGATGCTTCAACCTGATCTACAGAACAACAAATTGGTCGCCCTTGCCCATGATGTTATACTTCGTACTGCTGGTTTATCATAATGGGACAAGAAAGGCTTGGGGTGCAAAAAAGGATGATTTGGTTTTCAATCTCCGCACTCAACATCATTGCTCAATATCGACCGGGCGCAACCGTTTCTTTTTGTCATCACCTATTGTATTCTACAAACCAGATATCATCAATCATACCCTTCATAAACCTTTATTCAGTGAAGTCAACGGACAATAGCAGGTGGCTAGGAAGCCTGAGAGAGACAATCTTATGTAAGCGGCTTCTCATAGTACTCTAGAGTAATTTTCACAACGATGTGGTTGACACAATTGCGCATCTCTCGTTCCACCGCGATCAGAATTTGCAAGTCATTTCATTTCCACTCTTCACTCAACACCAATACAAAAGACATCTTCAAGCTTCATCGTCACTGCTTTTGTTGAATTGGATCATTTTCATACAGTCGATTTCGCGTCAGTTCCTATTCAGAAACGCGTGTTAATCCACATCCACACAGAACTTTCACCGACCATCTCCATTATTGCGATTCTGTCACCCTCAACTATGGCCGAAGAGACAAACGTCGCCTTACCTGACCCTACCACATTAGGTAATGAGATGGAGCACTCGCAACAAGACAATGGTGCTGAGGCCGCCGATATAACGATGGACGAGGGTGCTTTTGAGCCGCCCAAGGAAGGAGCAGAACAAGAGGAATCTGCCGACGGTACGTCCAATCTCGAGCAACCCCGCTCTGACACCAGACTGACATGTTTTCTTCTCGCAGCTACCAAGACCAACGGCGACACAAGCCACGCCACTGATGACAAGGCCTCCACTTCCGCCCCAGATACCCGAGATACCGAAATGCAAGACGCCGCAGAGACCGGTGATGCCCGTGGAGCTGAATCCAGTTCAGCCATTCCTCCCACCAACGGTACTCCTGCTCCATCAAAGAGAGTGAGCACTGGTGGTTCTTCGAGGAAAAAGTCATCGGCGGTTCCGGAACACAAGAGCAAGAAGCTGAACAAGAAAAAATCGAGGCCTTTGACGAACCTCAATGCTCAACCTGGCGAATATTACATTGCTCGAATGAAGGGCCACCCACCATGGCCATCTGTCGTCTGCGATGAAGATATGCTTCCACAGAGCCTTTTGACCACTCGACCGGTGACCGCAGCTTTAGAAGATCGAACTTTCAAGCGGCCAGAGTACGCTGATGGAGGCAAGCGGGCTCATGAGAGGACATTCCCTATCATGTTTCTGTGAGATCATATCCTACGTTTTGAGTGATTATTACTAACCTGGTCTAGACATACAAATGAATTGTGAGTCCTCCGAATGCGCCTTTTTATCGCAGTTTTTGATTCCATGTGGGATACTTCGTGTGGCCAGTTGCTAACCTGTCTCCGCAGTGCCTGGATCCCTAACACCGAGCTGACACCGCTGGACGTTGAATCTGAGACGACTAAGAACCCAGTAGAGAAGGGCAAATCGAAGACTTTACTTGCAGCTTATAGCAAAGCTGCAGAGAACAATGATTTGGCACATTTCAAGATCATGCTTGCAGATCACCAGAAAGCCGTTGAAATAGATGAAGAGTTAAAAGAAGAAAAGGCAGCTAAGAAGACCAAGAAGCCCTCTCGAAAGAGCGGTGACGCTGCTGCTCTCGCCGATGATGCCGAGGAGATGGATATCGACGACGAGGCAGCTGCAGAGAAGCCCAAGTCGAAGAAGCGAAAAAAGGCGGACGACAGTGAGGATGCCGACGAAAAGGTAGGAAATTCCATGACGGTCATTGTTAGATGTTCACTGACAAGCTTAAGCCTGCGAAGACCCCCAAGACAGCAACCAAGCTCAAATTGACTACGCCTAAAACACCAGCAGCTGAATCATCCACTAAGAAGAAGACGGCGAAACCCAAAGCCAAAGCTACAGCTACGAAGAGCGGAAGCGAGGAAGAGGCCGTCACTCCCAAAATCGAAGAGAAGCCTCCGACCCCAGCTCAGATCAAGGAGATGAAGGAGAAGAAAGGTAAGGATATCCGAAACCTTCGAGTTTATTGGTACTGAGTCGAAGTAGTCCTCTATTACCGGCACAAATTACAGCGAGGATTCCTTTCTCGTGATACCATGCCTAAGGAGGACGAGATGAAAGTTTGTCAAAGCCTCTATCTCCAATAACTCAAATCCATACTAAGATGCAACAGTCTATGTCCGACTTCTTGAGCGAGCTAGAGACCTATCCAGATCTTGAAGGGAGCATCATCCGCACGACGAAGATCCATAAGGTACTGAGACAAATGCTAAAGCTCCCTTCGATCCCTCTAGATGAAGAGTTTCACTTCAAGACCCGCTCTGTTGAATTGCTTGCAAAATGGAATGAGACTTTATCCAACGACCCAAACGGCGGGGGAGCAGGTGACAGAGATGACGAGACCAAGCCCGAAGCGTCCACAAATGCTCCCGCTACCAACGGCGAAAGTTCCAAGGAGGTTGATGAGCAGGCCATGAAGGCTGAAGATGAGGAGGCTGATGCACCAGAAGAGGAGAATGGGGAGGAATTGGAGAAGAAGATCGGTACAACTACCGAGGGAGAAAAAGAAGCCGAGAAGCCGGAAGTAACGGCCACGGAACAAGAGAAGATGGCGGAGGAAGAGAAGACTGATGAGCCTGCCATTGAGAGTGCACCAGAAAAAGAATACAAGCCGCCAGCGGTAGATGGGACTGTTGAGGCTACTGCTTGAATAGTAGCGGGTTCTATATGGAGAATCCGCTATCTGGGGTACCTAAGAGTGACATTTAAATTCACAAGCAATTCCCGACCAGCAAGGCTCCATTCACAGCATGGTCCGGGATATGACAACTGATTATGGTCCCAGTCTGATGGGTGTGGGAGATGTACTCTAAAATGCGAGATTAGGTGTGCTGGTTGAGAGTTGCTGATGGTTGGCATCCGCGACTCAAATACTGTTTTTTTCTAAAAATGGAGTTTAGAATGAAAGACGGTCTTGTACATAAGCAAAGCGTATGCCTGCGTGTTTGGTGGTTGACACCCAGCATCATAGGTAGTCGGGTTTGCTTTACACAGAGATTTAAGCAACCATGTGGTCTGTTACCCGGGCGATGTCATGAGTGTGTAACCGCACTTTCTCAGTATCGTTGTGTTGATTTTCTACGCCCTTAGACATCCAAGTCATTTATGTAACAGGTTCAAAAAACATCATGCAGCGGCACGAAGCACTCCTTAGGTCCTTATGTAATGCCCCGATGATGGAAAGAGATTTGGCTTTTCAGGCGATTCTGAGAAAGACATTGAGGACGGTCAAGGGCCTACATCCTTCTATTTTGCCATAGCTGAAGAGAAACATTTAAGGACCTTCCAAATTCCACGAGGTCGAATACTTGAGGTGCATCACTTTAGAGGCTGCACGATGAATAGAAGCCTTCGAGGTTGATATCTCTATGTAAGATGCAATAAAGGCTGCTAAGCTATCTGTGGGATCTCTTTTGATTCAGAATATAGCAAATCGAGAGTTACATGAGCACATCTGTGATGCAATCAACCCTCATCTGCATCGAGTTCCTTTTGAGTACTGCTCGACTTCCGTAAAGCCTTTACCTTTTCTCGGAGGAGCTTTTCACGAAGCTCGGTAGCTGTGAGCGTGGGGGAATGATTCTGAAGTAGGAAAGGTTCGTCAGCACAGGACCTCATGGGCATCTGCCAAGCCTGGGCGTCTTGTGGGAAGGATGTTGGTAGTACATTTGCAGATCTTATGAATTATTACCCACCTCAACATGCCTGTCTGACTCGGCAGGGTGATTTTGCGGTTTGATGCCCTTTGGCTCTGTGTCCTCGTCCGCAGAAGAGTCAGCTGTCTTGCGTCGTTTGTCAACGGGTGAGGACACTGATGAGGTATTGCGCCTTCTTCTGCCTGCAGGTGCGTATCTCTGCAAGGAGCGACGCCTCTTCCGATCTCTCTGTCTAGGGGGTGTTGGACTTTTGTCTAATGGTGCAGGAGCAGGAGAAAGTCGTTCTTTGCTGTGGCTACCGCTGGGGCTGGGGCTACGATGCTGGTCATGATGATGTCTTGGTCCCTTTCGATAATCAGCGCGACTCCTTCTGTCATCACTGTCATAGGAAAGTGATTTTCTGGATCTGCCCGCAGGTTTTCGGTCCCTGCTTGTTGAGCGAGAACTCGATGGAGATGACGAACGCCGTCTTCGGCCATAATGTCTGGCTCTTGAAGGTGGTGTAGGACTACGAGACGACAGGGAAGGGGAGCGTCTTTTTCGTCTGGGGGAACGTGAGCGAGAGGTATCTGAAGGTGTGTAGGATCTTGCTCGATCATCACCACGTCCCCGAACCCTCTGACCTCTATCTCTGCCATAAGTCCGTCGTGGAGGAGTCCGAGATTGGCTTGGAGTATATCGACGGCGTGGTCTTGGAGGATCGTCGTCTTTGTATCTTCGACGTGGTGGAGTTCTAGACCGGGACCGCGAGTAGGAAGGCGATCTTCTAGGAGAAGGCGACCGGCGTCGCCTGTCATCTGAACGACGGCCACCTCGGCTAGGTGGAATGTATGTATCAGTCTCACGTGGGGGAGGAGGACCACGGAAGCCAGGTGGTGGGCTTCGGCGTCTAGGAGGTGGAGACCTTGAATCTCGTGTAGGACGCCTATCGAAATCACGATAGCCTCCCCTATCACCTCTGCCCCGGCCACGGCCTCCTCGTTCACCCCTCTCTCGTTGCCTGATGTTATCAATGTTACGATCTCGCTGTCGCTCTTGTTCTTTGCGGCGTTGTGCTTCCTCAGCAGCCTTTTCAGCATCAATCTATAATCGAACATAAGCTCCGACCCACCAAATTAAACAACCGCGTACCCTACCTTCTCTTGTATCAATTCTAGCTTCTTGGCCTCTAGCAATTCCTTGGGCACGCCTTGGGGGTTGCTCTGAGCGCTGAGGCAGAGCAACCATAACTCTTTGCAGAATTTGGCAGTATCCTTGTCGAGAAACCCTGTAAGCTGGATTTGTAGCACTTTGATATCAGGCTATATGTATTGAGGTTAGCCAATCGCGGTCAAGGTATGAGGACACTGGGATATACTGACATTACGTGAACCTTCGAGTAAATTGAAGCAGAGCTCAATAACAACATCATCCTCATTCCCAAGTATGTCGGAAATCTTGCCAGCGATCCATCTATAACTCCTTCATCAGCATCACTCTAGGAACTGGGCGGTCGTCGAGCTTCTTTACTTCTTCATGACTTCGACGTTGACCTTCTGCATGTCAACCTTCTGACTGAACTCTGCTGGGAACTTTGTCGACTTGAGCAGCTTTGCATCCACACTCGAAGCCATGGTAAGCAACACAACCTCTATAGTGCGGTGGAATCAATGGGAGGAGTGGTGGGCTCTCGAGAAGTATTTCCACCTTCGTGTCGCGCGGCTAAGGTCCTACCATTAAGGCATGAAGTGCTACGAGGCGCGTGAGGTTACTTCCCTCGTTCAGATTCTACAAGAGGTAAATAGGCAAGTGAGGCTCTGGCTCTCGTAATCGCCCATTGCAAAATGGCAAGGCTTCTCTCAAATGTGATATTGATGTTTTTGGCAGGAGCCTCCAGTACGATGAGTATTTTTCCACATATTTCTTCAGTCTGCGCATGCTTTCTCACAACCTCAATATATCAGTCGCTCATTCAATCCTCATGTCGAAACTTGCATCCTTCTACTATGCATAGCTCTCCTGTCCCTATTGGAAAGAGACCAGAGTTCAAACAATCCAGCTCTGCGGGTTGGAGCTGGCCACGCCTCGTCCCTATTCATGAGCAACAGTCTCGATCTTCACAAGCGAGTCAACCATCTGCATCTCCTTCACTGCGTGACCATAGCGAGCAAGAGGAGCCCCCAACCCCAATGATATCTACAATGATATCAAAGTTGCATACCGGAGAAGACGATCCACCATCCCCTGTTCTTAGCGCTGCCGGCAGCTCCCCTACTGCTGGAGGATCTGTCGCTGGAACAATTAAACACGAACCAGACGAACATCCTCGTGATAGCTTATCACCAATGGCAGATTCAGATAACGATGAGAGGAGAGCTGCGGGTTCGGATTCTATTTCTGTCGAGGACGTAGCCGAGGAGAAAGAGCCAGGTTCACAGCGTGGATCTGTCGAGGACGTAGCCGAGATGAGTGCTTCGGCTTCAGAACGCGGATCTGTCGAGGATACGACCCAACAGGGTGATACTGAGCTACCGGTGGGTTATAAGAATACACGTATGTACCTCACAACGAAGTGTGATGTGCTGTCCGGGTGTGCTGACCAGTCCACTGTAACGAACAGTCACTGATGTCCCACTCGGGGAGGAAAGGCCTGCGACACCCGTTACAACACCGATATCGTCTGTTATGGACAGAATCTCCGGTCCGTCCAGCTCGGTCCCCTATTATGCGACACCAAAAATCATGGTCCATAGGCCTAGCTCATCCGAAGCGGAGAACCCAGCTTCGCGTACGATTGATGAGGTCCTTTCGACTGAACGCCAGAGCCTGCCTCAGGAAGGAAATTCTCAGCCCCCTCACTCTACTCAAGACGGCAACCTGACGGATACACCTCCGATGCAATCCATGTCTCTAAGGCCCATCGCATGGCAGGCTTCCGAAGACCAAAGGGTCAAAAAACGGAAGCTGTACCTTCGAAAATTTAGGAACGCTGTTGCGAGGAAGACGATCCTTAAAGCTACCTTAGGACGACAGTTGGCTATTCCCACGAAGCAAATGCTGAGACTATTGGCTAACGGGGAGAACATGACGGTTCCTGACCTCTCAAAACCCGGCGTAGAAGCTGCCACAATGTTGGTTCCGCAGGAAGCTGTAGGGTCCGTCACGGGAGCTGTATTGCTTCCCCAAGGTGTTGCGGGTGCTGTGTCTGACAATTGAGGATTCAACTCCGGTCGATGTTGCGGTCCATGCGCCAGACTTCCCGGACGACTTTGACAAGCTCTGCTAGCAATTCTGCACTGTCAATCCTCGGATCCCTTTCATTTTGCTCGAGTGCCACAAGCAACTCCTAGGTGGGCGCAGCTTTAACTGTAGAAATCGATAGACATGCCCGTAAATGAAGACCCTTGCGCCGGGTCTCTCAAATCCATCAGCCTACATTTCCATGTCCTCCTACGTACTCGGTCCTTTGCGCAATTCATTTCTCCTCTTGACGGTCCATACGCAGAGACTTCTTCTATCATACAGGACTGGAGGTCTCTTTCCTGCCAATCCTCATCCTCGACTTCTCTTATCTTTAAGACTGTCACCTTCCAGCTTCTCCAGCACCATGTCAACTTCTCTCCTCCCCTGCCTCAGCCCCTCCTCTCCTTGCAGGTGCTTCATCTTGACACCATAGTGCAACTCCACTAGATCTATTGCCCGCTGCATATCCACATCCTCCTTGGCTTTCACACTCAGCTTTCGATCGTCGTCTACACGTCCGGCTCTGTGCACCGAGACGAGTGCAAGGGCTGCGGAGTGATCCTGTTGAAGGTGTTAGCTTGACGTATCTCAGATAGAAGCAGAGTCTTTAGTGCAGCATACGCAGACACGAAGAGAGGTCAGATCGGAGAGAATCGATGCGATCTGCATGATGAAAGAAGTATCGATCAAGCAGGAAATCGCACTGTGGAACAGAGGCAAACAGCGAAGTTGGTGACTTGCGTGATCGACGCCAGGATTTGGCGAGGGGCATTTTCCCACTGTAGAGAACAACGAGGTCCTCCATCATAGGGAGTCCCTTCGCAAACTTGAACCAGAAAAATTGGATCCTGATTCTATCCAAATGGCCACTCGTGGCATCGCGGCCAATTGCCGCAAAGTTGTCTGCATCGGAAGAAATTATGCGTATGCTCCACTCCGTATCCATCTCATCCAACCGCTCTCCGGTGTCTGCGCCTAAGGTTGACTTAGAATTTCCAGCTGATACACCCAAAGAGACCACATAAAAGAGCTCAATAATGTCCGCCCCAAGAAACCCTTCTTCTTCCTCAAACCTCCCTCCTCGATCCTTGAACCGGGCCAAGGTCCCGTCCTCCGCCCAAAGGGCGTAAATCTCCACTATGAAGTCGAACTCGCTTTGATCATGGGCCGTAAGGTCCAGGATCTACCCCAAGACGACGAAAGAGGAGCTCTTGATGCCATTGCGGGCTACGCCGTCAGCATCGACATGACAGCGCGCGATGTACAAGAAGAAGCCAAGAGGAAAAGCATTCCGTGGACCGCTGCTAAAGGCTTCGACACCTTCCTCCCCGTTTCAAAATACATACCCAAATCCGCCATAACGGATCCGCATGATGTGGAGCTCTGGCTTACAGTCAATGGAACGGAGAGGCAAAGAGATAGTACGGCGCTGATGCTGTTTAGGATTCCTCGGATTTTGAGTGAGATCAGTCGAGTTATGAAGCTGGAAGAAGGGGATATCGTGCTGACGGGGACGCCGAAGGGGGTGGGGAAGGTGGAGGTGGGGGATGTGATGAGGGCGGGGGTCGTGGTTGGGGGAAAGGAGATTGAAGAGGCGGGGATTGAGGTTGGAGTTGAGGAGAAAGGGGGGTTGTATGTTTTTGAGGAGACGTAGAGGTGTGAATGTATTTTGAGCGAAGTGAACTTCCTTGTCCTTGTCCATTGCTATGTGCATGTTGCAATGTAAGAAGCTAGGTGAAGCTAGACTGGTGCCGCAAGGCCAAACAGAGTGAACAATGCTGAGCGGCTTGACAGAGCAATATCAGACTGGCCAACAGCTGGCGCCCTCGAGCCTACGATGGCCGAGAAGACCCGGCTCTAAACCGCGTGCTCCTCCTCCGAGTCTTCTTTTCAGCTTCCACTATCCTATGACCCTCCTCCCTTGCTGCCTGCCAGGTCCACTCGCCGCCGTGTTCCTCCAGCTTGTTGCTCAAGGCGATTCGGTATTCCTCTCGTGCGCTGTTCACAAACGCGTGCACGGCCTCTGTCTCGTAGCGCTCGAAGGCCTTTTCGGCGTACCTCAAGTGGTTCTCAAACAGCGTGAAGGAGGCTTGAGCCCTGATCAGCACGCCCTGGACCTCGATGTCTTGGTGAGCGGCGCTGAGCCGCTGCTGCTCGGCACGCTGGTTACTCGGCATCCATCCATCCTCTGCAGTGGCCTGAGACGATTCACTGGATGCTATGCCAAACGTTACCGACACTGCCGTGTATGGCACGCCCTCCTGACTTACCATCTCGGGCATCCCATCCAGGTGTGCGCCTGGTTGCAATGAAATCTCCGACCTGTGACCGCAACTGCTGGATCTCCTCTCCTCGCTGTCCTCGTTCTGCCCTGGCTTTCTCATGCATCCCTTTCATGGCGACAGCCACACTCTTGAAATCCCCTTCCTGCACACTGAGTTTCTCTATCAGCTGCTCTTGTACCAACCGATTCTCCTGATCTCGTCGAATGCCTTCTTGTTCGAGCCGCAGTATCCTGTCGTTCAACTCGTTGTTCTCCTCCTTCCGTATTCCGCTGCTGGCTGCCAAGTCTCGAATCTGCTCGTCGAGCTGGGCGATCTGGTAAGAGGCTTGCTGGAGCTGCTGAATCTTGTCTGTCAAGCCGTCGTTATCCTCTTGCAGATGCCTGCTACTGGCTGTCAGATGTTTAGTCTGTTGGTCGAGCTGCGCAATTTGCTGCGTGACGGCCTCAAATTTTTTCAAGCGTTGATTGAGGCAGCTGTATCCGAATTGGAAACGCCTATCCCAGATCAACCATTCTTCCTTCGGTCCAGCCATTGGAGTGACGCGATGAATAGAATGCAGCAGTAACTTAACAATCTGGACATCAAGTGCTCAGCTATCAGAACGCGCTCTGCCGAAGGAATGGAAGGCCGTAAATTGAAAACGAAAATGAAAGTGATGGATGGATGGATGGATGGATGGAGAGACAATCTGTATTTAAATCGAGACTAACTTAGCGAGCCGTCAAAGCCATCCAGCATTTTGGATCCCAATTTTGACAGCATTCGAGGAGTACTGTTTGTATTTGATCGATCTATTCAAGAGCGTAATACTAGCAACTTTCATACTGAACACGAGATCCGAAACATGAGGATCCAACGCATATCTCAGCCTCGGCCTCAGCCTAGCGAAGGACAAGCATAAGACTTTTAGGAGATGCAGAAACTGAATCATGAGACCTGCCGTTGCATGCGAAAGGAAATAGAACACCGCCAGCATGATACCAGCTGTCCTGCGAGCAATCTATCGAATATCGAAACCCCCTTCTATGAAAACAACCCCTTACTACCCCTTCGGAAGGAAAAGATTTTGTGCTGCAATTGCCTGGATGCCCTTTTTAGACACCAAAGCAATGCCACGCAGCCTGGCACTCTCGAATGTGCGAACAGTCGTGCTCTCTAGATGAGATCTAGTGAAAAGGTCAGCAAAGCTCCAGGCTATCACGTGAGATGATCAATGCTTACCGGCCACGTTCATCGGCATCTCTTCAATCTGAGTGCTGTAGAATTGTTCGATCTCTCTCATCATTCGTACATCATCAGCCGTAACAAAGTTAATAGCAACACCTTTTCGCCCGAATCGTCCACCGCGACCAATACGATGGATGTAGTTCTCGCGATTTGCAGGCAGATCGTAATTGATGACCAGCGAGACTTGTTGGACATCGATACCGCGAGCCAACAGATCAGTGGCAATCAAGACACGGGAGGATCCGGATCGGAATTCCTTCATGATCAAATCACGCTGGCCCTGGTCCATGTCACCGTGCATGGCAGAGACGGTGAAGTCACGAGCGGTAAGCTTGTCCGTGAGCCAGTCGACCTTTCTCCGAGTGTTGCAGAAGATCACAGCTTGTGTGATGGTGACCGTCTCGTACAGATCTGAGAGAGTGTCTAGCTTCCAGTCCTCCTTTTCGACAGCGATGTAAAACTGCTTGATACCCTCGAGGGTGAGCTCGGCTTTCTTGACCAAGATACGGACAGGGTCACGCATGAACTTTGTGGTGACCTCGAGAACATCTTGAGGCATAGTGGCGGATAAGAGGACCACCTGAGTCGACTGTGGGAGAAGTTGGAAGATGTCATAGATTTGCTCTGTGAAACCGCGCTGCCATATAGTAAGCAAAGGTATCATGAGCCTCTCGGAAGAATTCAATACTAACAGAAAGCATCTCATCGGCCTCGTCGAGGACGAACATCTTCATCGAGTCGGTCTTAAGGACACGACGCTGAATCATATCTTGCACGCGGCCTGGAGTTCCGACAACGACCTGGGGTCCTGCCTGGAGAGCTTGCATATCATCCCTAACGCTAGTACCTCCAATGCAAGCATGGCAGTCGATAGACATGAAGTCGCCGATTGCAACAACGACTTTTTGGATCTGCTGAGCCAGCTCACGAGTGGGAGCAAGTATCAGAGCCTGGCAGGCCTTGACATTGGGGTCCAGCTTCTGCAGGACGGAAATGGAAAATGTGGCGGTTTTCCCAGTACCAGATTGTGCCTGTGCGATGACGTCCGATCCTGCAATAAATGTCAGGAAATATGATCCGATATAGCGTGGAGTTACCAATGTACCTTTGATGACTGGCATGATAGCACGCTGCTGAATAGCAGATGGGCGCTCGAAACCGTAGGCATACACACCTAAGAGACGTCAGTAATCCGAGGCGTTTCCAGTGTTGGCGCATCTTGTATTTTTAACTTACCACGAAGAAGCTCGGCCTTCAAGCTCATGGAGTCAAAGGAGTCGGTGACCTCATCGTAGTTGGACTCGATTTGTGCTAGGAACAACTATGTCAGCCTGGCAGCCATGACTTTGCAAAGAACCAAAGGATCGGGGTTTCTTGGTGCCAAGCGCCAGAGCTCGATGGAAGCGTCGACGTACTTTCTGGGATCTCCTCAAGCCCCTTATCGTTGGAAGCCATGATTGCGACTTGTTTCGCAAAAGATCACGACCTTCAGGTTCGTGATCTTGTTTGTGTTGTAGAGGTAGTGGTGAGGCTGTCTGAAGACGGACCTTGGAGGTGTCCGGCCAGATGAGTTTGTGAAAACTTGTGATTATGTAGATATCAGGGCACTTCTTTGCGAGTGCTGGTCTGATATCGGAGTGGTTGGTGTCTTGTGGTAAGTATTGGTAATAGGTGTGAAAAAAAAGAGAGTCGCACAGCGGTTGAAAATTATGTACTCAAATTTCTAGACTCAATTTTTAGCGCTGCTAGCTGCTAGTTGCCGAGGTGTTGCCGAGGTGGCGTCTCTTTGAACCCCTACCACGATTATCGGGACCTGACCTATGGGTAACAAGTAGCTACATAGACACAGACCTTTAGCCATTCTACTGATGAATATACATCATGCAAAACAACAAAATGCCAATCTAGACAAGCTTGGGGGAGTTATGCTCACAGCACTGGACTGAAAATGGCCGGCAATGTCTTGGTTTCCTCACAAAAGATGACTCCAAGAGAAACTTCAAGTCAAACTCTTCCAACGAGCTCTGCAGAACATGACTCACTGGTACCCTTACATCCCCTAAGAATCAGACCCGCAGGAAACGCATACACCGCCACCGAGGACATCAAGATGGCTGCAGGGTCCTTTGCGGCATTGCCCGACGAACTACTCATTCAAGTGCTGGAATCTCTGGATGCAGCCTCACTCAAGTGGCTTGGTTGTGCATGCAAGGCTTTGTACGCATTCTCCAGACTCGAAGAATTGTGGAAGACACTATGCATTGAGTATGAAATCCCCATATCCGGTTTTTTGGACTGTTTGGAGTTTTCTGGCATCGTTGCCACAAGAGCCATCTCGAATTTCGTAGTCGGGACCTTCGTTGTTGTTGCCGTCGTTTGGCCCATATGAATTCAAGGCAGGCTCGTTCAGGGTGTGGGATTACTTGTTCCCAGAAAATGTACATATCATGCATAATATCTCAATGCTGTCTTCGAACATCGGCTACGGGCTAGAGATCTGCACACAAGCAATTTCTCACGTGTTGTGCATCACAAATTCAAGAGACAAGCGCATGCTGAAAGGCCATCTTCTAGGTCTTCCACTTCCATTGTTGCGTGGCGTGGAACATGGCGTTCTACCTACTTCAACTTGCCCGAAACCTGTCGTTCCCAGATATCCTGCCAGAACTTATTCTCTGATGTCCTCCATCGGCCCTTCCTCTGCGCTCACACTTCGCTGGTTCCTTACACGAGTAACATACCAGCTCGCAACGCTATCCCACGGCTACAAGACCTCTCGACTTTTGAGTTCAGTCATGCATGGACCGATAGACCATTCATCCTGACCGACCCTGTGCGAGAATGGCCAGTCTATCGAGAGTGGTCTACCGAAGCCATGCTGGGGAAGTACGGCGACGTCAGCTTCAGAGCAGAGGCCGTCGATTGGCCTCTCAAAACATATGTTGAGTATATGAATGATAACCAGGACGAGAGCCCACTATATCTCTTCGATCGTTCTTTCGTCGAGAAGATGGACATTCGTGTCGGCAAAGATGGCCAGTACAGGGCGCCAGGTTGTTTCGGCGAAGATCTCTTCTCAGTCTTGGGCGAGCAGAGGCCGGATAGTCGATGGCTTATTGTAGGCCCGGAAAGAAGTGGAAGCACATTCCACAAAGACCCGAATGCTACAAGGTATGCTCATTGACGCGATTCGGGCTCATACCTGACTGTCTAACGCAGCCTCTAGCGCTTGGAATGCGGTCCTCCGTGGCTCAAAGTACTGGATCATGTTCCCAACATCTCCATCCCAGCCGCCCCCACCTGGCGTCTTTGTGTCAGAGGATCAAAGCGAAGTCACCAGCCCTTTGAGTATTGCGGAATGGATGTTAGGCTTTCATGCACAAGCAAAAGCAATGTCAGGCTGTGCGGAAGGCATTTGTAAGGAGGGGGAGGTGTTACATGTGCCTTCAGGTTGGTGGCATCTGGTGGTAAACCTAAGTCCCAGCGTAAGGCAATTCTCGGTGTCATCTCTTCTTGTTGAAGACTGCTTTTTGAGTTGCGAGACATGTTTGAGGAACAAATTACCCGATTTACCACCCGTCTCACTCAGACCTTCGTCTAGGAGTGGAAATGCTGACCCCGAAATGTGCTAGATCGCCATCACACAGAATTTTGTCCCCCAAGCACACCTGGTGAACGTACTGGACTTCTTGAAAACCAAGCCGGACCAAGTCTCGGGTTTCCATAATGATATCAACAACCCTTATGAGTTGTTTGTCGAGAAAATGCGTGGAGTGCATCCCGAAGTGTTGGATAAAGCCCTCGGGGAAATGGAGAAGATACATGGAGGGAAGAAGAGAAAATGGGACCAGCTAGTCAACGGAGACGACGAGCATGTTGCAAATGCTAATGCCTTCAATTTTGGATTTGGGGACGACGACGCCGAGGATGTGCCTTGAGAACATCATGTACGTTGCTAGTACGTTGCTAAAAGGGGTTTGTCGCCTTGCGAATTACAGAAAAGCATGCCCATCAATGGCACGCCACGCTCTTTGTTGGGCTAGAATTACCAAAACCAAGGTAGCCAATAAATGCCCCCACGGCCACGGAAAGCATGACCCAGCCATTGTATGTCATGAACAGAAGCCTGCAAATGTAAGCACGCGCATCAACAGACCGCCGCTGTGGAGGAAACCCACATAATGAAGAAGCTGTAAAACACCTGCACCGCGTAAAACGCGGCCTTGACCAGTCTAACCCTCTTCTCCTGTCGCCCGGCGCCCTTCCCTGACCAGAGAAATGAGCCCCGATCTCGACCAGCACCATCATCATCACCATCATCATCATCATCACCTTGGAAGACACACATCAAGCCTTAGCTCTCGCGGCTCCGACCTTCCCCTTTGCAATCGACAACGACAACAACCACGGACCGTCACTTACTCGGCAGACTGTTCCCGTACTCGGCGCCGCTCGACTCGTACCTCCGGCCCGCCTCCCGCACGGCCTCGTAGCCGGCCGTGAGCACGGCCACCGCGACGAGGGAGAGCAGGAGGGTGGCGGTCGACCCGACGTGCCACCAGCGGAAGATGATGCACAGGTCCGTCGTGTCCCAGGTGAAGAGCATCTGGTGCCGTGCATCAGCACGGGAGGGATGTTTTTTGGGTGGTTCGGATGGGACGGGGGGATACCGACGTTCATGTTGCACCTGTGTCCCATGTCCATCCCTCCTCCTCCGTGGTCCATGCCGCCGTGGTCCATCTTTGGGCAATTTCGGGCTCCGGTTCGTACTCTCGTTGTCCGGACTCTGACTACGGGTCCCAAAAAGCGCACATTGATGGGGTGTTGGTTCCAAAAAAAAGCAGCAAGGGGTAATTCGGGCGGAGTGAAGCCCCTCAGGAATGAATGTCGTCGTGGCAGGAGCGCCAAGCCACAAATGTGTAGTTTCGGCCCGAGGGCCTCGGCGCCCCTATTGGGCCTAGAATCAGCGTCGCTTTACGCTCGTGTTACGCGCAAGGGGGGCCACGCGAGCACAAACACACAATGCGGCCTTCACGCTGCGAATTCCTTGATATTGTCACACACCCGTCACTCTATGCTTCTCTTTGCTGCCGCGTTTCTCAGCTGTGACAACTGACAATCTCTCAGTACCCTACGTATCTCGAAGGTTGATCACGTTCACATGGATGAATTAGAGTTTATCATCTTACTTATAGAGCTTATTCTTTACTATAGTCGCTATCCGTCGATGTTATCGATTTTGTGATTATTAGGGTATTAATTCATCCTTGTTGAGAAGCGTAGACCTGACATCCCTTCCTTCTTTCATCCCTTCCTTCTTTCATCCCTTCCTTCTTTCATCCCTTCCTTCTTTCATCCTTTCCTTCTTTCATCCACCCCTTCCTTCTTTCATCCGTCCATCCCTCTCCTCACAACACCACCGTAGCCGCCGCCAACGCTCCCACAAACGCCCACATTAACGCCATCACACCTTTATGATACATGCCCGCACTCCCACTCGCCGCAGTCGCGACGCCCGCATCCACCGCCACTTTCGGCGCCGCGTTATCCTCGCTCCAGGTCACGCCGGCCGTCGAAGCGTTCGTGTCCTCGCTGATGAAGAACGCGACACTCGTCGCGCTCTCGCTGCCATTGGTGAAGGACGTCTGATGGGGATCCAGGAGTCGCAGTTCGCAGGGGCTGTATTGTCGGTACCGTGCGAGAGGGAGGGGGTATTCGGGGCTGGGGGATGAGGTTATGTTGTGGGTGTAGGATGGGCGGCTTTGGTAGTCTGGCAGGGAAGAATTAAAGGTTTGTTAGTTCATGCCTTCATCGGGAATGATGGTTGGGGAGAAAGAGGGGTAGGTTAGATCAAGTACGCACAGATGAAGCTACTCGAATCATTTCGAGTCCAGCACTGTATCTGCAGCACGGGCGTGTTTTGTACTCCGTTCGCGATCCAGGACACGTCGATGATGTCTTTATACGAGACTTGGATGCCACTGTCGTAGTCATCCGGGAAGGTGGGATAGGTGAAGTTGTAATAGGGGGAGTCGACCGGGGTGGAGGTTGTGGGGAAAGAGGATGTGGTGGTGGGTGAGGAGGGCAGGTTGGTCTGAGAGGATACCGGGTGGAGGTATTGGAGGAGGGTGAGGATGAGGGTTGTGGAGGAGAAGGAGTGGAGGGGGATGAACATAGTGGAGGTGTACGGTGATGGTGTTGTATGGGGAAGGACCGCAACAGCAACAGCAGAGCGCAGACATCCTCTCTCCCTGCTCCCAGCTCCCTGCTCCCTCTCCCTGCTCCCACAATTTCCCCCGTCCTACTATGTTGAAAATCATGTTGCGCGCAATCTGCACATTAAGCTTTTATCCGTCATCAAAGTTTACTTTACCTTAGTTTGACGCACGAGTGGGGTTGCACGTTACCAGGCGGCTCGTCCCAGCCCTTGCTTGGCAGTGCTTGGCAGTGCTTGGGAGCAATTTGGCCAACCAGCCCAGTTGGGCCAATCTCCCAAAACCTCGCTTACCTTAGGCCTATTTAACCCCGCCCCCCCCCATGATGTGGCATCATGGTATTGTGTGAAGTGATAAAGTAAGGTAGTATCGTGCACTGTATGGTAGTCGCATGTCGTATTTTGCAAGCAATAGGACCATTCAGCATCTCGCTATCGCCGTCGTCATCTCTTCCCAACACGTTTTAACCCTGTTTCCTTATCATTGACCTCCAAAGATCCCCTGTATTGGCTGGGGGGAATAGTGTACCGATGTACATACTCGTAGACACAATTCGGAAAGATCCGGGCGGCGCTGATGCGGGTGCTAATTGATCATGCCTATTGGGGACCATTGGGGACCAACTTGGAGCCCATAGATAGCTTAGCGTAAAGTATCTTGCAGCCCTACCGCGGTACCTTACTAGTGAGAGACTTCAAGTTCAAGTACCTAAATCATTTTTCAATTTATTAATAGGCAAGTATCTTACTTTACCTTAGAAGTCGATGATCTAGGGCAACGACGTGACGGATAGCATCAATCCCAAATTGCTCCAAGCAATCTAATTTTAGTGGTAGTGGTGGTAGTAGAAAAAAGGGCCCGGATAGAAACTTTAGATTTCTGTAACGTAACCTTGTCCTGCCAAGCATACCTTAACCCTTCCGAAGAGGAACCGCGAGCGTGCGACAATCACCATCCCACCTGCTCCAACGGCCACTCACACCGCTCGCGCCCAACAATCCCTCCATCCAGCACCATGGCCGAGAACATCCCCCCAACCGACAACACCCGCGGCGTCCCTTACTACGAGAAGCTCAAGCGTGACCTGCGCGAAACGCTGCAGAAGAAGCGCCTCTTGGACAAGAACATGGTCTCATCCTTCCCCACCCCCAACAACCCACCCAGCATGCCTATCGTGCTGACCCCCTCTCCCCTCCCAGGCCACCCTCGAAGACCAGATCTTCCGCTACGAAGCCTCCTACCTCGAAGAGACGGGCGCCGGCAACATCATCAAAGGCTTCGACAACTACATCAAAGGCTCCTCCACCACGGCCGGCGCCACGAACGCCGGCGCGGGCGGCGGGACGAACACGAGGAGGAAGGGCCAGGTCGTGGAGAGCGACCGGGTCTTTTCGAGGAGTTCGGCGAGCTTCATGAGGGTAAGGCGTAGGCGCGGGCTCGATGCGGTCGATGTGGAAGGCGGTGTGCTGAGTATTCGGTGATGTCAGGAGCTCTCCCCGACCTCGTCGGCTCAGACGACACCCTCCCACGCCCCCACCCCCACGTCAGGTAACCCGAATGGTCCGCTGTCGGTGAGGGAGGGCAATCATGCCACGCCGGCGAGTTCGACAAACATGAAGGCGGGCCCGAATAATAAGAAAAAGAAGGGTGAGAAAGAGGAGGAGGACAACGATGGTAGAGGTCCGAAGAGGTTAAAGATTACTTATGCCCGGGGTGGAGTCGGAGACTGAGTACTGGATTCTCCGGTTTCGGCAGGTTCATGGGTTTAATGTATGCGAAGATACCCAAGCGTGCATCTGCATTAAGTATACGCACGGCGATATGTACAAAAAGAATCTATCCGACGACCGATCCCGTCTCCAACCTTGACAATCTTTTCTCAAACAGCATTGCCGAATCCTGCGTGAGAAATCACAAATTTACACTCCTCCTGCCTCGCGAATCTCTCTCTCCCTCACGACACGCCTCCATTGCTCGATAGCCACCTCCCCGGCTCTTGCGCCATCAAACGGTTTCAGTGGTGGCCCGAGGTGCTGCGTGGGCCCTTGCACTAGACGAGGCGGCCCACCGTCCACCGTCTGCAATTCCAGGCGCCGGCTTTCGTACACGTCCGGCAAGAAGCCAGACCATGGGTAGTCGGGCCGCGAGCGCCACCGATGAACCAGGGGGCCATCAACGAGTTCCGCGGTCGAAGGCAGGCTGGTGTTGGTAAGAGGAGGCAAAAGTATCTCCGGATTCCGATGGGGCCCGGGCATGTCCGGCAACGGGGAGGTAGTCATCTGCATCGGAGGAAGGACGTTTTCCCATTGAGATGGGGTGTCAAAAGCAGCGCCTAGAGCATCGTCACGAGGATACCGGTCCAGGACGGGTTGACCGGCCCTCAAAGGGTTCTCTGGGTGTTCCACCTCCGCCGCGGCCCTGCTTTGATCGTCGACAGGTGATGGTTCCCTGGCTGAGGAGCCCCGCGTCTGAGCCATATCGCTTTCCCGCCAGCTATGTTGTGAGGACCCGTTCAACTGTCGAAGTTGAGGCTGTTGGCCGTCCCGTCGTCCAGCTGTTGGGGACTGCTCTCTTGACTCTTGCCTGGAGCCGTCTGATCGTGGACTGCAGGAGCACTCCTCCGAAACCATGGTTACGGGAAGGAATGTGGGGCTTTGGGGAAACCAGGGCGCCGTGGGTCCATGGTCATCATCGATTACCCGGTGGATAGCAATGGCGACGGGAGATTCTTGGCCTTTCGGGCTTCTGGGAAAGAGGTGCTCCTGCGCTGGCGCCTTTGGAGCTGACTCGCCCCCTAGATCCCCTTGGTTCGAGACATCGGACGCCAACTTCAGGCCATCCTGGTGATTGGGCTGAATGTCCTCCTGGCCCTGTGATTCGACGATAGGCTCACTGCTTCTGGCTTCGTTGTCTGACTGGTTGAAATCCATGTCGTCTGGTGTTGGAGGACAAGAGGTCAGGGAGATGGTTGTTGAAGGGTAAGAGGATGGGGAGCCGGAGCTGGTAAAGTCTGGAGTTGTTTCACTCTCAGTAGCTGAAATTGTTTTTTATATATATTCGAATAAAACAAAATAGAGACGCTAAGGTTTGAGCAAGTTTAAGTACTCCAAATGCATCCGGATTTGTTCTAGTTCCCAAATCTCACCTGCAAGGATCGCCGCACTCGAGCTGTCTGATGTCGAATCCATAGCCGGGGAATCTGGCGGAGGGTGAAGCCTTGGGATTGACAACGCTCCCCGGATTCCCTGCGATCAAGGTCTCGGAGATTTTAAAAGCGATGTTTTGGACGATATAGTAAAGTAGCGACCTCTGTCATGTAGGATAATCCTGAATAAAGCTACTTGGCTGGATTGTGCGCAGAGAGAAGTTGCCAAAAGATGTATATTGAGCCAAATGCAGTAGTGCACGGTGAGAACAAGACGGAAAGAGCGACAGCGCGAAGGGATCAATCACCTCGGTCATTCCAGGATCTCACACAGGCTTCACCACCGAAGCGGATAGTCAAATGGAATAGATGAGATGAGCATCTTTGTTTTTTGTCTGCTACAGACCACCCTATTTTCTCCCCTTCCTCATTCTCTTTTCTCTCTCATAAGTCTTGCTTTCCCTGCCTTCCTCTCCTTGGATCTCTGCCACCAGCCGCTTGTACTTCTTCTCATACGCACTGTCCTTCTCCTTCTTCTCTTTCAAGCTCTCTCTGGCGATAAAGTTAGCATCCTTCCTCAACTCTCTCAATGCACCCTTGCGCTCGCGCTTGTGCTCGGCTTTCAACTTGGACATCTCGGCACGGTCTCGGTCAGGGTCGTAATGCTTGTCTGGATTGTAGGACTCTTCGAACTTAGGAATGGATGTTTTGATGGCTAACGGTCGGTGGTTGTGAAGGCGAAGAGGCTGGCGGGCGGACAGGGACTGTATAAGTTGTTCGTGGACTTTATGTGCTACTGTCCGAAGCTCCTCCCTAGTCTTGTCGTTGAGCTTCCCAGTTTTCTGTAGGAAGCGCAAAGCGGAGTAGATGATAGCGAAGGCTTCGCAGAAGGCCGACTTCTTGGCCCACAACTCGGCCATAGTCTCAATTATAGCTATGTGCGTCTCGATAAGCACGACCTTGATACTTTGGTCATTAGCTTCTGTGGATTGTGGTGCACAGACGACGTCCCAGAATGACAGCTGCGTCCGCTCTCCAATGGCGTCTGACGTACTACGGATCCGTAATGAATCTGGGAGGCGGTGATGTGGAAAGAGCCCTGGAAGATGCTTTGGCTTCACAGGGCACAGTGCCCACACCGCATTGAGGACATAATTGACTACTTCCGGGACATATCTCTTCGACAGCCTTTGGTACTGGAGGCAAAGAGTACTAATGTAAGTCCCCGTAGCCAGATCGCTAAGGGATTGCGGGACTTCCTGCCCGAGGTAGCGAGTCATGCAGAGCATCGCTGGAGTGACCACTTGGTGGAAGTGATCGGATGTAGGGAAGACTGAAGCGATGGCTGTCAGAATAATGAGATCACCAGGAGTGGGAGCAGTAGGACGGTCTTCGTCAAATGATCTGAGATGTGTCCGGAAAGCACGCCCAATCTCTTCAGGGAAGGTCTTGGCTAGAGAATGGATGTGGCGTATTAGTGCCTCCAAAATGATACATGGAGGATGGTCGGGCTGACATGCCAGGTAAGAAATGTGGTCCACTAGAACTGTTGCAAACCTTCCAAGCTTAGATTTGTTTTCAGCTGCGAGTTTAGGATGATATAAGGCTCGGATTCGTTGTACAACTGTTGGTAAATCCTGAATCGCAATGAACTCCGTGATGTTGAGAAGCTCTCCGTGGGTTTCTGGACATTTGTATGTGTACGCGAGATCATCAGCCACCCCGTTCGCTTTGGGGACACCATCCTGGCCTTTGGAAAAGCTAAGGCCTTCCCTACCAGCATCTTCTTTTGATAACAAGCCTTGGACGAATTCTTGCTCATCACTGCCGTCGCTGGACTCGCTCTTTGACGCATCAGATCCGTTATCGCCTGACAAGTCCACATCAGATTCACTAGCAACTAAGTCGTCCTCGATCAAAAAGTCATCTTCGTCTTCAACATCAAGATGTCGATTCCGATGCTGTCCGAGTAGGCCCGGACCGAGACCAAATATGTTTTCTTCATTTTGGTCGAGATTATCCTCTCCAGGTACCTCTTCCGTAATTTCATTGGAATCGGATTCATTATCTTCTGTTTCTCCCCTCATCCTTCGAAGTCTCCTTTCCTCAAGGTCTTTCAATTTTTGTGCCTCCTGTTGTAACTTTTCCTCGTCAGTCAAAGTCCGAACGGTGGGCTTTGCTCTTTGATCCATGGCCATCTGGCGCAAACGCTCGTCATACTCTTTGTCGGCCTGGGACCTATCTTTTCCGTTCAGCAAAGCCAGTCGATCAGGGTTCATGTCAGAGCCTTGAGGCGGCGGTGCAGCAGACGGCTGAGGCGACCTTGGACGGCCTCGCATGAGTGCGAATAGATCAGGAAGACCTTTATCTAGCTCAGCCCGAAGATCGTCATCGTCTTCTTTGACCTGTTGCCGCTCATATCTATGAAGCTTGGACTTGGCAATGACCTCCTCCATGACTTCTTTCTTAGTCTTAGGGCGCTCGAGCCGTCCGCGATCCTGTTCCACAGATGCTTCTTCCGACGAATCAGTGTCTGACAGTCTCCGCCTCTTGCGTGGCCTTTCCTCGGCATGTCCATTGGCTTGATCGTCATCAGAATGGCCTAGATCAACCTCATTGAAATCGTCTGGGCTACCCGGGTTGTCAAATGACAACGACTCCCCAAAGTGTGTAAGCTGCTCGTCTTCTTCGGCATCTTCCAGGTCGAACAATGAATCCTTCTTGCTACCTCTCTGCTTCTCCTTCACAAAGCGCTCGAGAGCCCTCTCCTCAGGTGTCATCATTGGGTCATTTTCGCCAAATCTGCGGTCCATAATGCCCCCAACTTTCTTGCGCCGCTGCATCTCAACTAATAGAGTCTTTCGGCGCTATATGAGGTCTGTGGTCAGCCCACATCAGCAAGGGCAGGATTGAAACACACATTTTCTTCTCCCAGGCCTTTCGTGACTCCAGGTCGGGATATTGTGCCTTTTTCCAACCTCCCTCCAACAGTTCTGTTACCCGCGAACTCATATTTGCTGCGAGACGGCGCCTTGACTTCGAAAGGATTGAATTGTTCTCGAATGCCTTGTAGTGCAGCACTGCGCTGGATTCTGCTGTCTTTTAGAGCTCCATTCTTGCTGGCTTGTTTCTTCTGCTTCTTCGACTTTTGTGGGCCAACGACACCCTGTTCTCGTAACAATGTTTTGAGCCTTTTGAGCTGCGAAGGAGGCATACTTGGGATGGGCGTAATCGTAGATGCTGCATGCCTCTATACACACGACAAGTTTCAAAACTTGACCATGCATGTATGATTACAAGCCGGGCTGAGGCCTTTGCAGCATACATGTTCTGGGGTTTTACTTTATTTTGCCCGCACCATCGGAAACTCGGCTATTCTCCGGCCCGAGTAGAGCTCCGATATTTGGTACTCGTACTATCCAGAAGTGAGCTACCTCGCTTAATAGCGCCGGGAGAGGTGACCAATCAAACTACGATTTTCGCGGAGAACTGAGTAGTTTGATTGGTTAACTCTCCCGGCGCTATTAAGCGAGGTAGCTCACTTCTGGATAGTACGAGTATTTCGACTTCGATACCGGTGGTCAACAGATCTATCATGGCTTCGAAGTCTTCGGATGGCTGGCTCTGGGTGAGCCTAGGTTAGTATCTGCGTCATCCATCCAAGGTCAGACTGACAGAGAATAGCAATTCTTGGCTATTTTGGCTCTCTCGCCGTTCACAGGCAACTTGTAGTGATACGCCAGGCTTCTGAAGTCACTCGCCACGACAAGCGTCCTAACATCAGCCAGCAGACTGAGGATGGTAAATAAGCTCTGTTCAGTGGAAAGTGATTCATACTAAGGACCATCAGCACTGAAGCTTAAAGCCCTTGGTGAATTAACCCAGAGCCCGGATCAGGATATCAGAGCTGCGTACGTGAGAGCTTGATTGCCGGGGACTACCACTGAAAGTCGGCCAGATCCGTGAAGATCATTACAGACAGGGTTCTACGGGAAGGACCTGCATGGGACATGATTATAGGTGACATTGGTGCCACGGACATCGAGCGACGTGACAAAGCGCTGGCTTGTCTTCGCTTCCTCAGCGATACCTGTAAATCAATTTCTTTGGAGTTGTGTGTGGCATGTAGTGGTGTATCGCTGATTCGACGGCATTGCAGTCCCTGGTAATAAACAGGCAGACATCGTGATGATCTGTCGACACAGCACCTACAAAGCCATCGTTGATTGTCTTTGCAACTTGTTACCAGAAGCCCAAAGCGCAGAGAGGAAATCTGCTTTTCGAACTCAGCCCGAGCGAAATGCACTCTATGTTCTCCATCAAATCCTCGGCTTCGACAATGCGAAAGCGGTAGAAGCTGGTGTGATCAGCAGGTGGCTGGCGCAGTATCCCTTCGGCGGTGGAGACGCTTCAAAATACAAGAAGAAGAAGACTATAATGGAAATACTCGACAACAGGTCCTATTATGAGGATGGCGATTTTGGACGTACCATGCGTGAAATGTTGTTTTGCATGTCAAGGACCCCTTTGCTACGAGATGAGATGGTAGAGCATGGTCTTCTAGATTTCCCAAAGGGTAACCATATTACTGTCAGAGTTAACTGTCCTCGTCGTGAGCAGTGGCCGTGGACTGATAATGTGCAGGATTACTGGAACATTCCAGAAGGCTCTGAAAGGACATATCCACACACAAACAGGACGCGCAGGGGCAATCCCACTGGAACAAGTAACCGACCAAGAGAAGAAAGTTTTGAGGAGCAAGCTTTGCGGAGACGAAGGAGAGAAGCCATGGTGCTTGGCGAGGTTGGACGACCCATTGAAAGGGCTGATATTATAGAGCGAGATTCGGCGGCTCTAGATGGATTTAGATCACAAGTCATAACGACCATAGACGATGAATCGGAAGAGGAGCCCGAGCAGCCAGTTGTTGCGGTTGCGGACGAAGATGCAGAAGAGGAATTGGAGCTGTTAGCGGAGGAGACCATTCAGGCAGAGTCCACAAGGGACGGGGGCTGGTGGGGCTGGCTGAAAAGGCTACGCCCTGACGGTCTGGCGCCAGAGCCTATGTGAGAAATCGTTGAAGCAGCACGGTCTGATGTGGTGTTTTTGCGTTCACGAAATTATACCCAGGCATTACAAGTGTTGATGTGTGTACTGAGCAAGGCGTTTGATTTGAACTTCAAAGGCCTTTCCAAGAGAGTTTCGCCAGATGGTCCGCTTTCTTCCTGCTATTCTTGATCATGCCCAAGTACTTCAACTCAGCCAATGCTCGTGAGAACAGCACTCTATCAGTCTCATCAGCCAGCTGCAGCTGATACTAAGACTATTTGTGGGAAGTCAGAAGACCACTTACAATGCTCTCTGCTGCTCAGCTTCCTCGTCCTCAATCCCATCCCCACCCACTATAGTCCAGAATGCGGACCAAAGATCAGCCGTATTGATCACAGCACCCGACTCCAGATACAATTGATACATGATGGCCGTAGCTGGCTGTGTAGCAGACAAGCCGCCCTCGGATCCACCGCAACAATCACAACCAAGGTAGTCATGTGGCGAACCCAATGCCCGCTCGATTGCAAAACGAGGCTTTGGTGTGAAGACCTCTCGATGTGGAGATTTGGATTCGAAGATGAGGATCTCGTTCAGGAGCAAGTCTTGAGGGTTGATGAGGGTAGTTTCAAAGTAACTGAAAATGGTGGTATAGATGCGATCAACGATCTTCGTATAAGCACTGTCTTGCATTGAGAGAGTCGAGGTATTCTTGCTCAAAGAGACCTTTTGCGCAACGACTGTTGTGCGGAGAGTTTCGTGATGGACGTCATATGCACTTCGTAGAGGGATTTTAGGACCCTCCAAGTGATCGGTCAATCGGTTAAGCTCCACCATAATCTCGGCCAATTCGTATGGGACCGACATCCCTGCCAAATCATCCAGCAGGTCTGCCATGATATCTGAAGGCAGCTCTTTTACAGAGGCCATGATCTCCTCGAAAGCTGCGAATTCGGCCAATTCGGCACACATGGCTCGAATATACATCTCTGACCATGGGGTCTGTGTTCTGAGGGTCAAACTTGTCTGTATTCGAAAGAGCACATTTACTGCCCCAACAATGGCTAGGAGTGCTTTTTTACCAGGCTGAAGTTCCTGCACGACAAGATCTCCGAGACTGTCGTTGTCATCTAGTAGTGTCCTAAGTGTTTCGTATTCTTTCCGGTCAATGAGAGTTTGTGCATATCTGGATAAGTCTTTAACTCTGCGCATATTCATGCGGTGCTGCAACTTCCACAAACCTTCGAAATGACGGCAGGTTTCGCACAGCCTCATAATGCTCTGTTTGACTAGAAGCAAGTGATTGAGTTGTGTTGAGAAAGATGCTCAATGGATTGGCGAAGAAATGCGTCATGTAGGCGTACTAGAAGCATTGTTAATATGGATAGAAAGACAAGAGAGCACAGTCGTTGTTACCTTCAGCGAACTAACGAACGTAGAGCGACTCTGCATGTAATTTTTCTGTCGCTGCAGTATCATTCTGCTCAATTCTGGACCTACCCACACGGTCGGCTGCTCGGATTGGAATGCCTTGAAGATATTTTCAACGTCGACTTGTTGAACGTGGAATGCTGAACCATCCAAGTACCTGATGGCTTCTCTGGACAGTTTTTCTTGGAAAATCTCAACAGACGTTGCAATACCGAAGAGAAGCACAAATGGTATACGGTCGCTCCATGAGCTTTACACATCAGCAACCTTCACATAAAACACTGCTGTACTAACCTGAGCACATGGACGATATCTGTTAAACATTTGCCTTCGAAAGCTTCGCTGTCTTGAAACGAGAGTAGCAACTTATCGACTGAGTGGCTTTGCACATAGTCACTGAGGATCTGAAGGTCGTAATTCAGGCGTCGGCCATCCTATTGGCATTAGCAACTCAAGACATCAATTGCGAGCAGCGTTTGCTGACTTTGGCATCATCAAAGATAGCGTCATCTTGGGAGTCAAGATTTCGAGATGCTGCACGCTGGTTGATATACTTTAAGGCAGTCTTCAGATTAGGACTCTGCCCAGAATTCATGATCACCAAGACTGTACGGCTTTCCAGATTGGCAATTTCCGCTATAGACTCAAACAAAGATACTGTTGTACTGTTGTCTGGTCCAGTCACGAGCAATCCTGTACGAAGCTTGCCATTTGATCTGGTACTTTGTCAATGAACAATCTCAAATAGTATGGGCGACACCAACTCTGCAGGATCTGCACTTTTCACAAATGACGCTACTTCTTTGACCGTCTCACTACTGGCGTCGTCATGGATTCGCTAACTTCTATCAACATTTTAAGACTCTCAACATCACTACGAAGACCTATGTACCTTTAGGAGGGTTTCCTTGGGGCGCCAAGCAAGCTCGAACATCTCAGATCGAATGCGCGTGCTTTCTAATTTCTCCAAACCTTTCAACAGGGGAGCAAATGGGAGCTCCCTATTCTGATCAGCTGGTGCTTTGGCGGGCTCAGTCTTCCTTAGTTTCCATGGTCGTTGGGAGACAATGTCTGCCTCATCTGGCGTGAAGACATAACAGCCCTTTTGGGCAATTAGTAAAAGTATATGGAGAGTATCAATCAGCACAAACCTCGTACTCAGTCATGCTGAGCTGCTGAGATGTGGGAAAATCCACAAGACTAATGTAAAGTATAATTCTGATATTGAGAGCGCGCGGCAAGCGGGAAGCAGCCGCGGGGGTCGAGCTCTATCTTAGGCTCTAGCTCCAAAACGCGAAAAATTTAAACAAAGAATCCTCCGCAATCATATTGCCATTTTTTTGAACGCTCGTAATAAAATGTGGCGTACAACACTTGAGCACACAATAGATCAGTTGCGTGCAAAGGGATTAATGCTGTTGGGAGCAATCGTTTCGGAGTCTCAGGCTTGACTTGATCTTTCTCGCTCCTTCCACGACGGGCCTCAAGCCTCAGTCAGCTTTTAATTCAGGTTGTCACGCCGCCTCTGAATGTATCTAGTCCGGAAACTCACTCGTGTTGCTCCCATTCATTTCTTCCATCCTTTCTCAACATCAACATCCAAAATGTCAACCAGTGGCGCGCTCTATTCGAGCGCATCGCTCAAAGCTGCCAATGCGCAACCCTATAGTGTGATGGAGGGCAAGCTAGACCCGATGCTATTGCAAGCGTTGAAAGACATGAACTTCGACTTTATGACACCAGTACAAAGTCAAGTTTTGGCAGGATTGCCATCTCTGAAGAGTGATTGGTGAGAATCTCCCCTTGCGCTTATGCCTGCTCTCACTTTTCTCGTGGACTATTGACAGTCATCTCAAAAGGATACTAGCTGACTGGTTTGGATAGTCTCGTCCAAGCAAAGACTGGGACTGGCAAGACGACGGCTTTCCTGCTTCCGGCCATCCAGAATACAATCATCGAGGCACCACGTAGAGGGCAGGTTGCTGTACTTATCCTTTCCCCAACGCGAGAACTAGCCCTTCAGATTGCAGCAGAGGCTTCACGATTAGTGTCCAGGTTGAGAATGCCTTTGCAAGTTCACACAGCATTTGGAGGCACAGCAAAGGCGAGCAACCTGAGCAAATTCAGAAACGGCGATCCCAAAATACTAGTCGCCACACCCGGAAGGCTTAACGATTACTTGAGTGAATCGGATGTGAGAGCGAAATTTGATGGAATGAAGACGCTGATTTTAGATGAAGCTGATAGAATGCTGGATGCTGGATTCCTTCCAGACATTCTTAAGGTGTTGCGCGTTCTACCATCTAAAAGGAACGGGCAATGGCAGGGCATGTGCTTCTCCGCCACCCTTCCGCCCAAGATCCAACAGGTGCTCTCCAATGTGCTGAAGGAAGATTATGTCTCAATCTCTACGTACGTATCTTCGAGAAGAAATCTTCCTCTTCGGGATCGAGATTTTATCGCAAGACACGTCTCGGGAGCGAAAGGTTCCTTTTAGGACTTGTGTCTTGAGATTTGAATTTCTTGCTCGATGAACGAACGCTGACCCCGAAATCTTTACTAGCATCGAGGCATCTGAACCTCCGACGCTAGAGAAAGTCCCCCAGTACTCCATCGTAATTCCTGAGGTCGAGGATACATTTCCGGCCCTCTTCTCCCTCATCAAAGAAGAACTAAACGCCACCGAGGGAGACTCAAAAATAATTGTGTTTGGGACAACCGCAAACTTAGTTGCTCTATACGCTCAAGTGTTCGAGGCCCAGACGCATCTCAAGGTCTACGAGCTGCAGAGTCGGCTGTCTCAGCCGGCCAGGACCAAGGCCACTGATGCATTCAGGCAAGCCAAGAGTGGTCTTATGTTCGCTACTGATGGTATGGGCCCCATGATCTCTCGCTATAGATAGGTATTATGTTCTAATTAGTGGCAGTCATCGGCCGAGGAATGGATTTTCCCGATGTCACTCTTGTCTTGCAAGTCGGCCTTCCCGCGGACGCCGATTCTTACACTCACCGAGTCGGCCGAACAGCTCGCGCTGGAAAAGACGGTAGAGCCGTACTTCTCCTGACACAGGCGGAGTCGTTTTTCTTGAAAGTAAATCGACAATTCCCCATCAACGCATATCCCGCTTCTAACAAGATCCTGAATGATGCGACCTCACGTAGCCAGATCTTCAATGTCTTGCAATCCGTGGAGCCCAAGAGCAAACAAAAAGCGTATTCAGCGTATCTAGGCTTCATGAAGGTGTTCCTAAACAAAATGCAGATTGATGCCACCGCACTAGTCAGAATGGCAAACGTATTTGCCATGGAGGGGATGCAGTGCAATAAGATCCCAGAAATGGAAAAGAAGACGGTTGGGAAAATGGGCTTAAAGGGCGTTCCTGGGATTCATTACGCGGCGCCATCTCAGGACGGTCAGCCAGGCATGAAGCGAGACGCGCCTGTTCAGGATCATGCGGCTGATCGCGATGGTCCATCAAGGAGACTCAGGCACCAGGGCGTTCCTGAACCTGTGAACACCTTTGCATACAGCAACGGGTTTGGAGTCCCAGGAGGTCGTGAAGGGCGAGGACGTGGCGCGCCGGGCAGAGGAGACCACGGTATGCGAGGGGGAAGAGGAATCGGCAGAGGCGGAAGAGGGGGAGGAGACCACGGTATGCGAGGAGGAAGAGCAATAGGCAGAGGCGGAAGAGGCGGAGGATCCCAAGAGAAACGTCGTGAGAGGAACTCTCTCGTGGCATAGATGGACGTGGGTATAAGTACATCTGGACAGGCGGAATGGTCTTGGAAGAACATATTCTTTCCCAGAGATACTTAGAAGACTTATAGACTACTTTGATAATGATTAATGCGGACTGAAAGGAAAGCACGATTCTTCACTCCAGATTTATTGCTTTTTTCTTTGAAGATCGAGCTTCAAAGAGGACAAATCCGTTTTAGTCCTTTCTACATTCGAGCACTATGTCCGATAGCTCTGTACAATGATGGCCACCGCAGACATGGTACGAGGTTCGAATGGAGAGGTGTAGGAATACCAATCGTACTCCCACAACCGAAACTTTTTCAAAATAATTGCACCCTTTATAAAGGGATAAGTCTTAGGATACCCCTCGTTTCTCATGTGCATATTCGCTTCAAATATTCATGTTGAGCTTACGTATAGCTCGTCCATATCATGTACACTTGAAATTTAGCCACGCATGGTACATCCGTCAACCGCATCCACAGCTCCGCCGAGCTTTTGCAATCTCTCGTCCTCTCCTTGATGATTCGAATCCGGACGAGCCCAAGGTAAGATGGTATCAGCAACTACTACCTGGGTCAACCAAGAGACGGCGGATAGATCACAACAACCCAGATGCGGAAGAGAACGACGAAGCGAGATGGCTCAAGCGTCAGATCAGCCAGCTGGAAGATGAATTACGAGAAATGGAGGACCCGGGGGAAAAGACGATGATTGAGCCGCTAATTGCGACGCTCTCACCAGAAGATCAGCAGAAAGTCAGAGCTGCGATAATGCAAGAGGAGCTCGAAGAGAAGCGAAAAGATTTAGAGGTTGCAGAGGTAAAACGCAGGCTCGCCAAGCTTGTTCCGAAGAAGAACGAGCTCGAGATACATTGGCAACTGCCGCCAGAACAAGGCACATACCTCCGAACTTTGAACACGAACATAGAAGAAGCAGCTGGCAAGCTCGAGGATCAAGGCCTCCGAAAGAAGCTGTGGAAATCATACGCTCGCTGCAAAGCAGCCCTTCCTCCATTTTTACATCTGATACCGGAAAAATCATGGACTGTTCTGTGGGCAAGCCACCACACGATGTCGACAAATCATCCGCAATGGGCTTTGCATCTGATCACTTTATCGGAGGACATGCTTTCCGCCGGGAAAGAGCTGCATATTTACCAGAGGATCTTATATATCGAGGGTCTGCGGCGTGAAGGACGCCACAATGAGGCCATCAGCCAATGGCAAAAGCTCGAGGGTGACCTTGGAGAGGACAAGCGAGCAATCGAAGAATATGAATTGCTTGGAGTCCGCATGTTTGCATCCAATGGAGACCCAGAAAGGGCCGAAAAGATCGCGTTGGATTATCTGAGACCCGAAAAGTCGGAAGATTCTCGGATACTCATCCCCATACTCAGCGCGTGGGCCCAGCGTGGTGATGCTATTGGCATCAAACATGCTTGGGCTTTGTATCTTCGCTTCAAAACGCAAGTAGGTGACAACATGACGATGGAGGATTATGACAATATCAGTCTGAGCCTTTTGAATGCTGGAAGGGCAGACCTCGCTCTGGCCGTTTTCAAGGATCTGATGCTCACTGGGGAGCATACCGATCAGGGGTCCATCGAGCTCTACAGAAAGGCTGCCAGTCTTATTGGCACGTCACAGTCGAGTACTATAACTCCAGAAGATCTTAACAAGATCTCTCTAACAGGACTAATTGCTCTACCAAGGAGGTTCCAAAACAAGTTCTTCTATGCAAGCTGGTTGAAGAAGCTACTTGGTATGGGCCAGGTTGATGCAGCCGCCACTGTGATTGAGCTGATGTACGAGCGCGGAGTCAGACCAGATTCTAGACATTTGAATGGCATCGTTGGTGCTTGGTTGCGAACTGGGAACGACAAAGATAGAGAGATGGCGGAGGAGATGGCTTGGGCCATGATACATGAGAGACTCGATCTCGTCAATAGACGTGCACATCGCGATGCCTTCAATACCCCAGATATGCCCAACGTTAAAGGTATCACTGTACCTCCACACCTCAGACGTACCATCTCACCTGCAAACATCGAAACATTTGCTTTGCTTCTCCAACATTACGGGCGGAGAGGTCAGGATGACAATGTACAACTGATGCAAAAATGCCTTGCCGTGGCTGAAATACCGCCCAACTCCTATTTTATCAATCATCTACTCTACGTTGATCTACGAAAAGGGCAGCACCAATCAGCGTGGGAAAGGTATGAGCTAATGTTCCGCAAAACACGACCAGATCTAGAAACATTCGCTTGTCTTTGGGACTGTGAGAAAGCGCATCTCGACAGCCTCCTGATACGTGCCAAGGATAGATTCCCGGGACCCCGGAGATTGATGTCAGACATGATGAACTGGTACTCATTACTGCAACCTGGAGAAATCGGACTGGTCCGAGAGGACTTCAGCAAAGAGCTGTACAACCAGATCATCCGCTGCCTCGGCCAAACTGCTGACCTGGAAGGACTCATAGCGGCGCTTTACGCTATGAAAGAGTCGTTCGGGATATACCCCGACGCAGAGACCACTCGCACGGTCAGCGTCCAGGTCGGTCGTCTAGGGATCGGTGAAGACAAGAGGCCAAGGGCTGGGCGCTTAAGAAAGGGAAATACTCAGAGGAGAGCCAATGCCGCTAGAATAGCGCAAGCCTTTTCTCTCTTGGTTGAGCAACGGGAGAAATTCTTGGCAGAGGCCGGATTGGATGATGTGCAGCAGTGTGATGCAGATATCCAGAAGGAAGAGGGGTTGTTCATCTTAGCGGAATTCCTTCGGGCAATTTTGCGGAGGACGACTATGGATGAGGATGCCGTGGAGGCTAACATAGAGAAGGCTGCATGGGAGATGGGCGTTAGCGGTGTACGGATGGAGGACCCTCTCCCTTCATACGATGTATAAAAAGGGCCCATTGCAGGAGTTGAGCTTGGGAACGAGCATCGTAGCATTATACCTCGGTGGAAAATTTCCTGTACCATACATACCCAAAGACTGCGAAAATCTATCGTCTCTTCATTATGTCGTTTGGATTACTGCATCTACCTTCATGTTCTGCAGTCCACGCCGCACATGTTTATTCTCAACTCAGGAGGAGTTTCGAGTACATGAAGAGACCATAGAAATTCCATCATAGTACTTGCTTTCCGACTTGACTTGTTTTGCGGGACAAGGTGCCGTATATCATGGCTGAACAACACCTTGTCCCTCTCGAAGACTTACCAACGGCGGAGTAATCTACAAAGATAGTGATGCAGAGGGAAGGCTTCTCATCCGTATAGACTCCGCGACCTGTAATCCACCTATGCAGCCTGGCCCAGCCGATAGCATGAGTCTTATTGCTCTGGCGTTGACAGAGGTGTGCTGCAAAATTGGAAAGGGAAAGGTATGTACAGAAATGTGAATCAGTGAGGGCAACCAATTGATCCTTTCATCGTCTGATCCAGGTCTGCTTGTTCTCGCCCGCGGAATTTTTCAAAGCTGCAGTGAAGGATTCCCATGGAGGTTTTTTTCCTCTGCCAAGCCTTGTGTGCGACCCTATGGTTTGGTCTGAGGACGACGACAAACAGTGGCTGAGGATGAGGCACAAAGGTACATATTTCCGGGTGGCGTGCTTCCTGCCCTTGGTCTGACTGCTGTACAGACTGTAGCTTGATTCCGAACTCTCGAGCCAGTGCTAATCGTCATACCGGTTGACTTGGTTTCTAATGCCATGGAGAAGGTATCCGACCACTCGCGGTCATTAGCAGTGGTTTGATAAATGTTAATCGGAGGCTAGAAGGATGTCCATTTCGTTCTTAACAGATCGAGCTGAGCTCCAGAGCCACCGCCTACATCCCTGCCCCTGCTTATGTTGGGTGGATCAGAGAGCTTAAGAAGGTTGGAGAGCCCCAGCAGCCGCAAGGCGGTCCGGAATTGAGGTCATGGTCCAAAATCGGCATGCAGCATCTGCAGCAACTCCAGGTCCTCGGTGGAAAGGCAGTCGTTCAGCGACTGTGGAAAAGGTACTTCAAGGTTGAAGTCGTGGCTCTGGGCCTCTCTAAAGAATTGATCATGAATGTCATCGGACTCTATCGCGAGTAGGTCAAACTTAGCAATGGACGTGCAAGCGATGGTTGCTGGGCACAGCGGCCTTGCTTAGTTCTGAGCCTCAAGTCTCTTTGCGCTTTCGGCTTCGTATGGAGGTAGCTCTACGAATGAATTTATCCAGTTGATGACCTCGAGATGCCACTGTAGGCTGTTTTCCTCTTTGAGGACCCAGTGGTTTCTGCGCAATCATTAGCAACCCCTGAGGCATATAGAAGCTAGGGCAGTCATTACTCGTCAGGAAACGTTAGAAATTTGCTCTTGATGCCCTTTTCCTGTAACACATTGAACATTGCTAGGCCTTCACTTATTGGAAGTCGATAATCTAGCTCGTTGTGAATGACTAGCATCGGCGTGGACCAATTCGCGGTGAAGTGTGCAGGGTTCCATTTCTCCCACGAGTCTTGATGTTTAGTGAAGTACGGCCCACCAAGATCGTGATTGGGGAAATATTGCTCGTCCGAGGCTAATTGATTTGTCATGCTGAAGACACCGTCGTGGCATACGAGCGCTTTTCATATTGGATGTCAGCAGACGTATAGCAGTAGACCTTGCGGATACGTTAGCTCAGAGATTTGTCATACCTCTGAATTCTTTCCCCAAAGGATGGCCTTGCATCCAATTCATCATGTAGCCACCATAGCTTGCTCCGAGTGCAACAGCACGGTCCGTGTCTACATAGTCCATACTTTCTTTGATATACGCAAATCCACTGACTAGATCTTGATATGGCAGGCCACCCCAAGACTCTTTGATCGCATCAGTGAAAGACTGGCCATAACCTGTACTGCCTGTGGGATTTGGGGCTACCACAACATCTGCATCAAGATTTCAGAGTCAGTATTGCCTTTTGGGGGGTATTTATCCAGCCATGAAAGGATTCTCCGAAACAAAACTTCCTCAGACATGTGTCAAGAAATATAATTCGTTCGAAAGAGAAAACATAGACCCTGAAATACATACAGCCCTGTTCTGCGAATACAGCTGGGTTCCAACGTGTGCTCCATTGATCATTCCAAGCACCTAAACACCATTCGACGTCAGCATTTTCACTACACCTTCAACTGAAAGTTCGCAATACTATCAGACAGTCATCGGAGACTTACCTTGAGGACCACCATGTATGAGGTAGGCTAGGGGATAATGCTGGTCCGAGCTGAAGCTTGAAGGCTTCATTACCCAAGCATGGACTTTTTCACTAGAGCCTTGGAACCAAATCTCCGAAACTTGGTCCTGCGAAAGGCCGAAGAAAGAGCCATTTCGAGAGTTTGAGGAGATGACCTTTGCTTCTGCCGAGCCTGCAGGGTCCAGAATCGAGTAAACGCTGTTGTCTACCAGGTTCGAGCCCGAAAGGAAAAGGTGGGATGAGTCTGCTCCAAGAGATTGAACATCATCAACGTGTCCGGTCTTAGGCGTCAATGGAATTGGCAGTTCGAGGGTGCCCTGCTCATCGGCTGGGACATCAAGCTTGAACAATCGAGATGTTCCTGTGTCCTCTGCGACCAAGAGCAAGGCCTTGCCGTCGGTGCTCCATCCGACGGAGCCAGGGCTTTTATCCCACAGTCCCTTCCCATCATTTGATTCGAAGAGCTCAACAGTCGTAGATGGTGTGGTGAGATCAGACAAGAGAATTCTATTCTTGTCGGATTCATATCCATTCTCCTTCATTTGCAGAAATGCAGCGCTATTGCCGTCCGGTGACAGCACGGGTGAAGAGCTGGCACCTTCAATGCCTGGCTTTCCATACTTCTTCGGTTCCGAATATGTTGGACCTTCCACGGAGGTATCAATGGAGACATAATAGAAGTTGCATTTCGTATTCGTCGCTGGATTCAATTCAGGATCCTTTGCCACAAAGCCGATGCCATTGATACTAATATCGAAATGATCTTTGCCCCCAAAAGGCGGTATTGGGCTCTCTAGGCCTGACCCTCTTAGGATATTCGTGAGCTTCCCCAAACTATATCTGCCCAGTTTCTCTGTGATGTGCGGTTTCTGTCTGTGAAGAATCCCATGCCATAAAGCATTTCGTTGCGGTTTCACATAGTGGTCCCAATGACGTACCATTAAAGACTCGTATAACATCCCAGTCGAATACTTCTTCGGCTCGTCTTCCTTTTGGTACAAGGAGCCATCTAGCTTCGCTTTGGCTGAGACCACAATGGCAACCCGCTCCGCGTCCAATATCTTGAGCTTAACATCAGATATTGGTGCCGGCACAAGACCAGCGACATAGCTCTTTCCAACCTCGTCGGCACTCCCTACTACCAATTGAGTATGCCCTTTTTCCCCTGATTTCAGCCACAATAGCTCATTCCCGCCTCCCAACCAAGCTGGCTCACTCGTCCCCTCGGCATTAGTAATGAGTGATTGGCTTCCACTGCTGATGTCAAGCACCTTGATCTCCGAGGTTTTCCTGTGTGACTCGAACGAGTAAGTGGAGACAGTATAGACGGCTAGAGTGCCAGCGCTGTTCGGAGATGCTGAGCTTCGTCTGGGCGCTGAGAGCATTATATCTGGGGTGAACTTCTCTGCGACTGTCATCTTGTTTACTGTTCTGAAATCCATTGTAGTCTCTGGTTTCCAAAGTAACTGTGGGCCCAGGGGTAACATGGTATAGTAAAGGAAAGTTGCGAGACATGCAACAGATATGAGGGAAAGCGCAACGGTTCGTTCGGGTGGCATGGCGATTGATGGCAGTAATTTGAATATGTTGTTTGATCTGTCATTCAGACTGGCAGCTGTCCGCAGCTGCTACTTTTCATGAGGGTGATGGCTGGTAACAACAATGGAAATCGCAATGTGTTAGAGTAGTACTCTTGAACGAAGCCTTGGCATAGAAATCATGGCATCATTTTCGGTTGTCTACGGTACTCTGCTTGTTGCACATGAGTACCATATTGGTTTATACGATTCCCGATCCAAGGAATAAAGAAGTAATGTGCATATTGAGTCCGTCTATACAGATACATCCGATGCTAGTTAATCCAACAATGTGTGCAAGCCACAAACAAACACCTTTAATCGCTCTACCATGCATGCCGTTCCGGTCCAAAGAAACTCAGCTCCCCACAAGCCGCAAACACAGAGGCATTCACCTCATAGTACAGTGCTCTCACCAGTTCAAGGCCAAAATATTTCATCAAACTGGTTCTCCACCAACACACAATCATGACCAGTATCCCTTCGACCGCCAACTTTCCATCTCACGATCTCTATGCTCCTTCCTTGCCATCTCCCTTGCGATATACTCCTCCATTTCTCTCCTCATCTCACCCTCTCCTTGACTCGACTCGCAGTTCCGCAGGCCTAAAAACCTCCCAAAGCGCCTCCGCTTGTCCTCGACGCTCGCAACTTCCTTGTCGTCCTTCTGCTCTGCGAGCTCCATTATCCTCTTTATCTCTTCCAGCTCATCGATTTCACCTTCCTCTAGTTCCTGATCGCTTGGCGCCCACCATCTGGCAACGACAGGCATGGGATACCCAAGGCTATATTGACCTGGCGTGCGCTGGTGGTAGAAATGGGCAAGGGAGTCGAGCTGCTCTTCGGACAAGAGGTGGTAGTGGAGTATGGTTAGGGGAAAGTCCGGGTGTGGGAGGCCTGTCTCAATACTGAGGAGAGGGCAGAGCTGGTGTAGAAGATGAGCAAAGCGCCGCTTGTGGATGGGAGTCTTGGATTCGCGGCGCTGAGTGGTTGTAGCACCGGAAAAGCTAGACGTCGATGGCGTAGGTGGGGCACGGCTTGAATCCATGGCGGCCAAAGCAGCTGAATGGAGGAAATCGCCTTTGCAAGACTATTGGCGGAGATTGCAAATGTGAGTGTCACTTCTGCGGAAAAGGCAATAACTGTTCGCTTTTCAGGCTCAGCAGTCGTAAGTATTCTATGCAGAAAATGCTACTATGTTTTGTTTTGATTTGAGGGAAAGAGGGGATGAATCAGAATATTGAGAGGAGATATGAGTCCGTGATTTCCTGTAATATGGTAAAATGAGCTCTTTTGTTATGAATCAGTGAGCTAGCTCTCTCTTTTACAACTGCTTTGTAGTCGTTTTGCCTGGCCACGAAGAGTTATCGTTGTTCCTATTTTTGTTCGTTGAAAGAATATTCTAGCGACACCCTCACCATTTGTCTTTGTTCTTTGTCTCATGGGAGAGGAATTCCAGTTTCACCGACATCCCGAAGCTCGGGGAGACCAATTTTGTCGTTGCCAGTGGCTTGACACGAAAGGCTACGATAAATAAAGGAAAACGAGTTTGTGGAATTGGGTCAATATCTTTCGATTTGGCACAAACAACTCTGCACGATACTGCTATCGGTGATTATCTGAAGCCATTGTCAAAAGGACGTGGGGAATTTGATTGAAAGTATTGAACTTAGTGTATTTTCCCATTGTTACTTCGAATCCAATCTCCACTGCACGATAAATCCGCTTGCTGCGACCTCGAACGTCCCACTGGAGCACATTGGTATACTCACGACGAGAGGTTATGGTCTCAATCGGAGCAATCGACTCACTGAAAATGTTACTGCTCTCCAGCATTTGACCTGCCAAAGATCTCCAAGTCTTAACATGCCAGTCTTTGAAGACTCCCCAAGTATTAGCAAGAATCTCAACAATCACCTGTGTCTAGGGCTGGTCACTACCCAAAAGCCAGGAAGTGGTCACCGGATATCATATATCGATTCCCCAGACGCCCTGGCAGAAGCACGAAAGGAATGGATGATCGATCGTTCCGGACCTCTATTCGGCTACTACCTACCTCAGATGAACGCTTATTTCCAAAGTGAGAGTATTGTGGGCTCGCAAGAATTGCGAGAACTCGACATTACGATCCAAATGGCGTTACAGGCTGACACGAAGCCCAGCTATGAGACCATCTCGGTGAGTCGGACTCTGGTTTCCCTTTTTCCCTTTCCGTGTCAAATTATACATACCCACCCTGCATGCCGTTCATCACTTTGTGGCATCTCATCCAGACAGTAGTAGCATTTCATGACTGCACCTGTCACGGTCCGATTGTTGCCAAACCCCAGCAGTCTCTACCATTCTTTCATCATTTCTCCGTGAAGGCCTTCAGGTAACGTTTGCTGTGGTAGCAAAATGCAAGCCCCAGCGTGAAAGCGTCAGAAAACTACCTTGCAGCCGCCGTAGTATTCCCCGGCACCCAAGGGGCTGGTGGGGCCGGGGGGGGGGGGTCAAGCTAGAGTCCTCAGACCCAACCAAACTCCCTAAGATCAACCCCACTCTTCTCTCTCACCCCTTTGATCGAGACGTAGCCTCGAATCCGTTCGAGAAAATTTGGAATTCCTGGACAAAGCGCTTCTAGCCAAGGACCAGGTCCACCTCGCTACCGGTCCAACGGAACACAACGATGAAGATATCTCGGTGCCTTGCCTCACTTTCATCTGCATTTTCTCCTCTCATAGCGGCATGAGGAGGCAAAGTGGGAACCCTCGCTAACGGTTCTCCGTCTTTGGGAATACGTCCGGAAAACTGCAATCAGCACGTGTCGTATGTGTGGAACAGTCAAGATAGGGAAGCCGGGGGAGCCGGAAATTCCGAATTGTCGGACGGCGGGGGTTGAGGGTGGTAGACATGAGTGTTGGCCCTTTGTGGCCGAGGTGGAGGACTACTGATACCGTTCTCCTTCCGGACTTGCTTGATTGCTCATGGTTGCAATGCACATACGCAGGCTGTGGCTAACCTTATCAGAGAGACGGCGGTCGAGAGAATATGTGCCGAATATAGCTGATGGACTTGCTTGAATGGCCGAGGTAGGTGGCTTTGGCCTTTGAAAGCTAGATGCGTCAGCTTATTACCGAAAATTACTATATTGATCAGGCGTTACTTCAATTACATCAATACAAGAAGCATGAATTGCCTCTCCCACAAATACGGAGTGTCTTGCAGGGTATAGTTCTTTATACTATGCTTTAGATACTAATTTACACGTTCTACCCCTACCCAGCAACCTCAGTTTCACTCCTCTTCCTCCTCATCCTCATCTTCCTCCATTCCTTCCGCCGCAGTGATTTTGAAAGACGGATCTTGATCCACACCAACATAGCTATCACTCATCAAATAAAGCGTCAACTCCTGCTCTCCCACCCTCGTAGGCACAAATTCCAATTTTGTGTCCAACTTCTTTCCAATAGTCACCCTCTTGATCGCAAGTAAATTCTTCGAACCCTCATCCCCGACCACCAACCACCAATTCTCCATCTTCTTCTGCGGGTAGAATGGCGCGTGCACCGCCGTATCCGGTTCTTCATCCTCATCCACTTCTCTTGTAATCGCGACTTTGAGATGAGCAGGAGAGTTGGTAGCGATGTTTTCTGGGTCTTCAACCTCGAATTCAATCTCCACGTTGGGATACTTGGTATTCGTGAAAGTCGCGGCTTGAGCAAGCTGCTTGTTATCGAGACCGAGTCGCTTGACTATCTTCTCGTATTCTTTGTTCTCGGATGGGTCCATTAGATCCATGAACTCGAAGATGTCTTTAGCGCCGGAGTCATTAGCCGCTTTGATGACTTCGGGTGAGAAGTGCGGAATCTGCTTCAATGGGCTGTCACGATCCCACATGGCTTGCACTACCATCTGTGACATTTCCATAGCGCTCATAGCGTTGAGATGGCCGTCTGAAGAGAGGACGTCTACGCAGCCACTGAGGAGGTTCAGTACTTTGGATAAGATAATCTCTTGGTCTTTTGCGAGATCTACTGGTAGTTGCATGCGGGAGAAATGCGCTTGGAGCAGGACGAATGCTTTGAAGTGGGGAGATTCGTACGCGGGCTGAGCCATTTTGACAGGGACTCGGTCGTAGATACGCCGCAAGATGTGATCCTCGTGCCGTCGTATCTGGATTGACTCGAATTCTGTAGCGGATGTGACTATCTCCAGGATGCCCTTGAGCTTAGTACGGCCTGTCAGTGAGAGTAAGAATGTTTGCATAGTGATGAACGAGATGTTGTAATAGGCGGCAATCATGGCGGCATTGAGTGGGTTGACGGTATCATCTTCCTCGTCCAGCTCTATGATCTTGGCTGCTGATAAGTCTTTTAGCGTATTCTCGACCAGCTCTGACAGATGTGTACTCAGGCCCTCATGCGAAGTGTCTGTCAGTCCGTAGTAGCTTGGATTAGCCAGTAGTCGACGGTAGAAGTAGGTGTACGTAGCCCAGTCGACAGCGTCTTGCGTAGATGCAATTATCTTTGTACTGATCTCTGACACAAACGCATCGTGCATGTAGACTTGAAGATGGCTCTCGATCGGAAGAGCCTCGTTCAGGAACTTCTTGTAGTATTCGCGCTTGGTGGCGGGTACCATGAGCACACCTCTACTCGACTTATCCTCAAGGGGTCTGCTAGCTTTGCCGAACATCTGCAAGATCTCGCTAATAGGATAATCAATATACCGATGTTCTCGGCCCTCGTAGAATTGAGTACCCATCACAATGACGAGGTGAGCAGTGCAGTCAATCTCCCAGCAGACATCTCGTGAAGCAACCATGATCTGAAGAGCTCCAATCGAGTAGAGGTGAGAGACGATGCGCTTGTCGTTCATACTTAGAGCTTCATGGAAATACCCTATACCATGTGATATGGAGTCAGCCAGGGCAGTCTCGTTGACACGTTGCAATAGCGGAGCTATCTCATCAATGCCGGCGTGCAGAAATCTGTCCTCGTCATCGTCCGCTATGCAAGCTGCAAGCAGGTCAAGAGCAGTAGCACGTGTTTGCTTGCGACTAGGAACGAAGATCATGGCCGGCTTGTCCGGAGACATCTGGAGGACAGCAGCATAGGTCGGCTTAGCCATCGCAAGCATTAATGAGGGGAAGTGAGGTATAGTAAAGGATTGAATATGCAATTCAAGCGGTACTGGCCGCACGTGAGGGCTGAAGTTGTAGATGGTATGCTTCGTGGCTCCAAGCCATTCCCCAACATCCCGAGCATTGGAAAGCGAGACGCTCAACCCAACCAGGCGCATGTTATTCTCGGTCTGCAGCGCCACGTAGTGCATCCGCGACACGATGATTTCGTAGATGAAGCCTCCTTGGCCCCCTAGCATGTGCAGCTCGTCTGCAATAAACAACTGCACGGTCTGCACATTCTTCCGCCGTTGCCATTGACGAGAAATTAGATCCCACTGTGTTGGAGTTGCTAGTATCAGGTCGCCCTTTTCCAGGATCTTCAGATCAGCCGTGGTTTCGCCCCTGAGCTTAACAATCTGTTTACCACCCGCAACCTTTGCGAGCCTCTCTTGCCAGTCCGCAAGCCTTAAATCGACGAGCTCTTGGAATGGGGCGATATATACAGCTCGACCTTTAGCCTGCGATGACCAATGGCGGAGTATGGCAAATTCAGCGCATACGGTCTTGCCAGCACCTGTGGGTGCGCCAACGAAGACGTTGTCATTCGTGGTGAAGAGTGAGCTGAATACTTGGGTTTGGACTTTATTAAATTTTTCCCATTGAGGGTAAAGTCCCTTAAAGTCCTCCCTTTTCAGGGCGGCGACAGGCAAAGGCTGTAGATCTAGCAACGGCGTATGCGCAGGGAATTTCTCTGGAAGGACGAGCTTCTCGAAAGACACAGCAAGCTTCGTTTCTGACTGCAACCACCGGTCAGATAGCACAGTGATGAAGTAATTCGGCGGCATTGGCTCGGTAATGGGAACGGTGAATTCCACTAGGTGTTCGCTCATCTCTGATTGTGCATAGTCCTTCCGCAAGAGAAACTGGTCATGGAACAGTAT